GGTGATAAGATTACAACTCCCATCATCCCTGACCATTTGTCATAGACTAAAAGGATCATAGAGCTGTAGAGCTGGAAGGAACTCGAAGGGTTGTCTTATCCAACTCCCTGCAGTGCAGGAATTGTAACTAAAGGATCCTTGACAGATGACTATCCAACCTCCAATGAAGAGGAGTCCACCACCTTCCATGGTAGTCCATTCCACTAGTGGTAAGCGCTGATGGGAGTTGGAGTCCAGCAATGTCTGGAGGATCCCCAATCCCTGTTCTCTTTATTAGTGCTTGGTGGAATAAATGTTTGAGAGGTTGGGACGGACTGGATAAACCCAAGGACATATGCGGTCTCAATCTCTCCTTTGCAAAATTCCCAGTAAGAACAGCAGGTGGTGCTGCTGGCTTAGCTGGAGTTCACATATGATAGGCGTGAGTATTTTCTCTTGTATTCTGCACCCACAGAGTACAAACAAGAAAGGACAGAGAGGAGCCCTTCCTAGCTTCTTTTTGTTTTGCATCATCACAAAACCTGGGTTTTTCTGACTAGCTTCTAGCATTTGTATCCGCCTGAAGCCTATAAAAAGATACAGTTATATTCTGCCACTGTAACGATATATCTTGCTAGGAATAGTGTATTTCAGTGTTTTCTGAGCTTTGCTATTAAATGTCCTCCTTGAGGATACTTGAGCAATTTGTAGGGAAAACTCATCATAGTTTGCAGTAGCCTCCCTTTGCTCAAAAAGTTCTACAGGCATCTCTGTGTCCCCTCCCCTCCCCAAAATAGACCGTATTGGGAGGGTTGCACTGGCTGTGTGGCAGCTGTTCACTGCCTCTTCCAGTTGGGATATTTAAGACTAGGGATTGCTACAATGATTGACTGACAGCTGTAGGAGTAGATAGAGAGGAACAGTTGGAAGAGAGACATGGAGGGATTAAGGCTAGTTCGTATGCTACTGCAGTTGAGGGGGGCATATGTGTGTCTGGGGCAATTAATCCTAGCTGGTGCTTGTAATAAATATCTGTGTTTGGGTACTGTTGGGACTATTAGAGAGTTGGGATCATGTGCATACTTGTGTGGGTTTGTGAATAAGCATTAGAATTTTTGCACAGTGGTACAGTCTGAAACCAGCTATAGCCAGTGCTGAACTATAAAAGGAGAAAAATCAGTTTTCAACCTTGCTTGCATACTGATTCAACCTTGAGTGTATGCTGGCACACGGCATGTTCCAGTGCTGATCCTTTAGTTTAAGACTCTTGACAGAAAAGGGATTCCCACCCCCCAACACCTTGCCAAACTCTCAGAAAACTTCACTGCAAATGTTTCAGGTTTTAGAACTAGACTGAGTTGATGCCTATCTTTGGCACCATGTGTTTTATCCACACTTTATTTTTCACTCTTGATATATATGTGCTGCTGCTGTGTGGTGCTGCCTGCAGTTATCCAAAGCCCCTTTTTATTCTGGGCTCTCCTGGTCTACCACCACCATAACACTGGCCACATTAGGGGGTTATTTCTAATTGTCTTCTCCTTTGCAAAACATCATTTTAAAAAATCTGCACATGACATGTATGACCCTGTGTACAAGCAAATGCGTTCAGCATTATGACCTCTCAAACTCCTTTAATTATCCAGATAGCTGTGCTACTCACTGGGGGCAAGAAGACGAGGGAGCTGTGTGTAAAACGTAGTTTTGAAATAACAAAAAACAACAATTGGCACATAGGCCATATCTGATAACGATAGTTAATAAAGTGGTAGGATCTAGCAAAACTTGTTGATTTAGTGTGGGAGGGTAGGAAAGAGGATAGATGGAGAGTATGCCTCTGAGTATGGACCTCTCTCTGCCCCACTAAGCCTCCCGCTCACTAAGCCCTGTTATCTCTTCAGCTTCCATCACTTCCTCCCAGTCTTCTCCCTCTGACCACTCATCATCATCCCACCACCAGTCTCTTGGCTCTGAGCCTTTCTCTCTTGTGGGTTCCCCAGCTGGTTACTCCCACCATTCCTCTGCATCCAACCAATTGTCATTCATAAACTCATAAACCCAACCCATCCTTAAAACTGATTTACTCTCTGCAAGACACAAATGCATAAATAGTCTTTGCACTTGCTTCAAGATTCAGGTTTCTTTCGTTTTTAAAATAAAAATGAAAACCACACTCAATATTTTTATTCAAATAGATCAGATACAGAATAAAACCAAAAGGCATCAGAATAAAAATAAGTGAAACACAATTAAGAACTGTGCCCATCAATTCTCATATAAGGAAAGGTAGATGTGCAAGACAGTTATTTTTTGCTTCAGTGGTTTCTATAAATGTATTTGTGTTTGAAGTTGAAGAAAAGAGTATTATGCAAGACGAACACCTACACAAATCCATCCTTTCTGGTATTGGCAGTGTTTGTTTCAATCCATATCAATGGTTTGCAAAATTATTGTTTTGGCTTCCTCCCTTGTAAGCATGCAAAAGATTGCAGCCTTGGTTACATGTAATGCACACAGTGCTCAGTTACAAAGGAGTAAAAGCTGGTTGACAATTGCGCAATCAAATCCCCAAATGGTAGTGACAATGGTGCATGATATTATCTGTAACTAATTGGCTAGTAGGTGTCTGTTACAGAAAGTTATTTTCAGTTTATTAGTTCCATTCCTTCTTGTGCACTCTGTCTTCTTTCTAAAGTCCTGTTTATCTTTTGTTTGTTTGTTTATTATGCCATTTATATTCCACCTTTCCTCCAAGGAGTTTCATATGGTGTACATGGTCCTATCATTTTATCCTCACAAGAAGCCTAAGAGTCAGGCTGATACAGTGACTGGCTCAAGGTCACCTAGTGGGGAGATGAACCTTTCTCTCAAAGGTCCTAGTCTGACACTAACCACTCACTATTTCACACTGGCTCTATTGTCTTCTTTTTCTTCCACTCTTCAGCTTCCCCCTTCTCCAGCTGCCACCAGCTAACAGTGCTATACCTACAGGAAGGCTAGCCGTGGTTTTTTTTGCCCTGGGTGAAGCCTCCAGAGGGGTTCCATTGAAGCTCCCAGCCTGTGTGTGTGTCAAATTGGGTCTTTGACCCATGTGAAATAAAGCCTACCTCCCTTACAGTTTCTCAGCATCCTGTATTCTTTTTTTTACTGGCTCCATATTTCATAATAAGCACACAGGAGTAGGCATTGCATGTAGAATGCTCCATAACCTCAAGACATAGTCCGAAGGTTTAATGCAGTTTCTTGAGATAGAAGGCAATTCCAAATAACCCTTCGATTCCCCTATCCTCCTCCTCCTCCTATGCCATTGATGTTTAGAAGTACTGTATGTGGTTTCATGCATTTCCTTACACACTTTCTGTGTTGGGAGATACTGTAAGGAAACCTATGTCTTCCTCTTGAGTCCATTTAGTATTTTAGAATGGAATTAAGACTTTCTCTCACAATGTCCCTTTGGAGTCAAGAGGGACAGCATGCATGCATTAGGGTAGTTCACACATATATGCACCCTTGTACTGCAGTCATATACATATCCACTCAACTGAGGCTTGCAGCCTTAATGCTTGCCTCATTTGTCAGGCTGGGCCATGGGCAGTGGTTTTTGAGGTGAGTCAGAAGCTGTGGGACAATGCCAGTAGAAAGGACCGACAGAGGAAGTCAGGACTGAAAGACAAACTTGGAGCAAGCCATGAATCAGGAATGAGGGACAAGATAGGAATCAGAACCAAACAATCCACAAACACACCAGAATTCATCACAAAGAATTTGTTGCACAGGAACAGGAAACCCTCACATAGACCTTCCTGTCCAGGAGGGTCCAGTGGCAGACCTGGGATGCCAAGATGCTCAATCAGATGCTGCCATATGGGGCTCACTGTAGATGCTCCCTGCTGAAGCTCCCTGCAGCTTCTGACACTCATCACTTGATTACTCAATGCTGCATGACTCAAGCTAAATATGAGAACTGCCTCTGCTGAAGAGTATTGAGCTTTAGGCTGTGTCAGTAATTAAGCAATGAACTGTATGTGTGAATTCAGCCTCATAGAGCCAGCTCACGTGTTCTGCAGGGAGCCATCAAATGACCATACAAATGTTACTGAAGGATATGCATCTACAGCCATAACTTTGGAGAGACTCCCCACTGTGTGTGATATGAAAGTCCACAGTCGGTTCAAAGATTATGGTCCCTGCAGTGATGCTCCCATGTGGTAGCTAACATTTGTAAATAATTCACTACAAGACTGGTGCTGTCATGTGGAGCATCTCTATGCCAGTGCCAACAACCTCCACATAAATATATATTGGGCAGGCTAAGGAAAAGAAGCATAAGAATTGAACCTGTCTTCAGTCTTCCTTGGAACTGAACCCACTAATGAGCTTGAATGACAAATGCCTCCTCTTTATTTTCGGTGAATCATGGTTGCAGAAAAAGACTACTTGGTGGACCATTTACTGAGCACCCATTCACACATGGGTCTGCATTTGATGACTAGACACTTAATGGATGCACTGGCTCCTCTTTAAAAAAAAGAAGTATTCTGAGAGGATGGGAAAGCAGTGGTGTTGAACCTGTGATTACAAAGCGTCATAAAATGCACCTGTGAACCCGACTGTGCCTGTAATGGTGGACTGAGTTTGCTGCAGGTTTCTCCATCGTGTTCGAGGACCGTGTAACTGGTGTCACTAGGCTTTCCGGAGGTAGGACAAGGTTTCCTCCTCTCCATTATAAGGCAGTCCCCTCTCCTTTCGACTGGGGTGGGGTCTTGCCCACTAACCCAACTATGAGCTCGAACACGAGGGCGTGGGAGCGTGTCCTGCTCTACAGGTCGCCCTACAGTCCAGCGGCTTTCGGCAGCCGCTCTTCCTCACACCCTCGTCGACCCCGGTTTTCTGCACGCGTCTGCCTGCACGTGTCTGTCGCTAGGCACCCCCTTGCCCGCTTGCGGACTGCTGCTGCCGGCGGCGCCCAGGCGCGCGCGCGCGCACGGCTCCTTTAACACGGTGCTGCCATCATCTCCGCCCCTTCTCTTCCCTCGGCGGCACGGCAGCCCCCCTCTCTCCTCCAGGCCCGGGGAAAGGCAAACGGCGGCCAGAGCAGCCCCTGCTGCCTGCTGGAGCCGGCGGCCCGGTGGGGCGCGGCCAGTGCATGAGGGCAGCGGGCGGAGGCGCCGAAGAAGAAGGAGGAGGGGGAGGAGGAGGCGGGGGCGGCGAGTCCTGCCCGCCCGGGCACTGGCAGCCCCTGCCGCTGCCGCCGCCGCCTCTCCTTGCCGGGCCCGGGAGGCTGAGGCCGCCGCGTAGCGCCCGGGACATGCGGCCTCTCCAGCCGCAGCCATCGCCGAGGAGACGGGGGACATGAGGCTCCGCAATGGCACCTTCCTCACGCTGCTGCTCGGCTGCCTCTGCGCGCTCTTCTCGCTCTCCTGGTACGGGGCCTTCGGCGGGCACAAAGGTAAGGACGGGACTCGCTCGGAGCCGGGCGGGGAGGGAGCCAGGGAGGGTTCCCGCCTTACGCACTGCGCCTGGCCGGGGAGGAGAGGGAGCCCCCACCCCAGGCAGAACCCGAGGGGGAGAGGCAGCATCTCCCCCCGCCCCAGGGGACCCCAAAAGGCCGCCGCCGCCGCCACCTGCTGAGAAGGTCCCCTCCTAGTGCTGGATGAGGCCAGGAGACCCTGACATGCAACTTAAATGTTTTTCTGGGTGCCTCTGGCAACTGAACCGCATTTCGAGTTTTGTTGGATTTGGAGAGGCCAGGCGTCCCCAGAAAACCTCCCAGATTCCTTGACACCTAGCACTGCCTCCTCTTCAGGTCTTTCCCACATGCCAGATTGCTGTCTGGCCATTTGTTTTTTCCTCAATTCCTCTTTTCCTGCTTCTGACGCAAAAAAGCTCCCTTTTTCTGAGAAAGTGGTGGTTAAGGATTCCCACCTACCCACCACCATTTTTCTCTGTGCCCTCACAGAGAGTGTGACAAAATCTGTTCTGTGGTTGCCTCTTTGGAACAGGTAGTGTCTCTCACCCTAACTCTCTTTGTTTTTTTACCCTTGTTTTGTTTAGGCTGCTCTTTGATAGAACATCTAAGACTCCCAGCATTGCCTATTTACACAGGATGTTTTTATGTGTGCAGGTTTTTAACTCGGGGCTGTAGCCAAAGTGGCCAGGCAGGGCATGCAACCCTTGTGTTCAAAATGGCCCTGAACTTTATACTGCTCAAAGTGAACTGAAGGGGAGGAAATTGAGTTCTCCAGTCTTGACCTGTGTTCTTGAAGACTTTTTGTATGATATCTGTAAGCTTGCCTGTTGAGGGAAGGCGAGTGGGTTAGCTTGACATTGCATCACTGCTGTCATTGATTGTTGTATTTATTTAAGGGCAGCCAAGCAGTTATCAAATAAAGCAGTTTGTTCGTATGCCGCTAGTTTTCTTTCCTTTTTTTTTATGCATTTAGTGCCTCTTTGCATCCCTCTCTCCACATCCTGCATTTTATCTGAACATTAAGCATTTTCCCCATATCTTCCTCTGTTGGTGTTTTAAATAAAAGAAATACAGTTGTAATCGTGAACCTCCCTAAAAGCAATTTACCTCTTATGACCTGGAAGCTGTACACCGGCTCCCTTGGCCACTAAAGCGAGATGAGCGCCGCAACCCCAGAGTTGGTCGTGACTGGACCTAATGGTCAGGGGTCCCTTTACCTTTACCTTTATGTTTTGGTAAAGTGATGGCTATGGCACATTAACGAGGGACCACATTTGATGGAGGTAGAGCAAGAGACCATGTTGGAGGCATGTTATTAGGTCTTCGAGAACTGCTTCACATGCTACTTTTTACGACTTGTAGCTTCATGTTGGAAAGAACACAATAATGTGTTGAATGGTGGCTCTAGTGTTGTTTTTTCACTCTAAAATGCATATGCTGGAAAGGTGATAGACTATCTGGCAGCTAACTTCATAATGTGGGAGGATGAAAAATATTTGCATCACCACTCACTTGTTTACTTTTCTTGAGGCCACTTCATATATTACTTTTTCATAAACAGAAATTGGATCTCTGTATTGGAAAATATATTTTCTATATTAAGAAAAAGTGTTTTGTAAAATATGAAGGACAGTGGCTGACCAGTCAGTTATACCCTTGTAAAGGAATTGGTCACAGTTAATGTATTGCAAATAAAAGTGTTCCCCTATAATCTCAGGGGAACAATCTAACCCTTGCTCCTTATGCACAATAGGAACAAAATCTATCTTGGAAATGTTGTGCATTGTTGGGGCAAGATGTGAATAAATAAAATAAAACTTATACTTGTCCCTCCCAGACCTTCTTTCTGGGCACTTTGATGTATGTATGGTATGTATGGTAGTGGTAGTGTTAAGGATGACTTGCATGGATAATTACATTAAGAACTTGGGCAAGAATTTATACCTACGATTCTTATCAAGGACTATTGCTGGGGTCCTTGATAACAGGGAGCTAAGAATCGCAACGGTGAACAAAAATAATAAAGGTAGTGCTAGCAATTTTTGTTCTGGGGTAGTAAAAATTGACTTTATGTTGGTGTCTGAGATGTGACCATTTCAGGCGCAGTTCATTCTGGCACCTCCTCTCATGTTCTTTTCTGTTTCACTTTATGACCTTATATTACACCACATCTGGCAGTAGTGGTTATTTCCAGTGTAACAGTATTAAGAATCGGGGTTGCTATACTGTTGTAAACCCAGTCCCAATCCTCATCAGAGTTGCAGTGCCACAGTTCTGCAATATTACAGTTGCACAACAATCCTTGTCCTCAGTTATATGCACCACATTGCTGGCACAGTAGTTCAGATGAGTAGACACTTGACTGCTGAGATGTAAGTTTAATGACTGAGGAGCATCAGTTGTCTGTCAAGATGAAAGTTTAGTTACTGAGTTACACCTGCATTCTGATCCCATTATTAACTACTTATGCTATTGGAATAACAGAACAACATGTTTAAAGAGGTCTGTTCCAAAAGGAGCTTTGGATTTTAGGATTGGGCTATAACATTATCAGATACCTCACTTTTGTTTTTGTAGAAATATCTAGTTATCTACTTGTCAAAAGGCCTAAGGATTATTCTATTTGTGGTCACAAGCATCCCCTTTCTTCCAGTGATCACACAGTTATAATTTTGCAACTTGTCTTATTTTCTTCACCACAGAAAACTATTTAAGTGCAGCATAAATCAAATCAACTTTCCCATCAAGTTACAGAGGGAATATCATACTGGTTGTGCAGTTCACTCCCTTAGTCTTGTTAGCACCGCCACCCACAAGCTAATATATACACCTAGCTCCCATCAGTTATGCTGGAAGAGCAGCAAAACCCTGTCAATGGTTGTAGGACAAGTTTGCATTGTGAAAGCAATAATTTCTAAAGTAGGCTCTCTCAAGACTAGTACATTTTTATCTATTTGAGAAAAATTGAGAGAGTTTTGTCTTCTTCCTTCACCTCATAATTGTTATGATGGTACAGAATATCAACAGAGGTAAAAAAAAAAAAAGGTCCTGAAATTAATACATGCATGGAATGCATAAACCAGTGTCAAACAAAGAGGGCCATGATACATTAAAAGGGGGGGGGGGCACCTCATGAAAAAGAGAGGATTGCCATTGGATCTAGGACTGTATTCTCTCTTTACTTCTCAATAACTCACAGCTACAGTCCTGAAGTAGTTTTGGTCATAAAGAATCCATTGTATATATGGATTGATCAGTGCTTGGAATAGAAAGGTTTTCCTTTAGATGCTGCTTAACTGAATAAGAGGCAACTGTTGCCTCTGTCTAGTAAACTTAGTGCTGTTTTGTTTTTTACTGTTAGGAATGTAGGCAACTGCCTTTTATGGAGGGAGACCACTGGTCCATTTAGCTCAAGAGTTGTCCACATTGATTGGCAGTGGCTCTCCAGGGTTTAAGGCAGGGAACATTGACAGCCCTATCTGGACATGCCTGGGATTGAACCCGGAACCTTCAGTGCGCAAGGCGAAAGCTCTTCCACTGAGCTATAGCCCTTCCCTAGTTGTGTGGAATGTGTTTTGTAGAGCTCTGCCAAACCTCACCATCTTCAATCATCTTACCTGGACACAGGGTTTCTTTCTCTTTGCCACTTTACCCAGCTGTTTATACAACTTCTATTAGCTGGTTTCTCAGCTCTTCATCTCTCAGTAAGCTGAGTGCCCAAAGTATTTTGTTTTCATGAATTGTTCATAATATGGTTAACATTATTATTATTATTATTATTATTATTATTATTATACTGGCCTACTGAGGATTAGATTTGGCTATCATGTTGCACCTTATATATATCTTATAACAGCATAAGAGTATCAGTTTCCATCACATCACTCATGTTTTCCTTTTTAATAGAATGAAGTATGAATGAAGTATAACCAGGAAGAGGAACGTATGTGTTTAAAAGTGGATCTAGATGTGCAGAGGCTACAGTAGTGTAGTTAGGCAATTTTAGATTATGTTCTTATGGGGACTGTTTTGATAGTAATGGGTGCTCCTACTCATTCTGCTGAAGAGTGCTGTGGAATTTTGCCCCAGGGCCTGCCTAATGGCATCACTGGTGGTGGTATATGCTTAACATTTTAACCTGGTGAAACTTGTTGCTCCTTTTCTTAACCAGGGTGATTGATGTACACAGCAGAGTACAAGTGCAAGTAAAATACTATGTTATTCCCTTTCTGCATTGATCACATTTGCACTGGGAATACATGTAAGGAAAGGGCATCTGCAAAATCATTGCCAACAATAATGGGAGCCGCTGATTACAAGGCAGAGCGAATCCATCATGCAGTCGACATCATGTTATCTTTGTGACAGGGGTAGACTGGAAAAGGTGAGGGAAGGACACTGTGCATAATGATTTTCTTTAGCTTTGCCTCCTTTATGGAGTACTCTGTTTTCACAATGCCCCAAAACAAAAGGTGCATACTGTTAATGGACAGTTACAGGCATGGGCTCTTAGTGCTGCTTTGAGGGTAGCTTTGCTAAGCCTGGCCTCTGTCAAACTGCACTTGAAAGCAACCGCTTAAAGGAATAGCCATTCATGGCTCTTGGTGTTAGTCTGGCAAAGCTAATGGATATTGTGCATTGCACACTGCTTAGCCTCTTTATTAACTTAGTGTCTCTACTTTTGCTGCTAGTTTCTGCACTTTAAAAGTCATTAGGGCCACATCATCCATCTGTCTCAAGGCTACTTTACTTCCCCTTACCCATTTAAACAATGTGTCTTTGTTACTGCTGTATAATGGGTTTTGGCTTTGTGATGCTTCTGTTACTTGCTTCCTTTGCATTACTCATCAGCTAAAAGGTTCTTTCAGCTGTGGTTTAAATCTCATTAAAACCATTTCCCTACAGAGCTTCAGTTAAAGAGATTTGGGGACTGATATCAGTGAAGAAATTCTTTATGGCAGCTATTGCTGTTTGGATCTTTTTCTTGAAAATATTACATATGATCTGTTTTGGCACTCAGCTCTTTTGGACACTTGAAAACATGGTCATGTGACTGTGTGTATGATGACTACAAAAGATAAAGGAATGTGATTTTCTATTTTAAAAAGAAATGGCACATAGGTAAGCATACCTACTGTACTGAGATGATCCTCCAGATTAAAGGGAGAGTCTTTTCTGCGGTTTATTTTTGTTGTTCACACTATTAATCGTCTCCTTTTAACTACATGTATCAAAATAACAGCATTTTCTCCCTGCCTCATTATCTAAGGGGGTTAATCTTTCAAGTTTTTCTTCAAAATATGTGTCTGTGGACTATGCTCATATTGACTATTTGCAAATAACAAGCAGTGTCTTATATAGGGTTGTGTCTAATGCTGCCTGTACGTGAGCAGAATGGATTTCCACCCTCACAACAGAGACTTCACTTTCCTCTCTTCTCCCCTAAGCACCCTCAAAATATGCTATGGAGAGTTGGGGGACTCTGGAGCAGATTTAGGGGATGCGGGAAGAAGGAAGCCTTGACTTTATAGAAGAATGTAGGAAGTGCCTGCTGGATCAAGCCAATGGCCCATCTCGTCCAGCATCCTGTTCTCACAGTGGCCAACCAGATTACTGTGGGAAACACACAACCAGGGTTTGAGTAAAAGAACACTCTCCTCTCCTGTGGTTTCAAGCAACTGGTATTCAGAAACTTTGCCACCTACAACTATTACTAGCTCTTTCCTCCATGAATTTAAACACTATCTCGGTTGCATTCCATAGTTTATCTATGTGCTGTGGAGTACTGTCTTTGTGCTTGAATCTTCCAGCCTTTCGCTTCATTGGATGCCATGAGTTCTAGCATTATGAGAGAGTGAGAAAACTTTTCTCTTGTCACTTTTCCCATGCCATGCATAATTTTATAAAATTCTATCATGTCACCTCTTGCCTTTTCTCTAGGCTAAAAAGACCCAAATGCTGCAACCTTTCTTCACAGGAAGGAGTTGCTCCATTCCCTTGATTGTTTTGGTTGCCTTTTCCAAATATATAATATCCTTTTTGAGGCGAGGCGACCAGAAATGTGTACAGTGGTACCTTGGGTTAAGAGCTTAATTCGTTCTGGAGGTCAGTACTTAACCTGAAACTGTTCTTAACCTGAAGCACCACTTTAGCTAATGGGGCCTCCCGCTGTTGCCGCGCCGCCGGAACATGATTTCTGTTCTCATCCTGAAGCAAAGTTCTTAACCTGAGGTACTATTTCTGGGTTAGCGGAGTCTGTAACCTGAAGCGTATGTAACCTGAGGTACCACTGTACAGTATTCCAAATACAGCCTTGCCATAGATTTGTATAACAGCATGATGATATTGGCAGTTTTATTTTAAAACCCTTTCCTAATGATCCCTAGCATGTAATTTCCTCTTTCACAGTCATCACACACTGGGTTGACATCTTCATTGAGCTATCATCTACTATGACCCCAAGGTCTCGTCCCTAGTCTGTCACTGCCAGTTCAGACCCCATGAGCACATATGTGAAATTAATATATTTTGCCCCAACATGCCTCACTTTACACTTGTTTACATTGAACTGCATTTGCCATTTAACCATTCACTTGGTTTGAAGATGTCCTTTTGGAGCTATTCACTATTTTTGTATTAATGACTGAAGAATTTAATATCAGCAAACTTGGCCACCTCACTTCTCACTCCTAACTCTCGTGGTGAAGCCCATCTTGATGGACAGGGTATAAATATGATGAGATGAAGAAGAAGTTAAAATGCACAGTTTCAAATACTGAACCTTTGGGGAGTCCACTTCTACTCTCCATTCAGAGAACTGTCCATTCATCCCTACTCTTTGTTTTGTGCAACTTAACCAACTCCTGAGCCATATAACAATATAAAGAGCTCCTTGTCTTTACATCTTATGTCTCAATGTTTTTAGCAATGTGTTCCTCAAATTATTTTTTTAGCATTCTTTTCTTGTCTGCTTAAGGGCAGATGGGACTCATCAACCTGGGAAGATAGCCCATCTAAGAGAAGGAAAACTTACCCTAAACCTTCACTGCCTTGCAGGATATTTTCGGGAGAAGAAAAAGCTAAGGAGTAAACCCTACACAAATCCGGAGTAGAGCCCCTAAGACGGTTGGATGGCACCTTGTACACCTCCTTCCAGCAACTCCTGCAGCTAAGCTGCTGCCAAACATATTGCTCTGCTTTCCTTTGGACCACATCAGCAAGGCTGAGAAAGGGGGCCTTGTTGTCTGGGCAGCCCAGGACCTCCATACACACTGCCCAGGCTTATGTTGCTAATGTAGTGCTACTAATGTAGTGGTTTGCCTTCACCCCTGGAAGCTCTCTCTTTCTTTCCACACTGAATCTGTGAAGGAAGCAGAGTTGTGGGTTTTTTCAGCTGAAACCTGCTCATTAGGAAGTTGACGGAAGCCATTTATTTAATAGGCTACCAGGTAGCCTTGACTTCTTCCTGCTGATTGTAGTGACGGGTTTGACTGATGATCTGGAGGTGGGGAAATGCTCTGGTGGCCAAGTAGCAATTAAACCCTTGAACCATTATGTTCCAGTGTGGCAGCTGCATTCCACAAAGGAGTGACTCCTTGTCACACATTCTGAAATTTTTTCAGCAAATTATTTATCTGAATTAGCACCAAGTTCAAACAGAATGTGATCCACTTACCCAATGCAGGCTTATTACCAGCTGGTGATAACTTAAACGGATGTCTGTGGCTGTATCTGCTTTTTGCTTAGGCTACCTGTTATACAGGATAACATGAGATTACCCTCCTCCCCCCAGTATCCAGTAAAAGAAGGGTTGACACAATTACACACAAAATTTAATGTGAAGTTGTTCAGTAAGGATGGTGAAATGTTAACAAATGATGAAGAGAAGGCAAAAATTCCTACTTTGCCTCTGTTTTATTTCCCAAAAGGGGTGCAACCTTACATAAGTAGCATAACTGGTATGGGGGTAGGACTTCATTTTAAGATTGATAAGGAGCTGGCCAGGAAGTGCCTAGCTTCTTTAAATGAGTGCATATCTTTAAAGCCAAATGAATTACATTTTAAGGAACTTGCTGGTGTACTATCAGGGTCTCTTTTTATAATCTTTTAAGAAAACCTGGAGAACAGGTATCATGGGCAAGTGTCCCAACTTTCAAAGATCTGAGAAATTAACAGACATTTCAGCCTGACTTCGATATCTAAAAAGGTAATAGAACAGATTATAGAGGAGTCAATTTGTAAGAAATATATAAGCAACTTTAGTGATTAGTAGGAGCCAGCATAACTTTTCCTTCCTTCCTTCCTTCCTTCCTTCCTTCCTTCCTTCCTTCCTTCCTTCCTTTCCTTCCTTCCTTCCTTCCTTCCTTCCTTCCTTCCCTCCTCCTCTTCTTCTTGCCAGCATGACTTTCTCTAGAATAAAGTCAGCCAGACTAATCTCTTTTTATCATGTAGATTGTAGGAATGCCGTGATTGTAATTTAACTTGATTTCAACATGGCATTTGACAAAGCCCCCTTTGGTTTGCAAACTGACTGCATGTGGGCCACATGATAGTACCATCAGGTAGATTCACAGCTGGCTGGAAAACCATACTCAAGAGTGCTCATTAATGGTTCCTCATCAAACAGGAGGGAGGTTGGGTCTAGTAATCTTTAATCCTTTTACCAATAGGTTAGAAGGCATGTAGGAATCCTCATCAGATTTACAGATGACACAAAACTGGGATGGATAGCTAACGTCTCAGAAGAAAGTAATACAATGATCTTGATAGAAGGGAAGGCTGGGCTGCAACTAACAAGTTCTACATCTAGGCAAATTCACCCGCATAGGTTGGGGTATACGTGACTGCAGTAGTATATGATCTCAGGATTGTAGCAGATGACAAAGTGACCATGAGCCAGCAGTGTGATGCAGCTACAAAAACAATTAATGTGATTTTAGGCTGCTTTAGTAGAACCTTAGTTTTTACACTAAGAAGGATATAGACAAATTGGAATGGGTTCAGAGATGAGCAACAAAGGTGATCAATAGTATGAAAAACAATCCTGTGAGATGGTTGAAGGAACTAGGTATATTCCACGTGGAGAAGAGAAGACTGAGGGGGAAGACGGGATAGCGCTCTCCAAATATCTGAGAGGCAGTTGGTTAGAATAAAGTAAATACTTTTTCTCTGATGCCTAAAAGGGGAGGACTTAATTGGCTGAAATTATGGAAAGATAGATTTTGGTTTAACAATGGGATAAATGTCTCCATGGCAAGAGCAGATCAACCAATTACCTAGTTGGGTGGTAAGATCTCTTGCTGGAAGCATTCAGGCAGAAGTTGAACAGCCATCTGTTGGGGAAGAGGAGGCCAGAATAGATAGCCCCTCAATTCTGTGATTCTAAGAATTGGTGTTGGCCAGCAGTTTTGTGCTTTCTTGGTATGTTAAGCAACTACATAGCTTGAAAACACACTTTAATTTAAACCCATGGGAAATTAGGATAATGTAATGGTGGTAGTATCTGCCCTGCATTTCTGCTTTTATTTCTTACCTCATATACCAAAAATATGAAGAAGGTTTGCTTTGTTTTAAGATTTTAATTCAGCATCATTTCAAAGGTGTGTGTCTGCTATTTGGTTCCCTGTACTTTTGGAGTGGCAGACTGGGTGACAGAGGTGTTGCCTACTCTTCTGCAGTAAAATTAGAGTTGCTGTATGCATAGAACTTGAGATTTCCTGTGGTCCATCATCACTGCAGGGAATACCTGTTGAATGATTTTTTCAAAAAGTGTCTTACTGTTTCCATATTGTATTAACACCCCCCTTTTCTTTTTTTGCTAAGAATAAAAGTATTTGCTTCTTTTTCTTTCATCTTTAGGTTAGCTAAGCCTTGAGTAATCAGCCTTTTGGGGTTTTAAGAGAGATTATGCTGAAGTCACTTGTTCCTTTTAAAAAGTAAAGTTTTAAAACTTCTGGTTTTCTAATAATAATAATATAAAATTTTATCAAATCTCTCTTTTCCCTGTGAAATTTTTGCTTTGATTCCCTCTTAACTGTTACAAAACTATTAAGGAGGTCAGGGGAACTGAAAGAACAGAACAAAAGCAGTAATGAAAAAATTATTGAAACCACTTCAAGGTGGCATTTCTTATATGTAGTTAATTTTATCCTGCCACACATATTTCATTGACATGCTGTTTTTCTAATAGAATATAAATGTTAGTTATGAGATCTCAGCAAATGCTGTTGACTAGTAGTGCTCATCTAACCAAAATAAGGTGTGGGAGATTGTATCCTGGCTTGAAAAATAAGCAAGTGTAAGACGTAATACCTAAGGAGAAAGGCACATTTTCCCCTTGTAGCAACAGGCATCTCTTGTTGCGATTCTGTTTTTAATTAAAGATCACAGGACATTTCCTTATAATAAGCATTTCAAGGTCCTCTGTTGCAAAATAGGTGTTCTGTTCTTCATCTTGACTATCCAGGAACAATTGCGGCACCCTTTCTTTTCTAGTTACTGTAGAGCCTTGTCCGGAGAGTTTAAAGCGAAATGGTTCTCCTGGGGCTAGCAGTTAACCAGATACCTTTTGGTATTTGTTACACTTTGGCTCAGCATTTGCCAGTATCACAAACATTGCAACTTGTCCAACTACAGCTTTCTAAGGAACTTGTAGACTTGGAAGGTTCAGAGGTGATGTTTTCTCAACCAAACCTCTACGTGTGCTTTGAAGTGCCAACTTAATAAGTGAGTATGTTCTGTGTCTCTTGCAAGCACAGGCAGCTGCACAAAAAAACACAAACCTGACAAGCTTAAGTCCCCTGCACACATTAAAGACAATCTCTATCCACCTTCAAGAGGCATGCCTTAAGGTCCTTCTCCGCTGCCATTGGTTCCCAGTGCAACTGTCTAATATAAGTAAGACTTTGTCCCCATTATGTTGGAAAGGCTGTTGGAATTATGGTTCTTTTTGCATGCATGGTGGGCCTGCAACACAGTGTAAAACTCTGGGAAAAGATTTGTTTGCATAATAAGCTTGGAATTAAAGCCCCACCAATCCATAGCCCTATTAGTGCTGGAAATTGACACAAACCCAGTGATCAAGCACGAGGACCTACTGTTCTTATTGTTGACAGCAGCATGACTGGCTGAATCAGAACCACCAGTGGAGACCTGGATTAATTACCGTATTTTTCACTCTATAAGATACACTTTTCCCCTCCTAAAAAGTAAGGAGAAATGTGTGTGCGTCTTATGGAGTGAATGCAGGCTGCACAGCTTTCGCTGAAGCCAGGAGACCAAGAGGGATTGGTGCGCTCCCGCTGTGCTCAGGAGGCTTCGCGTTGCTTTCACAGAGAGAGAGAGCTGTGCAGCGCCCCTTCTGCAAAGCAGGAGGAGAAATGGAAGGGGCTCCGCTTCTCCTGCCACTTTGCTGAAGGGGAACTGCGCAGAGAGGGAGAGAACTTTTTTTTTCTTGTTCTCCTCTTCTAGAACTAGGTGCGTCTTATGGTTGGGTGCGTCTTATAGAGCGAAAAATATGGTATGTCTGAAGCATGAATTTCAGGCTAATCTTGGAGCCTCTTGCTCCTTAATTGGCTGTGAATCAATTTTGATATGGCAAAAGTGGTCATCTGTACCCATCTATTCTTTGGTTGCTACATCTTCCAAGTTAACTGGACAACATGGTATCTGAAAAGCTAGGCTTTCCAAAATATGACATTGACCAAGGGTTGATCTACAAACATCCACCAAAATTAGGTTGGAAAGTCTTTTTGGAACTGTGCAATTTTGCAGTTTTAAATGGGGTGCATGTGTTTGTGTCACATTTTTAACATTCCTCCATGTAAAATAAACATTAGCTTTCTCCTTAATGTGCTAGTTTGTGCTGAGTGGGTGGTTTGATTGTTGTTGTTTCACATGGGTAAGCTTAAAAATTGCTGTCTCTCGACTGCAGCAGTTTAGTCCTAGAATTACTTATTTTGCCAGGTGTGTAGCTTAACTGTTTGGTATGAAGACTTGCGGTAAACGTTTTCACCATGGTGTTGGCTTACCAAAACCTGCATGTGAATGTTGACTTACAACATGTGCCAGATTGTCTTAGAGTCATGTTTCACTAATCCCGGCTTAAAATCAACCCTTTTATAACTCATTTTCCCACATCTCAGATGGAACTATCCCTTTCAGAAACAGGGGTGGGGAGCAACTAATGTTGTTTGCTCAGCCTGTTTGGCAGTTGTACTTTGGTATTTGGTATTATTTGTATAGCTTTTTGAACCAACATCAACTACATACAGAATTACAAAAGATGTAGCCAAACAGTTGCCCTGAATAATGATAATAATAAACCTCATGGCGTTTACAAAGGAGGCAAAGAAAAAGCTGAGTATATGTATTATCTCCTTTTGGAATAATGGTATGACTTTCATGGTGAAATGTTTAATGTCCAGTAGAAGAGACCATTGATTTCTGTGCCCATGAGGAAGAAATATTATAAATGACCCTGCATAAATAATAAGCTAACAGCCTGTGATTTTAGCCCTATTAAAGCATTCACCTGAAAATGTGTTGAGGGAGGAGCAGAGCAGCAAGCACTAGCCCTGCCGCCAACATCCCTATCCCTTCGGGCTAAAGAATCAGACCTTCCTGCTCATTGGGTGGAAGAACTGAAACGGGATTCTTTGTGTGCTCAGCTGAATGCGTTTAGAATCCTCCGTGCTCTTCGGAACTCCAACCATGCAATGTTCCTGATTGCAGGAAGGCTTCTAATAAATAGCATTACACCAAATGTGCTTAGAATACCCTTTCAGACCTTCCTGCTCAGCGTGGGAAGGTCCAGTGGAGCTGGCAGGGCAGGTACATGCAGGGATGTTGGGGGTGGAGGCCATTCATGCTCACTGCATGCTTTATTCCATCCCCACCCCCAATCTCCAAATAGGGCTTTTGCTTTGTGAAAAGTGCTAGTATGTGATAAGCGTGCCTAAGGAAAGAACAGTGCAAAACCATAGTCTGATTCAAAATAAGACAGCTTCCTGTTGGTCTGTCTGGATTAGTATTGTCCAAGCTGACTGGCCACAGCTCTCTAGAGTTTTAGGCAGACAACATCTCTAAGCCCTACTTAGAGATACTGGGTATTGAACCAGGGACTTTCTGCATGCAAAGCAGATGCTCTGTCACTGAGCTATGGCTCTTCTCCATGAGCATTAATATGTGTGGCCAAGGTGATGCACAGTGAGCACATATGTATATGTGAAAGGGAAAACAACAACTCTGAAGGTCAGCTTTGAAGGGAAGCAGCTTTTGGTATTTTCTAAGTTGTAGGTCATTGTCTACAAGTTTTGAAATTTGGGTGGCTGTTAATTAATGCACAGATGAATGTGTTCTCCCAGAATACTGAGCTTTGTAGCCACCGTGCATTGAGCACCAAGTGGAACAAGTTTAAAGAGGCTGAGCGGAAAAATGAATTTGTAACCACAGTCCTTTGGACAAGCTGCAAAAATGTACAATGAGCATGATGTATTGAACCCTTTAGATGAATTAATTCCACTTTGTTCTCAATGCATACCAACTGCAAAAGTCAGACAAATGGCCTTTTCTCCAAATTCCCATGGAAACATGCTTGGCATGACATTGCACTGTTTACCCTCACCCCCAAAAGGAGCTGTGGGGCGCCATGCCCAATTCCTTTTACTTTGGGCCTTTGACTATGCTGCAATGGTACATTATATATCTATCCATTGTGCCAAGCCCAGAATTCTTTAGGTAATGTTGAATACTTGACATTATTAATTCTTATTTACAGAGGAGCTGGTTCTATAGCATAAGCATGAATACAATACCAGATTGATGTTCCTGACCGACATACAATTCCTGTGTAAAAGGAACTCGGCAGAATGGAGAATTCTTGCTCCAATATTCTGTGTGACATTATCAGTGCAGCAAATTGATAGAAAAGAGGAGGAGAAACAGTGATAAGCAATATTCACTTCTTCCTACAGTATTCTTATAGATTTCTTCTTGACACTCAGACAGCAATTGAGAAAGAAGAATAACTCATCATCTGTTGTATCCTGCCATTCCAAATATCTTATTTTGGGCTTCGTCCAAAGGATCAGTGCAATCACTGCAAGGATTTCTTCTTGGACAGTGAGGTATGCACAGTGGAGCATACAGGAAGGGGTTAACTCCTTTTCAGAAGGCAGGGTCATATGATAAGAAAAGGATTCCCACCCCCCCTCAGTTTCTAGGTGGAAGAGGAGAGAACCTCCCTGCAGTTGAGATCCTGCTCCTGTGCTCTTCATTATTGGGTACAAGGACTCTTCTCTTTTGAGAAGCATAGTTATTTTTTCCTATTTTCTCCCTCAGGGAAGCCACAGACCCCCCCCTCCATCAGCTCTTAGTTAGAATTAGGTGGGGGAAACTCACTTTCCCTCACATACTGAGAGGCAGGGAAGGTAGGCCCTGCAATAGATTGTGCACAACAGCTGAGGTAGCTGGGACTCTCTTGGGTCTCCCAGGTGTTGTGCCTCTGTTTTCAGCTTCCTGTTCCTCCTCCTGCTTGAAAAGCAGCCTGAATGTTCCATAGGTTTCAACTGGGGATCATTGGATTCCTGCCTGGACCCTCCCCCAATACACAAAGCATTGGGACACAGACCAGCAAACCAAGGCTTATCCATCCACAATCTCTTTCACAGAATATAATCCGTAGATCTGACAGAGACCTACCTCTACATCCCCATTTGCTCACCCTTCAAGTTGAACCTGCCCTGGGGTAGCTTTTTATTCTGCACATAGGGTGTATTGAATTTGTGTGGTTTACTTCAGTAATACAGTCAGGACTTTCCACTACTTTCTGTAGCCTTTTCTCATTTTCCCCCTTATGTTCTATTCTGTTGCTTAGGATTTATCAATTTCCTAATTGCAAATAGGCATTTTTTTTTCCAGTTAACTAGATACTGTATAGATATTCCTCTGGACAAGTTCTTACTGCTATTGAAGAGGCCAAGTCTGGTGACTGGAGGGAGTTTCCTGTCTCTTCCTGCCAGACAGGGGGAAATACTCCTCTTCTTCTTTTTGTTTGGTCATCTGACTCTATGTCTGCTGAAGAGGCGTTCATTCTTTCCTGTATGCTGCTCTCTCCACTGACCAGAAGAACATTTCCACCCCCCCCACTCTCCTACCCCAGCATGCCCCCTAAATCTGTTCTAGGGGGTTTCTCCAACTCTTCAGAGCAGATATGCAGAGGGTACAGGGCATATGTGTGTGTGGGGGGGAGTCCAGTTATACAAGTGGAGATCTTTGTGCTGATGGGACATACTACCCTTTTACCTTACTACTTGGGTACCACCCTCTGGAATAAAACATTTCCTGTGTTTTCTAATCACTTGTTCCTTATTTTGCTGTAATCTCTATTACTGTAGTTAACATATAGTTCAAGGGAATGTTGCTCTCAGGTAGAGGTCGTCTCAGGCTCCCATTTGCTAAGTCAAGACAAGCCTGTCCCCTTCGTGGCATCTTATTTGATCACCTGATAGCCTATTAACATATCATATTTGCGGGTGTGGTTTTTTTCTAGTTTGAATTTATTCTTCTTTTCACATGCTCTCTTCTTTACTATCCAGAATTCCCAGGCAGATTCTGTGTTTTCCTGTAGATTATTTCTCTTACAGAGTAGATCTCTACACTTTAATGCAGTCATACATCTCCCATCGACGCCAGTCTGCATGAATCGAGATGCTGGAAAGCATCTAATTTTCAGCAGACTATTGGAATGGGATGCATTATGGGTATAAACTTCCAAAATGTCCTCCCTATGCAACACAGCCTGACAATGAAGTCATAGCCTGTAGCTATTCTTACTTGTTCAGATGTGCTCCCCACCCCACTCTGCTAAAGGCAAGGTCCTGCAGTCTCACCTCTTCTCTCCCTTCACAGGAAGAAACTGATTAAAGAATCCCCACAAGCAGCATTGCAATGTAATAGAAACTGCACTGGTCAGAGATTAGATTCCTGCAGCACTTTTTTTTTCTTGAAGGGGGGAAAATGTGAATTTGCAATCAAAAGACCCACAACAAAAAGGAAAATGTAAGCTCCATGGGACAGGGCCTGTCTCTCTTTCTTATGCTACTTGGTAAAGTGTCATGTGTATTGAAGGCACTAGAGTAAAATACATTTAATTTCATCACTATGAATTATATAAATTTATTGCATGTAAGACAAATTCTTGGGTATTTCAGAGTGCATTTAAATTGCAAAGCCACAGTCTTGTCGTATCTGAGTGAATTTTATGGAAGGACATTAAACTGTGTAAGTTCCTTCGTATTCCCTATTTCTTTCATACAATGCAGCCGTTTCATAACCTTGCAGTTAAGATACTTTGTGTGTGTGGTATAGCATGTTCTGTGTTGGAGATTAGATCTTTGTTTCCTCTGATGCCTCCCCAAGGAGGCAAATTGCTTACATTTCTTGGTAACTTTGCTCTATGGTCTTTGACTGCAATAAAGATTGGTTGATACATTTATATACCATTTTTATCTTTCAAGGATCTCAAGGTGCGGTGTACATGATTCTCCTCCCCATTTTATCCTCACAACAACTCTGTGGCTAGGTTAGGCTAAGAGATGGTGAGTGGCCCAAGGTCACCCACATCCTGTGTCTTGGCCACACATTATGATAACACTCTCTCCGCCAGTTTTATCTATGGTGTTTATTATTTATTTATTTATTAGATTTTTTTTGTTCTGCCCTGCTTTTAAGTATCTCAGGGAGGTATTCATACAGTTTCACCCATCAGTTTTATTTGCACAGCAATCCTGTGAGGATAGGCCAAGAGATCGTGAGTGTCTCAAGATCAGCCAGTGGCTGAGCTTAATAGTGAAGAAGAAATTTGAACCCGAGTTTCCCTGTTCTCAGTCTGACACTGTAACTACTACACTGGTTCTCCCCCTTCCCTCTTATTTGACAGCAGTAAGCCTATTTCCCGATCTTCTGCCTTACATAAGCCTGCTTTTAAAATAATGCGTAACTGTGTAATCTACTGCAATCTTATGTGCTATTAAAACAGTTGTTGTAACAGAAATTAATTAAAGATATTAATGTCTTTAAAACCAGGGTTGGTATCTGCAGATTGATAAAGCCTGCCTTGTTATGTGCCGTTCTGTTATGTACCTACTTCTTAGACCACCCACTTTTTGTTTTTTGTCTGGCATCATCTGAATGCAGGTCACTTGACTAAAAAAAGAAAAGAAAATAGTGATAGCAAAGCCAATTTTAGCAAAAAGATTGAGGTTTGTTGAATGAGGAAAATGAAGCCAGTTTAGTAGGTGAATAACTTCTGTATAAGATATTTTTTGTGCCACTTAAATAAGACCTCTGAGGGATGTGCTTCCTATAATTAAATACTAAATTGTGTCATCACCAGGTTCCCCTCCACAAAGCCCTGCAGTTAAAATGAAACCCAGGGCATTTGCTGACAGTTTTGTTAATAGGGATATCTAGGTTCTATACCTTTCAATATAGTGAAAGATTTAAGTGCCTGTTGAATTACTAACACACCTTGAAGGTTATATTGATTTCAAGTTGACTTGGGGGCTGTTGTAGAGAAATCTATGGGTGGACTGCTTACATGGTGTCCATAGGAATTTTAGTGCTTATTTCAGGAGTGTCTAAAGAAACATTCACTGCTTGTGTGGGAGGGGGGAGGAAAAGCTGTGCTAACAGTTTTACAAGTAATATTGCAGCTTTCTTTAGTGAAAGGTGAAAGGAACCCCTACTGGAGGATTTAAGGATAATTGGCACCTGTTATCACTCTCACTCTCTCCTTTCTTTATAGGCTAGCGTAAATCCCGCTATGTAAGACAACTCTCCCACGGCTACAATTACAGCGTTGTAATGTATACTTGTTAAATGGCTTGCACATATTAATGTGAGATATCTTAGATGCACAATATACATGAAAAACAAATGTGTGTGGTGTTTTTTTGTAATGGAAAGTACCCTTGAAAGGTTGTGGTGATAGGTGGAAAAGTGGTGGTAAAAGTCCTATTGTGTTTGTGGATAATCCTAGATAAATGGCAAAGTTGCAGCCAAAACCTCCCCACTTCCAAAACAGCAGCAGCAGCAGCAACAACAACAACAAAAACCACCCCTGTGTTTTCCTTGTGAAGAAGTTCCAAAAGCATGTTTATAAGAATCCCAGAATTCTGGAATCCTGTGGGAGGAGGGGGGACATAAATGTACATTTAGGATTAAAAGGATTAGTAGGAGAAAGCAAACAAACATCCTTACCAGTCTTCCACTCAAAACCTTTTACTGTATCTGCTTTTCATTTTTTTTAAAAAAACCTTTTGGGGTTTCATCACCAGCATCTGTGTGTAACATATAACTTGGTCCTTAAATATATAACTTTTCTCCTTGCATGAGAGGCTCAACCAAGTATATTCTCCCTTTGCCCACACTCTTTGGCAGTGTTCCTCTCCAAGCTCCACTTACGTGAGCAGAGGTTGTATGGCAGCATATCTGGTGGGCTGCTTTCCTTGTCAGTTGCTACATATTTGATAGGTTTGCAGGATTAAGCAAATAAAATGAGATTTGTTTTGCAGTTAATTAATAGATCATGTTACACGTTCCATGTAACAGGAAAGTGCAGTGGAATAAGCATCTGATAAAATCCCTAGATGGGAAAAGGGAGGCGTTCTCTTACTCTAGCCCCCGACTTTCCCGCTTAAGGGGCTTTAATTGGGATTTGAATTAAAATGAGCCAAACATTGCAAACATGACTGTAGAACACCGGTGAGAGGGTCAGATGGTATGGCAAAATGTATTTCTGACCCCAAACCATTGTCTGGAAAAATAATTCAGAGGTTGGCCATCCCAGATTTATAATGTATTCTTTGCCTTTAAGTCTCACCATTTTTTTCTTCTCCCTCTGGTATATGATGATGCTTGTAAATATTAGGGAGCATTTGTTAGGCCCATTTTAACCATGGGTATACATTGAAGACCGTAACTGGCCACTGTTTTATCTGCCTTTTCTAAATTCAGCTGTAGAGTCCTTTTCTTATTTATTGATAATAAATAAATACAGCGCTTTTCTCTGTCATGTGATAGGGAAGCTTTTGAGCAGAAGGCATTACAGCTAGCCCTAGAAAGTGTGTAATCTTCATTTGATACAACGGTATAGAGATAATTCCAATCGGGATTGAAGCTACAAGGACAAATAATGCTTGCGCAATCCGCTTATGGTATTCCCAGACATGGATGAAAACTACTAATGGAATAAAGAAGGATCCAGATAATTATCTCAGCTGCATTAACTATCCATCCTTTCAGTAAGTTACTCTTGCTTTTGACACAGTTTCCACAGTCTGGAGTGCTAAACCTGCCTAGATACTTTCAAAATGTTGTCTCTTTTTTGAATCATGGAATGGTATTTCAGGAATTGTATTTTTCTTTTGCATGTTCAGAAACCTCCAGGACTATCTGGCCCCTCTGCTGCTGTCACCTACAAGCCACTCTGTCTGCTGCTGCAGTGTTAACCATTTATTCGCAGGGGGGTTTTCTACTTCTCTGTGCTTATGGTGCTTGCCCCTTTTCTCTCTTATAGAATCATAGACCATAGACTTGGAAGGGATGCTGAGGCACATATAGTTCAACCCCCTGCAATGCAGGAATGTGCAACTGTCCCTTACTGGGATTTAACCTGCAATCTTGTCATTATCAGCAGCATGCTCTAACCAACTGAGCTATCTTACTAGTTATGTCTCAGTTTGTAAGGAAGGGTAGAAGAGTAGGAAGTAGGAACTGCATGGTATTTTCTAAAGAGTGGCAGATTCAAGTTTACAAAATATATGGGTTCAAACCTCCCACTCAACAATTAGCTCAGTCCAGTTAACATGAACTTGGTCTGCTCCAATCTTTTAGCCTAACCTACCTCACAAGCTAGGCTGTACACCATACATGCCATGCAAGGAGTACACAATCCATGCCACCCTGTGTTCCTTTAGGGAAAGTTTAGTATAAAAATCAATAATAATAATAATAATAATAATAATATCTTTAAAACTGTGTACTAAGGGAATTGTCATGCATCTAATCATAGACTTGCTAGCTAAGATTATAGTTTCCTGCTTTTCACCTAAGGTTCAAGTGCTCTGGTATTGGGATACACAAAGAGAGAAGCTGATAATGGCCTAGTTTGCATGGCATAGTAAACCAAACTATGACTTAGTGGGATTTTATGAATGTATGGGCTCTCAGAGAGGAGCTGCTGGCCACTTTGCTCCTCCCTTCTCCTTTCTTCTGCCATCCTGTGCTGAGACATGAAGGTTTGTTTTTGGCTACAGCTCATAGTTACTGAAGAGAGAGCTTAGCCGCAAGTCCTGGTGTGCGTAGCACACTAAGCCAAACCTTGGCTCAGCGCATTGCAGTGTGGGAGCAAAAGGACCAGGGCTGCACACTTCTCTCTGGGAGTATGTGCAGTCCAGGAGTAAGTTGTAGTTTGACTTACCGTGTGATGTGAGCCAGGCCATTGTGACCCACAGATCATTTGACTATGCAGACAAAAGCTGATTTACACCCTTTAGCAATTTAAGGTTGCAGTCCTTTGAAAAGGTACATGAGAATAAGTCCCTTTGGAGAATACGTGCATAGAATAGGCTGCATGGTGACTGGAATTCACAACTGCTGAGGGTCTGTCTAATAATATGTCATTTCTGGCTTCTCTAGAGACTCAGCATCCCACAATCAATCCGTGCACATTTACTCATAAAAACCCTTTTTGTAGGTAACTTTGGGCATCTCTAATTAAAATGTGATCTGGGAGAGATCTAAATACAAATGCTGCATTAGACCTGCACACAGCAGAACTGTCATAAACCTTTATGAATGTGACTTAATCCACAACTGTCCTTTAGGTTTGGAGACCTAGCATTCAGAAAAGAACAAATGATTGTGAATGCATCAAAGGGAGTCGTTTTAATTGGCAAAATCTGTATCTTGTCCCACTTTGCAATGGGAAGCAAAGTTACAGCTGAGTTATGCTGGGCATGTATAGCCAGAAGTGACTCATGGTTGTAAGGGAAACAGAAGTCTGGCCTCCTTCCATGTGGCTCTGCTTCCCTATTCATGCTGGTGGGTTTGGGGGAGGTGGGTTTTTCTATGTGGAGGCAGAATTTCTACCCAGAACCACACATTACTGGCAGTGAGATCATTACAGAATATAAAACAGAGGCAAGGAATCATTTCAACCCACCAGTATGATATAATGGAAATAACGTTGGAGTTCAGATCCTGTGTTCACCCATGAAGCTGACACCTTTCTCTCCCTCCCCTGCCACTCTGGTTGCTCTGCTCCCTGTTCTGCCCCAAGCTTACCAAATGGTGTTGGGAAGGGTTTCCTTTTTATTGTTTATTTTGTTTTTCAATGCAGTACATTCAGTGCAGCAATAAAGCCATTCCTGACACTGCTTGGTGAGTGTGGAGGAGAGAACAGTGGGCAGGTGCTGAGTTTACTCCGTTCTCTCCCCACTGACCCACCCAACCTGGTGATGTTGGGAAGAGCAGGGGCTCTGTTTTGTTCCTCTGATTTCTTGGAAACGGTCAGTCCAGGAGTATTATTGGGAGCAGAGTAGCTGAGAGCCGCCAGCTCCAGTCATGAGTTCTCACTCCCATCTTCGTTTTCCAGAGCATTGGTGGGCCCCAGATGGGAGTCCAGAGGCGCCTTGGGCAAACACAGACGGTTGTGGCATCTTTGTCCTGGTTTCCTGTAACAAAGTAATTTCTCTCGCATTTTTAAATGGGATGTTGCCACCTGCCTTTCCTACTCATTTGGGCGATGCTTGGGCTGGCATGGCCCTAGACCTCTGCCACAAAGCCCAGGGCTAACTGCATCACTGCTCTTCCCTCTTCCAACCCATCCCCACCCCCACGTACTGGATTTATGAATCTAATTGTTTTGTTTCTCTTTTGCTGCAACCAACACATGATTTTGACCTGAGGGTCAGTCTCTGCATCCTCCTTACATGAGCAAAGAATGAACAAATATTTCCCTAACAAAAGCTATTTATCAAAAAGTGAGAGCATGGCACAAACATACTGGAGGACTGTGCCAATGTCCAAAATATTTCTGCTTAACAATTAATCTGAATGAGCTCTTGTATAAAACCAGAGAAAGCAATATAAAATACATCCAGATGGGATGAATAAAAAGGCTGGCAGAATTATGATTGTGAATTCGTACAAGACAGCTTCCAGCAGAGATCCTATTTGTACTCGGTAAATCTCAGAAATATATTAGTAGACATACTAGCAGGGATAAAAAGACAAGGTACCTGGAATTTAGTATTAGTGGGATAGATATAGAAATGGTAGCGATGTCATTTACCTGGAGTGGCTTGTCAAAATCAACATGTAATTTTATTTCAGGCCTAGCTTCATTGGTTTCCTTGGCTATATTCCTGAGCTCATTTATGCATCCATGGTTCCATTTCCAGAGAAGTAGCCGTTTTAGTCAGTCGCAACAAGGACAAAAAAACCCATCTTGTGTCATCTTACAAATGTAATGAGTCTATCATGGCATTAGCATTTGTGGACCAGTGCCCCCTTTATCAGGCATACAAAGTGAAATTCTAAATTGGCCAGTTTATATTCACGGTGGGATGCAGTTAATCTTTAAGATGCTGCAGGACTTTCGTCATTCTACTAGAAAACAATAGAACACAAGAGTTTATAGTTGGACTGGAATACTTGTTTTAAATAAATGCTGAGCTATCTTACACACTTGGTTGTGTGAAACACTTACCTTAAGCTTTTCTTTTCTTTTTTTACTAGAAACTGCTCATATTTTGTATGCTATTTTTCAGACTAAGAAAAGTAGGATTTTAGAAATGTTGGGGAGATTTTTCAAGCTATAGGAAAATTCTCATAAGGGTTGTCATAAAACTGTACAAAACACAAGAGTACCAGCATCTATACATGCTACCTGTTCACGCTTTTTTTAAATAGTGCTGAGCTTAAAAATTTTAAACATCTTATTATATAACATCTCTAGATGCAGCTAATCTGGATATACAGTTTGAGGCATTTGGGGATATGTATCATAGTCTGAAAGTGCTAATTTTAGTGTTCTATAAAAGTGCTTCCTAATCTGTGGCAATGAAACATTTGGCCTGACCACTTCCATGTGAGAATGGGAAGTATCAGTTTCTTTTCTAGTCAGGCGGTTGGAATCGCATGCATGAAATCACGTGAATTCCTGCAGGACTTCATAATTGGATAAAGTCTTAAGATACCTAAGATTCAAAGGGAATGGATTGCATGGCTATGAGCTGGGTGATGGGTGGGTTATTGTTCCTGTTGTTGCTTTTGCTTCTAGGTCTGTCATAGGTTTGGCCTTGCTCTCTCGCTTTATCTGCAGAACAAAGCAAAACCTTTTAATTCATCTTATCCAAATAAATGTGACCCTTACAAAGGAGCTGTGGGTTGTATCCAGTGATAACCCTACTGAGAGCAGACGCATTGAAATGGATGGATATGATTAACTTAGGTCCATTAATTTTAATGGCTTTACTTTGTTGAACTTAATTGGAAACAGCCCATTGTGCTAAACTTGCCACCTGTTTTGAGACCCAGAATCCATCTTCTGTTTTAGGAAACTTTTAATAAAAACCCTCTTTCTAATGCATTGTTTTGATTACCTTATGCAATTTGGCAGCATCAGGGTGGTTTGTTTGTTTGCTTGCTTGCTTGCTTGCTTGCTTGCTTTTCTTGTATTTACTGAAAGCAGGGATGGGGAAATGCACCTAATTGTGGTACCCTGAAATCACCACAACATCTGCATAGGCTGGTCAGTTGCAGCACCCAGATGTCTGTGCCTTTTAGACATATTTTTAGTGCGGTGTTTGATTAGGATTCATTCTGTATCTGAAATAGAGATGACATTTACTGGATTAGGAGAAGCTGTGTGCTGAATATCATGGTCAGCAGAAACAACACAAGGCCTCTGGGGAAAGCAAATGGGGGGCTATCCTCAGAGGAATGATAAAAGCTTATAGGACTCCCTAGAGGGAGGCATTAGTGTCTGGTTGTGGCAAGGTTTTGCTGAGGCACTTTGACAGCAAGGACTCTTTATAGCCAACTAGATCTCCTGCAACAAGGCTATTGATTTTAGATGCAGCCCGCTTTGTGGTAGCTGTCCTGTTGGACAGCTGTTATTTGAAAGCCTCTGTTAACTTTCAGTTCACTCCAAGGTTATGGTAAACAAGCTTATTATTGTGGCTTTGTAAAACATAGAGGGATTAAGGTACATAAAGAGATAGTTATAGGTTGCAGAAAAACCTTCAGTTGGCAGAGGTACAGCATGTGAATTTCAGGTGTTTTGCAGGATTTATTTGTTGTTTCTATTTACAACCTTGCCTTTGCACTACTCACAAATACAACCTTGCAGATGTTTGTGGCCTGGCACTGTGAATGGACACCTCTTGTAGGGACTTACCAGTGAACTGGCATCATGCATCTGATACTTGGAAGACATCACTATCGGCTTCATGCTCAGTGAGGGCTCTTCCCATCTCTGTAATTCTAACAGCATTTTTTGTCTGCCACTCCCCTTTTCTTAATGACATTGTTTTTGGTTGCTTTTCTGTATGTGTATGCAGAAGGCCAACAGAAACTATTAATTCAAAAGAGTAAAACAGATTCATTCCAGGCAGTGCTGTCAGATTTGCAGGGGAAACTAATTGGGAACACAAATAACTAGTTTTGCCTAGATTTAGTTTTTATTATAACAAGGGGGTGGGAGCTAAAAGTTGCAGGGTGAAAACCTCTATACAGGAGTTGTTATTGTTAAAAGTAAAGAAGACTATTTGTTCTTCTAGAATTATAGAATCTTAGGGTTGGAAGAGACCCCAGGTTCATCTAGTCCAACCCCCTGCAATGCATCTAAAGCATCGATGACAGAAGCTGCTTGTGCATAATTCTTTCACTTGTCATGCTGCTTTCTGTAACCTTGACTGCAAATTATAGTACCTTTATACTAGTGAACTACCTTCCCCAATATTGACTTGGGTTTTATTCTAGGTGATTGGCAAACATTGTGGCACAGCAGCATATAATCCACTAGCAGCATACTATATTGAATCTGCATGTAATCAATGGAGACAGCCAAGCTTGCAGGGAAGTACCACTGTTTTCCACTTGATTTAAAACAAAGATACAACTGGTTCTTCCACCCCTAGGATGATGCATATCCTGCCAGGTTTAGAGAAGGTTTACCCATTTCTGAAAGAGCATCACCAGCCAGTTGCCTCTGTGGCAACACATCTGTTCTTCACCAACTCTTTAGACATAATGCCTAAGAGACATGGCCAGACCTATTACCTTAATAAAGAGAATGATTTGACAAGTTCCGCGGTTCCTTCTACTACAGATGACAGTCTTCCAGATACAATAACACAGATTTGTTGGGGACTCATAGGCATAATCCACCCCAGCTCCCAAATCCTATAACATGTCTGAAGTGGTCTAAAAGAGACTGGATATCTGTGATTAATATTTTGTATGATTTTGCTTGTTTTTGCTAATTACTAGCTTCCTGGGCTGTTTTGAAGATCAGAAAAGTATTGCTATGGGATGAAAGGCTTAAAGAACTTCACCAGAACAGCACTTTCTGCAGTCTTCAACTTAAAAAACCCCCAATATGAATAAATTATATTTACTTTTCTGCTGACGCACATTTAGCTTGACTCAGTGTTGGGCTCCATCCTGACGAAACACAATTTCCCCAATCTGCATTTGCTGAAATGTAGGGACTCATTTGCACAGGAGGGTTAGCAGAGATAGTGGTTCTTAACCTCTTCTATTCCTGTCAATTATCTATTGTAAATCCACCCATTAGACATTTCCCCAGCTGGACTTAATTCTGGTCTTGGAGCCTAGCTATTGATCAATACAGAAACCCAGGGTGCATTTGCAGGGAAGCATTGGTGGGTACGGAAAAGTAAAGAAACACCATCCTTTCATCTGTTGACTCTCCTTTATGAGGGAAACAAGTCTGGCTCCAGCATCAGGTTCATTGTGAGAGACACATAGAGATGTCCATCCCTTTGATGTCCTTGCTCTAAAGTCTCTGACTTGCAAGTAGCAAATTGTAAGGAAGAGGACAGGGTAGGGGTTCACATAGCTGAGCTGATCACAATGCTGAAATGAGCACATACTGCCATCCTAGGCTATGGAAAGGTAGCACAGTGTCTCAGTATTTTGGATGGCACAGAAATGTAAATCCATGACTAAATGGGAGCAATATCATACATATGTTACCTGAGCTGTTAGCATCTGTCTACAGCTGTCTGCACTCTGATTTGGGCATTGAAGCTCATAATTGCAAGTTTAGGAAGCTGCCTTTTCGTCTCTTCTCCCCCAATCCTGGAATGCCTTTGGTCTCCAAATTCCTCAGCCATTCCGATTTGCCAAGTGGATGGACAGGAAAGAAGGGAAGGCTTAAGTGCATGGAGTGTGAGCATCAGATGTGCTGCAGAAGCTTCCTTACTTCCCAAAATGAATGCCACATTAATGCCCCACTCCACCCAGAAACACTTTCATGCTGTCTTTGGTTTCTAAACATACAACACTTAGGCCAAAGAATTTAAAATAGTTCTCTCTACTTAAAAACCTTAAATACTGACACACTGGCTCTTCCATTTAATGCCTCCTCCCTTAGGTTTTGTGGTCTGATTTGAGGTTGGGGTGGAGGCAGTGGCCATTAAAACTCTGATGACGGTGTTTTGTTTTAAAGACCGTACTTTGAGACATCATGTTCTTGTTTGGCTGGAGGCTGAAATACCAGTTGAGGTTTTCGGTTTGTGAAGCAGGTTTGCATTTTGGAAGTTAGTGTTCACAGCAGGCGGGCAAGAAGCAATTGGGGGGGGGCTGACACTGCTTTGGTGCTAGTGCAACCTATTTATTTAGTGCATATAAGTCCTGCAAGTTTTCAGTGATTTACTCCCATGAGGAAACAGGCGTTCTCTTGAAAGTGGGGAGATGAAACAATCCTTGCAGCTTCAGACTGCTTTTGGGACTTTCCTGCTGGTTTTGCTTAGGTAGTTGTTCCCTTCCAAACAATCTCTTGCTGCCCTGCCTCCGACACTACCTGTTAACATACCCCCAAGGCTCCTTGCAGCCTTCTATATTTATTGGAAATCCTTATTATAGTATGTGGGTTACAGTAGTTACCCCACTGTAGTGCTGCCAATAAGCTTTCCTTTGCTGCAAAGGAATCTTATTGCACAATGACTTCAACACATTTTCCTATCTACGATTAATCTGTAAGTGGAAAGTTTCCCTCTCATGAAACTAATAGCAAATGTTCACAGAAATTCTGTGAGTTGGCCTATTTGAGTTGACCTATTAACGAAAGCAAAGTGAAGAAGAAGCAGAAATGCATTCAGCTCCTCTAGGTTTGATTGGTAATAAGAGCCCGCATTTACTGCACCCATGCCATTATTTCCTCTTGCTCTTGTTAATTTCCATAGAGTTTGTTTTTATTAGAAGGCCTGCTTTCATGCTTGTTTATAATCCCTTCCAACTGTTCTTCTCTCTTGTCTTCCCCCACCCCTTGTAAAATCCATTTCCATAATGCTACTGGGTATTACACAGATTTGCAGAAGCTCTTAATGCTGATGATGTGGGTGAGAATTTGCATGCCCACTTGGTACATATTTAGACTCAGAATTAATACAAATGGCTATATTTCTTACTCTTGCCAATAAAATATCCTGAACAAAGGAAAAATCAGAAATCATAATGGAGCTCATTTATTGATTTGCAAACTCTAAGCACCACAGAGACATTATGTCCCTGGACTTATTGGTGCAGAAAAGTTAATCACTCCAAATTGCTAAGACTTTTATTATCTTGGCCACGTTCCAGGGAGCTACTTCTTTTAGGTGTGTCCTTGTGTTACAACTAGAGGGGTTTTTTATTCTGTTTTATTTGGACAGCAAACATTCATGTGCTTTTAAGGCTTTCCTGAGTTTCAAAAGCAGCTTGCTACACTAACAGAGCTGCTTTTTAAGGAATCGAGATAAAAGTCCTGTTTTTTCTGATTTTAAGAAATACAGATTCAAAGCCACGTGGGCATGTGTAGCTAATTTTGTGGTTGTCTAGATTATGTGTGGGTTGTTTTTTTTCTTATTCTGTAACATAAAGTTACTCTTGCAAACTATTTAACAGATTTGGTTGGCTCAGACAGCTACAGCTTAAAAGGTGTTGGCACCTATCAGCTTGATCAGTTTTTTTGTTTTGCTATATAACTTCAGTTATTTGTCCTGATGAAATATGTAAAGTGGGATAAAGGAAGAGCAGGGTCAACCCTTGCTGTTGTGCAGTACCCTCCATCCCCCCAAACCCCTCAAGTTTGACCTTCAGAGCATTTGAACTTGGATTCCTCTAATCTTGATATTGAGCTTTTGAAGAAGCTTTTTCAAACGCTTCTCCAAATGCCCAAGGACTAAAAAATGACTCATTTATTGAAACCTTAACATTGCATAACTTTAGTGAGTTCTTTTTGGGGAGCAGAAAGTGCCAAATATTTGAGAAAAAGGAAAGTGTTACCTTAATTCCACCCTCAGTGTTAACTTAATTCTACTTCCATATGAAAGTTTATTTCATTTTTAACCTGGAATCTGAAAGCACAAATGATATGAGAAATGTTATTTAAAAGTCTAGTTTTTTTAAAAAATGTGTTTTATAAACACACACAGCTGCAGTCAATATTGATGCAAGTTTTGAAAAGACTATTGTAATCAGTTAGGAGTGCTCTTTGTTCAGATGAAGGAGTGCTTCACCTAATGAGACTGTCTGATTTCCTACATGACTTTTGCTGTTATATAGGAAATTTATGTGCATGCTGTCAGTATAATGAGCACACGTCTCTCTCACTTCAGTGCAAACAGCAGAAAACCCTTTGTGTGCTAATTGTATGTGACAGGGAATGTATAACTTCCTACACAAAAGCAATATCAGCAAGCATATATTTGTGTGTGTTTGTGTACACGTACACACACACACACACACACACACACAGCCAATCTTATCTCTTGCCCTTCTACTGCCTATGTACTACTGAGGGGGCTATCAACAATTAAAAATCACAATATCATGTTTAAAAGATATATTTAGATAAAAAATACAATAAAAATACAACAAAGGCAGGGACTGCCGATAAAACACAACCTCTGAATAAAACACCAGGCATTTAGCTGGCAAAAGCCTTCCAGAATAGAAGTGTCTTCACCAATCAGAAAGTATAACAACTTCTGCCTTGTGCGAAATGGCCCTGAGATGGTGGCTCTGCAGTTACTTGCGCTACTGAATTCTAGCCAGAGGCATATGTGTCTGATGAGACAGATGTTCCCATAGAATAAATCCATAGTTGTACAAGAAACTTGGTTATATCAAGGTTCTGTGGTTTCTTTCCTCCTTGGATATATTCAGATTCTGGCAAAACAATCTTTTAAAGTTGGCTGTGGCATCTACTGATCTTATTGGTGAAAAATTATATTGGCGAGTTTTATTCATTTTCTGTGCTTCAGTCGCACATGTGTACATGATAAAAGCTAGCTATCTTGCTAGCTTAAAACCTGTAAATTGTAAAATAATTTGTATTTGTATAGATGGGATTATTTGTCAATATTGCTGACCTTTATATAGTGCAGTTATTTATTTATTTTTACAGAATTATCACCTTCTGAGGTAGTCCATTCCACTGTCAAACTGATCTTACTGTCAGAAAGTTCTTCCTAATGTTTCGTCAGAATCTCATTTTCCTATAATTTGGCTCCATGGGTTCAGTTCCTACTCTCTGGAGCAGTAGAAAAACTTGCTTCATTTTTCACATGACAGCCCTTCAGATATTTGAAGGTGGCTATTATTCCACCTCTCAGTCTTTTTCTTCTCCAGATATCCAACTCCCTCAACAGTTCCTCATATGGCTTGGTTTCCACACTCTTCACCATCTTGGTCACCCTCCTCTGAGCATGTTCCAGCTTGTCAATATTCTTTTCAAATTGTGGTGCCCAGAGCTGGCCACAGAACTCCAGGTGGGGGTCTGACCAAGGTACTATTACTTCCACTGATATGGGCACTATACTCATGTTGACTCATGTTGCAAGTTCACCGGAGTTTAAACAGGATTTGTGTAAGCAAGGAAAGCTCCTCTTGTAGCCATTCTTCAGTGAAGCAGGGCAATATGAGGACTTGTTTTGAGACAAGCTTCTAATAGTTCACCATCTTATACTGGGACATGGAAACAGGACTTTTTTGCATGATTGTCACAGACGACAAAATACAGTGAAAGCAGGATTTATGGGCTTAACAAAACAGAACACAAAGTACAGGATACTGTTCATAGAGGAACAAAGGGGGAAATGCAATTACGTGCTGGTGATGGTAACATAACTAACAGATGCTTGCCAGCTGAAAACTAAAAGCTACCAGTCAATTATGCATGCAGTGCATAGTTGCCCACAAAGACCATCTGAAGCTGGGGGGGGGGGGTAGTAGCTGCACCTAGTGGATTGGCCAAATCTCAGTGAAGCATAGAAAACACAGTTCTTTTCTATCTCAAGCCCTTTAGGGGTTTTAGCACCACCTTATGATGGTACTGGGTTGACTGTTTGGGCCAAATGTTTTTCTGTGCTAGCAAATTTTAAGATTTTTGGGTACTGTAAAATGTAAAAATTTAAACTGTGTTTTGTATCCCAAATATCATTTCTTGATCATGCACCAACTGCAGTCTTCCAGCTGGCTTCAAGAGCAGTTTATACCAAGCAGGTTTGCACAGTCCATGCTTAAAGCATGGAAGGAGAAAGTAGGCAAACTGTCCCCAACCCCATCCCCGTAGACCTCCCTGGCTCATCACCCACTGTTCCATCACGCAGCCCAAAACTTCCAAATAAAAATTTGGCAAACCAAAGGCCTATACCGCCTAACAGACTTCTATGAAAATAACAAACACATATCAACACAAGAAATACAAGACAAACTAGGGGACATCCAAATACCCTAGCTAACACACCACTGACTACACGTCTTCCTAAACAACTCAGCAGTAAAAACAGCAGCCACTAGGCTCTTGACCACCTTTGAAAACCTTCTCCTGGCAGCAGAGGGACACAGCAAGGGGATGGTATCCACAATATACAAAATGCTGCTTCTCAATCCCACAACCCCCCTCAACACATTCAAAAAAACAATGGGAGCATGACATAGGCTACAAAATAAATCCTACCCAATGGACTAAAATGTGGTCTAAACCTCCCTTTAAATCCATCTCAGCCAAATGTAGGGAACTCTCTTTGAATCTTACTTATAGATAGCACCTAACACCTTGGAAATTGGCACTGATTAGTGTTGGTATTCCTCATTTTGGTGAGGAACCTCACCAAAATCCTGGAGAGGCTGCACCTCCACAGGCATGTAGCTCCACATGTGGTGGAATTGCCCCCAAATCCAACCCTTTTGGACGGCAGTCCTACAAGAAATAACAAAATAACAAGGCACCCCAGAACTGGCCCTATTGAATATTTTCCAAGTCACTCACTCACACACACACACGATAAAGAGCTTATAACCCACCTATTCTCAGCAACCAGAAGCACTGTAGCTAGACACTGGAGAGACCTGTCAGGAGTGAACCTGGACCACTGGTACCAAATTGTACGCGAAACAGCATTACTAGAAAAGCTAACCAACAGACTGAAACTGACACAGAGACAAATAAAGGAGGAAGCCTTCACCCTGGTGTGGCTCCCCTTTCTTACACACGAAGCCGGAGAAGACAACAACAAGAATCCACTGACAGCATACGAATCAATATGGCTAGCTTGGCCCAACCACCTCTCCCCCTCCTCACACACAAAAACACATCTCACTGCAGTCAACTAGAGGCAACCAAGCATGCCCTGAGCTCCCCGCTCAACGTTCTCTCACAGCCCATGAAAACTAGTAAGTGAATAGAAAAAGAACCTACCCAAGTGACACTGACACAAAAAACCTCACACATGCCCTAAGTAAAAGAATGCAAGTTTACCACCCCTTCTCTCTCCGCACCACTCTTCTACCCCAACCTTATGCTGCATGCAACATTTATGTTTCACATCGAATGAAACTGATCTGTGGAAAAGATTCTACAACCTGAAAATAGAGACCACACGTACTTTTGTAACCTAAGAAAATCCTTAATAACAAATTATTGATTGATTGATTGATTGATTGGGTTTATTTAACAAGAATAATATTATACAAACAAGTATCCCACATTTTCTCAGGTCATTTGTATATCACAAAAATAGCATAATAAATATGGAAAAATATATACAACATATGTTTTGTTATTAGTGGTCAATGTACAGATATACGAGATCTGATATCATCCTTTATGACTTCCTGACACCACTGGTGGAGGAAGGGGTGTGTGATGGGTGCGGTCCACCCCGGGTGTCATCCCTTAGGGGGGTGACATCGCCAGGCCGCCCCCCTGGGATGCTTGCCCCGCCCCAGCATATGGCTAGCCCTGTTCCTGGGTGCACTACTTGTGCGCCACTCTGGGTGCCACAGCAGCTAGCTCCGCCTCTGTCTGACACTGGCCAACTTTGCTTTGTTGTGGAATAATTATGGTGTTTTGCTACAGAAGCATTTCCATACTGTGTGCAAGTTGCTTCTAGCATCACTTATAAACTCAGAATAAGGCATAATTTACTGCCCATCAAGATTGGAATGGCTATGGAAATAAGAGAAAATATAAACTTGCAAACTTGTCTATGAATTTTGTCGGTTATGATTGTACTTGTATGCCAAAGAATGCTAATTTCAAATCTTTGTTTTCTCTTTCTGGCTAATTTGAAACTGCTCGGAAGACTCAAGTATCTTAGATGCTGTAACTGATTGGTAGGATCAGTACAATTACTGAACTTTTAAATTTACCTCTGCATTACCAAGAATTCAGATGGCACTGAATTATTAATCTGAGAGTATATACAAGTACTGAAATTTTGTGTGTGTGTGAGGAGGAATTATATCTGTTTAATACTTTCTAGTGTATGTTGATTAAGAGATTTTTTGAAATGATTGAATTGCACTTTTTGCTCGTGGGAAATCGCAATTATAGATAAGTTGCAAAGGGAAGAATTTTTGCTTCTTTGAAAACCTTCCTTCTATTTTTAATGGTTGTCTGGTGAATTCATTAGTCTGCAGGATGCCAAGTGGTGTGCAGTAGTTTGCAAAAATAAAAATGCTTTCTGATCTGTACAGTAGCTTTTAAATAGAAGATTAGCAAGAATGTTAATTTTACATGAGTTAAGGAGCAGCTGAGAAGTGAGACTTTTATACAAGTCACAAATGTCAGCTCCTCATTTTAAAACTTTGCTCTAATTTGAAATTTGTGTAGAAAGTGGGATTTAAACCTTGCCGTTTCTCATATGTCTTTATGAAAAGACTTTTCCTATGGGGTTGGTTAACTATAGTTCATTGGGTTTAACCATCTCTTATATATCTCTGGAATGCTTAATTAGATCCTACACACCTTCCTTCACCTCCAGCCCGAAGTAGCACTGGGTCCTCATCAGATTCACAACTCCACTCTTTTAGCAATTGCCGTGAGTCATGCTGAACACTTACTGTTTAAAATAGGACTATTACCATTGCACCATACAAAATTGCTTATGTTCTCCTTTTTGGTAACCAACAGGCATTCATTAACTTAGGAATCCATCCTTTCTATTACGTTATTTTTAGATGTTGATTATCTGCCCCCCCTTCCCCCATAATATGTTCTGTTGTTTATTCCCAGCATGTTTTATTCCCCAATCAAATGAGAACATAGAAACAAAAACAAAACTCCTGTTTTGTACAGAACAGAGAAAATGCTTAGAAAGCTTTTATTTGTGCTGCACGCCTTGAATAATTAGTCTGTTAATGAAGTAGCTCTGCTGGTGGGGGTGGGTGGGGGCTTAGAGCAAAAATCCACAGTTAAAGGGAGGAGAGCCTTAAACTGTGTGAATCTGCTTTCCTAATATCGGCCTAGTGAAGGCCTAAAGCTGTCAGACAATTGCTTAGGCTGGTGGTTGCCAAACTTCCCCCAACCCCACAGACAACTTGAAATTGCTAAGGGTCTTGGTGGAGCAGTTAATGGTTTTCCTGACTGTTGTAGCAATTGTAGTGTGCTGTGCTAGATGCTGTAGGATTTTTCATTGCTTTTTCCATACATGCTGTGGACCACCTGTATGAAGCTCATGGACCACAATTTGGGAACCCCTGGCTTAGGTTAGCCTTCTCCAGCCTGGTATTGTTGGACTACAACTCCCATCAGCTCCAGCAAGCATAGCCAATGGTCAGGGATGGTGGGAGTATTTTTTTTATTTAATTCACCAAAATTTTATACCACTTGATTGCAAGAAAAACCCTTAGCGGTTTATGAAAATATATAAACTAATCACCCAAAACATCTGGGTGACACCAGGTTGGGAAAAGCTGAATAGGCATCCCTGAGCTTGCACCAACTCCTTGCCGTCTCTCCCCGCCCCCTTGCATTATCATTTCCCCCACCCTTCCAGTTGTGGAGTGCACTGTGGTTGATGTTACAACTGCGCTAGCGTTTCGCTAATCATAGTTAGCACCAAATGACAGTTTGCAAACCAGGTTAGAAGTAGGGTGCTACAAAAGCACTTGTGCAGACACGATACTAGCCATCATTAGCTCCAAGACTGAAAAGGAGTGGGGAACAGCTCATAAACCGGTGTGGTGCTGTGGATCACCTCCCGAGGGTTAGGCAGTCAGCTGCCATCACATCTGTACTAAACTTCTTTGAATGTAAGCCGTAATCGGTTTAAATACTGATTGGGGGGGCAGGTCCATTCTGCTATTCTAACATGGGTACAATGGATTATTTTACATGAGTGCAGAAGCAATAAAATGTCAGCTTGCAGTCTTTGGGGTAGGAGAGGTCTACATCAGAACCGGGACACGGGTGGCGCTGTGGTCTAAACCACTGAGCTGCTTGGGCTTGCTGATCAGAAGGTCAGCGGTTTGAATCCCCGCGATGGAGTGAGCTCTTGTTGCTCTGTCTCAGCTCCTGCCAACCTAGCACTTTGAAAGCACACCAGTGCAAGTAGATAAACAGGTACCACTGTGGTGGGAAGGTAAACAGAGTTTCCGTGCGCTCTGGTTTCTGTCACGGTGTCCTGTTGTGCCAGAAGCGGTTTAGTCATGCTGGCCACAAAACCTGGAGAGCTGTCCGTGGAAAAATACCGGCTCCCTTGGCCTAAAAGAGAGATGAGCACCGCAACCCAATTGTTGTCTTTGACTGGACTTAACCATAACATTAGAACCAGCTGTAAAGGCCTCAGACATACACTGACATTAGCTCAGGCATACTCCACTCTTTTGCGTTTACTCTTAAAAAGTAAAAAATAAACTGCCTTGGGAAGGCTTGCTTCACAAAAAGGCAGTGTGGAAACAACATATTCTCAGAGAAGAAGTCACATTCATCTTGCTACATAGGGGCTTTCTCCCCCCTTTCCAAACCCCTTGTCTAAAAACTGGAAGGCACTTGTGATAAGATCGCCCCCTTATTTCTGTAAACAGCAGGTCAGAGATGGCACAGATTATTATCCATCACAACGTTGCATCTGTCAGCTGTGCGCTCCAGCAAGCCTCATCCTCCTGGCAACTGCCTTGGGCCCCAGACACAGGATGTTTCACTGCAGGAAGATTCCTGTTCCTCCCTTACCATATGGTATGGTGCTTTAGTGTTGGTCTTATGAGCGTTTCAAGAGACTGAGCTATGTGGATCAGCTGGTCTCTGAATGATCATGTGCAAAATTATTATTATTATTATTATTATTATTATGTTTTCTCAATTTTAAAAAAATCTGATGTGCAGCATTTACTTTTTAACTGAGCTTTGGGTGAACATGGTGTGTAATGGGGAGGGGTGTCTCATGGCTAAGCTTGAATTTAGATATATATGAGAACTTTTAAAGGTGCATGCTGAGCCACGTGTTAAGTGACATTTGGATTATGAATGACATTGCAGCCTCATGGAATTATTTGGACACGGATTGCATTTTTTCTAAGTTCAGAAGGATTATATCATCATAATTCAGGTTGCAGATGATTCAGGTAAATCATTGTGTGTTCAGGTTGCAAGAAATGAGATTCCTACTGAGATCTTTCTGGCAGTGAGGAGTTCGAAAGCAGATCAGACTCCCTCGAGGGGTGGCGGACTCTCCTTCCTTGGAGGTTTTTAAGCAGAGATTGGATGGCTGCCTGTCATGTATGAGCTAGCTGAGATTCCTGCATTGCAGGGGATTGGACTAGATCAGGGGTCAGCAACCTTTTTCAGCCGTGGGCCAATCCACCGTCCCTCAGACCATGTGGGGGGCTGGACTATATTGGGGGGGGGTGAACAAATTCCCATGCCCCACAAATAACCCAGAGGTGCATTTTAAATAAAAAGACACATTCTACTCATGTAAAAACATGCTGATTCCCGATTGGGCCACATCTGGGCCCTGGGCCTTAGGTTGCCTACCCCTGGACTAGATGATGCTCATGGTCCTTTCTACAATTCTGTGATTCTAAATATAACATGTCCAAGAGAACTAGCTATTCAGCCAGCAGCATGGTTGCCCAGTGCAGTGTGAGCAGCCTCCTGACTCAGCTGCGTCCAACAGACACTTGCTGGTAATTCTCATTTGTTGCTCAGCAACTGTTTATTGCTTTCCATCTCACCTCACTAGCCACTGCTACCTTAAGGTGTGAACCTACTGAGTAGACTTTGGCGAGGTACTGTCAGCCTCAGGTCTCTTTCCCAAGTGATACATACCGTGACAATAATGATGATACCAATTCATAGAGTAGCATAAATATTATTTAGATGCTGTGTGAGTAAATCTATATAGCTATTGTGGCTGCAGTCCCTATGCACATTTAAATATTATCCAAGGTCAAATCTTATTTTCAAATCCTAATTGTAAGGGAGCTTTTTTATTTTTAAGCTGGCAGAAGAAGTGCAAAAAAAATGCAGCAAGAAGGGGAGAGTCCAGGGGAGAAAAGGAAAAAAATGAAGGGGTGCCTGCTGTTATAGTCAGCTCCTGATATCTTAAACACATGTGGTAACCCTTGGCCTCTTTCTGTTAAAAAAAGTAGCACCATGCAGTGGGTTTGGTAAATATGGTCATCCCTTGTAAGTCACTGCTTTTGTTTCCTATTAAATGTTTCCCAGATATGTATTCCTATTTCATTTCAAGTTTTCAATATATTTATACTAGTCTAGAAAGTTTTTAATAATTAGCTGAAATTCTTAGTGTTTTCACAGGAGCCATTTCTTGATGGTAGCCATTAAGCTGCACCTGAACTAGCTAATTATTGGGATCTCTTCAGGTTGTTACATGAAGTGGAAAGGCACATTTATTGGATTTCAGGACCCTAAAGCACTTATTTCAAGGGCATTTCTGTCATCTTTGGCAGGTTCTCTCCTTGATCCCACTGAAGTGCTATCCATCTAGGCTCCGCCGGATTGTTTTGTAAATGGTTCAGTGCAGTAATACATTTGCCAAGTGGTGCTGTGGCTGTAGATATTTTGGTCAGTGTTTGCTTTGAAATTCAAGGCAGTAAAAGCTGAGTAGCAAATGTGCCAGGTTGCAAAACTTGGCACAGACCCCAAAGTGTAGGTTTTCAAGTCAGTACAGTTTGTTCATTAGCTGGCAAAATACTTTGCCTGACGTGTTCCAGCATAGAGCTGGCATTTATGAACTATTTCTCAAACTAGTTTATTTTATGGTTGTAGCATTGTATTCTGGCATATCATTTACAGCATCAGGTTGGAAACTATTCCTGAAATCCTGCTCAACAACACATTTCCTCAAACTTTCTCCACATTTGGCCCAGAACAATCCCATTCTGAGTCGCACTGAGACTGATTTTCTATTATTTACATTATGTTTCCTAGGAAACATGCTTCCTGCCCCATATATTTGGTTAGTATTGTCATCTTACTTTAAACAAACAAAAGATAAATATTTGTATGTATTAACTAAACAGACAGGCATCAATATGGTGAGTGTGTGGTCAAATGTGGGAGACTGTCTTTCATGCATCTATCACTGCTATGACTGGTATATGTAGCAAACAACTGAACCCCAAATGATTCAGTCTTGACCTCTTAATGTGTATAGTCTGCTTCCTCATGTGTACAGCATGGGGTGTTGGTACTTCTTTCATCTCCCAACCTGAAGATGCCAGATATTGAATTTGGGACCCTTCCATCAATCTATGGCCCTTCACCAAAGTACTTGCATGCTTTTAATATCCTCATAGGGAGAGACCTAAGGAAGGCTAAGGATTGCTCCACATTTCAAAATCAGATTAGGGGAAACTAAGAATATTTCATAAGAAGGCCTGCCTCTGACTTTTAGAATGATGATTTTAGCCATTCCTTTGTTTATTTCTGACTTTTGTAGGTAGGGGAGACATTGTCTGAATCATAGTTTTACAGCCTTTGTAAAACTGATTTTTACAGCCGTTGAGAATTGATTGTGTTTAATGAAAGGGCTGGTGCCGTGCTGTTTCATTATTTAACAGGTTTTATTTGTGTATCTGGTTTTAATTCTATTAATGTTTAATTGTTTTTAATGATGGCTTTCTCTATGTTTTAAGCGATTCTTGATTTTATCTGTAAGCGACCTTGAGTCCCATCAGGGAAAAAGGTGGGGTATGCATAAATATAATGATCATCATCATCTTTCACAACTAGGGGACTACTTATAAATTGCCTGTTCTGTCTTTACAGGCTAAAATTGTTTGGGGCTTAGGGAGAGACAGAGACGGGAAATTGGGAGCAAAGTAGCTCTGAGCCTTACAAATCAGAAGCATTAAAACCAGATACAGTTTCACATTTGAAATTTCCAGCTAATGAAAGAGAATCTCTCCGATGTTGCCTCATCTTTCCAGGTTAATGAGCAGTGCCACTCTCTGATGAAACAGGCAGATCATTAACGACCAATAATCAGTGACATTTCTCTTCCTACTGTACCTGTGATGGGGGAATTGGCTTCTTTTTAAACTACTGAATAGAGAATTCTATTCATCTTCCAGGTTTTATGTAAAATATTTTTGAAGCAAAAGTTAACTGCTTTCCTTAACTGCACTGGGCTGATCCAGAATTATAACATGGGTATGTTTAGACAGTGCTTAAAGGCTGGACTTGCCACAATTTTTCCTCCCTTGCTCTGAGCTGAGCACATCCTCTGGGATGGGACAGGAGAGCCATCAATAACATAAGCATTCAAGGAACCATTTCTTGTTGCACTCTGTTCAATCCTACTCGTGTGTCTAGGTGTAGGTTCCTGCCCCCTACTTTGTGTTCTGGGTCTCTGCATCATATTGTGTCTTTGGTAGTCGGCTTGAAAGTTTTGGTAGTCGGCTTGAAAGTACTCTGTTTCTCTGAACAGGTTGAATCCATGTTCATTCTTACAACTAGTGTGGAGTTCAGTTTCACATCTTGCTCCTGGAAAGGCCTGTTCCCTTAAGCCTTGCCCGTGACACTTCTGAACAGTTGTTACCTGTTGCAGCTTGTGGGGTCCGAAGGAGGAAAGGGCTTGGCTTTACAGAGAGATTGTTGGATCATGTAAAGGCTGCCCTTTAGACAGCGCAAGAATGGTGCTTTAAGAGATTTTCTGCAGAATATAAAATGCCATTTGATGGTTCTGTAGCTGTACTGTTGCACTCAGGTAACAAATACCTTGGAAATATGACTCTGTTGGTGAGTTTGTGAGTTGGCAATGGGCAAGCCAAGCATACATCTGCTGTGAAAAATCGCAACCTTTGCTACAACTTTATTTCTGCCCAAGTGCCTTCTTGTGCTCCATCAGTGTAAATTCTGTGGAGGAGCAATATCTCTGATTTCTGTGCCAGCAGGATCTGAGCAGGGTCATCTTGCAGTCTTCACTCATCGCTGATTTTAAGATGGGGAGGGAGGGACTGAGCCAGAAGCCTTTGGTAGATAAAAGTCAGGGCTGGGGGAGCAGCTGCTTGTCCATCACTGCCTTCTGGGTATGTCCTGCTGAAAATAATATGAATTTGACTTTGCCTGCAGTGTACTTCTAGCTAATCAGAAGCATGGTTTACATATAGGACACTCAGGGAATTGCCTAACAGCCTGCTAATTAAATACTCGCTCCATCCATTGATTTTGTTTTCCCAAGAGCTGCCTTGTGCCATCTGTCTAAGGGGGCAGTCTGAGGTCCTGTATCCTTCCCTTAATTATTCATGCAGGTCTGTTCGGAAGCAGCTGGCAGTTCGGATGCAGCTGGAGAAAGGTGCCTTGCAGATCTGACTTTTGAGCCTCTCCTGACCTGGCCATGAGGTGATGGTGGCAAGAATCCTGGTTCTGTAGTCTTCATGCATTTTTTTTTCATTACAGAGCCTTTGGCCTGGAATTTTAATTTAGCCCTTTTATTACTTTTCCATTCTCTTTAAATTGGTCGCTGCTGGAATTCCAGTTTGTACACAATGCATCAGGAGTGTGGGAAACAATTCAGAGAGGGTTTTTTTTTCATGTTTTGTGTATGTGTGGAGAGGCTATTTTTGTGTCTTTCTGGTGGCTGGTCTCGGGAACACTGGTTGCTATAGTAATATTAATAATAACATCACTTAGCATTGTGAAATACCCATTTGAATGTTTGAGATGAGGTTAAATTTAAGATTGGTTTATCATTCCTGGTTTCAAATATAGTCCTGAGGCGTGCACCCACACCCACACACAACCCCCCCCCTTTGGTTTTTCAAAATGACGTTTCCTGTAATTGCTGGGTCTGAAAGGGCAAGCCAGAACAGTATTTCCATGACACAGTAGGTTCTCCCTGTTTCCTTAAATGGCATGTTTTAAAATGGCGTTCACTTCCTCAGGATAGTTAAAACATGAACTTAACACCTGGGAAATTAGGAATATCAAATTAGTTAGCATTGGTTATTTTCAGAAATGTTTTTTGAAGTCTTATTCAAAATGCCAGGATGTGCTTGGCAGGGAACAGATTCACTAATGTACCCTTACTCCAAGTTCAGTGGATCAGCCCACACGTGAAAACTCATAAGCAAACAAAACTCAGAGGATGGGGAGGGGGATATAGATCTCTGTGGTATTTATCCACTTACTTGGAATGGTAAAAAATGACATGCTCATCCTGTTGTTTCCTCAGTGGACATGCCAGTAGGCTAACCTCCCCCTCCCACCTTACAGTGTGTGTGTATGAGCCAATTTCTGACATACTACTTCAAACAAATTACTCCCTTAGCTGTTCTACATATATGATCACAGTGAAGCAGAAGAAACTAGTCACTGCTTCCCTCTGTTTTCCTTAGTAGGTATTCTAACAAAATCGGCAGTTCTATGTATTGCATAGCAAGCTTCCAGCTCAAGGTGACTTTCGAAGGAATCCAGTTTATATATAAACCATTTAACAGTGACTTTGCTCTCGGCTACTTCTAAATTTATCTGTACTTCTGCCCATAGGCATTAACCATGAATGCAGGTGCGAATGTTTAGAGGTGTGTAGGACCCAAATGAGCATATTGAACTGAGTAATATACTTCTAGTTGAATCAAAAGTGTGGCCCCCCTTCCAAACCAGTAAGAGGAGGAGGGCGCTCCCTCTTCCCTGCCTCCCCCTCTCCACATGGAACCAATTTGTCTGAACTACAGAAATCCTTCCTTTTTCAGCAAAATAATAATAATCAGCATTTTCTCTTTTGTGCAGGTGATGTTGTGGATATCTATCAGCGAGAGTTCCTAGCGTTAAGAGACCGCTTGCATGCTGCAGAACAGGAGAGCCTCAAGCGATCGAAGGAGCTGAACCTAGTCCTGGATGAGATAAAGCGAGCCATCTCTGAGAAGCAGGCCCTGAGGGATATAAACCGGACGTGGAGCAGCTTATCTGGTAAATCTGGCTTTAACAAGGATGAGCTCATGATACACTGAAGCTGCAGAGAAGAAGCTTCTCCACAGAAGTGTGCACATTCACACAGATCATCAGATAGACAGGCATGCCTTTCCACAGGGAGCAGGTCATTTGGATGTTTTGTTGAGCATATAAAGACTGAAAATATTATTGGTAGGGCGGGTGTGAGTGGCATTAAGACATTTCCCTTCACCTATATCACACCCTCACTATGTATGTGATGTGAATATGATGAAAAAAAGGTTGGAAATCCAGTGAAAACATAATAATCTTCAACTTGCCAGCTACTGTCACATGGTATGTGAAATCTCTGTGAAAGTTATACTTCTATGCGCTTAAACTTTGGCAACCGAGTTACTTGTCTCCGCCTGCTTATGAGTCTGGTCCCTTATGAATTGCCGCAAATATCATTCCTCGCACCCACTTATACAGTTGTGTTTTCAAATGGCCTGACTGCCTGCTTCTTTCTTTTGCAATTATCCTAGCTTCCCATAGGCCAAGGATGGGGAACCTGAGACTCTCCAAGTATGTTGAATTACAGTTCCCACCTTCCCTGACCATTGGCTATGGTAGCTGGAGCAGAAGCCTGACAACATCTGGAGAGCCAAAGGTTCATCATTCGTGCTTTGGGCAGCCTTGTAAATGTTGCTTCCTTCTGCAGTGAAAGCCCATTCTTGCCTTCATAGGCTACACTGGTAGCAGAGGCAGCCTGCAGAAGATGGCCTTCAGTGCTCCCTAGTGGTGATTGAATAAGCACTTCAGAGGGGCTGAATGTGGGAAACCCCCCCCCTTTCATTATTTATAAAAATTCATGAATTTAATCAGGATGGATGTATAATATAAATACCATTTTTAAAATAAAAGTTTCAGTACAGTTGCTTTTAAACAACACTTTACTACCCTGAACAAAGTGATTTTTTAATGACTTGTTGGAACTTATGATCGCTAGTGTGTTCAGTCTCCACAAATAGCACAGATTTAGTACATAGTAATGGGGCAAAATTAGGTCCTTGAGATTTGGTAAAAGCACAATAATACCAGGTGCAAATTTAGGCCTTTTTGCCAAAGGTTTGGTTTAAGTTTTATTCTTCTCTCAAATGACTTGGGTGTGTGCTTATCTATCTTGAGCCTTAAATAATTCCTGCTAAACTTAATGGGATTATAGGGTACAAGTGAAAAAGATTGGACTGATTAACCCAAGTTAAATGATCATCTCAGCTGGCCAGATGGTGCTATGAAGTGGGCATGCCCTCAAGCTTAACAGCCTCCCTCCTTCCTCATTATCGCATTGGAGGAAATGTCAGAACGTTCGTCTTTTCTTTTCTCAAACAGATGAAACAAAACTGAAACTCTGGAATATCACTAACAAGAATGTGTTGCATCTCCCCACCATCTTCCATCATTTGCCTCATTTGCTGTCCAAGGAGAACAGCCTGCAGCCGGCTGTGCATGTTGGACAGGGACGCACCGGAGGTAAGTGGATGCCGTGGGTTTCTTGTTGCTCTTTAGGCCACTTCCCTTCCAACTCTTCCCCCATGCCTACCCTGTCCCAGACCTAACGGAATTATCAAATGACAAGCTAAGGATGCATAAGATTTATATGTTACGGCTGCTGCCATACCTAGGCTGCTTCCTGTGGTGGCCATTTTTGAGAAGCCGGCCGGTTGTGTGGCCAGCTTCTGATATGGTTGAGATGGTGCTTCCATGGAAAACAGCTTCCCTTTACCTGCCAAGGGCATGTATGGACATGAACTTCCCATCCTTCTCATTCTGTTTGTGTGCACAAGGCAGCAGAGACTGAAGGAAGCTCCTGGAAATGGTCTGGCAGGCAGTTTGCTTTGCTAGAGTCTCTCCTTTCAGTTATGTGAACTGTTCCTTCTGCGCTTATCTCATTATACACCACTTTGTGGCACAGATGGGCAAGATGACCTGACCAGGCTGAGCACGAGTGCTGTGTACCTTCCATTCAGAAACTGTCTTAGGGGTATATTGCCTGTGCTATATTATTTTAAGAGACAATGCTTTACTGCATAAAGTAGGGACCTTCAGGTACTGCTGCTGGTGTCTGCAAAGCCCCCTCAATTTTCAAAATGTTTTTAATTTAGTTGTTTTATTTTAGGATGAGGTTGTTTGATCAGGAGTTACCTTTCTTTTGGAAGGAGGGTGTTGCCTGCCTTTATGTTGTTGTTGTTTTGACATTTAGGTATGTGCATCACCAGGTTTTCTTCTGTGAAATATTTTATGGTACCCACAACAATTTCTTAGATTTGCAAGTGTGCCCACTGGCCTAAAAAGATTGTGGGATCCCTGGTATAGAGTGTCTTTTGGGGATCTGGCTAAGCCTTTGTTAGAACAAACCCAAACCTCCAGAAGGTAAAGTACTTAAGTTACATCTCTACTTTTGATTCCCTCAAGTCTTGTTCTAGCAGTGTAGGGCAGATTCTGCTTCCTCAGTCAAAAGCAATATGGTGTACGAGGACTCTCTGCCAGCTTACAATCCCAGGACACCCATGGTGGCCACTGCTACACATCCATCTACATTTAGTTTGAGGGTATTAGTTCATTCTCCAGCAGAAGCAGCTACTGGGTGGTGCAGAACTGCTTTGCTAGCTTTCTGGAATGTGGGTCACTGTTGCTTACTGGGAGTGGGAGGGACAAGGTGGCTGGGAGGTTGGCTTGGTGCAAACGTAGTGGCAGGATTGCCATATTTGGCCCACTGGTGCATTTGCACTGTGCCCATCTTCCTGCTGTCTTGCCCCTCCTCCCCCCCATGTGAACAACGGTGATCGACCTGCCATGAAGCTCTTGATGTCCTGCTTGACAAGCCACCTTCATTATCCAGAATATATGGAGAACTTTGCCAAAAACAAGTAGAAAAGGAAATTGTGCTCCTTTGAGATGTGAAGTATGACATGAGAAAGTGTGTGGTTTTTTTAGCAAGCTAACTTTAACTGTATTTTTGTTCTGCTCATTTACAGTATCGATAGTGATGGGGATCCCTAGTGTCAAGCGGGAGGTGCATTCCTATCTTACGGATACCCTAAACTCTCTGATCTCAGAGCTCAACCAGCAGGAAAAGGAAGACTCTGTCATTGTTGTCATGATTGCGGAGGTAAAGTTATCATCTCACCTCCAAATCCAGCTTTGATAACTCCGTATCCCTTTATTGTCCATCTGACAGGGACTTGATGCTGATCCAGGAGCCTGCATGTAGTCATGAAACAGCAGGATGTCTCTCTCCACATGGCTGCAGGCCAACTTCTCCTTTGGCACAGGGAGATAAGTCTAACCTCAGGCTGCTGTCCGACAAGGATCATCGGGCACATCCCGCCAATGGGGCCCAGCGGGCTGTTTCCAGTGTGAAACAATGCTTGGATGCACTCAGCTGTAGAGGGTCAATATGTTAGCAGAAGGCTGCATGGCTGTTGCCAAGAAGGCACTTGTGTATGTCCCTTTAATTTAAATTGCACTCGGCTTGTTGACCTTTGCTCCAGCAGAATGCTAGGCAGCTGTTCTAAAAAAGGGGCCTGGTACAAAATTGCCTGCAGGGTGTTCTTTCAGGATCCTGTGCATTTGCTGCCACCCCCTGCTAGAGATCCCAAAAAGAATCTTAACTGAAAAAAATGCCTATGCATTTTGCTGTACTAAATGCCTCTCATCATAACCAGCTTCTGGATTCGAGAGTTAGGATGACCTTTGCACATTAATCCGCTGTGGCCACTTTTTGTCTCACGGTTTGTGTGTGTATATATATATTTTTTTCATGTAGCAGTCCCATTGGGATTATTTGTCTCAAGCTTGAAACAAATTAGTTTTTCTTTCTTTCCAGAAATCCTTTCTGCAAAAATAGCCTTCAGTAGCAAATTATTTCGAAGAGAACAGCAGCCCTTAATGACCCCTTTACTGATTCCTTTTTTCAGCATTTATTGATGGTATTTTTGTATGTGGAATTCCTTCCCACTTTGCAGTTAAGCAGAAGAAAATGGCTGCATTTGAGGAGCAAATGGCTTCTTATCCTAAAACGGGAGATACTTTGCTTAGCAGAAAGGAGAACTCAGGGCTGCTTCACATTAAGCCCAGTACAGAATATACTCCAGCAAATGACGAGGCTCTGGAGCCCAGGAGGAGGCACTGCTGATGTTGTTGCCACCATACCTTATGTGGCTCAGCTATGTGGCAACAGGAATAGTGTGGGGACAAATACACTGAATGGAGTGCCAGATCTGTGCAGCATGCTTTAACTCATTGACTGCTGCAGACATGGGCAGGCAGTCTGCCCTCAAGCTACTAAGTTGCCCACGGTGGGGGAAGGGCAGCCACCAGTAGGGGACCATTGAGACCATCTTGCCCAAATTTCCCCCAAGACTGGAAGTTGGGCCTGCTTCACATATTTTTTTTCCTTTACACTTAAGTTGTTCTGTAGTGTATCAAGGGCTGTCTGAGTCTCTCTTGCATGTCATGCGTGCACTGGAAAGCCTCTGTGTGCCTTTGTTTCTTGTTTTGGATAAGGTACTCATGCTGTCCTTTACTTACTGCCTGGATACATGTTGTTTTTTGTTTTTGTTTTACAAATTATTCAAAGAAAAAAATGGCATGTCAAGTAATTTTAAGGAGCTTGATTGGCATGCTTTGCCTGCAGACAACACATTTTAATGTCTCCATCTTAGCTTTTTAGCGAATGTTTGTGCATCTTGTGAAAATTTTAAGGAGATAGTGAACTTGAAATACTTGGATTTCAGGTTGCCCAGAGTGGAACTCCACTAACTGCTCCCTTAGGCATAAGAGGGGGATGCAATTTTTGCTGACTTCCCCATGCCTCTGCAGCCCCCTTTTTCTCCCCCAGTTCTGCTCTGGACAGTAAGAGAACCCTTTGGAAAAGCACGGAAAGTGGCACTAGGGGCTGCCAGGGGGAGGTTAAATTGGTGAACATCACCTCTTCTCTCCCCCCCCCCCCTTTTCTGCAGGAGGCTCTGCTAAAACCAAGTCACTTCCACAAATGAAAGAAGAATATCATTATATATGTCTTTTGAATGTGTGAGGAAATTTGAAGATCTGTTGCTCACCAAGAGACTACGGTCACATCCACACCCTACACTCACAGAGCTAACATTCCCAGCATTCTTGACAATCTAGGATTATTTTGGGGGGGAACCTATGGCTGCTAAAGTGGTGTTGGGGTGCTTTAAGGCACAACTGAAATGGAACAGGCAGAGTTCCTCTAAACTAGGTGTCTGATGAGGAAGTGCCTTACAGAGCAAGGCAAGGTGGCATTTCCTGAAGGCACATGTGTACTTCTCATTTTCTGGTGCCAAGTTCTGAGGCAGTTATTGGAGCAGATGCATGCTGCATCCATTTACGAAGAACATAAAGCACCTTGTCTTCATTTTGCTGTCTGTTTTCTTAGATCAGAAACCACTCCTTGTTTGGGAAACTGAAAGCATCCTTGGATTCTTCCCTCCTCCCCTCCAAATGCACTTTTATTGTTCTCTTAACATTGTTTCCAAGATGGTTCTGATTTTGGGCATAAAATCCTGACCTTTCATTCATTCATTATGTTGTTTTGTTGCCAGATCTCACTTTTCAAATTGCCTTATCTTGCTATTAGGAGTCCGCTGAGAATGTAAACACATACTACATCTTCTGAAGTAGGAAATTTAAAAATAAAGTGTATCTGGCAGCCCTTGGCAAGACTAGCAGCACTTGGCAACAGGACAAGCATGCTGGCATAAGTAGGGCTAGTAAGCATGATCTCTGAGGTGCAGAATATGCATATTGACAACTTCTTAAATCTGCCTGTTCTTATTGACTTATACTCTTCAATTTTCCTTTGCAGACAGATCCACAGTATACAACAGGAGTGGCAGAAAATATCAAAAGCCTGTAAGCAGAATTCTTTCATTCTTTATTACTACTGCATTCATCTTAGGAAAAATAACAATTTTTACCTTTAATTTAAAAATGAGAACAAAAGTATTTTGGGTTTTTTTTTTACATGTTATGCTTCCTTCCTGAGGAAGGTTTTTCTTTCTTTTTTTACTAAGCCTATGCATTGAGTTTGCATGCTGGTTAACCTTTAATTTCCCCTCCCCTGTTAAAACAAGTTGTGAGTCTGCATCAGTCATGCCATCCATTTATTTCCCCTTTGTTTCTTAGATTATCAGGAGAGTCATTATTTTGGAACAGCAGCATGTGCTATGCTGCCTTTGGCCTGTATTTACGTTACTTGTGGGCTCCATGTCAGTTAACTGCTGCCTTAAGAGTATCAGTGATCCTGGGCAGACAGTTCTTGTTATCTTCATTCTACAGCCTGTTCACAGCAGGAGAAGCGGCTGCTTGCCAGCAACACAGACCTCAAACCAAAATAAGGCTTAGTTCCAACATCAATATCCCTGCCATGATGTCCTTTGCTGCATTAGGGTTATATTCTGTCTCCCTGCTGCTCCTACCAGGTCTGCATCTGATTTCTCCAGAGCTCTATGTCAACCTAATAGTTAATTTCCATCTCAAAGCATTATGTGGGTTTCCTTTTGCAGTGTCAGGGTTCTCTCATCAATAAGTTGCTCAGGGTGTTTTCTGGGGGTTTTAAGGATTTGGATGGGAGGCTCTGGTGGGTTTGGTTTTTTAAAAATGATTAGCGAGCTTGTAGAAGACACTGGGCAAGAATTAGTAGCATCAGTGCTCAGAGGACAGAAGATTTAGAAGATAATGGTAATGGAAGAGTCCCCGACTTCATTACCGCTTCTGCATTCTGCATGTTGCCTATTAATAACAGCAGCCAAGATCAAGACGTGGAAAAAAGGATGTGACCTACTAACTAAAGTTTTGCTCCCTGAGCTGTACAGGTGATGAGAGAAGGCTCTTGTAATAGCTAAGGTGGGAGTCATTGTGTTTCCAGTGCTGATGAAGAGTCTGTGGCTTATGTGGAGCCTGGCAAATTCCTTTTGGCTCTGGACGAGACCACACAATTATCAAGTCATTATAGGGCTGACTGTGTAATGGACCCCAATGAAATGGATGGACATTGTCTTGGAAAGCAGTTCTCTGTCAGATGCCTCAAATGTTTCCCTTTTATCAGTTTAGCAATTTGATTTCCGAACACACATGCACGCACACGCGTGCATGCACACAAATGGCTTGTTTTAGCTCCCTTAAACTGAACAGGAAGAACCATGTGGGGAGGGGAAATACAGTGGTGGCAAATGCCATCTTTAGTTTAGATGGCTTAGAGGAAAAGCAATTGCTCCTGTATCAAGAGAACAGCTTTCCCAATTAGAAGCCACCGTTCAAATATTGCAGAAAGATGATTAATTGAAAGGAACACAAAGTTGTCAACAGGAAATAGCCAACGCACACACACCGCACCCCACAATGAGGCAGTGCGTAGACAGAAAGGCTACTTTTTTATTCCTCAATCCCACTGCTGGTTCCTGTCGCCTTGCAATCACTTGATTAAGAAAAAGACTTACTACAGGGCACATGCTGAGACTGATTATCTACAGGCAAACACTGTCAAAACATGTATTATTTAAGGGCTGCCAAAAACACAGATGCTTTTTGGAATTTGAATGTGTACTGGTATATTGATGTAACCCTATGAAAAGACATTTAAACAAAGTGAAAAGTGAACGAGTCATTAATTGACCCTTGGAATAGTAGTAGTAGTAGTAGTAGTAGTAGTAGTAGTAGTAGTAATAATAATAATAATAATAATAATAATAATAATGTAGTAGCTCGGCCATGACAGGAAAAACATCAAAGTAGTTGACTTTTCTAAAGAACAGGGAGACAAAATGTAGTGATGTAATCTTTGTAACAGAATATTATATGTCGCTTTGGCCTGCCTGGGGAAAGATAAAATGACTAACAAATTTAATAATTAAATATTGACTTAATGAAGATTCAGATCTGCATATAACACAGATAACATCAGAAATAAAATGAATTGGGAACCTGTCTAATCTAAACTGCCTTGTGCTCCTTTGGGAGAAAGGAAAGGACACACATTTAACAAATTATTTATTTTATTTACATCCTATTTACATCCTGCCCTTCCTCCTGAAGGAGCCCAGCCAGCAGACACAGTAATAATAACACATTAGAAATCAAAACTAAATGCAGTTTTAAAACATTCTAAAAACAGTTACAAACACACTCAACCAGGTCCTACTCCAACACTCTTCATCATACAGACACACATGGCTAGTGGTCGGGGTGAGGGCAGTTGGGAGTCCCAACAACATCAAGAGGGCTACAGGCCCCACATCCATGAACTAGGGGGAGGAGCTAGTACCCAGTTGCCTTTTGTAACAATCAGGACATTTAGCATGTAATACGTAAAAATTCACAATAAACAAACAAGCAGGCAGACAAGCCCTCATACTGAGCAGCATTCAAAAGTAATGTTCATGTAAGAATGGGGCACAAGTGTGGTAGGAAAATCTAACTTCACCTTCCACAAGCTACTGTAAGGTATTTGAGAAATCCAAGGCAGGGGGTGAGCTTTTCAAAATGGCAACAATTCCCCCTGCTGCTGTTTCTTCTGTTTTTAAATAGGACCTGAAAGCACAGTAGCTCCTGTGGAGGTTTTCTTCCCCAGAGCTTTTAATGTCGTCCTGGCCTGTGGTGTGCCATGATTTTCAGGCTATTAATCGCTAGTGTTGGGTTGCATTCTCCTCTTTGCAGAAAGTCACAGCTTCTTCCTTACTTTTTTTTTTGCTCCCTCTCAGGTTCCCCAATGAAATACATTCTGGCCTTCTAGAAGTTATTTCCCCTTCTCCACACTTCTACCCAGACTTCTCTCGTCTCCGGGAATCTTTTGGCGACCCCAAGGAAAGGGTCAGGTAAGAAAGAACCTGCTGACTGGATACCTACTGGCACTCTGTGTTCGTCTGCCCCGCCCCCCACCACCATGGCTTTGTAAGAGAAGAAAACAGGCATTTAAAGGGAGCAAATAGAGGTTGTTGGCTGTTGAATGGCCCATACTTCTTTTCCAAAATGTATTTGCCCGAGCAAGCTGCTCAGATTGTGAACAGCGTTGTTTCTCTTATCTTGTGACTCCAATGGAATGTGTTCCTTGGAGCTAGTGCTATTATTCACACAATTGCTAATCATGTGACAGCTCTTTTAATTTAACATAAGCAGCCCCCGCAGCAAAGGGTGGGGAGGACACAACCCTTTGCTCCAACTGCAGTTCTGATCCAGATGTTGGCCCCTCCCATGGCAATTTGCATCAGGAAGGAAACTCCCACTGGCACCCACAGGGAAAAAATTTCTTAAAGCAAATAGCAGCCAGAAGGGGGCTGGATAGAAAGCTGCCTTATGCAGAGTCAAGACTGCTGTTGGTCCATATTGCTTACACTGAGTGGCAGCAGCTCTCTGGGAATTCACACCAAGGACATTCCCAGCCCTGCCTGGCTCCAGGGATTGAACCTGGAGCTTTTTGCATGTAAAGCAGGTGCTCTGTCAATGAGCTGTGGCCCTTCCCCACGAAAGTAGGGACTGTGGCCGGGACAAAAGGTTAAATCTCTTACTCCCCACCCCTCTCCTCATGCTGCACCGCCTCCCATGACTGTTCCGTTACTTAGATTTTTAAAACTACACGTTGCTAATCCCATGAATAACAACAGATGTCGTTGGGTCCTAAAATCACCTAGAGTCCAAGCTAGAATGATAGCTATGCACTCAGAATAGATCTGGAACTCATTATGGTCTCAGAATGAGAGTGTACCGGATTCTGAATTCCCTGCTGAACTTGTGTTTTTCTCCATTGAAAGCACCTGCTTCCTGCCAGCAATGGAACAACTTTCTGCCTTGTGTGCCATTATAGCCTTTCTCTATTTTATAGGTGGAGGACTAAACAGAACCTAGATTATTGCTTTCTAATGATGTATGCACAGTCCAAAGGCATCTATTATGTCCAGGTAAGTTAAACATTGGCTAAAGTATAGATTTTGTTGCTCCCAGCAAGGAACATTTTGTCTGGGTCCTTGATCAAAACACAAAAGTATGTGTGGGAAGGCTGTGTTTTAGAAGGGGAGAGGGTACATACAGTAGACCATGTTGTTCATTATTTTGATCTGGCTCTTATGTGTTGCATTAAAAGTGTTAATTTTAACCCTTTCTTGGGTAAGACCTTGGTGTTCTAACAGCAGTTGGCCAGATGAATTTTGCTAAGATTTAGATGGGGAAATTATCACTTTAACCTTCACAAGATTTGAGGGAGGGCCATAGTTAAGGAGCAAAGCATTTGCTTTGAATGCAGAAGGTCCCAGATTCAGTTCCTGGCAGGGACAGGCTCCTGGCTGCAGGTCTGTGTTGACAGCACTGAGCCAGAAGGATCAATGGTCTGACTCGGTATAAGATAGCTTCATATGTTCCTAAATCCTGAGTTAGCTGGAGTGGTAGAATGGGACGTTTTGGTTTTTTGTTTTTTGTTTTTTTAAAAAAAAGCATTTCAGCTTTGACATTATGTGGTCTTGACTTGGTAGCCTAACTGTGGAATCAGCATATTGCTGCTGGTACCTTATTATGTAACATGACTTATGATAGCAGGGTCTATTTCTAATGTTTGCCTGCTTCCAATGGCTAGAAAAACAAGATCCGTGTTTGATTATGGGAATAGATCTTTTCTTGTATAATGCTGGCATGCCTGGAGCTAATTGACCATTACTGATTGAGTATTATTCATTATTTTAGTTCGTTTAACAAAAACAGGAAACTACTGGAAGGTTTTGTCTTCCTTATTAAAATCCTGTCCCTGGCTAGAGGTTTCTTCCTCCCATTTTTGCTTGTTGGACATGTTGTAGGGTAGAGTTTTTCTTCAGCAGAGTGCATGATCTGTCACGAGTACTGGCATCTCCCACTGTTTGTTTTGTAGCTGGAAGATGATATTGTAGCCAAGCCAAACTATCTCAGCACAATGAAGAACTTTGCTCTGCAGCAGCCATCAGAAGAATGGATGATCCTGGAGTTCTCGCAGCTTGGGTTTATTGGTAAGGCTCCCCTCAACATAGCACCAACAGCACCTTCAAGTGCATTTTGCTTAGGGGCGAAACCTCTCCCAGCGGCGTGTGCTTCAGTGCTGTGCCTAACTCTGCCTGCAGGAGAAAGAAAAGCACCATCCATGTTCTCAGTTGTGCTTCTTTTGGCACGAATGGAACACAAAAGTTGTGACAGTTGCACTCTGGCTTCCTCCAAACTCAATGCAGAACACAAAGAACATACAGCAAAGCCAGCCATCTCTAGTTTCACTTTGCTTTTTTGTGTGACACAAATGTTTTATTGATGTGGCTTGTTAAACAGGCCAAGCGTCTTAAGAGGCTCTAGTTACTAGCTGGGAGGAGCAGCTGGTTCGTGTGCATGCTTGTCTTGTGGAGATGGAAAGAGAGAGGTGTTAAGCAGCCCTGTATAGGGAAGTTTTTTAATGTTTGATGTCTTACTGTGTTTTAATTTGTTGAAAGCCACCCAGCGTGACTGGGGCAACCGAGTCAGATGGGCGGCATATAAATTTACTACTACTACTACTAATTCTACTACTGTGATGTTAAAACAGCAGAAATCCTCCACTGATTACAGGTGGAAGAAAACCCAATCTTTCCTACCACTCCTATTTGGGTGGCAACAATATTGGAAGGGATATGGGGGCACTGAATGCAACTGAATCAGGAACTGGAGAGGTGGCCTTGAATGAAGCCTAACAGGAAAGGTTGCTTCAAACCTCCATTCCATTTAAGGAGCAGAGCAGACATGGCTCATGGACAAACAAAATAATAATAATAATAATAATAATAATAATAATAATAATAATAATAGATAGATAGATAGCATTAGTAGTCTACCTTTCCTTCAATGAGCTCAAGGTGGCTTATATAGTTGTCCTCTCCATTTTTCTCTCACAACAACTCTGTGAAGTAGGTTGGACTGCGAGAGGAAGTGGTCCAAGGTCACCCAGTAGGCTTCATGGCTGAGTAGGTGTTTGAAACCTGGTCTCCCAGGTTCTAGTTCAACACTCCAACTGGTACTCCACACTGGTTCTCTATAACTTAATCAAAGTTGGGTTAAGAAGTATCCTCTTCATTCATTCATTTGAAGTGTTTCTGTACCGCTTTTCAATATCACCTGGGCCCGGGAGAGGGCTTTTCACTATACTGATGCAGCAAGTGAGAAGGCCCTGCTCTGAGTGGGTGCTTATCTTGAAACAACAAACGGTACCTCAAGCAGGATCTCATTGGCAGGCCATTAAAGCACAAGGTGTGTGTTCATTAGGTTCATTTGTAAGAAAAAATAAATTTCCAAAAGTTGTAGGAGGCAGACCTATTGCACTCTTCAAATGCAGGGATGGCTGGCTGAGTGACCTCTGGCCCTGCAGATGTTGCTGAGCTACATCTCCAGCCCCAGGCAGTGAGCATGGCCAGTCATCAGGGATGATGGATGTCATAGTTCAGCAACATCTGCAGGGCCACAAGTTAGCCACCACTGCTTCAATACTACATTTCTCCCTAGAATAGCACATATTGATTTTAGGCTGTGCTGGGGCAAATACAGTCCACTCTTATAAAGCCCTCACTGATATGATGCATTAACTTTATTTACAGTGTCTGACCTCCTGTGAGGAGGTCAGAACATGTAGCAAAATGTACTTCCGGCCCGCAGACCACTGTTTGGAGAATAGACTGGCCCCTGAGAACATAGAAGTTGGCCTAAAGTCTTGGTCAAGAGTTGTGTGTAAGAGCACAGCCATATGTAAGGGGTTAGCAGTGTGCCAGTATTAGATTCTGCTAATTGGCTCAGCATTAGCAGGCTGAATGCCTTAAAAAGAAGTTCACATCTGTAGAGAATACTCCAGGGCAAGGAAAGGGTTGTTTCTCTGATCCAACATGCATTTCTAATTTTTCTCTCTTGTCCACACTTTCAGGGAAGATGTTCAAGTCTTTGGATCTCAGTCTTATTGTGGAATTCATACTCATGTTCTATAAGGACAAGCCCATAGACTGGCTCCTGGATCATATCCTCTGGGTAAAAGTCTGCAACCCAGAGAAAGATGCAGTAAGTTAACCCCAAATTAGTTGAAATGGTCTCCTCCTAACTTATGCAGATGTGCCTTTTAACGAAATGATACTGAAATTATGCAGGGATTCTGCAGTGGGTCTTTTTTAAGGTATATTGAATCTCTTTTAAATTAAAACCTGAATTCTGTAAAGGATGGAATCACTTGTGGAGATGTTAAGGAATACTGGGTGTTGGCTGGAGGGGATACAATTTGTGGTTCCTAAAAGCTATTACAAGCCACAGAACTCCTCCCTCTGGCATGCTGTGAGATGCTGCCCAAAACAAGAGAGTTCCTGGCACTGGAGAGAGATGGGCTGGTTTGCATTGCTTTGATGCAAAATGCTCTCCAATAAAAACACATCAAATAGTTAGGTGATGAAGTAATTCTTGCAACTGGATGCAAGGTAGTCAGAAGATAATCATTTGTGATATCATACTTAATGTTTGCTTATTCTTAAGAGACAACATTTAGTACCCAGAATAAGACTCAGCTACTGCCTACCTCCTTGCCTGGTTCCAGTCTACCTTTAGCTCCCACATGTAGCCTTTTCTGGAACAAACAAAACTTGTTCGCTCACCCCTGAGCACTTAACGCTCAGGAAAGACCAGCAGTTGCCACAGAAAGAAATATCTACTTTTCAAAAGCGACACTTTGCTTCCGCTCAGCTGAGGCTGACTAATACCTGGTTTGCTGGGTGGACACTGATTTTCCCCGGGCTGGGATTTGCCTTGTGGTTTGCTCTGTGTCAATATAATGAGGTGTTGCTGGTGTTTATCTTGTTTTCAAGGCCTTGAACTAGAAGATAGTTTCAGTGTCACTGTGCATCCACCTTCGCTTGCCTTCCCCTTCCAAATTCCCCCCTCCCGCCCCCTGGCATGCTTTCCAGGGGATCCTGAGAGCATCTAAATCATTGTCTATTTTAAAATGTAACCTAGTTCCAGCATAGATTTCTGGCTCCCACTCCTGCTGCTTGCCTGATTAACTCTGCACAACAGTCTTTTAAACCAGACTTGCTCTTGTAAATCCTGCTGTGTAGAATCAAATTGGTAACTTGTAGGATTTGTCTCCTTGATTGAAAGTTTGCCTGACCTGAGGTTTAGTGGTGAAATGCTTTGCCTGATCTGAATATCTCTTCCTTTTGTCTGAAAACCAACTGTAGCTGCTTTCATTAGCTGCATCGGTAACAACAATAAGAAGGCACAAGGCAGAGAGTGGAACCGCTCTTGACTGCTGTGTCCCACTTAACATCAGGCAGGAAGGAGCCCTTTGCTAGCTGCATTCAGGAATTCTCTCATGAGTGGAGCCAGGTTTTTAATTTTCTAAAGTAATGAGAGCTGGATTAGGGGATTATCTTGGAGCAGGGCTTCAGGGAATATGCCTGCAATGCCAAGTGTTGCAGGTAGTACAAATGGTTTTGCGAAGCAACCTGTGTCTGTGAGAGAGGGCTGCCTCAAGGGGCCCCTTCTTACACATATTAGGTAGACAGTTATATTGGCAGTGGAACCACAGGTGACTGCCATTCCTAAAATGTGCAAGTTCTTGGTCTTAAAAAGGCCTACCCAGTGGGATTTGTGAGTTCTATTGTTATTGTTTTCTGTTATATTTGTTTAATAATTTCCTAGCTAAAGATTAATTTAGCACCTCACATTGATAAGAATGTACATCCAGACCACCACTTCTTGGGACCAGCCATAAAGTATGTCACACCTCAAGAAACGAGGGGGGAATGCAAACGTGTGACAGACAGAATTTTTGTAGGGGACAAAAATGGGGCAGGGGTAGGTGATGCCTTAAAAAAAGGTCAGAGAGTGACATGGTTTGGGTAGATTTCATTTTGCTTTGTCTTTTGCTGCTCTAGTCCTCCTAATGGTTGCATGTTTTCCTGCACATAAAATTGCAGGCTAAGATTTTAAATATGTTTTCCTTAATAAATGCTGGCATCAGGCAATCACACCTTTTATACACCCGTTTGCCATTTGCCTCATGAAAGGGAGGCAGGGCAAGGCAGTGGGAAATGACCTTGGGAAAAGATAATAAAATAGTATTCTTAAGTAGGCAGCTTTAGCTTATTCTAAGAGAAATTAGCAAGCGAAATTAACAAGATGAATTGGCGCAAGGGTTCAGCGGCATACATCTACAGACTTTTAAAAGAGAAAAAAAGCCTCTAGTGATGGAGGAGGAAGTGTCGATAATGAGTAGACAAGAAGAGAAACAGCTTCAGACTTGCATCTAGACAAGTTTTGTATTTTAGGAATGTGGTGGTAGAAGTGAAAGTGGTATTAGGTGCAGATTATACCTCCTTTTCACAGTACTATAAGTAAAAGAATAGTCTGCGCATGTGCCAACTTCAAAAGCTTATTTGCTCAGCGCTTAGTTTCTCCTTCATGCCTATGTGTCTCTATTCTTCATAAGTCTCCTACGTGCAGCATATTTTCATTCACAAATGTATTCTCAAACTCTCCCAGGTGACAGAGTTGGGCAGGGGATTTTTTTTATTTTAAGAAAAAGTGCCACAGACTTTCTTGGTACCACTCTAGAGTTGATCAAAATTTTCTCTTTTACAAACTGATGGTAGAAACAGAAGGTGGCTCAGTTTCCTCTTAGCAAAATGAGACAGTTGCAATGAGCATCAGCAAAATAGTATTTTATGAACAAAGAATACAAACATATGAAGTTGGGAGGAAGGCCCATGATTTATCCCGACAGCTACTTAATTAATTTAACAGTAATGGCACATTCATGAGACTACACCAGCCAGAAGGTCATAGCGTCCAGATTCCCAAGGCTGCCTCTTTCCCGCCTCCTTCCCATTCCCTGACTCTAGCAAGTTGCTAGAGATCAACAATACATTGTTACTCAGGCTCCATATAAACAGCCAAGCATGTATCAACAAAACGAAGGGCAAACATGTGTGCACAAGTTTATATATTTATACTAATCATTATGTTCCTCTTTTAGAGTTGAGTCTAGCAGCCTGGCTCAGTTGAAATCCCATTAAAGAACACATTCCTGAGCTGTACTTCATTCTGACTCACTAGTGGTGACACCAAAATTGAGCTGGACAGCTGATCTCAATCCATATCCATCATCTTTTAAACATTTTTAAGAAGTTGCAATACCAGTCAAGGGAAGATAGTGGTCCACTTGGAACTAGACCTTCATACCAACTTTGATGTAGATGAAAGCATACCTGTTTTAAGTGTGGCAGAAACATTTTATACACACATTTGCTGCATTCTGAGGTATTTGTTTTCAGGGTAGTAAATATGTATTAAAAATACTTTCACAACACTTAGGCTGTGTACACACTATACCTTTAAAGCATGTTCAAAGCACATTCTGTCTTTCAAAGAATTCTGGGCATGGTCGTTTGTAATTCTGTGTAGGGTAAACTACAGGGCCAAGAATTATTTGAGGGATAGAATGTGTTTTAGTGTGCTTTAAATGTAATAGGAGGGATTCAAAGTACAGTCATACCTTGGAAGTCGAACGGAATCCGTTCCAGAAGTCCGTTCGACTTCCAAAACATTCAGAAACCAAATTGCGGCTTCTGATTGGCTGCAGGAAGCTCCTGCAGCCATTTGAAGCCACAGAAGCCCTGCCAGACGTTCGGCTTCCCAAATAGTTTGCAAACCGGAACAGTCACTTCCGGGTTTGCGGTGTTCGGGAGCCAAAACGCTTGAGAACTAAGCTGTTTGAAAACCAAGGTACAGTGGTACCTCGGGTTAAATCCTTAATTCATTCCGGAGGTCCATTCTTAACCTGAAACTGTTCTTAACCTGAAGCACCACTTTAGCTAATGGGGCCTCCTGCTGCTGCCACGCCGCCAGAGCCCGATTTCTGTTCTCATTCTGAAGCAAAGTACTTAACCTGAAGCACTATTTCTGGATTAGCAGAGTCTGTAACCTGAAGCGTATGTAACCTGAGGTACCACTGTACGACTGTAGTGCAGTGGCAGTTTTTTAGTCAGCGCAAGCATTTCAGCTTGCCCCATGGAACAATAATCTCTCTCTTCCTCTGCTCCACTCTTCTGGGGTTGTCTCAACACTCCCCAGAGCCCATTTCTGGAGCTTTACAGGAGAGAAGCCACGTTGTGCTAGCAGAAGCACTTGTGCTGGCTTCCTCTAGTGCAGGGGTCAGCAACCTTTTTCAGCCGTGGGCCGGTCCACCATCCCTCAGACCACGTGGTGGGCCGGACTATATTTTTTGGGGGGGAAAGGAATGAATTCCTATGCCCCATAAATAGCCCAGAGATGCATTTTAAATAAAAGGACACATTCTACTCATGTAAAAAACTCTGATTCCCGGACCATCCGCAGGCTGGATTTAAAAGGCGATTGGGCCGCATCTGGCCCCCGGGCCTTAGGTTGCCTACCCCTGCTCAAGTGGGACTCATTAGCTGAATCCCACCCATTGTGTGTACACAGCCTTAGGGTGAAGAAGGAAATAGCAGCTTAAGTGTGGTTTGGACATGCCTTCTTTGAAGCCACTTCTTTCACACTTACAGGTGAAAAGTAATTGTGTCCCAAATGGCAAACTTGACTGAAAGTGGTTAACGAACCTATTTCCTACTTTGTGCTTCCTCCTAAGTGGGAAGCACAAATCTTGATATATATATATATTATTATTATTATTATTATTATTATTTATTATTATTTTAGAAACATTGTGACAGACAGAAGGCAAACCTGCGGATACGCTTCAAGCCCTCACTCTTCCAGCACGTAGGAACCCACTCCTCCCTCGCTGGTAAAATACAGAAGCTGAAAGTGAGTATGTGACGTCATAGCACTGGGAAACTGCATCCCTATGCATTGGGCAAATTTATATGTAAAATGTGATAAGTTTTCAAATATGTGTAGCAGTTTAGGCAGGGAAAGCAGGTGCTTTCAAATGCAGGTGCCTTCCCTAGGGAAGAGAGGTCAGTTGTGCTTCTTCTGCAGAGAAGGAGTGGATGCGTCACTGACAGAGTATGAAAGAAATTGTTAATGGCTTGGAAGCAAAGGCGAGGCATCGGGGTCAGGAGCCAAGGGAACTGGAGCATGGCAGGTATCAACTCTGATTAATAGCTGCTAGCTAGCGTTCAGTAGCTATGTGTTGCAGCAGCTTTAAAAGCCTCATATCAGCAGTGTTCTTTGGAAAGTGAGTCTGGGCAGAGGACAGGAACGCCATGCAAACATTTGACTGTAAAACTTGGGCATTATGATACATTCAAGAGTTGTACTAGTTTCAGGGAGCTCTACCAAAACTACAATCTAAAGATCTAGTTCTAGGATTCTTAAGTTTCTCCTTCTCTCTCTCTCTCTCTCTCTCTCTCTCTCTCTTTCTTTCTTTCTTTCTTTTCCACCCTTTCCCAAGGAGAGGGCTCAGGAGAGAGGGGTATTGCCAGAGGCATCACAGAAATAGGGAGTTTTGAGGATAGATTTGAAGACAGAGTGAGAAGGGCAATGTTGCATGTGTTCTTGGAAGGGAGTTCCAGGCATGTGGGGCAATGTGAGAGAAAGGGCAGACAGAAGCTGGGGTGGGGTGGGAGGGAGGGAGTTTGAAGAGCAGCAGTTATGCAAACTAATATTTGCTTATTTGTCTGTTTCTCTTTGCTTTATGTATACCCCTTAATAGATTTCTTTATTTTTGATTAAGAGGATTAATTATATATTTTTTCTAAACAAAAATAATAATAAACAATCTTAGTCAGGGATATATTGACATACAAGCGTGGAAAGAAAAGGGGAGCCAAGGCCATGGTGTGCTTTTGAAGATAAGAGTGAGGGGTTTGTCCTGGATCCCAGGGTGGACAGGAGGCCAGTGCTGATATTTAAAGAGAGGCATCACATCATCTGAGAGACTGGAGTGATGAGAGAGGTGAATGATAGAAATGAGTGGCCTGAGCAGTGACAACAGAAGCCCAGCAAGGAAAAGATACAAAGGCAGGAGATGACTGGATTGTGAACCAGAGTTTCTTGCTGGATGTATTTTCACCATGTGCAGGCAGAAGTGACATGACTTTGGTGATGGACTGAATATATAGAGGGAGCAAAGCGGAGGGAGAGAGCAGAGATAAAGCTAAGGTTTTTTGAAGCCCAAACAGCAGCCTGGATGGTGATGATGTTCATTGGCTCAGGGGATACAGAACGAGAGTGAGGCTAGGGAGGAAAGATTTTAAACCCCCTTAATTAAAGCAGCCCCACCACTGCCATCAGAATAGCAGTATTTCCACAAAAGTGCAATGGGAGTAGGAAACACAGTTTTATATAGTTTAAATTGTTTTGCTTTTACCTTGCATGTTGAGGACAAAGATTTTGGAAAGCAAGCGCTTCGAAAAGAACACGTCAACCCTCCTGCAGAAGTTAGCACCAGTCTGAAAACCTACCAGCACTTCTCCTTAGAGAAAGCGTATCTGAGGGAAGATTTCTTTTGGGCATTTACCCCCACGGCGGGTGACTTCATACGCTTTCGCTTCTTTAAGCCCCTACGCATTGAACGGTGAGTATATGGAGATTTGTGGGGGAAGATTAGCTTGACATTTAAAAGTCACTCATCCCCTCTCCCCTGTGGTAGGACAAGAGTTCATCTGAAAGGCAGGTTGCGTCTCATCCACTCATCGCCCTGCTTCTCCCACATACGGCCTTTTAGCTTTCAGTTCTGCCTGCACAGCCTTACAGATAGTAAACTAAAGCACAGATGAAATTAATTGGCTTTTTCAGTTACAAAAGGAATTCTACCCAAGTCTCAATGGTGCCCAAGTCACCTAGACCCCATCTTGCTTTCTAACAGGGTATGCTTAATTAGGTTTTGTTTGCTTTGGTTCCGATACCATTGTGAATCATGTGTAGTCAAGATTTGAGCGCTTTCATGAAAGTTCAGCCTGTCTCTGTGTGTTTCCTCCCTTTAGTGGCTCTATGACTGAGGTTTTGCCTCATTTTGATACCACTAAGAAATATTCATCTACAATAGGAATGAGGAACCTGTGGCTCTTCAGATGTAACTAGACTTCAAATCCCATCAGTCCCAGCCATTGATATGAGGCTCATGAGCGGGAGAATTCTGTTGCACGCATGTCTTGCTTGTGAGCTTCCCATAGGCATTGGGCTGGCCCCTCTGAGAGCGTAATGATAGGCCAAGCAGGGCTTTTGTGGTCCACCGGTCTCTGGAGGGCCACAAGTTGCCATTCCAGGGGAGGAATTCAACGTAGTGCTGAGTTTATTGCGTCAGCTTGCCAGACAGAATGATCTCCCTTCTCCTTCCCCCATGTGGTGGTCTAGGGGTTCCCCTAACACACACGCTCCAGACAATTTAGGAAGGCGGTGGGAAGTGAGAGGGCAAAAAGTCCTATTGTGCTAGCAGAAGAATCTTGCACTGGCTTCTACTAGCAGAACTCATGAACTGAATCTGGCCCCTGGTCTACAACTTAAATCATGTTCAGGAATTATGGGGAAAATTGAATGTGGTATGTAGAAGTCCATTTGTTTGTTCAATTTCCATGAGCATTTAATGTCCGGGGTGGGTGGGTGTTCTCCCTCTCCCTCTTGATTTGTTAACATGGGAATGTCTTGTGTGTGTGGCTTTATCCTTCCCAGAATCCGCTCAGGAAGCACAGGGAGTCACTTCTTACTTTTCCAGCTTGGTATCACTGAATAGTGAACTGTTCTCATCACAGGAGTAGATAATTGCACTTCTTACTGATATTCATTCATATGCGATGGAGTGCTTAATTTGGAAGCGCAATCAAACAATCAATCCATAATTAGTTGTTTGTGCACTTAGAGTCATCTTTCTCTCACATGCGGCTTTCTGTGGGAAGAGAGGCCCCTGTTGGGTGAGCTTATGCCTGGTGGGGTCCTTCTGTGTTACATGCCCCGTGAAGCTGTGCATTCATTGCTGGTTCCTGCCCCACAGGTTTTTCTTTCGCAGTGGCAATATTGAACACCCAGAAGACAAGCTCTTCAACACAACTGTGGAAGTGTTACCTTTTGACGTAAGTTTACTGAGCTTACCATAGGAGTTCAGGTGAGGTGGGAGACCAAGGTTTAGGAGATTATAACCCAGATTTTTGTTACTTTGTGGTTGGATACCATGAGAAGAATATGTATGGGGTCAACAGGCTTAGCAATGGAAGCTTCTGAGAAGCCTGTGCCACCTAATCTGAATTCCAATTCTAAATCCTGAGGCATTATTCTGAAACCTAGGAGCAAGCCTGCTTATTTGTTCTCTATTTAAAGTACACTACCTGTGGCAGGAAAAAGGTAGTCCTTACAAGGAATATTTTAATAGACTTTTTTTTTGGGGGGGGGGTCCTTGAAAGCATAGAGAAAGTCTTCCAGCAACCCAGTATGCTGGAGTAATTCTGTGTCTCTTAAAAAGTAAACATTGCCTGATGTTTTATGACCATAGTGGTTTAAACTGTACCCGCAGCAGGCTGCCTAAATCCTTCTTCCTGGCTTTTTGCAAAGATTGTCTCTTTTCCTGCACAGAGTCTCCAGTCAGATAAGGAAGCCCTGCAGGAGGGAAGAGCAACAGCATTCAAGTACCACAGGACATCTGACGGCTACATACAGATAGGTAAATTGCTGGTTCAAGGCAAACAGCAGCCTGCTGGTTGTGGATAATGCACTGTGGTATGTTGCTGTTCAGATAACACAATTACGCAGAGAGTGATTGCATGGAAGGTTTCAGGGGTGAGAGACAAGCTTATCTTGAATTAATTAGCATCTCCCACCCCACCCTTGACCTGGAATTTAGAGTGAAAGTCATTCACTCAGAACACACATGACATTTTTGTCATTTTCCCAAGGGTTAGAATTTGCATATGTCTTCATTTTAAAGACTTTGCTGAGGTGGATTTTCTCGGCTAACACTGTGCAAATGCAAATGTTGACAACACTGCAGAGGTCAAGAAGTACGGATAAACCTGAAGGACGGAAAGAACAGCTTGATTATACAGTTAATCTCGAATTGTTCTTTGGGGCAGTAAAAAAAGAAAAGAAAGGAAATGAAAAGTGTTTTCTCTTTAGTTCTCTTCTTAAGCACATTGATGGGTGGAATCAGTGGAGCTTGTTCTCATGTGGTGTCTTTTTATGATTGGAGCTTTGGTGCTCAGTGGCAGAAACCATTCACTGATCCTGCTGCTCTTTCTGGGCAGCTTCCAGCATCATCTCCTCTGCCTACTTGCTTTCTGAAAACAATTTCAGGAACTAGGGGAGCTAATGGTTACAGGTTTACATCTTCCTGCCTGTAGGAATGGTATCTTGTTGTGGGTCTGAAACCCTACTCTGAGCACCTTCCACATGTGCCAGCCAGTGGCTGTGTCATGGTTGATTTGTTACCAGTTGTTTTTGTTTTTTTAACAAGTCAAAAACTATGCTAGGGGTTGGACTTAGATTACATACTTCTGGCCCCAGTAACTTTCAGATCTCACTGAGCGTCTATGTGTCTGGGATTGGGGGAAGGAGGACATGGAAGAGGGATGTTTTGTATTTGAAAAGTTGTAATACCTCCAGGGAATAAGCAAAAGCAAAAGGGAGCAAGAGCTGTAACATCAGAAGTGGTCCTCAGTTTTATGCAGTTATTTTGTGTGAATCAGAGAATTCCTTGATTGTTGAGAGGCACAAGCTATAGCTGAGCAAATATCATAGCTGCACCATGTAAGCAATCTGTGCATTCTTATTGCTAGAATGGCTTAAGCCTCATTTAGCACCAAGTCTGAGGCTGCGTACACGTTAGTGGCTTAAAATGAAGCAAAGTCATTATTCCCTGCCACTTTTCCAAGTCATATTTGCACATTTCTGTACACACCAGAGGTATGTCTTCACCCAAACTGCATTAGCTGTTTGGTTTTGCTGTGCCTTCAAACCTCATTTATGAAGCTGTGATCTGCACATGCCCATCCCAGAGGGATTGCAGTCCTCTTGAAAACAGGCTGTTTTGGAATTTGAATATGATTTATGAGCACAAAATACATGTGCTATACATCTCAATGTGAACTAAGTCCATATGTATAGTTAGTTGTCTGTCTCTTTAAAATGCCCTTGAGTAGGTATCCAGTCCTTTCCTGGCCACGGCTCACTTGTAATTTAAAGTCTCATTGAAGTGGCCTTTGGGGAACGTTAAGAGAAATAAGTTGAGAGTGGGAAGAGTTTAAGTGGTGGCAGGAAAAATGGAGACTCTAGCAGCGCAGGAAAGGCTTTGCAGAATTTGGTGGACTTTTGAAGGCAGAGGAGGTGACTAGCTGGATAAGACAGGAAGTGTTTTTCCAGGCCTAGGAAACTCCATGATAGCTGCAGCAGGAGAGGGCAGCCAAAGTGGGATGATGTCACAATGTCCTTGTGCAAAACAGGGAAAGCAAGGAGAGAAGCAGAGGCAAATAAGAGAGTCTGCATTCCATGCCAGAGCTAGAAGCTTGGATTTGAAGTGCAAAACAGCAGGGTACCAGCGTTGATTGAGGAGAGAGGGGACAGGATTGCACAGGGCGTGACAGGTGGGTGGAGAAATTTTACCAAAGGTGTTTCTAGTTGACACGAGAAAGGAAAGACTGCAGGCATATTGATCAGGACAAGAAGTTACAGTAGACTTGGAGAGACAGGAACTGGTCGCAAATGATAATTTTAGCAGAGAGAAAATAATTGATTTGGGAGATGTTGAAGAGGAAAAAGAGGCAATGCATGGTAATGGCTGGGATAGCAGAAAGAGAGAGGCAAGAAGATTATTCCCTGCTGCTTTTAAGATGGCTGCTCATTTAATGCAGGCATAGATTTCAAGAGTACATCATATCCATACATATCTTCAGTTAGCAAGGGCAAATCTGTGGATCAATAGCTATTTCCCCTTCAAATGTGCAGAAGTGGGACCAGAGATGCCAGAGACGTAGGAAGGGGGGGGCGATGAGGACGGACCACCCTGGGTGCCCTCACTGAGGGGGATGACATTTGGCATGCCACCCACCTGTGACTCCCAATTCTACCCTGAGCCGTCAGGGTAAGGGGGGAGCTGCGCCACTTTGCTGGAGGCGTTCCCCCCTTCCCCCTTCGTTTTGACAGTTTGGGGGAGGCTTGGGTGTCGTGGGCAGGTGGCGCGCTGAATGTCTGCCAGTGGCAGCTTGCTCCGCCACTGGCTGCAGGGCACCCGAGTGTCTATCCTGCGCCTGGGAGGGCACCCTCTGTGCCACGCCCCCCTCAGGAGTGCGCCTGCCCTGGGCAGCGCAGCCATATGCTCCGCCGCTGCCAGATGCCACTTCTATGCACAGTGCTAAGAACAATTTGTTTATTTAATAGTTGTCACTGGGGTAAATCAAAGCACTGTGTTGTATGTATATACAAGCTTATGCCTTGCATGTAAAAGGCACCAGGTTCAGTCCTTGCATCACCAGTTAGCAGGGATCAGGTAGCAGGTAAAAGGCCTGTGATTTTGGAGAGTCATTGTGTGTGTGTGTGTGTGTGTGTGTGTGTGTGTGTGAAGATTCACATGTATTTTTTATTCTGGTTTTTGTTTCAAAGTACAAGATGCCAGGAATAAAGTGGCTCTTACATTATGAACTGCAGGTAGCAGTGTCTATGAAGATTTGTAGTTGTTTAGTCATTTAGTCGTGTCCGACTCTTCGTGACCCCATGGACCAGAGCACAGGCACTCCTGTCTTCCACTGCCTCCCGCAATTTGGTCAAACTCATGCTGGTAGCTTCGAGAACACTATCCAACCATCTCGTCCTCTGTCGTCCCCTTCTCCTTGTGCCCTCTATCTTTCCCAGCATCAGGGTCTTTTCCAGGGAGTCTTCTCTTCTCATGAGGTGGCCAAAGTATTGGAGCCTCAGCTTCAGGATCTGTCCTTCCAGTGAGCACTCAGGGCTGATTTCCTGAAGAATGGATAGGTTTGATCTTCTTGCAGTCCATGGGACTGAGTCTGCTCCCACACCATAATTCAAAAGCATCAATTCTTTGGCAATCAGCCTTCTTTATGGTCCAGCTCTCACTTCCTTACATCACTACTGGGAAAACCATAGCTTTAAGGAAAACCGTAGCTTTAACTATGAGGATTAGAGCCCTGCAAATAAAGCACAGCAACTAGGAGATTGTGCTACAAATTGAGAAATCCCTCCTTCAAATATCACCCCTGTCATTTTGGCAAACTGCTCTTCTCTCAGCCTCAGCCATATGGCATAATACTGACTCTGATTTGCAGGCTTGTGGCAAGTATGGCAAGACAGTATACATGAAGAACACGAAGTGTCAGAAAGTGCAAGTGAAAGGGGACATGGTAGAAGTTTGTAAAATTATGCATGGCATGGAGAAAGTGGATATAAGAAAAGTGTTTCTCCCTCTTTCGTAACACCCAAACTCATGGACATTTGATGAAGCTGGATGTTGGAAGAGTTGGGACAGATGAAAGAAAGTCCTTGTTCACACAGTGCCTAGTGAACTATGGAACTCACTGCCACAGGGGCAGTGATGGCCATCAACTTGGATGTCTTTAAAAGATTAGACAAATTAATGGAGGGCAAGGCTATCAGTGGCTAATAGACATGATGGTTATATTCTACCTTCACTGTTGGAGGCAGTGTACCTTTTATTACCACTTTCTGGGTAATACAGACAGGCAGAGTGGTGTTGCTCTCATGTCCAGCTTGCAAGTTTCACACAGGTATGTGATTGGCCCCTGTGAGAACAGGATGCTGGACTAGATGGGTCCTGGGTCCAGCAGGCTCTTCTGATTTTCCTAGGATTCCTAATGGCCTTTGAGGACACTCCTTTCCTTTTCTTCTCCCTCCAGATTTCCATTTACATCAACAACATGCAATGCTTTTTAAAGCAGGAACTTGCCAGAACTCAGTTCTGGCACCTCTTTTTCTAGAAAAAATAGCACTGACAACTGGCACTCTCCATGTGCCATCTTAGATGGGATGTTGCATGTGTGTGTAGGGGCACCCCCTTTATGTTATGGATAGTGCCATTTTCATTACATAAGGATCAGTACACAGAGAATGAATTCACTATTTGAGAGAGACTGAGAGTGAGAGATTATAATATACGATAAAGCAGTGCCACCTACTGGACAGCTGCAGCTTTGCAAAGCATAAAAACAGAACTAAACACAGTGGTATCTCGTCTAGTGTCTACCTCGCCGAGCGCCTGTTCCGTCGAATGTCCGCGGCAAACCCAGAAGTACTGCAACAGGTTACTTCCGGGTTCGCCACATGTGAAGAAGTGCAAACCGCTCCGTGCGCAGATGTGGCACTTTGTCCAGCATCCTTTTTGGCCAGCAACTGGGACTCCGGAATGGATCCCAGTCGCAAAACGAGCTACTACTGTAGTCTTTTAAGTTTCTTCAGGGGAGGGAAGATTTGACGTTTGCAGCCATTCACACCACAACTTAGTGTAGTGATATTGTTTGGTGGTCTGTAACTGTCATGTTTGGATGTTGCTTCCACCTCCAAAAAGCTATTATTTGGGGACCGCTAGTATGGAGGTCAAACATTGTGCTCCCTCATCATGTAATGTATTAAGAATAAGATGTCTCAAGAACGCTATTTAAAACAGATGTCAATAGCCACATCCTTCCTCTTGGGCAATATGGTATTTTCTTTCAGAAAAAACCTTTGTGTGTCTACAGGGCATAACTCATTCACAAGGTCGTTATTACTACTACATATTTGTTAGCTCTGTTAGAAAGGGAAGAGGTCAATGTGTAAAAATTGGACATTTGAAACATCTACACTGAGCTAGCAGGAGGTTCATCACTTGGTCGTCACGAAATATTCAGATGTGTGTCATGTGGCATTTTAATGTTAACATGACCACGCCAGGCTTGCCATACATATTTTGGGTGATAAGTGGCCCATGACAGAGAGTAACCCTGAAGTAAGTAGGGCAATAATATTGTGTGACATGCTCATCACTTGAAAATCCAGTCATGCAATTTCACACAAGGCGTGGTTTTTATAAACCGGGTCAGCTTGTAGAACAGTGGGTAGGAAATGTTTCCTCATGAGCATGCTCCACTACAGCCAGTCATGTAAACTGAAAAGAGGAGTCTGTTTTAGGTAGTTCCACTGACTTCTCTGAAGGAGGGAGATGGTGGCTTAGGAGCCACAGCAGTTACCATGACTGACTGCATCTCACATTGCAAGTGGCGCCCCTTCTTTTGAGCACAGAGGCTCCAGTGCATGCCTTGAAATTTCTAGGCATGACTGCATATGCTGGAGCCAGCCTGCAGAAATGACCCCGTTTCATCATGGAGAGCTGAGCGTGCAGTGGTGTTGCTGCTACTAAGAGGAACTGAGAGTTGTCCTGAAGTTTTTTTTCTTCGTCCATTGTGCAGGCTCTTTTTCAAAGGGCATTGCTGAAGGAGAAGTGGACCCTTCCTTTGGGCCTCTGGAAGCAATACGGCTAACCATCCAGACTGACTCTCCCGTATGGATCATCTTGAGCGAGGTAATGTGTTTTCCTTGGAAAAACTCCCTTTATAAGGGTGGTGATTACAGCAGCTCTGACTTAACCTTTCCGCCAACTGATCTGTCTAGGCGGAACAGGGAAAGAAAGTTCTTGAAAGATACAGTGCCCGTTTAGGGCCATTGCCTGCAATGCCCCAGACAATTCTATCTAGGGCACAGTGGGGAATTTAAAAATTGTGGCTTGTAACTGCCAGGGGCTGAGCACAGATGCCAGTTGGCAATGCAACCTGCCGGGGATTCTCTGGGTCTTTCCCCAGACATGCATTCAGTAAGTAACCACAGTAATTGACCACAGTCCTCCACAGAGACAGGCTTAGCTTCCTGACAACCACTGTCACAGGAGCTGTCCCCCACCCCCCACAACTCAAGAGACCTACCTCCCAAAGCCAGAAAGGAGAATGTATGTTGCTTAGAAGATAAAACACACTTTGGTGCTCAGGTGAACAGGAGTGGTTTGCTTATTTGGTTGTTGCATGGGGCTTGTGAGGTGATGCAAACTGAGTTGGTGAAATAGAGGCTTGGTAGTCAGATCCTCTAGGGACGCGGGTGGCGCTGTGGGTTAAACCACAGAGCCTAGGACTTGCCGATCAGAAGGTCAGCGGTTTGAATCCCTGTGACAGGGTGAGCTCCCGTTGCTTGCTCCCTGCTCCTGCCAACCTAGCAGTTCAAAAGCACCTCAAAGTGCAAGTAGATAAATAGGTACCGCTCCGGCGGGAAGGTACACGGCGTTTCCGTGCACTGCTCTGGTTCGCCAGAAGTGGCTGAGTCTTGCTGGCCACATGACCCGGAAGCTGTACGCCGGCTCCCTCGACCAATAAAGCGAGATGAGCACCGCAACCCCAGAGTCGGCCACAACTGGACCTAATGGTCAGGGGTCCCTTTACCTTTACCTTTAGTCAGATCCTCTTGACAGCAGTTGCACCCGCCTGCAGTTGTGATTTTATGTCTTAACTGTGAAATCCCTCCCCATTTCTGACAACGATTTCATGCTGTGATTTGCTTCAGGTATGGTTGTCCAGAAGAGGCAAAACTCTTTCCTCTTGCACTTGGCGTTAATTAATAGGGCAATATTCTATAGGAGAAAAACAGATTTGCCAAGCTCTGACCTTTTTCTGTTGTTTTGCTAATCCCATGTACTTCCAGATATTCCTGAAGAAAGCTGACTGAACTTCAAGACACAGGGATAATGCACAATGTGGCTGTCAGCTCTTCCCCTCTTCTTCCTCTTGTCTATGAAACTGCAGACACAGCAGAATAGGAGCAGCCTAGTCAAAGGTGCCTGCTGAAGGGCACCTGCTGCTCCCAGAACAGGAAGAAAATGTTGGTGGTGAAACTTGGCAGGGCCTTAAGGGTTTCTGGACCACATTTACTGGGAGAAGAGAAGCATTTTTTCATGCACAGGTGCTGGACTGTATTTAAAAAATGAAGCACTAGTGCTGGCCTATCTTGGATCCAGCTGCTTCTGCAGCTACAAAAAGAGGACCTTGGAGACTAACGTTCCGTGTAAAAGATTTGTTCTCCCCCTTCCTTTGAGCAAGGACCACACACTATCCCCATGCCTCTTCCTCCCCCTCCCCCCCCGGCCCCTTGGGTGTTGATTCCTGAATGTATCACTAAAGGGTGCATTTAGAAATACGGGTTTAAGGACTATGAAGGCTAACTGCGAGGGCAGCTCAACTGTCAAGCGAAGCACTGACGCATCTTGGGAGCAAAGCAGACTGCACCTCCGGCCCCATGTGTGTAAGTAAAAGCAGTTGCTCCAGACTAAAGCTGAGGATTAAATATGAGGGGTAACTGGTCTGGGGTGGGAGGGAAGGGATGTATGGAGGGAACAGAATGGCAGGGAAATGAAAAACCACACTGTGCCTGCCAGGGTTGTACATGTGCCCTTCATACAATAAGAGTTCCTGTCGAAGTCTCCAGTGTCTTCATGCCTTGAGAATGAGTGCTAAAGTCCATCCTTTTAAATCCATATCTGTTATTTACTGATTGGTGTGAATTTTGGAGAAAAATAAACCATGTAGGCCAGTCCTCAAATGGTAGGGATTAGAGTAATTTAAAACAAAAAAAACCCAATGTCTCTAGCTATACACTGGAATGCGTTATACTACTTTAATGTGCTGTATTTTTTATTATTGGATACATTTGATTTTTAAGTATATCTATATAAAATATATATATTAAAATGTGCACTGTAAAATTTTAATTCAACTTAAAGTAGCATGTTTTATTTTACTGGCTCTTTCATTAATTAGGAAAGTCAGAAAGGCAAAGCATGATTTTATAGGGCTATTAAAAGTAAGACATGCTTTCTGTACAGACACAGCTAAGACAGATTTTGCAATGGGGAGGATTTCTATTTAAACCAAAACCTACAGATACTTCCTCTACACAGTAACCTATTTAACACACTGGCCCTTAACGTCGTCAAACTTGCATGTTCTCTTCCTTTATCACAGGTATTCTCCGTGTGATCCATTAGGGAACTCACAATGGTAGTAGGGTCCCTGTGACGGATAGCACTGTGCACAAATGCAAGCGAAAGGGTGCAAAATAGTTGTGACCAAATCACAGGCTTCCTTCCCACAGGCACTGAAGCTCACCACTGAGGCATAAATAAAAGCAGCATTGTGGTTTCCAACTGGAGCACAAAGTACAGCCATTTTGCATGGAGGAAGGTCCTGCTTTGTCTGAGATATTGGAGAGTTGCAGCCACACAGAAGACATTACTGAGTTAAACATATTGTATAAGGCAGCCACATGTAAGCAAAGGTTCAAGCAAAGGAAAAGGTTGATAGAAAACCTTAAAGGAGGGGGGAAAGAGAAGCACCAAAACAAACTGAAATTCAACAACATCTGAAAGACCACAGGTTAGCCCTCACCCTTACCAGATATAGTAAGTGCTTGCTTCAGACAGGAATTCACTGAGTTCACAGCTTGGTTATGACAGATACTGTTTAGAAACCATCATGTTGGAGCAGAGTTTCTGAGAGGCAAACTGGGCTGGCCACCTCAGAGCTCACTGATGACTCCCAAAACTTGCTGGCACATACAAATAATTGTTACTCTAAATCTCTCACTCACTCTCTCCTACTAGTTGAAGTTGACCCAATGTCACTTTAATGTAAAAACTGCTGCAACCACAACACAGCTAAGAAAATGTACCATCACAAAATTGCTTTTTTTAAAAAGAAAGCAAGATGTACAATCATTTTAATTTAAAGAAATGAAATGAATGTTGGACAGTTGAAACCTATGGTGTCATAAGCAGGATAATTTACCAGCAGAAGGGCAGTAGATGCTGACTCAGAAGCTCACTTCGGGAATAAAAAACGTGGGAGTGGCACAAAATAGACAAGGAGCCCTGTAACAGACAAGCCGATAAGAATGCAAAGAACTCCAGCACTGAGGTACAAGGGGGCGAGTCTGTGGAGAGGAACAAGAACACAAGATGTTAGTTGCTATTAGGATCGGGTGGTCAGTTGGGACACTTACTAAAAGCTTCTCTTGGGTAATGATTTCCATAGTAATATGATAAATAGACTTTGAGACAACTGCAATTAGTCTGAAGGTATAGAAAAGTTTTAGCTCTCACAACCTCATGTGTACCATTTGTTAAATCTGGTTTTAAATCTTTTTCTAATTTCTTTGGCCATTTCTGATGACAACACCAAACAGAATTTCAACAAATAGAAAGTTTTCCATATAACACAGGATCCTGTTGGAACTGGGAACCAAGGAGGATACAGTCACTTACAGGACTTTTGAAGCTCCTGTCCAGTGACCCCCTTCCTGTTCTCTTTCCTAAGAAAGTCATCAGTCAAGTCCAAGCCCCACCCCCTATGATGATTACAGGGCAATTATCTCCTGACATGGGACATCCTTAAGCAGGGCTGCTTTCCAAAGAGGTTTTGTAAAAAGGAGATCAAGAATGTGTGCCACCTGTGGTTGCTGAAGCAAGGTACTGCTCTCAGTAAAGTGGTCAGTCTGTTTGTGGGGTGTATCATTTCAGGCTGCAGTTGGAGCTCACGGGTTTAAATGCACCTCTGCATCAAGAAACTACAACACATACCTACACATAAAAATCTAGATGCCAGGAAAACGGTAATGCCCCCCGATACTTAGTTTTCTATAAGTAAGGAATGTGTTTGGTATGGAAGAGCACTCGGCTCTGTATGCCCACCCCCCATCAGTAGCCTGAAGGGATACAAGGTTAGGCTGCCATCAAGACTGCAGATGCCAGCTAATATCCAGAGGTGGCAGACAGGCACTTGCCTATTTGAGAGAGAAGCTGACTGGCACACTGAAAAACACAGAGCATTGTGCTTAGAACAACTCACCTTCCTTGAGCACATCGTGCATATCCACTAAAGTACTGATAGCGAGCAATCAGATAAAGAACCCCACAGCATGCAGCCAAAACTATAGGAGGAGACAATCAAAGTAGTTATTATGGAAAGACTTGGGAAGATTGACCCTATTTTCAAACAAAAAACCCATCAAAAGCTTACGCTTACAGTTCCTGCTCTTAAGCACTACGCTACAACAACTCACAAGATACATCCAAGCACACAAAGTTCTGCAGAAGTCCGCATTCATCAGTTATTTGGAGAAGGGAACCAAAGCAAAGCAGGAGTCTGAGGTCACAACAGCCCCTGCATTAGCCTTGCCTTAATAGTGAAAACAACTATTTACCATACCATCACTACTTGAAAGCATCTTGTGCTATTGTGCCACATTAAATTTGTCAGTGTTTTAAGTTGCCACAGGATTCTTGTTTTTGCTGTGACTTAAGCATTAAAATAAGCCTTTGAGGTCTTCCAAATCAATCAGCACCAACTTGGAAGGTCATAGCACCTCCCAGCTAGAGGTCAGAGGAGAAGGATTCTACTTAGCCCTTCCCCTGACAGCAGTGACTTTCCTGGAACTTTAAAGATTCCCCCCCTAGGCTCTGGAATTACCATGCTACCACAACCAAAGGGAATTTGGGGAGTAAAGGACTTGCTATGTGGATTGGGCCATTATGTCACATGCTACACAAAACAGTTTCAAGAAGTGGCTCAAATGAGCATTTGTTTTCACCCTTTCACAAACTTGCAAGCAAAACTGAGGGTAAAAACATGTTAGAGTGGCTTCACACATTACATGTGGCAGAAACAACTGCTGTAGTTTCACCACTGCTTCCTGCAGCAAGCAAGTCAAGTACAGACAGGATACTGACATCTTAAACCCCCTGTGTGCCTGTATCTCTGATTGGGTCCTGACTTACAGGTTATATTAGTCACACTTTGCAGTGAAAGACACTTGCAGCAATCATGTTTACCATGAATGTGTGCAAGCGACAGTGTGTGTGTGTGTGTGTGTAAGTGAGAGAGAGAGAGCGCATGTGTCTGCACATGAGAGACATAAAACATCTATGTGCAGGCAACAGCCAACATCAGCCCAGTGGAATGAGGCCCCTGAGTGGCCACCCATCACATGTGATCTTCAGAAGCAAAATAAGTTGCCCACTTCTAACCTGAAGCATGAAGCCACCTCATTTAAAGAGCAGAACCCTTGCTTTGAACCCTTTGCTCAAAATATGCAATAATGTTAGCATAGGATGAAATCCAACAGAATACTTAAGTGTCTTGTTCCACCAGCACAATGATTTCTACTTGCCCAAGAGAAAGTTCTCCCTCTCTCCTACTCCCACACCAGACAGGGAAGAGGGGTGGGGGGAAGTCCCATTGCACAAGCAGAACTCTTGCACTGACATGACACGGCAGCTGAGTGCCACCCTATGATGTAGCAACAAACATCATTTGGCAGCTGTGTAAGTAGCGTAGCGGCAGCAGCTTAGCTGACAAAAACGTTTTATGCTTTTCACATTAAGAGTTTTATGAATTAAGGTTTGCTTTTTACCTTGATGGAAAAAGACTCCAGCCACCCACAAGAGTGAAAGAAATATTGGGAAGTATTCGGTGCAATTTGCTCTAAACAAAACAAAGAAGAAAATTAATTAATCTGTAGTTTGGGGGTGGGGAGATGACACACAACGATCACAGAGGCTTAGACCCTGGATAATATCCCACCTAACCAGCTTATTTAATGACTGGATTTATCACGGAGCACCCCACACTGGGCACACTATCCTTATCTCCAACCCGCAACACTATGGTCTAGTTCACACTGCAGAGAATGGACCAGTGTCTGGGCTGTACCACTTTAAGACATTTTACATGACTGAATGTCCCTGCAAAGAAAACTCTTCCCTGAGATGAGGGTGTCAGAGAGAAGGCTGGAATAGAACCTTTCTCTCCTGACCTCTAGCTAGAAGGTGAAAGTTGGTACCAGTTCATTTGGAATATCTAAAAGGCTTATCTTAATGCTTCCTTGACATTTCATGAGGCAAATGCAAGGCTCTGACATGCTCAATCACTGCCATGAACATGACAAGGGAGAAGAATCCAGGTACTATCTGATTGTGGCCATACTACTCTGGTACTTGGCGGGTGAGGAACGGCAGCAAGGAACTCCTGTTGAATGCAGAGAATCTTAAGCTTTTCGTTAAAAAGGAACAAAGAAGTTGCTTCTATTGCTGAGAGATACTGAAAATACAGGGGAAATTTTGTGCTGTGTAATTCACTATGCTTATATACTGCCATCAATGCGCCTTGTGTTACGATTAAGGAAAAAAACATCAGTGGGCTCGCATTCAAAAATTCAACAAAGGGGAGACAAGGGAGGAACTGGGTGGGGGTAGCAAAGGAGACAGATAACAAGGGAGACATAGGCAGCTCCATACAGTAATGCACATACTTAGGCTTAGATGCAGTTTGGTCAAAGGAGGTTGTGCCAAAGCATTCATGGAAAAGGAGAGGTGAAATTTGAAGGAAGAGCTGGCACCCTACAAGTGTTCTAAGAGGCAGTTTGAAGCACACACAGGGCAGCAAGGGGGAAAGGGTAGAGTCATTTGAGAGGAGAAGAGCTTCAGAGGTAAGAAGAGTGGAGGTTGTGAACGGAGAACTTCAGAGCAGCCAAGAAAAAGCAGGTCCCAATGCCGGGGGGGGGGGGGATGGGGCTCTACTTCCTCCATTCCCAGAAGTTTGTACTGATGCATACTCTCTCTGCTCTCTGTTCTGTAACCAGTTACTGATCCAAAAGAGGAACTTGCTTATTGTTCTGTGACTGCTAAGCTGAATGGGGGAGTCTTTTTGAAAGTCTTATGTATGCTGTGTTGACTGGATCACTTCTGCCTGTATACTTGCCACTCTCAAGGAACTCTGAAAGGTTAGCGTCATGGGATGAAAGAAAAGAGGCGGGGGCAAGGTCTGCTTGAAGGTTTTCAAGAGAAAGGATGAAGAGGTCACGCTGCATGTAAGAGCAGACAGGAAGCCAAGAGGGAAGAGATCTAAGCAGTGGTATCACGGAACTGCAGCATTAACAGAGGTGGACATATTTGCCATTGGAGAGCTGAATAAAGAATAAGGGGACTGCAATGGGAGAACAACACGAGGTTTATTTAATCATTTTAAATCTCACACTGTGGCTCAACGGAGCCCATGGGACAAGTCACTGCAGAAATATGAGACAGTCCCAACAAAAAATATATAAAATAGAACATATAATAAAATGAAATAGCTATTAAAATCCATTAGAAACCATTCAAAAATAAAACAAAATCTGATTAGCCACCATCTCTAAACAGTGCTCTTAAGGTAAATCTCAGAGTATAGGTGCCACCACTCACAAGGCCCTGCAGGCCCTGTCCCTTATTTCAGTCAGCCAGATCTTGGATAAGGTTGGCATGTGGGAATGGGCACTTGTTTCCCCAATGTATTCTAGAGTTTAGGTCATTTCAGGTTTGAAATTGCCCAGAAAAAAGATATTGTGCCAATGAACTTATCTTGGCCCAGGTAGTATCTGCTTCCTCTGCACTGTATCCATCAGAGAGACATACTAGCACACTTTGAACTGACTGAAGTTTCAATTCAGTCTTCAGAAAGACAGGCCGATGTAAAGTTATGTTACAGTAGTCCAATCTGGTGATTACCAGTACACACATCAATCATTAAAAGTCTGAATAGGATACAGCTGGACACAGTAGAGCCCATTTAATTTTAAATGACACACATGTGTGTCTGTTTATGAACAGATGCGGGTGGACTGATGCTTATTTTTAGAATGGCAAAGTCTGCAGGCGGCTACATTCAGCTGAGAGGCAAATTACATATTATACTGCAGCTGTGTACAATAAAGGCCCATGGTCCTCTTTGCTCTCATAAAACTCCCACTGGAGAGAAAATTTGCATTGCTACTTTGCTTTTCCTCTGAAAATTGTGGGTAGCAGGTTTTGCCCACAACTGTGTTCCAGGTACATGTTTACTTCACAAAAATGGGTCTGGAACCTGGGGGGAGGGTTTAGAGGGAAAGGGAAACATCCAATAAGGGAAAGGTGAAGCCCTCCATTTCTCCTTGTCCTTTGTTCAAAGCAAATTGTTCCCTCCTACCTTGAACTTTGAAGATACGGGGCTGTCAGTGTGAAGTACAGATTGCTCTTAAGCAGTTATCATTTCAGTGTAAAAACATCAGCATCTTCTCTGATAAAACTTACCTGCCCCCCCCCACATATATTTTGTGACTTCCCATGTGGACACAAGGGTATATGACCATCACTGTTAAGTCTCTGGCAAGCTTTACTACCTTTAAAATGAATGTGTTAATTGGAACCCCCTTTTTTCATACATTGAATGCAGACTGTCACGATGTCTTTGCGGAATTCTAAAAGCAATTTTAGCATCTCCTTTGAAAGTGTCAGTTAGTTGGGGGAAATGACTGGCAGAATCCGAGACCAGGGAGAAGAGTTGATGGAAGAAGATTGGAAAAAGTTTAAAGACTATTTACAGAAATATTGCAAAATTAATGAATGTTAGAATGATGTTGGATAGAAACTAAGTGGTCTTTAGCTGAAATGTTATAAGGGAATATGAAAAAATGGTTTATTAATAGGTAAAAATCTAAAATTACAATATTTTATGATTAATGATTAGGATACATAAAGAGGGGAGGGATTTGTTGAACTAATAACTGAACTGGAATACAAAAAAGGGAGGTGTGAGGAGGTACTGGAAATAAGCAAATGAAGGCTAAGCAATGGAAGGAATGAATTGTTTTTAACTATTTTTACTTTGTATTTTTTCTTTTTTCTTTTTCTTTTTGTTTTGTAATACTCTGAAAATCTTAATAAATATCTTTTTTTTTTAAAAAAAAGTGTCAGTTAGAAACCAGAGGAGGTGGTCAAGTGCGCTGTGCAGAGGTGAGTGGGTAGGAATTCTTTGCTAAGCAGAGCCTCTCAGTCACAGCTTGCTCTTCCCTGCCATCAGAATTCAGCTGCATGCTGGCCAAAATGCTACCCAAGGGACAAAATCACAAGGGCCACGAAATCACTTCAATGCTAAACATTCACTGAACTGCCAAAAACTCAAGACTATTTGTTCCACAAATGTTGCAATGTATGGAAGGTCTGGTGTTCAAACTCAGTGATCTTGTAGTCACATCACACAGACATGAAGCCAGTGAGTATAATACACAGTTGTTACACAACTACGGCAAGAAGTAGTATATGAAGTGTATGTGGTTGCACCTCATCTGTGCCAACAAGCATGTCAGTGTCTCTTAAACTGGTCAAAGGTTTCATCAAAATGTCTTTGCCTGTTCTCACATTGGCCAACCACATGCCTGTGGGAAACCCCCAAACAAGACCACAGCATCTCCTGTTGATGCAACTCTCTTCTAAGAATTTTTCAAACGCAACCTTTGGAGATGATGCATTGCCAGTCTATGCAGCCCGTTGGAGAGACTGAAATGGGGGCGGAGGAAATATGTGGTTGGTTAACACCCTGATCACATAAAATGTGTACGCAGAATTACAGCTGCTGTTGCCAATAGAAGTTGGTTCTAAGTATGGTTTAGGAACTAAGTAGATGACTGTATGGTAACCAATGTCACCACGTGACTGGAAGTATGCCGCTGGGAGATATGCCTACTTGGAGTAATCTAGATTCACATCTCCAGGGGTGGGAAGCTGGGATAAACTTAAATTATAGAGAGGGGTGGCATGGAAAGGAAAGGAAGGGAAGGGAAGGGAAGGGAAGGGAAGGAGGAAGCAGGTTAACTTACTGAGCTCTGAAGATCCTTTCAAATTCTGGTGGACCTGAAGTCACAGGAGGAGAGACTTTGCACTTCCGCCGAACGTAGATCACCTGCATGGCAAAATAGGCTGGATGGGAAGTAAAACAAGGAGGAAAGAGAAGCCAGTTATTTCACCCAATGAAGCACAATGGGTTCTCTATTGTTTTTTAAATTATGTTTATTACACTAAATAACAACCAATAGCAGCTAGTTGCACAATGGAGGATGAGCAGTATGCCCATAGTTTGCTCATCCGCACTAGCAAGCACCATTCACATTTCACTTGCAAGAGTAATAAATGAAAGTTTCATTTGTTACAGAATCATCCATTTGCAAACTAACCTTTAGTCTCATTATCCTGGTCTTGCTTTCCTCTCAACAGCAATAAAGATGCCTGAAAAATTCTAAAATTGTGCAGCCAAAAACCAACAATTCTCAGCAAGAGGCTTAAACTGTGCAATCTGAGCAGATTTATGTTGTTGATTAGTGTGCATACTTCATTTTGGGTTCACAGTTTTGTTTTGGGTTGCTTTGAAACACTTGATATCAAGGGAACAAGTGTAAAGGCGCTAAAACAGAAATGGGTATAGATCCTGCATGAAGACCCATAACTTGGAGGAGGAGCCATTATAGTCTGTGGCAGCAAACAAACAAGAGGGACAGACACCTCGTGGCACATAAAAAAATGATTCCTTTAATGTACTTGTATACCACTTTTTATCACAAGTGATGGCAAAGCGGGGTTGCATTAAAAAATAAAGTATAATTACAAGACACAATTAAGATAGCAGTAAAATAACAACAACCTCATTATCAATAGTAAAACCACAAAATCAGAACTGTAAAACAAAAACAGACTCATGGCTCAAAAACAGGCTAACCAGTGCCACCAAAAACTAGGAAAAGAAACAAGTAAAATTTCCATTGAACAGGGAGGTCCACTTCTTCAGATGCATGCAGTTGTAAAAGGGGAAAACAGGTAAAGGTTGGAGTTCAGTGGCAGTGAAATGCAAAAAGATAGCCTGCCAACTGAAGATTATGCTTCATGTACCTGACAAAGTGGATTCTAGGCTAGAAAAGGGTTATCCCAGGGATTGGGAACTTGCGGCCCTCCAGATGTTGCTGAACTACAACGCCCATCATTCCAGACCACTGGCCATGCCAAGTGAAGATGATGGGAACTGGAGTCCAAGAAAGAACATCTTGGGCCACAGCTTCTCCATCCTGAGCTTGTGCCACAATTAATCTGTTAGACTTCAAGGGGCCACAAAACTCTGTTGTTTTGGTCCCTAATACCCAAACCATTTCCACATTTTTAAACATTTAATTGAAACAGCTTGTACATTTTCTTTCCCAGCAGTGAAAGCTAGAAAAATGACAACATTTAAATTAACATTTTGATTCCACTCCATCTACCCTAATCAAGAGGTGAAAGCCTGAGATATAAACTTGATTATTAAGAAAAATGGTTGACTGTATAACATCTCCCTCTCCCTTTTTATCTTCATTAATGGAACTGGCACCGTCATCAGATCAGTTATTGAATGACAGTCTCTAGCAGGCTTCCTCAACCTCAGCCCTCCAGATGTTTTGAGACTACAGTTCCCATCATCCCTGACCACTAGTCCTGCTAGCTATGGATCATGATGCTGTAGGGCAAAAGCATCTGGAGGGCCGAGGTTGAGGATGCCTGGTTTCTAGTAAGGAGTGAAATTATAATTCAGCAGCCCCTCAAGATCACTGAATTAAGCAGAGAATCAAGCCAATGAGGCCATCGCTTCTTAGAAACACAACTGCAGAGATTTGCTCCCAGCTGCCCTTAGCCTAGCATTGTGGCTTATCTTAACATGAGAAGGCCAATAAAATCAAGACCTGAGTCCTGCACTGTGAAGTGACAACCAGCCATGCTCTCCCAAGATACCCATTCCATCTCCTGCCCACCCACTCCCTGCATTTTCCATTTCTCTACCAACATAGACAAAGAATTGTATGGTCTCTGGGAATGCTCAGTCCGCATTGCACTGTCAAGTGACAACCATGGAGGGCAGTGAAGATATAATGACTGGAGAACTAGGGGGCTAAAGGGCTGAATGTATCTAATAGTGAAAACTTTAACAGCAATTGCTATACACCCTGGTACTTCGCTTTTGGAAAAAAGAGATGCGATAGCTCAACCCTGGCCAGGGAAAGGGGACACGGACGGACGGACGGACACACACCCTACTCTGAATTGGAAGGTCTTCTTTTTTTATTTGAATATTTAATTGGGTATGTGTATGGCCTGCACCAGAACCTCTAAGCAGCTTACGAAAACACAGAGAATCACAAATACAAAAGTTAATACACATGATTATATCTCACAAACAACCACCAAGCCCCTCTGTTAAACAAAATCCCCCAATGATTTTGCTCCCTTCTCCATGACCTCCATCTCAGTGCTGACTGCTTTCTTTTAAGTGCTTAGGAACTGTGCCCTTGCAGCACAACATCTTGACAGCGGGGCGGGCACTGAATCCATTTCTCCTAGATTATATTAATTTTATGTCCTTTTTTCACTCCAGCACTCTGCCTCTTATATTCAGATTCAGTCTTCCTCTCCAAAACATCTCTTGGTAATGCTTAGCTCATTTCTCTGGCCACTTTCATCTCTTCCATCATCATCTCCTCAGGCTTTTAGTGTGACTTTTATTCATGCGCCTGCTCCAGCCTTTTTATCTTACTGCATGCTCTAGACATCCTTTACAAATTACTTCTTCACTTCGTGCCTACTCTCACTCCTTTTTCTCCACTGTGTCTTTCAGCTCCTCTTTCCCAGTTTGACTCCTCAATCTCTCAGCTCTCTTATTTTTCCACATACCTTGCATGTCTCATTCATATCGCGGCATGCCGCCCTGATCTCTAAGCGGTGTGAAATTCCAGGGGTTAAAGGTGCTTACCTTTGTGTTTCCTTTGAAATGAAGGACTCTGGAGACTGTGGTGTCTTTATGATAGAAGGCTTATTTACACATATATACAACCTGAGCCTATGATGGAGGGGTTCACAGCATTATCACCCCAAGAGGATCTTGCTTCCCTCAAAGCCACAGCCTTGGATTCCAACAGAAATCAGGCATGGCTATGTCTCCCAGATGCACCACCTGCCAGCATCTAGCTTCTAGCTCACATAATTCAACTCTCAACTCTGGCCTTTGTCTTTCTAACTATGACTTCCTTTGTCACCTTAATGGCCCATGCTTAGAGGACCATTACCTTACCAGGAAAGTAGCCTAGCTGTTTCAGGAACTGAATAAACCAACATTTATTAACTGTGAGTGTCTTTAAGGAATACTTCAGCTGCTGCAGAAAGCACTCTATAAGACCTGCATCCCTCAGCTGACTTTCATGTTTCTCTGCCTCCACCCCCACTGACTTATTCCAGAAAAGAAAGGGAGAGATTTATTAATTGACTAAGGATGTCAGGCTTTAACGGGAAAGCCAAAAGATAGAAAATATGACTCATATTAGCCTGGGTACTGCCTTTCCAAGGTAAAGATAAGATCACTCTGGCTTCCTGCACAAGCACTTAATTATCTTTGTTTTTGTGGGGAGGGAGCGCTGTGGTCTAAACCACAGAGCCTAGGGCTTGGCGATCAGAAGGTCGGTGGCTCAAATCCCCGTGACGGGGTGAGCTCCCGTTGTTCAGTCCCAGCTCCTGCCCACCTAGCAGTTCGAAAGCACAAAGTGCAAGTAGATAAATAGGTACTGCTCCGGCGGGAAGGTAAACGGCGTTTCCGTGCGCTGCTCTGGTTCGCCAGAAGCAGCTTAGCCATGCTAGCCACATGACCTGGAAAAACTGTCTGCGGACAAACGTCAGCTCCCTCGGCCAATAAAGCGAGATGAGCGCCACAACCCCAGAGTCGTTCGCGACTAGACCTAACGGTCAGGGGTCCCTTTACCTTTATCTTTTAGACATGTGTACAGTTCCTTAAGATGCCAAAACAGGCATAGCCATGCATAAATTGGAGGTATCAGCAAATGCGGAGGAACCCCAAAGTTTGCAGAAATATCACAAAAGAAAAAAAAATTGAGGGGAAAAAACCAGGAGCAGCCCAGTGAGGTACTGACTCGACTGTTTTTTTTTGGGGGGGGGAATGGAAAACCAGGGGAGCAGGGGAATGGAGTAGCACAGGGGAGACATGCCTGATGGACTGGAACAAGGAATGGCAGGGCCTCCACACGGCAAAATTCTGTTAGTCGGGGCTGGCCCACCCATGAGGCAAGGTGAGGCAACCACCTCAAGTGGCAGGATCCACAGGGGCAGCTGATCCCTATGTTGCTTCTTGCTGATGTACATACTCAGTCACCCCTTCTTTCCTAGCTGGGAGGTGGGGCACCACTTTGCGGTTTGCCTCAGGTGCCAAAATATCTTGGGCCAGCCCTGGTTACAAGTCCCACTTGCTACAATTAGGATCAGTCTTAAATGACACACACTGTTGATTTGCCATCAGATTTCCATCAAATCGATTATTTTCTACAACTCTATTTTTAATACTCAGACCTGGTTCCTAAAAATATGCTAGGACAACTGAAATAAAAAAATAACAAAAAACAGGCAGTTTACTCACATCAGCTCCTGTGAGATTACAGTCTCCTCTTTGGGGGGGCGGGAACCCTACAACCTACAGTTATACTTTTGTTGTAAGGGGAATCATAAACTCATGCAAGTTTGCTCTGCATGTTATCCCCTCATATGAAGACCCCACTTGTATGAACAGGTGTTTTTTTAAAAAAGGGTAAGACAGTTCCCAGCATATCGCCAGAACAGACTTTCAGATATTATACATCAGCACACAATAAACACACTACTCTAGCTGACATTTTTAATTGGTCAAGCTGTCAATTCAGGAATTAAAAACAAATCTCACTGTCAGTTTATACCACAACTAAAGGGTTGGGTTTTTTGTTTTTTTGGGGAACAGGCTGCTATCTATCAAGTCCGCATTAAAGTCTCTTTATATTGTTGCCAGATTTGAACGGCCTTGATCATTATTCTTTCCCCTGCTCATTATGCAAAAAGAATAAAGTTGATTTGAGTGCCTTTTTATGTATTAATCTGCCGTTGCATATGAAATTGCTAGGATGCAATAGGGACACTTTACATTCCATGTACCTCACTTTATGCAGTATTTTGCTCTAACTCCTGGAGACAGAGATTTAAATCATCTTGTTACTACTCAAGGTTTCCCATGAGAGAAGCCTAAATTCCCTAGCAAATTATCCCTTTGATTTAGTTCAGTTAATCTTGACCCTTCTTACAATTTTGTTTCTTCAGGCAATTGTTGGCATTCTAATGAACAAATGTTTTAAAAAGTTGTTTACACCATTATCAACACTGCAAGTATGGCTTTACAATCCAGTTTACATTCTCTGCCGCTCTAAAATATAAGGCAAGAGTTGCAAGTCAATTATCTTTTTAGACTTTAAAGTTCATCTTTTTCTCCCAACAGCTACATCAATGGTACATACAGTATTTCCTATTTAACTTGAGAGATCTTATTTGGCTTATATTGCCTAAAAAGAGATATTAAACTTGTCTCTAATAGTAGTGGCATGCTCCTTACCTTGTTCCAAGACTCCCAGGACAGTAACAGTGGCCAGCAAGGCTATCTGATGCAGCATGATGGATCTTGAAACTGCGAGACAAAAGCGAGACAGATACAAAGCTACACAGACTTTGAAGCTATGACTTTTCTGCTCCTTAATATATGCCCACAGTGGCTGTCAATATAATCAGACAGCACAACCCTCCATTTCCTCTTCCAAAGGGCTGGTTAGTTAACTCACTGCTTGCTGGATGGTTTTGACTGGATCCCATCAACAGTGGTACTATTGAAACAGTCTGAGCTTCATTTACCTTTTCAATAGTCTATTGTTAAGATGTGGGCACTTCACAATGGCTGAATACCTAGCCTTTTACAATAAGCACTATATGCACCACTTCAGCCATGGTATGATAGGAATTAGTGATATTTTCTTTTCTTTTAAATGTCATTCAGTTTTGAGGCCAAAGATTTCTTTTTGGACATTTACTTGCTCACTAGTGAAATACTGAACCAATGTGACAGCAGATGACCACTTCAATGACCAACCTTTGTTTTCTTGCTAGCTAAAGCAATGAAAATTAGAAACCGTGTGCTTTCGGAGTAAAGCAAAAACACAGCATATACACATTTGATTAAGCAGATATAGTCACACTGCTTCCTTCCTATGAGTGACTTGCGAACAGGTGAGAATGAGTGACATCTTGTGAGCACAGGTGCATTTACACAGTTTAATCCAATTTGCCCTCTGGACAGTCATCTCGGATTGACTCACATCCCAAAGTTGGTTAGGTCTTCCTTTTCCAATTATACTGGCTGTGCCTGTATATGCAAGGTTTTTAGGTATGCAAGGTTTTTCTTAAAAAGTCAAGAAAACTTATTTCCTGGTCCAGGCCATCATGGGCCTGTTTCTTTTCCCTTCCTGATCACTTTGTCTGAAAGGCAGCATTGGCTGCTGGGCCCATTTCACGTCTTATGGGGCTTGGGCAGGACCTTCTGGTGGCAATGACAGGCAGAAGCAACAGTGCCCCAACTACTGCTCTGAGCAGTATTAGGCAGTCACCATCATAAATGCTCCACAACTGAGAATCCTGTGGCCCTCCAAATGTTCTTGGACTCCAACTCCTATTTGCCCTAGCCAGCATGCCTGCTCTGCCCACCAGTGAACTACTGGGTTCCCTTCAAGGTGTTAGCATCAGTGTATCAAGTCCTAATTGGCTTGGAACCAGAGTGCTTAAAAAAGCCCCTCCATCAATATCAACAATCTTAGGACCTACAATCAACAGAAGCCCTGCTGGTGCTGCCTGCTTTGTGGAGGAAACAACAGTGGATCAGCAGGTCTGCTCGCTGCCACTTTGGGCCATCTTCCTTATCATTGCTCTGCTCCTCCTGCATCCTAATTTGGGTCTTGGCAGAAGCAGCAGGAGTGGATTTCCAGGCTAGACAGGAGGAGGAAGGTGGTGAGCAGTGGTCCCAACCAGCCAGATTGGGGATATGGCCTTCTACTACACATGGGGTACTTCAATCAGCGCTTCATTGGCTAGAGCCTCAATGCACTTATTCAGCTTGATGTTGACAGTTTCACCAAAAAGGTGCTTGTGCTCCTTTGAACTTTGCTGTCCTGGACTGTTTACATGGATCTTGTTTTATGAGTTGTTGTGAATTATCTAGAAACGGGCATCTTTCCTGTCTGTTTATTTGAGGAACATAGGGTTAACTAGTGAAGCCTGATCTACGCTGAGGCTCAAATGTAAAGGCAGTAGAATTGCATTGGCTGTGAAATGTGGCACATCTCTTTGCTTGAGGGAGGAAAAATCTGAAAGCTGTAAGCTTCCTGGAACCTATAGCCCAAGATCAGTATGATAAGAAACAGCTTTGTATGCCTGGGAGAAAGGCAAACAAAGTGCTGCTACTCAAGAGGAAGCTTCTTCTTACCCTTTTTCTTGCAGAACAGGTGGCCGTCACATGCTCTCTCAATTTTATTTCCAGAGGACCATCTCCCCGCACCTAGTTGCCAGAGGTGTCGTGGAACTGTGGGTCCATCCAGGTGATCAGGAATCAATACCTTCCACAGCCTTGATATGTCTGTTTTGTAGTTGCACAAGCAGGTACCCATTCTCCTGTATGGCCTTCCTCAACTACTCCTCGAACGTCACCCAGGACTGTACCTTGTGAAGCATGTAGGGCGATTGGGCTCTCAGGTTTGCTTCCTAGCGGTTCTTCTGTTTATTTAAAATATTTATAAACCATCCTTCCTCCAAAGGAATTCAGGGCAATGTACATCAAACAAAAAATCGTAATACTAAAAAGAAATAGCAGCAACTTATTAAAACACCAATTCAAATATTCTTGCTGAGGATTAAATGTCCTCTACGAAACTATGGAAAAATAGAAATGTATTCAGTTGACTTCTTTAGGCCAACAATAATGGCATACATTTGTAGGAGGATCGTTCCAAAGTTTTAGTCCTACCAAGGAGGCCTTTCTACATACAACCACCCTCCCCAAAATCCAAGTGGGGACTACAAGAAGAACTGCTGCCACCTGATTTTAAGGAGCAAGTTAGCTGGTAATGGAAGAAGCTCTCCTGCAGGTATTTGGGTCCCAAGCTATTTAGGGCTTTGTAAGCCATTGTTAATACTTTGATGCAAACTCAACTGCACATCTCCCACCTGCTCAATTTTACATGGAGATTGCCCTGGGGAGGGGAACCTGGAAGAATGTGTAGATGCTGTTGATGTGTTCTGCTTCTTTCATTTTGCAGCAGTCCCCTGTAGTGCAGACAGATGAAACTGCATGGAATGTAGTAGCAACCTTTGAACATCCTCCATCTCTCCCCAACCACACAATCACTTTGCAGTACTTGCTGTTGATAAGGTATTTGCCTTTGTCATTTAAGTTGGGCTCTCATACAAAGGAGGACACTTGCCAGCCATGCTTGCTGTGCTGCCTAATTTGTCAGCATCTAGCGTGGCCGCAGCTGTAGATACCACCTTGATGTGAAGAAGTGGTGTGACATTACTTTATTATTGCCAGAAGAAAAGGAAGTGGCCTTCATAGTTGTGGCAGTGGTGGTTTGCGGCTGCTTCAGAAGGGAATTGTTTTCCAGAACAAGGTGCTGGAGCCAGTGTGGTGTAGTGGTTAAGAGCGGTAGTCTCGTAATCTGGGGAACCGGGTTCGCGTCTCCGCTCCTCCACATGCAGCTGCTGGGTGACCTTGGGCCAGTCACACTTCTCTGAAGTCTCTCAGCCCCACTCACCTCACAGAGTGTTTGTTGTGAGGGAGGAAGGGAAAGGAGAATGTTAGCCGCTTTGAGACTCCTTAAAGGGAGTGATAAAGCGGGATATCAAATCCAAACTCTTCTGCTGTAGAAGATACTGTTCTGTTGTTTTCTGAGTTTTAGATACAACTGGATGTAGAATAGCAGCAGACATTATCTCAGTCAGGGACACTTCAACCATGGCTGATGCCACATCCACATCAAGTGGCTCTTCTAGATCCTCACCTCAAATTTAGTGGAGACTGATTAGAATGCTTCAACCATTCATCTGCTGCCCTTACAACCCTCCTTTTATTGCCGAACACTGCACAGGTTCAGATGCTGTGCTTGATGCCAGTGGAGTATGGCTGCTGTGGTCTTCTTATTCAGCAGCACACCACTAGTGTAGAAGGGGAGGAGACTCTTAATGCACCTGCACTTATCCAATGATGCCCTTATATGCTTCATTAAGATTTTCACTGCATCAGCAAAAAAAGGACAATGAATGATCCAAAAGTTTAACAGGTATATTTTCAGTATAAACACACTTCTGTTGTGATTCCTGCAGTGCTGGGCTTGACCATGTCATCTTGGGGGCTGAGTCATAGTGCAAATGTCACCACCCATGACTTCAAAAAGGGCTGGATACAATTACCTGGGAAATAATATGTGGCTCTTTTTGAAAATTTGGGATAACTCCCATTGAACATGGTGGAACTTAATGGTGTGACTGAGTTGGGCAGGGGTAGAGGGCATCACTATTGTCGATCCCTGGAGATAAAGGACTGTTCATACATCTCCATTTCTCTGCTATCTATAACTTACTTTTTCATATGTCCAAGCAGCCAACAAGGTCTCTATCCTTTTCCTGCCATCCCAGGCTGTGCCCTCCTGCTGTGCCTCCCTGCCTCCTATCACACTGTTGGGGGGGGGATCATTTCCTTTCTATCTCTCTCTCCCATTCTGTGTCTCCACTGACCAATGCATAAACATTCTGGATATTTAAAGACATTGACCTATCAGTACAGCAGCATGCATGGTTAAATGAGTCTACCTTGCTGCTGCTGCTGCTCCCCCAAAATAAACATTCCTATCTGGATTCTGGGCTCCAAGAGATGCACATTGGCATAAATGCCTTGACCTCCAAAATAAAACTTGTGCAACTCTTGCTATTCTCTACACTACCCCAAACCAGCCTCAGTCCTTCCAAGTAACTCATTTTCTATATCTGTTCCAGCAGCCAAGATTTTCCCCTCACTTCCACCAGCTGTCCTGGGCCACACATCAATAGTCATAAGCAAGCTGTTCACAATGCATTTTTCAGGTATTATGAATGCCTTGATAGATTATCACAGTAAGAAAATACTGCACACAGATTGGCAAAATGAGTGCCAAGCACAAGTCAAGCGTTAAAACAAAATCCAGGGAATGCAAATCACAAATTCTTATTTGAAAAGGCTTTTTCAAGAGTGGTCTTTGTTTGTGTGCTCTCATGCATGTGCGGAGGAAGGAAATGTAAAAACAAATCATCAGATGGTATTGATGATGCAGGGATAGATTTTCAAATAGCAAATCTGCAGCAGTAAAAAAAACTGTATTGAAGATTATACTTGAATACAAATCTTCCTTTTTTGAAATGTCTAATGTACTTTCTTAAAGCACTTCTTGAAGTTTATAGCAATGTCAAAACTTTAGATATCTCATAGAAATAGGAGGCAATATCAAAATCAGAGTAAACCTATTGATTTAAATAAGTCTGCTCTAAGTATGACTAATACCGGATGTCACCCACTGTGTAGTTTAACTGGAGGCAAGTGAAGAACACAAGACTTATTTGAAATATATTTTCATATTAAAATCCTCCTGCTCCGTTTCATTTTTTCCCACTAAGGGAGCTGATAAAAAATGGAATTTGCAGATGTATTCAAATTACATTTGCTTAGAAATCCCACAGGATTCAATAATGCAGCACAACAAGGTGTGCAGATGACTACAGTATTTTTCTGCAAGCCCTGTGCACTGAGGGATGGGAGTGAAACAAGAACTTATGTCTTGCTTGCTCATCCCTGAACCATCTAGGGTGCAGGTCTGATATCAGAATACTATCAAAAATCTGCGGCAACTAAGGTAAGATTTTCCAAGGCGTTTATAATGCTTTCTCCCTAGGAAATACAAAAGAAATTCAAAAATGTGTGTGTGAAAAACTGACCCAGTATCCTCCTGAGTTTTAAATCTACTTTAGATTTTTTTTAACCTATGTTGAAACACATTCCAAAATAATTCTAAAAGTCATGACACCTCCGAGGATTATTCATAGATTATTTTTCATAGATCAATAACTTAAGATGGCAGAAGAGACTAGAGTCAGGCTCTCTGTCCAACACCCTGCAGCCAACTCTACAGCCATGAACTCTAGAGAAACCTGCACGTGTGCTTTTTAGCAAGTGGATCCATGGCAAAAAGGGCTATAAAGTCTCTTCTGAATGCCAAAGGACAAGTTGTTACTCCACAACTTCATGGTGTGATTCTCATGACGGTCCTTAAGGCATCGCAGCTCAACCTTTCTTAAGATCCTTGCCAGCTCTGTCAGTTTGTGGCCAGTATGTTGCACCCCTCTTCCACCACCAGAAAAAGCGGCTCTTTTTAGCATCTTGCACTGCAGTGTTTAAAACCACAAGAGCTAAAAGCTAAAAAACACAGCTAAAAGTTGCATCTCTACTGGCCTCCTAATTTAATATACAACAGATGGCTGAACAAAGTTTGGAAAATCTTTAGCAAGACCCTAAGTGAGAAACTGATGCAAAAGGTCATTGATACAGTAAAGAAGCGATGGGAAACCTCATGCCTCTGGGCCAAAATCCAGGCTCCCTATCTGATCCTTAAAGACTCTCCACAGACCACAAGACTCTCTGCTCAGACCATGTTCTTCGCCAGCCCTATTCCACCCCACCCCAAAGTGGCTTTGCCTGTTCGGAATGTATCCGTCTCTTGGTTGGCTAGATGGAGAGATGGATGTGCAGATGTAGAGAAACACCTGACTTCTGAACGGCTGGGATACAGCTTAGAAGTACATCTGTTGCTCCGATCACTTTGGTCTCTGGCCCTACCCACCAGTTGCATACAGCCCCTGGTTGCCCAGGAAGGAAGGGGAAATGCCCTAAGAACGAAAAAGATTCCTCTGTCCTGTGCTGGAGTATCCACGTACAAAGTATCTCAAACCAAGGAAGTGTAACCCCAATCCCAAGACCCTGACGCAACCCCAAGATCCCTCTGATTTAGCAGCAGCAAAAACTGGGGGGAAGTAGACCCTGTTTAAACTTCTCCATCCAGCCCAGCACCCTGATGGGAATGGGAATTGCTGCTTCCCCAGTCAATCAGATCAAACATTTGATGAGCATGGAGGGGGCAATAACCGCACCTCCTCTGCTGGTCTGCACAGATCAGCTGAGGAGTGGGAGCTGTGTGTGGCTGGGTCCATTCTGTGTGTGTACATGCAGGTGATGGCATCCATCACTGGCATACAGACCCAGGCGAGTTAACCAAGGGTGAAAGTGGCCCTCAAGCCAAAGGAGGTTAGCAACCCCTTATCTAATAATTGCACATGTCTTTGTAGAGTGACTACAAAGCACACAAGTATCTTAAATGGAACAGTCTATTCCCCCCCCCCCGAAGTGATACTGCATCTATTAAGGGTTTAGACTAGAATATGAATATTCTGTAACCACAAAAAAGATTAAAATAGAATCTCAAGCTAAAAGCACAATTGATTTCTGCAAAAGATCTGCACCAGAACTGTGAAAATCGCTGATTCAGCTTCGATGGACTGACAGAAGTCAGAAATACTTTATTTTTGTTCTGATGCGAAACATGATTCTTCAGTTTGAAAGGGGAAACAGATAAAAGTTACTTACCATGCAAAGCGCTGGCTGCTATCATTCTGCGGTCTCTGCATTTGTCATGCGAACCGATAGCCTGCAAAGTTAAGTTTTCTTGGAAAGGAGCAGAAGAACATTTTATGCAACAGAACAACACACAATTGTACATGGGATTTTACTCTAACCTATACACAATAGCAACAGCATAGTTAGGACCTCCTCACACATTAACATTTTAGGTGTATAGTAATCCCTTGTTTTATGTGCATTTGAATTATGCAGTTTCAACAATATGCAGTTGAAGGTGGCCTGGTTGAAATTGCACAAGTCAAGTCACAAGCAAGGTTGAGAGCTTAAAGGTTCTTTTTGCACCATGTAACCCCAAGCAGACCTGACACAAAAGAGCATTTAAGCTGCCTACCATGCTTTTGTGCGAGTACTTGGATTTCTCTCTCTCTCTCCCTCACCCATTAGCCACGGAGTGGCGCCAAGGGTTTGAGGGTATATGCAATTTTTCATGTATGCATGGAATACTTGAAACTGAGCCTATGCATAAAATGAGGGATTATTGTACTTAACAACTGGGTTCTCCCAGACTTGGTACTATCCATGAAGGTGCAAAGAGCATCAGTGACTAGGAGCGCCTTTTATCAATTCTGGGTGATTCACCTGCTGCGCCACCATCTCGATAAAGCAGATATTGCCACAATAATTCATCCCCTCATTACAGGCAGACTAGATTACTGATAACACACACTATGTGGGGCTGCTTTTGAAGACTATCTGGAAGCTTCAGCTGGTGAAAAATGCATCTGTCCAGTTGCTTGGAATATTTAATTGTGATTCTGTACTGCTATTGTTATTACTTTTAAAGCTCTAAATGGCTTGGGACCAGGGAGACCCATATGAATTTTCCTGACCTTGAAGACCCACTGTGAGGGACCACTAGCATGGTCTATCAGGCTGGCAGGTACAAACATTTTACTTTAAGGTGGTAAAATAAATAAAAAGAGGTGGCCCAAATGTTATGGCACTCCCTCCTGTGGGAAGTGTGCTTATTGCTGTTTGTGAAATTACTTTTTCCCATTATTTTATGATGTGAACTGCCTTGAAAGGGCTATATAGCCCTGAAAGGCATTACACAAATGCCTACATAAATAAAACAAGAAGCAAGAATGTAAACAAATATACATCATACGGGTTAACTCTGTAGCAATCCCGGAGTTTGCCTCTTCAAAATGAATGAAATGGCCCTTAAAGAGCTTAGAGCAACACACCACCTTCTTTCCAGTGTGTTAATGTTTTTTTATAACGTTTTCTAGAATGTAACTTGCATGTCTCCCTAGTGAAAAATGATGTTAAGAAAATGCCTGTTTTGCAATTTCCTGTTAAGGTAAGTGAAACCTATATACATATACATATACATATACATATACATATACATATACATATAGACAGATAGATATAGATATATCATTTTGGATGTTTTCCAATATACAAATCTGTTGAACATTTTCATTTCCTCTGTGATTAACAAAACCTAACATTGTATGCTGAACGCCTACAAGTGTCAAAAAGGCCAACAATTAAAAATGGTGAAAAATAGCTTGTTTCCTATATAACAACTCTTCATGTTAAAGGGTACCAAAATGTGATCAGAAATAAATGGGTAACATTAGTAAAAGCTTTTTCTACCTATTGTTGAAATACTAAACAACACAACAACAACAACAGCGGTTTTGACTTTCAAACATATTTTAGTTCTGTCTTTCAATATTAGGGTTAGTTCAAGAAAAGGGAGAGAGTTTTTGTTTTCTGCCAGATAAAAGGAACCAGAATTTTTAAAATCAGTCTCCACAGCAAAGCTAAACTATATGTAGTTCAGGTGATGCTTCAGAAAACACGACTATTTGTTTAATACACTAGCAAAATATTTATTTTTTATAATGACGTAACAGAAGTGAAATATTTCTTTTTGGTGTGCCACAGTAATTGTAGTTAAAGAAAATAAATGGATTAATGGGCTCTTTATACATTTCAATGACAAAAAAGGTTAGCATCAAATTTGAACTGTTCATTTAAACAAGTGTAAAATTTATCATAACCACCCCCCGACACACACACACACACACACACGCACGCACATATTATATATATATATATATTTAAAGAATTATAGTTTTAAAATCTATAAAAAGTAAAAAATATACACTCAGATCTAACTCTTATTCAATCTTTAATATAAAACTGTAAACATTTATTTACACACAAAAAATGTGTAGTATAGAAAACTGAGCACCCTTTTCGATTCAGTTGTAGGGGGTTTGGAAGGCAGTGGATGTTGAACACCTTTTCACCTGTCCATGACCACAGTATATAAATAAAGCTGAGGCAGCAGGCTAGGTAAAGCTCAGGGGAGCCACATCTTATTGCTCTAAAGCTGCAGCAAATGCAAAGCTCAAGTGCATATTCATTTATGAACTGCTACAAGTGGCTGAAGGGCAGCACTTAGCCCTTCCCCACCCAGCCTCCATACTCAATTATGACTGCCAAAAATATTCTAGGCCATTCTGCTTAAAACTGTATCTGAACAAAGTTAAACAACGTATGCCCACAGCTGAAAAAGACATTAGCATTTTACTGGACATCAAAATCTGATTGCCTCATTAGAAACACAAGGAGTTTCATTTTCTTTTGACCTAAATTATATTTAGGAGATCCAACTAGAATTTAGTATTATTTAATTCCTTAAAACCTGCTATTTTTCAGTGTGCCTGAGGGAGAGGAAAAAATCAGCAGAACCCAGACAATTAAAAAACTATGAGGCGCCAAACACCTCCAGTAAGAAAAGGAAGGCACGCTGGTGCAAAATTTCCAAACTGTTCATAAGCCAAGTTCAATTATTTCCATACCTAACCCCTCTCCCTGCCCCTGCGTGTGTCCAAAAAACACATTTCTGCCCCTGGCCCAAAAAAAATCTACAGAGATTAAAAGATATTCTGGTGACATTTTGGAGCAATTTTTTTAATAAACCGAGCTCACAAACAATTTCACTCACTCGCTGACTTGTCGAAAATATTAGTAAATTTAACTCTAATCTAATTTACTTATAATATCAGCCATACCAATGTTTCATTCATTAAAATGAGCTGCCTCTTAGAAAATGGTGTTTTAAAAATATACAAATAATGTGATTTACTTCAGTTTGGACATTCAGCAGTAAAACCATTCATCAACATGCAGCTTCCACAATTTAACCCCCATCAACAGTCCATCAAGATACAATACAAAAATCTGTTTAGCATGGCATACATAACTACTCATGGGTGGCAAGCATATAAAACAGAACTAATATCCATGTGTAATTTGGGAAAAGATTAAATAAAAGTAGTGTTAAAGCGGATTTTTTTTTCCAAAGTGCACATCTGAGAAAAACACTGCAGATACAGTAAAATATTTCCTTCCTATGGTTCAACTGTTGTATCCCTTATCCGTTTCCCTGTCTAAAATATCCCAAACTCAAATCTTCACACTTTTCTTGTGTAGAGATGCTCCTGAATAGGCTTGAAGAAAATTCTTTGATTCTCAGTGACAGGTGTGATGAATTAAGGAGGTAAACAGTCCTGTTCATTAAAGAACAAAACCAGACCCAGAGTAGGGAACAGAGGTATCTGTGCATCTAAAACAACTTTCAAATTTATTACCTTTATAAACGAAAGGTTAAGGCAAAAGGTGGTTTGTTGGCAAGTAGAAGAATTTTTGGTAACCTGTTAAGAACAATTCTCTCTTTTCCTTGCCCTGCATGGGACCGTCCCTACATATGTATGAAGGGGTCTCCATGAACCGTGATGAAATAGCAGCATCTGCTTCACTGGAGATTAGTCTACATATTTCTAAAGAGATTAAATCACTAAAAAAAAATTCCCCAAAATATGGGGGCTCTCACAATGGAAGAACCTTTAATAAAGTATTATGCTTCCCCAGGCTCTCTGTGCCATTATTGCAAAGTTTTTCAGGTTAGTAACAGTTTCCAAGGCACAAAACTTCCTTCACTTGCTTGACCAAAAGTAACAGATCCTGTTCTCATTGGTACAGCCTATGTGTGGCAACAAAAGATTGCTAATTATAAATGCCCTCTGAATCCAAGAGAAGAAATAAGCTGTGATCAACCCAACGTTCTCATTTAATGGATGCTAAAAAGGAGATAGAAAAAGTGCACACTTGATTTTAAGCTGATTCTCCGATTAAAAAAAAATCATCAAAAAACCAAGAGCTCAGTCTTCCCCCACAGCAGAGTGCAAATTGCTTAGCTTAGTAAGCCATAAGCTATTTAAGGATGAGGTCCCCAGTTTAGGGCTCTAGCAACCTACTGCTGGACAAGTTTTAACACTCAATGATCTTCAGCACAGAAAGCCATCAGCTATTATTATTGTGAACTCTCATATCTTGCTTGCCAAGTATCACTAGAGACTAGAAGAATGACTTCTCAAACTAGAGTAGATTTTGCAAAGAAAGTGTTGCACAATCTTTCCTCAGAAAAAGGTTGCAGAGTGTTAACTTTCACTAGTTTGCAGGTCAAGTTAGAATCAAGAAACCTGTCAAGTACTAGTTGTAGAAACGATTGCCTTAACACTGAGTATTTTGAGTCTTCCTTGCTGGCTTACTTTGTGAATCACCACAGCATGGTTCGCATTTAAACCTTCAACTGAAAAACACTGTTAAAATTGAAACTTCTGAAGGGCTGGCTGGGATGCACACCAAACTGACCAGGACTGTTTCCATGAGCAGTGTTCCAGACCCACTACAAAAATGAGAATGTTATATCCTATCAAATTGGGGCATACTTCTCATGCTGTTAGACCCAGAAGGGAGCAGCTCCAATACATTCCCACTAGTGCCTGTGAATTTTCTCAATTCCACAGGTATTTGGTCCAAAGATAGTTGTAATTAAAAATAAAAGATTTGGGGGGGGGATCCCCAAACCTCTTTTTAATGATTCCCTAACAACTCATCCAAGTCATTCATCCATTCTTCTGAAGTCCTGTTTTTCAACAAAGTGTCTATAAGATCTGTATCCCCAGTTAAGTTCGGCAGTCCATTACTACCAGATGGGTTGCTGTAGGCAAAGGGCAGTTCCTGACTGGGTGTCCTCACTGGATAACCTTGACTACAATGCAGATTGGCTCTGTTAGGCAGTTGCTGATTTTGATTCTGGCTGAAAGAAGTCATATCTGGGACAGCTTGATTCATGCCTGGCAAGACCTGCTGTGATGGGACTGTCTGCTGGGTAGGAGGGTTTGTCCTCTGCTGGGCACTTATAGATGACAACATCTGTCCAGAGACAGCAGAGTTCATGGACGTCATTGGCCTGCTGGTGTTGAGGCTTACCTGAGGCATTCCTTGCGCAAACTGTTGACTGGTCAACTTTAGGTGAGTCTGCTGCATATGGAAAGTGGAGTTGGCAGTAAATGTCCCTAAACCACTGTTCCCTTGTGCCTGGTTGTTCATATTTGACATACCTTGGTGCTGCCATGATTGATTTTGGACCCCAATAGATGTTGGCATCCTTGCCATTTGTGGCTTGGATAAGTTGGGATTCAGTGCTCCTTTACTGTGCTGCTGAGAAATGCTGGCAGTTCCTAGGGTGCTCTGTCCATATCCAGCAGGAAGAGCAGTGCCCTGTGCCAAACTGGGTTGTCTTTGCATTTGTGGCTGTCCATTGGCACTTGGATTTGCATGCTGTGGAACCATCTGTGTCATACCAGATGCCATGTTGTACAAGGTACCTCGCTGAATGCTCTGCAAACTAGGATACTGATTTACTCCTCGATCTTGCTGATTGCTGCTTGAGGAGACAGAACTGTGTCCTGTGCCAATCTGGATCATATTCTGAGTCTGAGAAAACATGCGTGGACTACTGGAGTTAGACTGGCCTAAATTATTTACCCCTGCCATCGCTGGAGATGAGCCTATAACACAAAACGAGAGTTTCAACATTTATAAAAACTAAGCAGTACATATCCTCAGTTTAGGTGCAACATTATACATATACTGCAGCATGCAACATTTTGTAGCTGTATTTAGGACTCATTGTCTTGAACCTTGAGAAGTGCCAGCAGAAGGTGACTTTCCTGCCACTGCTACCTCCCCCCAGCAGCCCCATGAAAAACCTCTCTTAAGAGTTAGGGCGTCCTCTTGAATAGGGTGGTATTTGCAGAGGGATGAGGGCAATGACTAAAATTGGGTGGTGGCACCTTTTCACACATCACAAAGCTAGCAGCTAAGAACAGGAGTAAGGACTGTTAATTAAACAGAACATTATGGTGCAAGGGCAGAATCACGACTGCCACCTATGTACTGTTGCAAATAAACCTATCTGAGCTGGCTACTTAAATTTAATGCAAACATAGGGTTGCTTGACACCGTCACATTCCTTCACACATGAGCTTTGCCACGCCTGACCGTGCATGTGCCCAAACAAGACAGTGTAATTGTAAACTGGATGATACATGGATAAAATCACAACAGCAGCTATTTTCTCAGCTGCTGCAATAACAGTAATTAGGCAAAATTACTAGAACACTGGGAGCACAACTTTGGCTGTATTAGAGAATGAAGAAGCTCTGAGGCCAGGACAACCTGTACCATTATATATGTGTCTACCTCATTAGTGCTGCTATAAAGTCTATAGCGAGGAAGAGGTTGTAGGGCAGAACAGGAGCACTATGCAAGTCTTGTTAACTGCCTAACAAGGCAAGGAAAAAGAAAACAATGCATGAGTTCTGCAATATTCAAATGAACCACTGATGTGGAAACCTCTGTCCTCATTCACAGCTGTCACTTGCACATATTGAAAAGCTAGCCCATCTGTGTTGGAAATGCACAGTGAATATGCACTAACATGAAAATTACCATCCCACATGCAAAAATATGCCAATCCAGTTTGTCTCATCTGCCACTATCCTAGTACTGAGCCCTCCCAAAATTAACATACTTGATTAAATTGATAGGTAGCAAGTAAAGAAGATTATCAGCTTACATTTCTCTTTAGCAGTGCTACCAGCACTGAGAAAAAAATGAAATCCATCATTTGCACACTTCACAGTAGAAGTGATTCCTCTGTAACTTGTATGGATGCAATAGTTTTTTGTTTTTGTTTTAAAAGGCCAAGCACTTAAATCCAGAGCATAAGATTATGAATTATGGCAGTAAAAGAACATTTTAAACTTAACTAATGACCAAATCCATAGAAGCTGAAGACACTTTGCTTCTGCACACACCTCTCCTGCTTTCCAGCTAGTCTTTCACAAATCATTCCCACAGTCCTATTTACCTGTGAACTGTTGTTGATATGGATTCTGTGTCTGATCTTGGTATTGAGGGGGCGGTCGTGTTAGATGCCTCTGGAGCTGTTGCTGTTGTTCCTGATGATGCCTTTGCTTTTCCTAAAACAGGGCAGATGCAAGACTGTAAGAAAACACAGCCTAAACTTTGTCATAAACAATGCCTTAATGTAAACAGCAATGTTGTATATAGGTTGATTGCTGTCTCAAGCAGTCTACAATCACGTTAATAACATCATAAAAACAATTAAAGAAAAAAATGCTACTGCTTAGTATGTAAGAAAAGCAAGGCTGATGTATACACTAAAATAAAACATAGCAGAATATATCAAGAAGGTGCTAGAAAGGGAGTCATATCTATAAAACAATGAGCTCCACTCAATAATAAACTGACATTCCACTAGGCAAACTGCCTAGAAGAATTTGAGAACAGTTAAGCCTTTTTATCTAAAACAGAAGGGAATGTAGAATAACAGATTTTGCCTTTCACTGGAGTTCTTCACAGATTTTTGTGCTGTAGTTCCTCTCTAGTAAACATGCTCCAAAGTAAAGGAAATGCGGTATTTTGAGGGACTCAACATCCACATTGCAATGCCTCCTCTCAAATAAATTTATTCAAGGGGAAGAATAGTGTGACATTTTAATCCTGAGGAGGTTCATTCATCATGTTCAAGTACAATGAAAACATTCCTTTGGAATTCCAGCAATACATTGCTGTACAGTGGTACCTTGGGTTACAGACGCTTCGGGTTACGCTTTTTCAGGTTACGGACGGGCCGAAACCTGGAAGTACCGGAACAGGTTACTTCCAGGTTTTGGCGCTTGCGCAGAAGCACTAAATCATGCTTCACGCATGCATAGAAGCGCCAAATCACGTCATGAGCGTGCGCAGACTCGGGGCTGCGAGTTGCGAATGTGCCTCCCGCATGGATCACGTTTGCAACCCGAGGTTCCACTGTACCTTCATTCTAAATAAATATGGTAGTACAGTATACCAGAACCATTTTTACACTGCACTGTGGGGGCTAGAGAACAGAATCTGGCCAGATCTCCCCCCACCTCTCACAGGAATAATTTAACAAGTGGGCAGCACTGCCCTCCGGCTCATTATTTGATGTCACAATGTCATCAGGAGAACATTTTTTCCCCCATAAGGTCTGAAATCAAACTGCAACAAAGTGCCTTTCAAAACATTTCACAAGATGTGACAATCTGCTCCTCAATGGATTTTGCAAAGCACTTTGCAAGAGGCTTATCAAGCCCTGACAATCAGCTGATAGGCGGGTCCTGCCAAGTGCTTTGTAGAGCTACTAAATACTTTTTTGTTTAGGCAAGCTTATCCAGACATGTAGAAGCTGCTGAGTGTTTTAATTTCATTTTAGTTTATTTTATTTTTGAATGTTTTGGATACTTGTTTTTAACTGCGCTTACTAATATTTATTGTTTTATTCTTTTTGTAAACCAGTTTGAGGTGCTATTACAATCCTTTTTTTCTAACAATTTTTTTTTAAAATTTTTGCAAACCTTGGAGATCCATTCAAGTTTGCTGTGTGTGCGGGGGAGGGGTTACCATTTTGGTTGCATAAGAATTCATATTTACCTCTGTGCTTTGTCAGGAGCTAATGAAAGATATCAGTGAGAGGAGAAAGGTGGTATGTGACTTTTTCTCTGTAATACGTGACTGTAATCCCCTCCATTTTTGTCTGTTTGCTTGTGGAGCAGGAAGAGTCTTCAGTATTATCAACAGGCAGAACTGAGCTGCTCTTATACAATCAGCAAAACCTTATTTAATATACAATAATCAGGTAACAGGAAGGAGTTCAAGTCCATCAAAATAATAAGACAAATACAAAAAGGAAAAGTTACACTTATTCTGATGTCCCCTACCTGTTCAGCAATTAGTTGCCTCTGCCCCATTATAAACTGTTTCTGTTGTTCCATTAACAGTTGTTGTTTTTGTTGTTGTTCCCTCTGTTTCTGCTGATCTAGTAGCATTTGGTGCTGCTGCTTCATTACAGCTGCTTGCTGCTGGCTGTTGAGATAGGCTGGATTGCCATGGTTACCTGCCATGGAAACATTGGGTGACTGTGCATTCACACCAGAGCCGGGAACAGAAACAGGAATGCGAGGAACACCAGCAGAAGGATTTTGATCCTACAAAAGCAAACACATAAATTGGATGGAAAGCCTGGAATTCAATTTGGGAACACAGGATTAAATCTATAATTCTGCTTCTGATGGAGGACTTCTCATATATTCATAGCTATCTGCCAAGAAGTGATGCTCAACGTAATTTTAGTTTTGATTGAATTTTACTTTTAGTTTTGATTGAAATTCACTCTCTTATTATGATGCCACCTTTGTGCAAAAGCACAAACCAGACAGGAGACCACAGAAGCATATTTCCATACATTATGAAGTGGGTGAAGAAGTATAGGTCACAGTCCCTCTTTACCACCTGTGGGGGGCACTTACCAAAGAAAAATAGGTGTGGCTTTCACTGCACAAACACACACCACAGACTTACATACACACTGCACAAACACACATACAACACATATCTTACACAACACATGTGAGTGTGTGCGTGCGCACACACATACTCTCTCTCCCCCCCACCCCATTCTTCTCTCTCCTAGTAATTAGGTTTTTTCAAGCCCAACGGCTAGAGGAGGACTGCGGTGGCGGCAGCAGCAGCAGCAGCACAAAGATCACCCTTTCAAAAAGTCTTTAAAAGTGACTACTGTTCTGCTTTCAGCAACTATTACAATGTAGCAAAGAAGATAAATGAAAGTACAGCAAGCCTGTCTAATAAAAATCTTCATTAAATTAAAAGCCACTTCTGAAGATGCAGCAATCGTGCATACTAACTGTGATATTGAAACAAAACCACACAATGAAGTCTGAGTCTGTTAATGTCTAGTGAGTGGTAAGCCAAGATCCATGAAATGGCCGCATGGGGCAGCAACCATCCAGTGACAGGATTCAAGGAACCTCATTGTGAGAAGAAGCCCAAAGGGCATTTATAACCAAGAGGATTCATTAAATACAGCACTGAACAGAAACACAGCACACATACTTTCCAATAATAAGGAAAAGATATTGATTTCCTCTATGGGTTGCGCTCTCACTGGGGGAAAACCCAACATTCTGACGCAGTTTAACAGTACCCACTATAATATATGTGATCTGGTACCCCTGAAGTAAGCCACTTTTGCAATATAACTTACATTACACTGTAATAACAGTCATATTATTCATTAAGGAGGTGGAAGCATTCTTTAAGCAAATTTCTGGTTGGCTTTTTAAACAATTTACACCAGAGATAGAATGTATCTCCTCACTGGTCAAAACAGTTATCCATCTTCATTAAGAGGCATGTTTTTTCTGGCTCTAGGTTCCCATAAATATGCTGTGTGAGGTTCAATCTTTACCCTTGGATGATTTCAAGGAAATGAAGACTAATAAAGCCCTATATGCAGTGTTAGAAACTGAGATATGAACGCTAAGAGCTAAATGGTATCTTAAACCTAGGTTATGGGCACCGCCGCAATGGAGTGTCTAGGCATGCTTTTTTATAACAAGAATACAAAGCTGAAAATGAATGAACTGCAGCTAAAATCTTATGTTCATTTTTCACATGGTCTAGTCCTCATCTTAAGACTGCATAAAACAAAACCACACTTCCCCTAATATTCTTATGAGGGTCCCTTCTCCAGTCTTCAGAGTAACTAGTAATATCACATAAGAAACTTCAATCCTAGTCATACCTATTCAAACAAAATAATCAGAGCAATAAAAAGATCTCCTAAAATTTAATTAGATCCTATTTATCAGAGCTTGAAGAACTGTACCCCTGTTTATAAAGATCATTGCAGTGACTATTTTGGAACAGAAATAGTATATTATCATGGCATTTATCTTTTCAGAGAATATGAGAAACAGTATGTTTCTTTCTCAATTAAGACTGTTGCTATTTGTCATGTCCATTGTACTATTTTACATTAAGCTCTAAAATATGCACCTTACAATGGAACTACTTTGCATGGCTGCTCTACTTATTCAGCCCTCCTCATTTACTATTACCAAACCTTCTACTTCAAACACTTACCTGGCTGTGTGGCCCTAGAGGTCTATAAGCAGTATTTCCAGACTTCTTCATTACAAACATCCCATTCTGCTCATCGCTCATATGAGGCAGAGTGGGTTGCTGACGCTGCTGCATGTATGCCAACATTGGAGACTTGTTCTGTCCAGATACTGTAACTCCTTGACCGCATTCTTTGTAATGTGAAAGAGGTTTCGTATTCCCATAATCTAGCACAGAGTTTTGACTAGATACAGAGTTCTGGTTTAAGCTGTTTGGCTGATGGCTTAACATATTTCCACCATGATAATTAACTCCAGCCCTCGGAGAACTCTTGTTTGGCATACTAGACATCATGAGTTTCTGGTTATTGAAGTCCTGTTGGTAAACTGAAGGGCTAGTGGGATTTTCCATAGTGTATGAAACAGCTAATGGACTGTGTGAAGGTCCAGACTGCTGCCAGCTAGGAATCTGGTTGGGTTGATGGACTTGCTGTTGGTTCTGCAACAGCTGATCTCTCTTCTGCTTAGCAGCTATCTGTTGAAGCTGTTTAGCAGATGACATCTCTTTGGCACCCCCTGTATTTTGACCAGATAACAATGAACTAGGAAGAGGCCTCTGAATATTCTGAGACTGGCTTGATTGCTGCATCATGGACTGGTTGGAATTTTCAGCTACTGACTGAGTGGAAGGCTGAACCATAGTTTGAGAATTACTAACTGATGGAGAAGCAGCACTAACAGAAGAGGTACCAATGAACGTTGTGCCAGCAGAAGTAGATCTGACTTGTGGGGATCCCATCTGCTCTTGTTCAAAGTCTGCTGGGGAAAATTCAGTCTTGATAATGATGTCCTGTGGTAATGGAGTTTGTGCAGCTGAATTTGAAGCATCAACATCCTTCTTTTCCTCAAAGTCTTCTGTAAATAGATCTTTCATATCCTCATCAGGCACGGATCTGTTAAGTTCATCAATGAGCTCCTTCCACTCTTGCTCATTAAGGTTAAGATCAGACATCAAATTATTCTGAGATATTGAACTTCCTGGTCCCGTAATCATACAAGGAAGGTCATCTGGTTCTTGTTTAAGCTCCTTGTTAATAACCATAGCAAAGGGGTCATCAGCATCACTGTTTCCATTCAGCTGAAGGTTAGAGTCTGGCAGACACTTTTTGTTGATGCCATCTAGACCCATGGAATGTTTTCCATTAAGCTGTAAGGTGTCTCCACCAGAAGATTTGCTGTCAAGCTGGTGCAGAGGTGATGCAGGAGGGATTCCATTAGAGGAGCCACTCAATCCAACAAGACCATCATCATGACGCAATTTCTTGGGAACAGAAAACAAGTCCCCATAGCCATTCTGCTGGTCGCCATTCTGCGGTGAAACGGAACTATCAAGTTTCCTTTTGACTGTTTCATGAAGCTGCTGAAAGAGAGACAGTTCTAAATTAGTTTTATACCTCACACCAAGTGCCATTTTGGTTTTTTAGTCTAGAAATCATTCTTTTAACTACCAAGCATTATCGTTTTCACTGCAGTTGAAAAATTGCAGGGGAATAAAATCCCCTTTTCTTTAACTACTTAAAACCATGTGATTTAAAAACCTGTTTGCTTTGGAGTTACAAAAATGCAACAAGACTTGCATCTTTCAAGGTAACACCTAAGGCAACCTTGGATATCTTTCCCCCACATCCCCCCGACAATGCTTTGTTTGCCTGGGCTCAGCCTCCAACACCATTATGAAGTACAACCTGGGAACTCAGTGAAAAGTCTGAAAGCATCTGAGGTTACAGAAATGCTGAAGCAGCTTTAGACCTGATCAATCCCTTGGATGGGAGAGCACTGGAAGCCCCATATAATAAAATAAAATAATTATACATAAATGTTTTTAGAATTTACAAACAATGTACCTGTTAACTGCAAAAGAGCACGTACATGCAACTCCCACAGGGCTGGCCTGCATTGCAACACAAGGCAGCCATGCAAGAGCTGTCCACCAATTCACGGCTCTCTTTGCCCTTCTACTCAAACAATTACTCGGGCTTTTACAGTAGAATATACAGTTGTAATAGCACTTCACCAGCACAGCATGTCATGGCAGCACAAAGCTCACCACGGAGCAAACAAGCTACAGGTGATACAGTTTGACACACAAAAAAAGTTGACTGAGGATAATTGCTACTATTGCTACTCACCACAGTCTAGTAGCAAGCTGCATTATGCTCCTCAGAAAATTCGCCACTCAACCAACCTATGTTTTTATGACTAATAGGCAAGCATTTACAAATCTACACTTTAACTTCCAACTTTAAAAAAGAAGAGTAATGATTCAGAGTAGATAATATTCCTCTTCAGAATTTTATTATAATAATTGGGGGGAGGGATATTACAAATTTACAGCAGACTAGTGTTCCAAGAAATATAAAAACCTAAACAGAAGCAATTACAGATCTGTCTACCTCAAAAGACTGGGTTTTTTCTGAAGGCACTAGACTTACTTTAAACATTCAAACCTTCCTCCTGAGGTAAGGTGTAATTTTATACCAGTTTATTTCAGGTAGCCCCAAACCTGAGAGGATTGTATTTGGTGCAAAATATTATATAACAGCAATGGAAGGTTGCACTCAACACAAATCTCATCAATTGACCAATGAAATTGGCTTATTCAGCAGGAAATTGAATTTCATACTCCCTAGAGTCTTGACCCCCATTTTACCCCCTTGTGGACATTTTAGCATCTCTAGCATGTAACAAATAATCCGTATAACTTCACCAGCAAGTGTTGTCTGTATTTTTGGAATTGCTGCACCATTAAATCTATTTAGAAAAAGTAGCAAAACAATTTAGCTTTGTTTCCAATACTAGAATTCTCATTCAAACTTCTTAATTCAGGAACATATTCCTATAATGTGGGTACTTTTTTTAAAAAAACCTACTATTTAATGGAATGCAAGTAATAATTAGTAGCAAAACAAGATGCGGTACAGTTCTGGACAACACAATGTACACCTATATTTAAGAATTGCTTTAAGGACATTCTAAAATTCTCTATAAGAGGCCTAGTTATGTGGCACAACAGGGAATGCAAAGAAATTCAGTGGAATTTGGCAAGCGTTTCAAGCAGTGTTGTTTAACTGATTATTAAACTCTTATCCAATTTTCACCTATATGCTATGTCAGTGCTCCTCTACCCCTTTTCCTTTGGTTATTGTTTTATTCCTCCATTGGATCAATATTTTTCCCCATTTAAAGTTAACTATCTTCAGTTGGAGAGAACCTTTGGGTTCAAGGGCAGAATACAACCATAATAAATAAGAACTAAGAAGATATTGAACTTCCTGTATTTTCAATTATCATATTATTTGCATTTTGGTGACCCTCCTGCCCATCAATAAAATATTACTACCTTGTAATTTTCCAAACCCATGCAACAGTATTTTCAGTGAAACGCATATAAGAACACGTAAACCTGCATTACTTTCAGTTACTATTAGATTTTCGGAGGCAGACCACATTGCTGACCTACTCCACACAATTTGTAAAATCAACTTTTGCTATGTATTTTCATTTCCTTAGTCTTATCTGACTACAAACTAACTGGTCTATGTTCCTATAGCACAAGATGATAAATTTACTAGTGAAGATTTTCTTCCCACAGCAATTGCATTTGAAGATCCATGCTCTGTTCATGAGCTATGATGCAATTTCTTATTTTGTAGTGCCCTCTAGATGTAACTAAAGGAAACAGCAATTTGTTTAGTCCTTTAAGTCCACAATGTCTTATTTGTTCCCTGGTACTATCCTCAAACTACAATATTAATAAGTAATCTCTTCTCCCATGAATCAGTTGCAAAAAAAGATTTTCTACCAATTTTTAAGGTAATGGAATCTTACCTACTACAATCTTACCTTGGCAAAAGAACAAGAGTTGTGACATCCAATATATTAACAGATTGTTTCTGTTATAAGCTTTTGTGGACTACTGCCCACTACACACACAAACACAAAGAAAAAAAACAGTGAGGCTAAATGGCCACAAATTCAGTCTGTAGCAGGACTGTTGTTTTCTCTGCAGCAAGCTAACATGGCTACTCCTCTGGAAGATGTTATGTCTATTCAGTCCGAGTTGCACTCAACACTACGCAAGGGGATTTGCACTTGCACAATGAGACTTCCCCCTCTTCTCACTGTGCGCTCCCAAAATCTGATCTGGAGGGTGCTCCAACCTTCTGGGGCAGATTTTGAGGGGGCATGGGGGGCTGGAAGGAGAGGAGGAAAGTTCCACTGTGCAGGTCTGCTGGGTGAGCAGGACAGCAGAATTGGATACAATCTACATACTGCTAAAGAGCTTTAGCACACAAAATACTGTAGAAAAATGCTGTACTGTATACATATTAGAAGAGAAAATGAAAACCTCTGCTTATCCTAAGCAAGCCTGCCCTAAGAAGATAAAAACTATTTTAAAGTATAGCCTGTGTATAAGTAGTAGGAGGAAAGTCCTATCATCAGAGTCCTCTAAAAAAGAAGCAAAGCCTGTCAGTATTAAAGACTGAGGCAACTTCATCCATTTTTCTAACTCTGCGTTGAAAAGAGCCTTCATTTTTTTGTGGTTATACAAAACTACAGTGAGTCAGTGAAATATTTGAGATTTGTACTGATATAAGTTTTTTGTGAGCAGCCTGCACTAATTTGAAATGCAACCATTGATCTAAAGGGACATGTTATACAAAATCATTTTTCTACTAGAATATCACTTTAGTGCAATGAAGTAATATTGCACTTTAACATTGGGACAAATGCATATTATCTGTTTTGCTAGGTGCAAAAAGCTTACAAAGCTTCTACATGTGCCCAAATGTAGAAAAAACAGATACATGTGCCCTTGTCACAACTTATACTTTACTGTTCCTACTTGATACTGCCATCTGGATGTGAAAACCATCTTGTGTTAAGTGGCTTTGAGGAAGCATCTTAGGTCAAACTTCTTAATTTTGATTTTCAAGCCAGTTCAGATGGTGCATTTTCCAGCTTATTTGCAAAAACAATTGTACAGTGGTGCCTCGCAAGACAAAATTAATTCGTTCTGCGAGTTTTTTTGTCTTGCGAGTTTTTTTGTCTTGCGAAGCACGGTTTCAATTTTTTCAAAAAAATCAAAAACCTCAAAAAAGGCTACCACACCGCGTGCTATGAGTTGCTCCCCGAAGTCAAGTCGCAACTGCACCTCTTCAAGCAATGCACCCTGTATTACTGTAACGGTTTTAAGAAAAAGGAAACAAACTTGCAAGACGTTTCCGTCTTGCGAAGCAAGCCCATAGGGAAATTTGTCTCGCGAAGCAATTCAAAAAATGAAAAACTCTTTCGTCTTGCGAGTTTTTCGTCTTGAGAGGCATTCGTCTTGCGAGGTACCACTGTATATTCACTCTAGTTCTAGTGGCTGCTTTTGTGAGCTGGGATTTTTGTGCCACTTTACTAACTTTTCAGACCTTCACAACTTGTCACCTGCCAGGTGCTCATCAATCGCACTATACTGCAGTCCCAGTCAGACAGCCAAAAACAAGAACTTGAGGATGTATTTTAATTGATTGTCTGATTTTATGTTACTGTATTATACATTTGATGTTAGCCGCTCTGAGCCCAGCTTCGGCTGGGGAGGGCGGGATATAAATAAAATTTATTATTATTATTATTGATGCTCCTGGCACACTGACAAACATGTCCACATTTAGCTTTGTGGCTTTTATAAGCCTGATTTAAACATCATAGTACGGTAGTAATAAAAGAAATTGTACTTGTCCAAGTTTCCCCTTCACTATAACTCTTGAAAAGAATTCTATTTCAAATTATACAGCTACAAGTATAGAGTGAACTCACTTGCAATAATTTCACTTAAGAATGAGCTACTGTATAATAATAAATAAATCTTATACTACTAGTTACAAACTCATTCTCTAGGGATGATCTGTATGTAGCAAAAAAACACACAAAAAAACCATTCACCCACAAGAGGGCGCTATCAGCTTACTTGAGGGGACCCCCCTAAGGGAGCCAAAAACACTCTCCAAAAACACACAATAAGGACTGAGCATCCTCAGTGGCTACAAAATGCTACAAGCTGGATGCAGGTCAGCAGCAGAAAGGAGAATTCTGGGGAAAGAAATGGCTGCCTGGTACTCTACATGGGAGCACTCCACACTGTTGTGGTTCTCATTTGTTTTTCAGTGTTACAAAACTATTTCACTGCAAACTTAACACAAACAAAGAAAGAATGCAACAGTGCGTCACTCTTAATTAGTCTCAGTTTAACCAGAATACTGTGAACATCACGATAGTGTTCTATGACTTTGCACATGCATGAACTTTGTATTCCATTCTTTAAGAATCATGTATTTGGCAGTCTACAAAAAATGGGCAAAATCTACACTACCATGTACAGCTCTCTCCAAAGAGCAGTTTACAACAGTTTGGCAAGTGAGTCAGATAGCAGCCCCACCAAAGTATGCCAAGGCGAGAAAAACCTGTTCTAAGATGAAAATTCAAAGGAGAGGAAACAACTGGAAAATAATTCAATACTATCTGCCGAGATACTACATCCTGTTGATCAGTTTAATTGTGCCAGACAATTACACTGAATTAAAAATTAATTAAATTATTGTTCTAGCAATATGTGTATATTTAACACCCTGATAAGTCTTTCTAAAAAATATTCTATTCTCTGCTTTCTGAACAGAATAAAAAGGGAAATACTGGACAATTTGTCTGAAGAGCAATAAAAATGTATTCATCTGCTAATAACAGTGTTGATAATTCCTTTATTTCCTACAAGAGTACAATTATTGTTGTTGTTGTTGTTGTTGTTATTATTTATTGAATTTATATACCACCCTATACCCAGGGGTCTCAGGGCAGTTCACAATATGAATTATATCCCCTAATCAAATGTTATTTGATCTACAATAGAAATCAACAGTTTTCTAAAATATTGTAAATATAAAATATTTTAAAATACTTATTTCTATATTCTACATATTTCAGTTAGCAGCACTGAAATATAAGCAGATTCAGAACCATGTTAACAATTTGTTCCCAATGCACAAACACACAACGACCTATCTGAAGGAAAAAACAAATCTGAACGGACTTTAATGATAGAGCCTTTATTCCTGAGGTCAACCTATTAGTGATAAGACTTCCCGTGTATAAGACTAGGTTTTCCCCCCTTAAAAATAATGTCAAAAATTAGGGGGTGTCTTATACTCTGGACCATCTCCCCCCATTTTCTTAAATCTGAGTCCCCAAAAATAGGGGGCATCTTATACATGGGGTCATCTAATAGATGGAAAAATACGTTAATTCACAGCTACAGTAGAAACTTTTTTTCTAAATCAGAACTTCTGTGACTTGTGAAACAAAATGCTAGCCGGTCCACCTCTTTTAAAGTCGAACAGCATTACTAGTTGCTCTGAGTGCTTTATATCACAGAAAACACCATTACAGTAGAATGAAATGAGACTTGCGAGAAGACAGCATTTAAACTGCCAATAGCATACAGACTAGTAAACAACACCCTACCTCAACTTGTTGTGCAACAAGTTAATCAGCTTGTTAGCAGAAACTTCTATCCAAGCACTGAAAGCAATTGTGTGTGTAATCCCACAAAATGGTCTGCAGTCATTCCAACTCCACACCTTGCATTACTTCAGGCAGCCAAAGCAGATCTTAGGCATGCCTGGAAGGCAACTATCACACAGCTTACAGGCAATGTAACTGTTATCAGTACTGTCCTGTCTCTAATCAACCACAAAATCTCCCAATCAGGATGGATACAACTGCTTGGGGCAGTGGCACTGCCTGCAAAATTTCTGGGTCCCAAGTTCACCTATGTATACCAAACCATGGCTCCCTGAACTACAGAAGTGAGTAAGGTCAATGACAGACCTCTGATGAGAGAATAGTATAGAAACATGTAGATACCGCTATTTTGTTGGTAAGTGCCTACATGTAAAAGGGAGAACATTAATTTCAGAACACACAACAGGATCATCGTCATTGCGAGAGTACTTTAATTAAAACTTGTTTATGTTTCAGTACACTAATAAGCAATAAAAAGCAAACAAGTGTTCTTGTTGACAACATACAGCTCTTGCCTGCAAGTGATTCAGGTTGTCAGTACCAACAGTAGTACGGGGAAAGGATATATACTGGTTAAATTTTAAAAAGGTGCTCACAATCTTAATAAACACAGAACATAATTTCCATAGGGTTCAACCCTAATGTGCTCACTGGAGCTCTGCTGGTGCTTGCAGCCACTTGTGTGCCTTGAAAAGCTGTTTCAGAGTGGGGAGGGAGGGCCTCCAGAAAAGCAAGGGAAATGCTAATGAGAGATGCTGGGGCAATGAGGAATCACTGCAATTGCTGCTCCTCTATCTTCCCACAGCAAAGAACCTCTGCTGGATCTGTTCCTTGCCTCAACATAAACAAGGGAGGGACTTAGATTCTAAGTTCCTATGAGTGCAAGTCCACACCTGGGGTACTGCCACTACCTGACTACCAGAAGTGGGGAAAGGTGATATTCGCCAATTTCCTCTTCTCATGCACTCCCTGTGCCCCAGTAAAATCTCTTCCAGAAGGCTGGCGGATCCTCTGAAACAGCATGGGAGGTGGATGGACTCATGTCACTTTCATGATGAAGAAGAAGAAGAAGAAGAAGAAGAAGAAGAAGAAGAAGAAGAGTTTGGATTTGATATCCCGCCTTTCACTCCCCTTCAGGAGTCTCAAAGCGGCTAACATTCTCCTTTCCCTTCCTCCCCCACAACAAACACTCTGTGAGGTGAGTGGGGCTGAGAGACTTCGAAGAAGTGTGACTGGCCCAAGGTCACCCAGCAGCTGCATGTGGAGGAGCAGGAGGAGCTGCATGAACAGAAGAAGCCATTCCATTTGTGGAAAGGCAACTAAGGATGTAGGGTTTGACATAATTTTCAGTTGTGGTGGTATCTTATTCATTGATAAAATGTCCCCAACTTCTGCTCATTACCACACTTAATGGTAAAGCAATTTGGAGTTTGACTGCTCAAAAATAGGGGCAGATCCATCCACATCACTTCTAGCAGTACTTAAGAATATTGTTTGGTTTGAAAGAAAAACCTTGATGGTGAGAAATACCATCAAGCATATAGTTTGCACATTAGTTCCTTGTTGCTAACCAGAAAGGGCGGATAACCAGATTGTATGGTACTTATAGCCGTACAAGTGCTTTTTTTCTGTTAAAATATAGATTGTAGATCATCTAAAAATTAGAAGTTTAACCCATACTATATGGTCACATTCTGTATGGTCCAACTGTTCAAAAGTAAGCATAAAGTTGTTATTATCCACCCTTCACCCTAACATCTCAGGGCGAGTTACAACAATTAAAACACAATGTTAAAAACAGTTAGTCATTAGAAGGTCATTAAGAGGTCTAATCAGGCTTTTCTTACCCTTTTGCTTTCCTTTTGGCATAGATATCAACACCTGAAAATAATGCACTGACAGCATTGGATACAATCCAAAATATGTATAAAGCAGAAAGTTATAGAGTTATGTTTTATGTTCTTAGCTATTTTCCTTTCTGAAGTGTGTATTTTAAAGTGTACACTTTGAAATACAACATAAAGTTTAAAGTATCAAAGAATTTACCAAGCTCTTCTTACAAAGTTTTGAACAACCTTCTATCTGGGACACATACCATTTAAGACATTGTCAGATCACAGGGCCTTCTTACAACCTCACTGCCAGAAAAAGATTAAAGTGACCCATCCTTCTGACTATGTCCTAGCTCTGTCCAGCCAAATTCTAAAACAGACAAATGACTAATAGGGCAGGCAACTCCTGACTCTACCAGATGCAAAGATCACAACCTAAAATGTCATAGAAAGGGTTACCTGGTTTGTTCCTTTTCTCATTCCCTAGCTTACTAAGAGTATTAGTATCATTTTGGATGCATCTTTCAGATGTGTTGTTAACCATACTGACCTAAACAGCTTGGCAATTCACTTTAACTTTACTAAAATAGTTAACTTTCTTTGTTTTCAGTATCACTGTGAGCTCAGGCACAGAAGAAATTCAAGATTAGATATGTCAATCTCTTGTATCAAGAATAAATAGCAATATATTACAAGGAATGTGAGAGATTTTAATTTTTACTTTCATTTTTCTAGCCAAATATTCAGTGACCAATAAAGAGAATACTTCTTCCTTCCCACTTAATCTTACCCACTGGAGACTTGCCAATAGCCACTGGTGATAAAACTGAAGCATAGATTAGTAACATTTTATCTACCCTAAAGGATGAAGGCACACAGTTTTTAAAATGTACGTTTTGTAGGAAAAAATAACATGTTTCAGTGTCAGAGGCAGTATATCTATAAATACCAGCTTCTGGGATTCACAAGTAGGGAGCTCGCTGCTGCACTCAGATCCTGCCTGCAGGCTTCCCATAGGCTTGGACACTGAAGAGAGGATGCTGGATTTAATGGGCCTTGCTTATGAAAAAGTGCTACAGCTCTATTAATGCATTTGTACAAATGCACTTGGGAGATAGCTTAGATGATTATTTGAAAAGAACTAGAAGAGGAACCAAGTCCAGTGCTTTGCTAGAAAATTAATGTATTGTACATTGGGGGTGGGGATTCACTGGATAATCCCCAACCATATTGTTCCTGCTGTAATTAATTTGGTTTTGGTATTTAAAGGATAAAATATTACACCTAAAGAAAGGAGCAATGTTGGAAAAAATATGCCCTTTGGATACAATCTGATATATGGTTGCTTATTTTGACTTAGGGACTATCTACAACTAATAACATAAGCAAACAACTTTCCCCAAAGCATGTCCTTCTCTTCAAGGCTGCTAAAATGCAACTCAGATTACAATGTTTATTAATAAATTCTAAGAATCCATTAGAAATACATAAACATTCAACCCTTACTTAAGACAATGAAAATATGCTTATGTGATGTTTCTGAGTCTTTACCCATCCTTTCACAGAGCTATAACATAAAGCACAAGTAAAGGTACATGAGGAAAAATTTGGAGAACTAAAATCCCAACAAATTTATAGTATTCTACCTCTCCAGTGTATCTGGAATTATACTTCACTATTTCAACACAAAAGTTACGGTCAGAAAGTATATCTTCCAATTCCAATAGGAGTCCAAAATTTTGATACTTATTTGGGAGAGGCCACAGCACAGTGATTTGCCTGTCTAAAAGTCCCAGTTTAAATCCTGGTGAAATAATCACAGAAGTTAATACTAGGAAAGGCCTCTACTTCAGACCTTGAAGCACTGGTGCTAGGCTGAATAGACAGTTGCAGCTTCATTTTATTTTTCAGTTGTGATCAAAGCAGCGTTCAAAATTTGCCAGGCACCAGGCACATTTTGCACCTGGCTATTGGCCACTTGCGACCAAGTGAAGATGCCCGGGTGCCAGGATGGCGCCTGATGTCTCCACCATCTGGAGTGCGTGCCTGGGCATCCTTGGATCTTGACTGTTTTTACACACTAGCAATTCTATCTACTATATTTTATCTGCACAATCAGAATGAATTTCAGGAGCCAGAAAGTCATATTGAAAATTATTACTTTTGAGCAGTCTACCCCCAAAATGGCAACTAGGCATTATGTTTTGGCAAATGTAGCCCTGGTTTAAGGAACCATTTGGCGCCTAGCTTATATATCTAAGTTTCTAACACTGGATCAAAGGCGAGCAAACCCAAACTCAAAGGCATCATCTCAAAGTGAACATGAAACATAGTCACCTACAGCTGTTTGGGATTACCCACAACAGCTTTACTGTTTCTTATTTGTGGTTTTCTTAACACACCATCTAACTTTGTGTGATTTTTCTACACCTTGCTTCAGTCCCAAAACACCGACCTGATTCTATAGGGAAAGTTAGCAAAACCTACCCTTTTACAGGGAAGACAGGTATTATCTTTACATCTTTAAACCCACAGCAGGAAAAGTCATAAGCAGTCTTCTTCATTTTCCACCAACTCATACACATGATGTGGTGGATTGAGTCACTGGACCAATATGCTTAGAAAACCAGAACAAGCAGGCTCCACTATATGGAGTAAAATTCTCAATTTCTGTGTATGCAGACATTCCATACCAGTCTCCAAGTTGGTCCCTAAAACCCCATTTAAAAACTCTTCATACTGAAGCTCCCCCTCTGTTACATAGCCAGTATGGCAGGGACTAGGCCAGTTGCTCACATACAGTAACCTATCAGACAATGTTGTTGTGAAAATAAAAACAGTGTCTCCCATGTGAACCACTCTAAGATCCTTGGAATAAAAAACAATACATATATAAAAGGGAGAAATACAGCCCTTATTTTTCCTGCCAAACAACTATCTGCACAGGCTTGTTACACTGGACATGAGCAAGAGCTTCAAGAACATTTCACAAACTTGCCTGCCTGCCTGGATGGATCATTCTCATGCCACATTTCGCTGTAAAGCCAAGATATAGCAACGCTAAAGGAAGTAAAGAATCGCATTACCCTTTATTTTGCTCATAACAGAACTGGAAGCCTACCATTTCTTACTTTTCCTACATACTTTGCTAGAGATCCCCGCTTTTTCGTTAATGACTATTTACATACGTACGCTGCCTTAATAAGCTGGAAGAGAAGAGACTATATATATTTATATATATTCCGGGGAATGGGGTAGATGGAATCAGGAGAGCAAACAATCAAGTTTCTCTTTCATGCACAGCTGGAGCGGCCCGAGGGGAGGTGGAAACAAACATCCTCTTATCTTGTTCCCAATATGAGGAACTCGAACTCTGAGGGAGGCCTCAAACCTCTCCAGCCTCATTAAAGGAAAGTTCACTCCAAGCTACGACTCCTTTCTGACCACCGGCCTCAGCCTTCACGGCCCTACAGGTCCTTTTCAAGGGGTGGCGCGGATTCCCCCGGGCAAAGCCCAAACCAACCCCGAGGCCCACCAGCTGGGACCTTACCGCGATGAGGGCGCTGCTCCGGCCGTGCTGCTGATGCTGCTCACCGCCCGCGGTGTCGGCGTCCAGGCCGTTGACTCCAGGCCTGTCGGGAGGAGCGGAGGTAGAGGCGGAGGAGCCCCCGGAGCCCGGGGCCGGAGCAGGGGGAGGCGGCTGGGACGGGGCGGCCGGCGGAGCGGCTGCCGGGGGAGGCAGAGGCGGCTGGCGGTGCTTCCCGGCCCGCTTGGCCTTGGCCTGCAAGCAGCGCTGGTGGAGGGCGAAGGTCTGCTGGCGCTCCAGCTCCAGCCGCTCCGGAGACACGGCCTGGTAGCGGGACTCGCAGGCGCTGTGATGCCGCCGGCACAGCTCGATCCGCCGGCGGAGCCGCTCCATCACCGCGCTGTGTCGCGGAACCACGAACTCCGCCATGGGGCAGGGGGGCAGGACCATGAGCCGAGGGCGAGAAAGGCAACGCGAGAGACCAGGCGGCCGCTTCACTCCGCCATGGCTGGCGGCCAGAGACACCGGGCAGCCCTCACAGCCTCGGCTCTCTTCCCCTGTAGTCGTCGTCGTCGTCCTTCTCCTCCTCCTTCGCTGCCGCCACCCTTTACAGGCCGGGGCCGCCCCGCCTCCTGCCGGGAGCCTGGCGACGCGCCGCCGACTTTCCCTCACTCCTGCCCCGACCCCAGCTCAGGCCCGGAGCCACCCAAGCCTCCCGCTTTCCATTGTTATCCGCGCCTCAGTCGCCGCCATCTTGAAATTGTTTCACCCCTTTTCCTCCCTCCCCTCCCCCGCCGAGAGCCAGCCCCAGCGAAGGAGGCGGAGGAGTTTCCTATGTGGTGCCTGACGTCACGGCCCCGCACTCATTGCTCACGGGGTTTAACAGACAGCAGGGCAAGCCTATCGGACGCGAGATCGGAAGAGGGGTGGGTGGATGGAAAGACGAGGCAGAGCTCCCTTCCCCCTCCCCTCCGCCTCTGATCTCTTCTTTTCCCCTCCCCCACGCCACCCCGCCCTTTCCGGAAGTGGGTAAAGGGCGGGGCTTTAGGTGTGATTAAAAGGTGATAGAAGCTGAAACTTCGCGGCCGCTCCGCCTACCAAGGAAGGGAGAGATGGTGAAGTACTTGAAAGAGTGACTTAGTGAATGACTTGGCCTGAAAAAAAGAAGCAACAACTCGTGACTTAATGGAGTTTTATACAAAGCTTAAGGCCAAGATTAAAAATGTAGAATTCTCGCCCACAATTCATTTAAAGCAAAATACCTACCATTTTAGGGTTGAGGCTTTTGATGCATAGCAAAAGCAGCACACAAAATCTGTAGGCTTTATGCCTCTGTCGATACAGCAGGACACGACAATTTAATCAACTCCCCCCCACCCCATTATTCTTGAGAACATAAGAATCCTGCTGGATCAGCCCAGTGGCCCATCAAGTCCAGCACAGCCGATTGGATGCCTGTGTGGGAAAACCACGCGCAGCAACTGATATTTCTTTCTGCTCCCTGTCGTGAAGAAGGGCAAGGCCACACTCTAAAGATTAAATACTTTTGTGCAGCAGTATGGGTTTTATAGTTTTACTGTCGAAATACTTCATTAATTGGGCAATATAGTGGTTCAACACTGGAATGAAAACACAGCTGCCAGCAGCAAAAACATTTCTTTTGTAGGCTCTGGAAATTTGGAAGCTCTAGTCAAAGAAGCAAACAAACAAGAACTTCTGACTTTTATGAAGTAGACAACAGGTTTACCACACCTATCAGCCAATCACCCATTCTCACCACCCTTCTGAGTAATACCCCTCCCCACTCTCTCACTGTATGTAAGGGTCTGGTGACTTCTGTTTCAGTGTATCTGAAGAAGCGTGCATGCACAGGAAAGCTCATACCAATGACAAACTTAGTTGGTCTCTAAGGTGCTACTGGAAGGAAATTTTTATTCTGTTTTGACGTTTTATCAAGACATTTTACCATTTAGGCAACACTACCCCACCTCACGCCCCACCCCCACCCCGCTAAAACCAAGGAATGTTTAAGATTGAACTAGTCTCATGCAGTTCACTTGAACAAGGTACTAGACTAGAGAGAAGAAAAAGCAAACTTTTTGGAGTGAAAATACATGAATGTTTTAAATATCTGGTCAGATTTTCAGTTAAGCATTGGAAGCCACCAATTCTGGAACACTACACAAAATAATGACCTAGAAGTGTTGAGCTTTAATTAAACCTGTAAGATAATTGAACAAAATAAGACAACTTACTCCCAGACTAGTCAGTTACCTTGGGGGGGGGGGGGGGAGACACGTCACATTAACATCCCAAATGTATTTGAAGGTGTGGTGTGATTGCTTTGATGTGACCAAGCAATGAAACCTTGCAAATACGGATTAGAGTTTAGTTAGTTTTCAGGCAATTTTATCTGTAGCCAGTTCTACAAAGGTTATGGGAGATTAAAATCCTGCCATGTCCACAACTGCTAATGCTAAAACAAATCAATCTTTAAAAACCTATATGAACAAGCCAAGCCACTGCATTTTGATGACCAGGGTTGAAAGCAAGGTTAAACTTCCTTGAACTATTCCATTTTTGTAACTTAACAGTTCAGCTTTCTTAATCCAAACAAGAGGGTGTTATTCATGAAATGTTGCTCAGAGATTTTAAGACAGTTAAGCTTGGACTCAAGGTATTTCATTAGCACATAAGAGAATGGAGAACATTTTACTGTTGTGCCTTTTGTATTACAGTAATGTATTCCAGTACTTATTTTGTCTCTGGAAATCTTTGCCTCAAGAAGCCTAGATTTTTCTTTAGCATTTGCTGAATCCTCTGCCCTTAGATCAGCTGAACTTTAAAAGATAAAAATATACCAAACTAGACAGTAGAAAAATGGTGATTTAAGTTTCTTTATTAATCAGAGCAAGCTTACATTTGTTTATAACTTAACCAATATATTTATATGCATACCGCATCTTTAGATTTTTTAATAACAGTCAGGACTTTTTAAAGAAAGTCACAGTCTTGTTTACCAACACTTAAGGGGTTTGCATCTGAAACTTGTATGGAGGCAATACTGGCATTTAGAAAACTATAGTGAAGAGAAGGCAGCAAGGTGCCAAGAAATTAGTCTAGCACCATATTTACTGCCACAGATTAAGTGGAACCAAGCACTGAAGATCCAAGATACCTTTCCCCATTCATGGCTAATTGCACAAGACTCCAGGCATCTGTAACATCCACATCTCAGTGGATTTTAACATCAGCATTTTAAAATTTAAGCAAGTTTGCAGTGTAAATATCCTATGAAAAACCACTTTTTCATTCTATAGCATTATCTTGCTTAAAATCATCTACCTTTTACTCAACACACTAATACAGATAGATCTGAAATTGCTTGAATGCAGTTTTATCTTTTACATAAAATAAAAAGCCAAATAGATAGTCTAACATCCCATTAACCTTGAAGTCATCCTCTTTGAAAGGGAACCTTTTCCTTTAAAAGTCTTATCAAGTATCAGTGCAGTTTTAGGATTCAGCTTCTTCCCCACTATAAATTCATCTGTGTTTGGCAATAAAAGATTTCCTACAGCTGAATGTTGTCTTCAAATAAACAAAAATAATCATCTTCAAGTCAGATAGAATAAGAACCTCAAATTATTTGGAAACTTCAACTTACTCCATAATATGCAAATTCATGCTTTAATCTGAAATTGTTGATGAGGCAACCCTCTCGTGTGGAATATTTCTTAATATGGGTTCACAATTACTCACCAGGCTCAAAGTCTTTAAGTAGTACATTTAAAACAATTGATAAAAATGATGTAGCGCTTTGCAAATTTCACTGATATAAAAAAAGCCAAAAGATGCATACAGGCATATTCTGAAGAGGTCCTACAAATGCCAAAAATATATTACTTTTAGCTTCAAATTAAGGATTGCCTTATGACTTTCATCAGAAAACTTCCCTCACAGTCTGGAGAAAGAGGAACACACCAGAAATAAAGAATAACTTAAGATTGTTCACATGACACACAGCATTAAATAAAGTATGTTACAATTAGCACAAACTGAGGTGTTGAATGGGGCACTGCAAGTCTAACATGTGAGGGGGGAAAGACAGAAGAGGCAGCTATGGAAGCAATCTCTTTTTATCAGCTGCCTAAACAACTAGAAGGAGTTAATTAAGCCTGTGAACTTTGTAGCCTCCAATGAGAACAGCAACACTATTGTGGAAAAACAAACAAACCAGGTGCCAGGAAGCATACCTGAAAAGCATATATGGAAATTTGAATGTGAAAATCATACCTTAAAGAAGCAAAACCTCTGTGACTTTGAGAATCTCTACCTCTTATCCACACATAAAAATATGGAGTGTTTCTGTTCAGTGCACATACAGTAGTTTTGCCCACAAGCTTATTTACTTTCTTCCCAACCCCCTAGTCTTCCAATACAACAGCACAGAATTACATTTTATCTTTAGAGGCAGAGTGTGTATTCCACAAAAAAGGGATTACAATTGCTAGATACAAAATGCAACACATTTTTAAAAAATTTATTCAGCTGGAATTGGAACCCCCTACATTAACAATATAGTTTGATACATGAAGAGCAGATTGAGTCTCAAAATGGTACATATACCCAGGAAGCTTTCACATGCTCCTTCCTTAGCCGCAAAATACTGACATCTGCTTTTGGTGCAAATCTTTAGATTGGCTTGCCTTTGCTTCATCTCTGCGCATGAATGTACATACAATGGCAATAATGAGAATGTTAGCAACACTGTACTATCCACAGTGTTTGGACCCCAGAAAGTAGTTCTACCTTTGAGATTAAAAACACACATCACAAACAGATTTAATGAACTGAGCATATGCATTCTATAGCAGCTAAGCTGCATTCTGAACAAACTGCATAGCAGCAGCAGAAGCTAGAACAGGAGGAATTAGTTTTAAAACCATCGGAGGGGGGGAATTGTTTAAAAAAGAACAAAAAACAAAATTAAAAAAACCAAACACCATGAAAATAAATTCTATACTGAAAAGAATTCCAAGGGCTAAATCCAGTCTCAGTCTTAGTAACCTAAACCAGAACTTACTCTCAAATTCAAGTTGATTATGAATACTGTTTTCATTGGGCAGTACCCATGACCAATATATGTATTTCATGGCCTCATTATGCCCTTCCTCCAATAAGAAGGAAAGTTATTTAAGCACTTGATAATAGTTTCTTGAAATGGATTTGAGCTCGCTCTCTCCTATCTGACTGAAGTACAAGTTTTAACATAACTGACCAGCATACTTTGACATGATCAAACTAAGGGAACTGTGATGTATAAGTATGTTCATTTTGGTAAAAGAAAAAAGAAAAATAAGAAAAATAAACATATAAAAATTGTATACCAAGCAATTTTCTAAGGTTTGCTGTTCATTTCCATTGATAGATTAATACATTAAGTTGAGCCAAGGTTTTGAGACTGGCAATTCTATCATTCTATTCATTTTTCAAAACAAAAAAAGTTAGTTATTGTAACATTCCAGAAATTCTTAGCTGGGTTGTGTTAAATGCATTCTTTTTCTACAGGAATACTCTATTTAAAAACACAATTGCGAATATTTTACTGCTAACACTCATTTACACTGGAGAGCATTTGACAGGAACCTGTGGATGGTGAAGTCTGAGGTTGGTTTTTTTTTATTTATTTGAGTTTCAGCAAAAGGTATCCAAGGTCCTCTCCCAAAACCATGTTGGGGAAAATTAATCAGATCAAGTTTTTAGGATATTTCAATCTCTTCTTGGTTTTCTGTTTCTGGGAGATCTATTCACAGTTTCTTCCTCCTGTAAAGGTAAAAGAACACAACTCTTACATAAATATGAAGTCACTTCCTGTGTTCAATTTCCTCTTAGCTTTAGAAAGCAACGAGAAAGTATCTTTGAAGTTATTCACTGGGATTTGAACAAAACATTAGGAAGAACTTCCGGAAGATATGAACTGTTCAACAGTGGAAAAGCCCATCTCAAAAGGTACTAGATTCTTGGTTTGAGGTTTTTTAAAACAGGTTTTAAAAGCTTATGTGAAAGTGTTGTCTGTATGTCTGTTGGAATGTCCTGGGCAAGATAAAAGGAACTGACAAATTCAATAAATAATAAACTGAATTTGTCAGTTCCTTTTATCTTGCCCAGGACATTCCAACAGACATACAGACAACACTTTCACATAAATACATTAGAACCAAGAAGAAAAAGAAAAACATTTAAAGCTTATGTTCTTCAATTGAACTGTAATGCCTTCCCCCGAAAAAAATAGTGAGCAGCTGCGATTGGTTGGCATAATGTCTATGATAATGGATTATCCAACAGAAAGCAGCCATAGAAGAAAGTTGTCTGATCACCTTAAATTAGTGGTTCTCCATCTTTCTTTCTTTTTGATGCTGTAGTGCTGGATTTCCTGTACTAGTGAGAAAGTTGCACTAGATAAAGGATGCAGAATCTGTGGCCCTCTAGATATTGATGGACTACAGCTCCTATGACCATTGGGGCTGATGGCAGTGGCGGAGCTTCATGCTCCGGCACCGGGGGGGGGGGGGGCAGAGAGCAAGTGGGGGCGGGGCTGGTGCGCCCAAGGGGTATGATGCGCATCCTGGGGGCGGGTCACGCTGCCTGCAGGGGCGTGGCACCCAGCGCAGGCGGGAGGGCAGCCGCAATGGCACCCCAATGGTATCGCGCTGCCAGGGGCGGTGCGCTCCCCCCCACTCCTCTTCCTCCGCCAGCGGCTGATGGGTGTTGAGTCCAACAACATCTGGAGGGCCATGAATTCTTCAACCCTGGACTAGGATCCACTTATTTAAACTACAATACTCATATCAACAGAACTGTGTTTATCCCGTTCGCACAAGTTTTTCAAAATTTATTTGAAGGTTACACTGGCTTTTCAGAATTCACAAAACTGATTCCACAGGTTATGAAGTGAAATGATCCCATCAACTGATGGCACTGAGGTTGCAATTCATATTTAGGAAGCACTGCATTGCTGGCTGCTCTTATAAACAGGTTACCACCTCCAGGCTTGCTCTAGTGCAACTTTGCAATTAAAAAAACCCCTTACCTCTGTAATAGGTTTGCTATCTTCTTCATCTTCGTCTTCCTCCTCCTCCTCCTCCTCTTCCTCCTCCTCTTGACTAGCACTTCCTGCATCACCATCACCTCTCTGCTTTTCTTCTGAAGTGTGTAAAAAGGTTTTATTACTATTATTTACAGGATACTTGTGTTTTTTGCTGCCTACTCTCCAATTCAACATTAAGCTTCAAATTTTAAAATCTGTAACTTTATAAGGATAAAGCTTTAGTGATTTTGGGACTAGTGAATATCATCAACTTTGCTTACCTGGCTTTTCTTCATGTATTTCTTCTGCTTCTGCTCCTCCCTTGTCTTTTTCCTCCACTTTCTCTTCCTCATTTACATCTGGCTGAGGAGCATCAGTTTTTTTGTACTCTGCAGCACTTGGCTGTTTCTGAAACAGTTGTAGGAATTCCACAAGTAAGTTTCTCAGAGACTATTCACTTCCAATTCCAATCCTACTCAACATACTTTTGAAACCAGTTGTTTCCAAAGCACACACCTTTCCAGAGCAGCAGAAGAGGACAACAAGAAACACAGGCAAAGCCACAGTAAGGATGTAGACTACCCAAAGCCAGGGACGCTCTTCAGCAGCTGCCATCATCTGACCCACAACACCGGGCTGGAAGACAAATCAAAATCTATGAAGTTCTCTGTACTTAGCAGTGATTATGAGGCAATATAGCTGCCCAAGAGATCTAACAATCACCCAACCATGGAATTTTGTCCCCCCTCCAAGCCAAAAAGCCCAGGAAAACCCATAAAAGAAGCTATGTGATCTGTCCAATCACACCTCCCCATTCTTCAGCCACAGGTAAACAAGTAAGTAAAAAATGCTCTCCATTCAAATGTCTGAATCTGCAGTGTGCATAGCAAGGTCTGGGTACTAATTCCTCATGTTCGATATGAATTTTCACATAGGGAACATTTGTAAAGTGGGATCTGTGTGTTTATTAACTCAAAAAAGACATACAAATCTGTTAATGACCAAAAAACAGAAAGAGGTTCGGAGTACATTGTCAGCAGTATGCTGATGACACTCAGCTCTATTTCTCCTTTATATCTACAGGTGAGTCAGTGGAAGTACTGGACCGGTGTCTTGCCTTGATAATGGCCCAGATGAGAGCCAACAAACTGAAACTCAATCTAGGTAAGACTGAGGCAGTGTTAGTAGGTTGTTCCCTAGACCGGATGGGTGGGAGATCACCTGTTCTTGATGGGGTTACACTTCCTCTGAAGGAGCAGGTTTATAGTTTGGAGGTACTCCTGGATCCTTTGATGTAACTTGAGGCTCAAGTGGCCTCAGTGGTGCAGACTGCCTTCCATCAGCTTTGGCTTGGGGGTCCAGCTAAACTGGACAGGGATAGCCCAACTACTGTTGTCTATGCTCTGGTAATCTCAGTGTTAGATAACTGCAATGCATTATACGTAGGGCTGCCTCTGAAAACAGTTTGGAAACTTCTACTAGTGCAGAATTCAGCAGCCAGGTTGCTCACCGAAGTAAGTGTGAGCATATTACACCGATCCTGGTCCAACTGCACTGGCTACCCATTAGCTTCTGGGCCCAATTCAACGTGCTTGTTTTGACCTATAAAGCCTTAAAGCGGCTCACGACCACAATACATCAATGACCACCTCTTTCCATACTCAGACCCTGAGATCATATTCTGAGGCCCTTCTTCATGTGCCTCCTCCACAAGAGGTCTGGAGGGTGGCAACACGAGAACGGGCTCCGCGTCTGTGGAATGCTCTCTCCAGGGAGGTTCACCTGGCACCTTCATTATACACCTTTAGACGCCAGGCAAAAACGTTTCTCTTTAACCAAGCCTTTGGTTGGTTGACATCCTATGCCCTTTTAAAATGTGTTGGAAGGGTTATTGGGTTGTCCTTGTTTTTATTTTGATTATGTATTTTGTGGTTTTATATTCCAATTTTATCCTGAAACCTGTGGGTATAGAGCAGTATACAAATTTAATTAAATAATAACATTTGGATTCTAGTCTGTTATCCTGGCTGTTGTCAGAAACAAAGCTTTTATTTCTCACCTCAGCAGCGCCATCAGCTGCCTTCTTCAGACCCCATCCATCATTACCCCAGTCATCTGCCACTGCCCGATCTGTACAGATGATGAAATTATCAAATAATATGTCAGAGGTCATAGACCATAACTCAAGCCCAAGAGCAGCAAAGGGGGTCATCTTGAAAGGTTCCAAGTCTTCAAAGAAATCTGGGTTTGGAATCTTTCTTGGCTTCCAGATGCCCTGATGAAGAAACAGAACAATTATAACACAAGAATTCATTTTAATGACCCTTCAGAGATTCCTGAACAGATTAGAATACTTCATTTTATTCTTGGCTTATATTCACAATCTTGTTGAACATCTATATATACAATGTACTGTTATTTCCCTTTGTTTCTTGTTTTGCTATTTTCCCCACTTCTGTCTGTCCACAGAGCAATGGCAGAGCGCATGCTGTGTCTGGAGAAAATCCCAGGTTCAGCTTTTCACATCTCCAAGAAGCAGAGTTGTGAAAGACCACTGCCTAGATCCTGTAGATAGAAACTCTCTTTTATGGAGATAGATACAGGTCTAAATTCAAAAGAGGACTCGCTGTATGTATGTGTGTTTTGTTGTTTCTTAACCCACTTAGGTTCCTTTCCTGGAAAATTCAGGCACACATCAGTAAACCGTTGTTGGAAGTATTTTAATTTTATCCTGCTCTTAGACTACGACATGTAACGGCTGTATTTGCACATAATGATACCCCAAGCTTGTTTAGCCAAAATGATTTTCAATTGCTCTTTGCCTTATGCCCCTGTATCTTGGCAAGTTTTTTGTGTGGCATAGCCAAACAATCCATGGGTAAGTGAGGCTCTTTGGTTTGGACAAAACACCAAACCATAGTTTTAAAATGCTATATTTTATTAGCCTATAAACCACTGCACACTGTGGTTTGTTGATGTGCTAGATTCAGAAATTAACTCTGGCTAAACAAACCATGACTCTGTGTTATGTGTTAACCAGATCATAGTTTAGTCTTAAATAGCTGAAAAAAGTAGCAGAATACAAAGAATGTACCCTGAAATATGAGTATGAAATATAATTTGTAATACTAGATAATTTACCTGGTAGTTAGGGTTATCAATCATGGGTGCTTTCCATTTGCCTTTATAGTTGGGATTGTCAATTGTGGGACGTTGCCAAGCACCACAACCAGGGGCAGATTCACATTTGGGATTTGCAATCTGAGGTGCCTCCCACTCTCCATCCATATCTTCATCCCTGAAAAAGGTAACACTGTTTTAGGACTCCATTTACTTTTTAACAAGAAATTTAAAAGGTCTTTGACCTGTGGTAGAAATTTTGATCTAGAAATAATTATCAGTGTTGAAAATCAAAATGATTACACCAATTATGCTAGAATTCCTTACCTTAGCATAATCAAATAAATTCAAAATTTAATCAAATTCATTTTACAATCAACTTGTGTCAACAATTCAGAAAATGCATAATTTAGCTTATTTCCACTATTTAAAGACCACCTTTTGCCAATCTACACTGTTTAATAAAATGAAAACACAGAAGTGAAAACCTATGTTCATTAAAAAGCACAACATAAGCACATTAAACTGGAACAGCAACAAACACCTCTGATCCAGAGCAAGCTAATCAAATCCACTGTAAAGCTTGGGTGAACAGAAATCTTTTCCCATGACAATGGGAACACGTCAACTAGACAGCCAATTGTGCCTCCAGGGAATGAGTCCTAAAGGCAGGGAACAACCCTCAAGAAGGCTCAACCATTGAGGGAATGGAAAGTAAAGCCTCCCACGCTGAACTCAATGCCCAAGCAGGCTGGTATGCAAAGAGGTGCTCCATCAGATTTCACAAACTCAGCATTCTGCACTAGCTGCAATTTCCAGAAAGCGTTCATCAAGGATAGCCCTAGAAACAGCACATTAGAGTAGTTGAGATAGGTGGCTGCCAGAGATTGCAAGACTGTGGCGAGGCTATCCCAAACCACGAATGACTGTAGCCAACAATCTACTCCTTGCCACTAAAGCTACTTGGGCCTCCAATTAGAGAGACGACTCAAGTAGCATTCTCAGGCTATGAACCTACTCTTTCAAGAAGGAGTCAGACTCAATCCAGAACAGGCCATTAATTTCCCAGATCTGGGAGCTACTGCAGAAATAAGTTACAGCAAGAAATTGACTGGGACTACAACACTTTCAGAGTTACTCTGACTAGATCTACCTGCAGGTTAGCATCTCCCACCACCAATGTATCAAATGAGCAACCTAGAGTAATTTTTGCCTTTACATGCAGCCAGTAAATTCAGGCAGAAGGCTGTATTCAGCCAACACTCACTACCTCTCGTATAACATCCACCAGTAAGGACATGTAAACTCCTACCCCCAAGTTACCACTCAACAACAGGCAAGTCATGTGTCTCACTCTGCCTCACTGGCTGCATCAGGTAACCAAATGCCCAATTCCAACACCACTGCCACCTCTAAACATATATATATTCCACCCATCCAGTCTAGCAAACCATCCACTAACAATGCCTCTAAGCTGGTGAGATACAAGTAATGTTACAAAGCTTATAGGTTTTCCTCAACTACTAAATTCCTCTTATATCTGAGTTTTCTCTCACCCTAGCTAATATAAAATTTGGGAATACATGAAATTTCACAACTTGCTTGCACCTTTCTTTGTGTGAGGAACACAATGCTGATCACACTATCTGTAAATCCATTCACAGTTATCTTTCTTTCTTGATTAATCTTATCAACAGCTGCTTAGAGCAATCTCTTCATCAGGCAAAGTCTTAAAGCTGTTATGCAACCTCCAGCTTTGATTGAACAATAGACTTTGATTGCATCAACTTGTGCATTTGAAAGAAAGTCTTTTAAGAAACAAATCCAAGAACTTCTGGCTTCGGCCAGTCAGGGCAAGAAGTCACAAGTCAACTATAATCAAATATTAATTCAGATCCATACTCCTGAACTCCTCATTCTTTTTCTTTGTGCTGATCATCTAAAAGAGTTCCAACTGTAACCATGACTAGATGGGCTTGAACTAACTACACATCAAGTCCTCCAGGAGTGATCATATATAATATGAGCGTGCAACAGCAACTCCCATGTATGTCATTCATACAAAATGACAAACATCAACCTGCTCGTTTGCTGACTATCTGGGCAAGTAGGTATGGTCTTTCAAGTGACATATTTCAATGATCAAGTTCACTATGACCATAACCCCATTTCATTTCAGTCAAAGAATGGGTACAGACCAAGGGTTCATGCAATCCAGCCTTCCCCTGTAGTTCAGAAGAGCTGCTGGGCAGCAGTTTGGGGAACGCTGGACTAAGCAGCAGCTTTCCAGAAAGCCCATAGCAGCACATTAAGGCAATAGCTCTCACCTGCTTTTGAAAGTGGCAAACAAGCCAAGTGTCTGTCTTAGACCAGTAACAGAATTGTGTTTTTCAATCAGTGAAAAAAATGAGCCTGAACACACAGAATACATTGAAGTATATCAGGCTATGTTCCACACATACAACTAGATGCCAAGTAGACATATTAAACACAAAACAGAACAGAAGTTTAAGTACCACACATCTGGAAATATTAGTTGTGGTTACTGAAATGCTCACAAAAAAACCCCTATTTTAAGGATCACCAGCAGAGTTACTATTTTAGTTTGAAGACATTGCAAAGTGGAATCAGTGTTAACTTACCAATCTTCTGGTTTCTCTGCATCAGGATCAGCAACATATTCTGGTTCATCATCTAGCCAACCTTCTGGCTTCACAGCATCCTCATCTGGAATCTTAGCAGGAGCATCCTCATCCCTAAAAGATGGAAGAAACCATTAACACTTTCAGGGAGCATGTTGCTCCAGGCCTGTAGATGTTAGGACCTTCTAGGTCATTTCTGGGTGCAACTCAATGAGTGAATCACCTTACTGTCCCCAACAATTTAAAAGAAGGGTATCTTTGATCCTGCCCATCTCTTGTGGTCAGCTGGAGAGACCCACCTGCATGACCACAGCTGGTAACAAGATAAGGGGCATAAAGACTTCTTTAGGCAAGCTTTGGTTTGCCTTCTGTTTAGTCTTTCATTTCCAAGTTATATCTTTTACAATTGCAATAATTGTGATGTTACTTTATTATTTTTAGGGTATCATAAGCTATTTGGAGCACTCTGACAGAGCATGAGAAGTATGGTTAACAAAATAAGGCCTTGCTACTAGAGAACACCAGTTGTCCTCCATTTTGTCCCCACTCTCAACTTGTTCCTCAGGTCTCCAGTTGTCTGTAGCTAGCAAGCCAGGAGAGGGTGTGCCTGAAGAACCAGCCACCGCCATCTACTGACAGGGAAAAGAGATTATACTGGCTCTCCTGGCCTGAGGCTAAGGAGCTCTTTAAAAAGGTAAAGGACCCCTGACCGTTAAGTCCAATCACAAACGACTCTGGGGTTGCGGTGCTCATCTCGCTTTACTGGCCGACGAAGCCGGCGTTTGTCCGCAGACTCCCCCCCCCCCAATCATGTGGCCAGCATGACTAAGCCGCTTCTGGCGAAACCAGAGCAGTGCACAGAAACGCCATTTACCTGCCTGCCAGAGCAGTACTTATTTATCTACTTGCAGTTTGACGTGCTTTCGAACTGCTAGGTTGGCAGGAGCTGGGATCGAGCAATGGGAGCTCACCCTGTCGCAGGGATTCAAACCGCCTATCTTCTGATCGGCAAGCCCTAGGCTCAGTGGTTTAGACCACAGCGCCTCTAGTGTCCCAAGAAGCTTAGATAACATAAAATGCGAAGCAAAATGCAACCAGGACATGCTTTAATTAATTAATTGACTGTTCAGAGCCATGAGTTTTGGTGTGTCTTTCCAACTTGCATCCAACACCCACATTCAGGGTCAAGTACAATTCACAGTCACCCTCCTTCCTCTTTTGTTCATCAGGAGAAAGAAAAACCTATTAGTTGCCACCTGCCACCTTTCCCTCCTCAGCCTGTGACTAAAGTTTTCACCTCTTCACAAAAAAAAAAAAAAAAAAGGTGACTGATCCACTGGGACCAAGCCAGGCCAAACAAGCTCATGAACAAGTTAACAGGCTGGCAGTTGGACTTACTGCTATGTTTTTGTTACTATCACTCTCACTTTGCTAAGGATTGGGAAGCAACACAGAAGAATTGGCCTTGCAAAAGTGCTGAAAACTCCCTTCCAAGTTATGTCATCAGCAAGTGAAAGCATAGCAGTGTTACAGATGGTGACATGAGAGGTAAAATGTGGTGCCATAAACCTGGTTCTTCCAGTCTCTAGCAACTGCTTCCAATCATCCCCCTCTCAGGTGCTAAGTTGGGCTACATGCTGGCATCCCCTGAGCCAGAAAAGCAGGGGGATCAGCAGCAGCTAGCTCAAGGCCTTTCAAACAGCACAGACTGCAGAAAAGACACAGACTTCAGCTGATTTGTGACTGAATCTGCAGAACAATAGTCAGACCAACTCCCCTCAGCCCATTTCTAACCTTCCTGAGGTTCAACCACAATCAAGTCTCTGCCCAGTGCTCACGCAGATATATGGGAATGTAATTAAGGATTACCTAGAAAACCAGAGAATACGCTAGAAAAACTACACACCAGTTACTTCCCTTTATGCTTCTTTTCATGCCACTCTCAGAAAAAGCTGTCATAGCAAGCCTCTCCCAAGGTTCCTTAAATTTCAACAGCTACTCACCAATCATCTGGTTTAACAGCATCTGGGTCTGGAATCTTAGCTCTCTCATCCCAATCCTCTGGCTTCTGGTCATTTGGGTCCTCTATCTCTCGTGGCGGATTCACGGCAGGGGTCATATCAGAAAGAAGATTCCCACTGTTTACAACAGTTTGATCAACCAGGATTTCAAAGCTGTTGTCTGGGTTCAGAACTAGGATGACCAAGGAAAATAAAGTTAACTTGAATACTTTTGAAAAGAACCTATAAAAATATAGGTTCAAGAAGGTCCATTTCCCTGCTTTATAGTCTACTCTTCTCCTGCAGGAAGTTGTTCTATCATTAAAGGTTTCTTACACAGGAAATAAAAAACTCTTCACTTCCTGCTTTACAATACATTCCATTGTTGCAAACAGCCTCTCCCACATTCCATAAAAGCCGTCTGCACTAGACTTTCACATAGAAATCCATTATGTGGTTACTTTACCCAGTGTATAAAGATGAGTCTTCTTATCAGTAAAGTAATTCTTCAAATCAGCATCAGGACGCTTTGCATGCTTCTCCTCATACATGCCCGTTTTGGGGCTCTTGTGCCGGAAGATGAAGTGCAATTTATAGTCTTCTCCACATTTGTCGGGGCCAAACATAATGGTATAGGGAGTCTTGTCATGGAATTGATCCTTAAAAATATAAATATGGCCCAAGCTTCAAACACACAGCATAAGTTAACTTTCAGGACAAGCTCCTAAGCTACATCTTATGAACACTTTGATTCTACAAATCTAGAAATCAATAACCTCTGTATAAGCAGACTTACATCAACCAAAATTGTAAAAGTCAAAAAATAAGGCTTTCCTTGTTAGGAGTATTAATAATGCAATTCAGGAACCTGAAGTTTCAAAAACTGCTGTTAACACTGCACCGACCAACTTATACCGTATTTTTCGTTCTATAGGACGCACCGGTCCATAGGACGCACCTCGTTTTTTTTGGGGGGGGGAATGAATAAAAAAAATCCCCCCCCCCGCGGCTGCCGCCCCAAGCCTCGCGTGCTTCGGGCTGCAGGCTACCGCCCCAAGCCTCGCGCGCGAGGCTTGCAGACAGTCGCCCGAAGCACGGGGAGCCCTCCGGAGGGCTCCCGTGCTCGGGCGACAAGCTGCAGCCCCAAGCCTTGCGCGCTGGGCGGGACCTCCCGCCGGGCGCGCAAGGCTTGCAGACACTCGCCCGAAGCAAGGAGCCCTCCGGAGGGCTCCCGTGCTCGGGCGACAAGCTGCAGCCCCAAGCCTTGCGCGCTGGGCGGGACCTCCCGCCGGGCGCGCAAGGCTGCAGACACTCGCCGAGCACGGGAGCCCTCCGGAGGGCTCCCCGTGCTCGGGCGACAAGCTGCAGCCCCAGCCTTGCGCGCTGGGCGGGACCTCCCGCCGGGCGCGCAAGGCTTGCAGACACTCGCCGAAGCACGGGAGCCCTCCGGAGGGCTCCCCGTGCTTCGGGCGACAAGCTGCAGCCCCAAGCCTTGCGCGCTGGGCGGGACCTCCCGCCGGGCGCGCAAGGCTTGCAGACACTGCCCGAGCACGGGAGCCCTCCGGAGGGCTCCCCGTGCTTCGGGCGACAAGCTGCAGCCCCAAGCCTTGCGCGCTGGGCGGGACCTCCTGCCGGGCGCGCAAGGCTTGCGGACACTCGCCGGGGCTGCAGGCTGCTGCCTGCAAGCCTTGTGAGCCCGCGGGAACTCCCACCGGGCTTGCAAGGCTTGCGGATAGCTTCCTGAAGCCTGGAGAGCGAGAGGGTCGGTGCGCACCGATGCCTCTCGCTCTCCAGGCTTCAGCGAAAGCCTGCATTCGCTCCATAGGACGCACACACATTTCCCCTTCATTTTTGGAGGGGAAAAAGTGCGTCCTATGGAGCGAAAAATACGGTAAGTCATGGATGCTTAGTCAAAAAGTGAAATTCATGCTACCGATTCAAGGGCATTTTTCATGGTATTAGCATATGAGATGTATGAAATGTGCCATTTAGAGTAATCCAAAAGGCAAGGAATTAATAATTTTTCAGCAAACACATACTTGGTAGACCGCAGAAATCATGAGAATAATGACAGACCCACAAACTGCTCTAACTGTAGATAAGTAGGCCAGCAGACTACTCTTACAGCCACAACTAGTCCTTGAACATACTCAGTTTGGAAGTGAAGTCCAAAGGTGTGCTCACATTACTGCCTTAGAGTGCAGTGACATTCTCCCTCCCCCGCCCATGCACTTCTTAGCTCCCCCCAGATGTTCACATCAGCGTGGCTTCATTACTGTCAGGTTCTCTGTTTGTGTACACACCAGGAGACACTGAGGGTGGGAAGGTGGAGATGCATTTACTCTATGCAAAGAAAGGTGTGCACACCTTAACTACAGACAAATTAGGAATGACTTAAGGATTCCAAACAGTCTGAAGCTGACTGGAGAAACAATGCATCAAATAGTAGTATTTTATAACAAAGTACAGGATATGTATTTTGGATAAAAATCATAACCCAGCACTGGAAATGCAGTAAGTGCACAGTAAACATAGCTGTGGATACAGCCCAACACACATTAGGAGCTAAAACTCAGAATGCAACAGCTCTATGAATGAAACTGGAAAACAGTCCGCACATCACTTACCAGGTTCAGCTCACGAGTTTTCGAAAGCAGCTTTACATAAGCACCACCACACTCAATTCCATTCTGGAAGTTGACTTCATACCTAAGTTTGGAATATAAAATAATACTCTCATTTTCAAAAGAAAACCCACCTCATTTTTTTCCTGAAGACAATGATTCATTTCAAACAACAACCACATCCTCCTTTCACCTCATATGCTTCAATTCTTTCTTTGGTGCGACTCAATTCAGAAATGAAACCCCACTTTTAAGCCGTGTTTTTCAATTCTGGCTTGCAACAAATCATAATTTTACTAATTCATGTATCACAGCACATACTGGTTTGCCCAAAGCACCAAATGAAAGACAGATCTAGAGTGGAAATCCGAAGCAAGTCCCCAACTGCCAAACCATGGTTTGAACATTACAAGTGAAGCAAGCTTATATTCCAGATTGTGACGAAGGCAAGACATTTTGACTTTGGTTGTGAAAAAAAGCCCATGGCAGTTTCTTTCTTTTTAAAAAAAAAATATTTTATTAAGGATTTTCTTGTTTTACAGAAGTAAGTGTAATGCCTCGTATTTTTTTCCCCCCATGTAACATTTTTACAAATCCGTTTCATTTGTTGAGGCATTGGGGGAGAAGAAAAAAAGGAAAAAAGAAAGGGGGGGTGGAGAGAGGGAAGATGGATGGGGGTGGGGTGGGGTGGCGGTGTTTCTATTATGTTTAATGTATGTAGAGTTTGGTGTCAGCATTGCTTGTGTTGTTCACTTGTGTTCCTTTGGTGGTGAGAGAGGTTGGGGTTGGCCTAGGGTGTGATTGTTTGCTTGTGATTGGCTGTGGTGATCTTTGTTTTCGTGTGTGAGTGAGGTGGGTGGGTGTTTTGGATCAGGTTAGCCATATTGATTTGTATGCTGTTGGTGGCCCATGGCAGTTTCTATCCATTGTACAGAATCATCGGATTTTGCTGTGAACTGGCAGAACCTGCTTCCACAGAGCTCAGTCCTTATAGGCCTATATACAATACAGTGAGTGCGTGCATTTCCACTGAACTTAACTGCTCAGTGTACACACCCATTCACTGCTAGATAGAAAATAAAAAGCATCACTTACTGTACAATGAGGGGTTTGGTGTCGAAGACAAAGGGTTTGGTGAGTTTGGCAGAGATTGCATGATGCTTAGCTCGAGAAACCAGCACAAGTCCTTTATCCCCTGGTAGTTTAGTATCCTTCATTTCCTGCACTTCCCATTTGCCTATTAAGAAACAGGACAACACATCAGGAAGCCCATTGCTGTTTTAATACTCCATTCATAAGAAACCACACACACACACACCATGTCATTTCTACTCACCATATTTACATAAGCAGCCAAAATTTCATTGCACAAAATATCTACCATTTTTAGAACCCATGCGCACAATTCAGCTACCACTGACTGCAATAAACTACAGCTCTAGTTTATGAGAAAATACAACCTTCCACAACACACAAGGAACTTTGCTCAGGAGAGCCACTCATCCACAACACTGCCTAACTGCAACCTAACAATAAACAAGATTCTATACACATGAAAATGAAATTGTTAGAATCAGGTAGGTGCCAAGTGTTATAAATGCCAGCTTTATGCCGTGTGTTTTTCACATGAGTGCTGCTGAATAGTTCACAGAAATGTTTAAATGCTCTCCCAGGACTCTGGCCCAGATCTCACTGATGCAGTCAATCTGTATAAGATCTGTACAGTTTTGCAAGTGGGGGCTCATTTGACTGAGTGTTCTTCCATACAAAAAACCTATTTCTTCCACAGAAAAAAACATTTTAGGAATAAGGCTAGATGGTTTCTATGTGGAAAATATTTTTATTTTATTTTTTTATCAGGATGCATGCAATCACATTCCAGATGTAGGTTTATCATCTCTGTGAGAACTAGGCCACTAGTGCCACAGCAAGACAAAGGTTTAATTGAGATTTAGTCACATTTGAATCTTAGAATTGTAGAGATGGAAGGGACCACAATGATCATCTAGTCGAACCCCCTGCACTGCAGGAATTTTTCTCCCAACGTGGGACTCGAACCCACAACCCTGAGATTAAGATCTATTACCCACCCTTCACCATAAGGTCCCATGGCATATGATAACAATATAAACAATTGTTATAAAAACAAATAAAACAGGTTTAAACAAAAATACCATCCAGTACTGGGAGGAGGCTGGGCCAGTTAAAGTAGTTGTGCTTCACTACTAATCCCAGTCATTGCATACAGTGAATACCAAGCAAAGCATTATACTCACCATCGTATTTGGCTATTTCATCATCTATATCATCCTTCTTAGCTTTAGATAGAACCCACCTAAAATTTAAAAACAGTTGTTTTTTTTGTTTTTTATTTAAAGCATCACCCCCCCCCACTGCTTCAGCCAAAAAAGTTCCCAGAGTGGCTAACAAGCGATCATTAACAAGCAAGCTAGTCCCTGCCCTCAGGTTTACAATCTAAAAAACATAGCAAAAAAGGAGAAGGGGGGAAAGAAGGGTAAAGGAAGACAAGCAAACTGAGGCACCAGATATGAGAGTGTTGCATAGCTTAAATGTGTTTAAACACCTTTTTATCTTCTGTAATTACATAATTTAGTGAATTAGTATGTCTTGCAACAAATTCAATAAATATGCATATTACCACATGTCCATCATTTGAAATATTTAAGTCTAAGAACTTGCAACTGAATGGCTCACTGCTAACAAACTGCTGGCTCTGTGATTGGTGCACTATAACTAAGATATACTTCGGCAGAGATGTAAGGCAGGGCCTTCTGTTTCAACACCTAGGCTTTGAAATGCCATGCCCTAAGACACACATCTTCAACCTTTTCAGACCCCAGGACCTGCTTTTAATCCCCACATGCATCTGAAGACCCGCTTCTTAATATTTTACCATGTATTTGCATGGTAGTGCACTGTGATTATTGGTTGCTGCCAAGTACGTGTGTACATTTTGCTTTGACTTTGTTTAGAATTGCTTTTTTGTTATGTGAGCCCCACTGAATTACTCATACTGAGGCAAAAGGGATATAATTGCTTTTAATGCACACAACAGAAACATCTCTCTGTAAATCTACTAACACCTCTTGGGCTTAAACTTACCCTTCTAAAGTTCCTTTATCGAAGTTCTCGGCAAAATAAACGTCTCCTGTTGGGACTGGGGCCTTATAGGTAACCTGATTGAGAAAGATGTCCGATATACCTTGATAAGTGATATCTTGAACAATATTATAAACCAATTCATATCATTTGTGATCAAGTAGAATTGACAAATATGCTTTTGGGTACACAATGCACTTGTTCTGACAGCACAAGTATTTCCATTAGTGCAATAAAACTTCCCCTCCCTCTCCAAATTGGCTCTGAAGAGCTGGGGTAACCTCCTGAACCTCCAGATTTGGGGTTGGGGAAAAGGAGAGGCAGGAGAAGTTCTGTGGCATGGGCAAAAGTCCTTGTGCTAATGGAACATATTGGATACTGCCCATAGTTTGTATGCTAATATCCCAAACTATTCCACTTCGTATTGAACAGCAGAATTACTGAAACAGCTCTTCAATGGAAAAAAGACTACAAATAATGGTTTAGAAATTTGAACTCATTGCTTTACATTACTTCTTATTGAAGATTCCAACCTTAGGGTGTAGTGTAGCACTACACTGGCAATTCATAGGATAGTAGTGAATGAAATATTAGAACTACCACAAGGGGATGTCCCTCTCCCCTTGCACCATCCCCAAATCTGCTCTGGAGTTTTGGTGGAATTTAGGGGGCATGTGGGAGGATAAATCCTTGTGCTGATGAAATGTTCTCTTCAGCACTATGATGAACGCAACCCATGGCTCAATTTTCATGTTCCTTCTGCCTTAAAGATCTAGGAGCCCAGAAGGCAAACATGAGAGAGAGCTAGGCATACAGTCATACCTCGTGTTGTGTTAGGTTCATGTTGCATCTTTTCAGCTTGCAAACGTGGCAAACCCGGGTTTCGCCGCGCGCGCACATGCAGAAGCGTTTTGTGCACTTTGTGCATGTGCAGAAGCGCCGCTCTACTTACGGACTATTCAGGGTGCAAATGGCACCCCAGAACGGATCATGTCCGCAACTAGAGGTACCACTGTACAGCACAAAGCTATGTTGCATTGCTATAATGTTTTGGTATAGTTCTATGATGGCGACATAAACTGCTAATATAGTTGTATTACTGTTTCCAAGCATAGCTAATTCCAATGTACATGATGCTACTTTCCCACTGATATCATCTGTATCACATTCACATGTCGACAAAGCCTGCTCTGTCCAATTTCCACATTAATCTGCACAGAACCAGATTTAAACAGATGTTTTTGAATGTGTTCTCACTAAATAAGCATTTCTAAGCATATATGCATTTTTCCATGCAGTCAGGTTTGTTTTTAGGCCCAACAACTATATCACACAAGGAAAACTATCTTCTGATCCACACAGTCATCCAGAAGACATTGAATGGATCAGTTCAAACTAGAACTCAGAAGAATAAGTTCCCCAAGCATCCCTATTTACTAACACCACAGCAGTCAATGTAGCGCCCACCAGATATAGCAGACTACAACTCCCATCATTCCTTACCTTTGGCTATTTTGGCTGGGGCTGTTGGGAGATGCAGTCCAAAACATATGGATAGCGCCACATGGGCTTTCCTTACACTACACCCATGCAAACAGCACAAAGCTTTAAACAACAGGAGAAGCCTCTCTGGACAGTGCGGCAACTTAAGTTGGGATGCAGGAATTTTCCACATCTTTTCAAGAAGCAAGTTCTAGCAGCCAAAGGAAAGCAACAACTTGGAAAAGTGCACCCCACTCAGATAATGGGCCGGTTAAAATTAGAATTATAGCTAGAAAGCTGCAGACCTGGTCCAATCATCAGAATGAAGGAACTTGCTAATAATTTCCATCTGGAGATCTAAGTATTCAAACAAACCTTAGGGAGTGGGGGTGGAGTGCTCGCTTCATGCTTCAACTCTTCTACCTCTTCAACGCCATCATCAAGGTCATCTTCAATATCTATTACGTCGTCGTCATCATGATCGTGATCGTGAGTTTCATGTGCCAGGATAGCAGAGGCTCCAGCTAACAGCAATGCTGCACACAGCAACCACTTCTGCTTCATGGTCTATGCATAAGGGTAAAAAATGAGCATGAAATATCACTACGCCTACCAGCAAAGGAAAGGGCTAATCAACATAAATCAACATATATGCACACTATTAGGCATATGCTACCAAAATGGTTCTCTGATCATCACTAGGTCCCAGCCAATACATGCACAAAAATGCTATTTAATGGTGTAGACCTGTGGTTTTCAACCTTTATGAGTCCCAAGTTCTCTTAAGCGATTACTCCCCTGTGGGATACCTGGTAAAATCCTGTGTTGTTTTGTAATTTAGCCATTCTGCCTATCATTTTTTAAAGGCTTAAAAATTGAACAGTAGAGCTTTGAAAAGACTTTTTAAAAAAATTTAGTCATTCATTGCCCTGCTAAATGTTTTTTGTAAGGTGGCACCCAGTAAAATAAAACTAAAACAGGATTATTAAACAGCCCCAACTGGCAGCAATTTAGGGCATGAAAATGAAAAGGCACTCTGCACATACTCTGAGACATCAGGTGTCCCAAGGGTGGACCACAAATATCAGGAAGGAGAGGCTACTGTATCCAAACAACACACACACACCCCGCCCAAGTAAGGGGCTGTTGCCATGGGACAGCACACAGAACCCCCACCCAAGAGGAAACAGGAAGCAGTCCCCATAGCAACCACCCCCTTCCTTATTTGGCTTTGAAGATCACTCAGGAACTCCGCCTTGCCATGTTCTAACTCCTGACTGGCTTCTTCACTAGCTTAAGCTTCTCACCACGGCTCCCATGCTGAAAACACACGCTTCCAGTATGAAATGGTTACTTCTGGCGTGTAATATTGACATAGACAAGCACAGGAGGAGGAAAAAGGTAAAGTATCAGTGCTGGTTCCATGGAGACGCAACTTCCTGGTTCCTTTTAATACTACTACAGGAGCTCCTCCCCATCCCTTCACTTCAAATAATGAAGAGATTTATCACAACCAAACAAGTAAAACTTGTAGAGAGGCTTGCAAAAGCTAATGCAGTATGAATGAGTCAGAACTAGCAGCAAGAACGCCATACTAGAAACAAGCATATCAATTTCTCTAAGTTTCATAACTGAAAGACTTTTAAAAAAAAAAAAAAGGTTTTGGTGGCTGTTCCAGTCTTATGAGCAAACCTGCATTTTATACAAAGTTCCGTCTTGTCTCCTTTTCATGTTTTGTTTTCATGCTATTATTGTCATATTGTCATTGATATTCTGGGAGCAGAGACAGAGGGAGACACTGGTCAGATGGTCTTACCTCTGGGCCAATGAAAATCTCTGCCTACTGCTACATAAACATTTCTTTCCAACCTTCAGGGGTGACTAGTTTCTTTTTTTGTCCAAAGGCACTATTCAATGATGGCCAACCTCAGTGGACCACCGCAAGCCAGGTACACATGGCCAAACTTAAAGCAGACACCCACCTACACACTCCCATATATACAATACACATTGCCGCACTAGCAACATCAATAGCTGAAAGGAATTGCCCCAGCACTTGTTTCCATCATGCTCCCTTGCTCTACTGAGAGTACCAACAGCAGTTATGGTGAAAAGCACAGATAGCAGAGCAGTGGTGAGTCTCTCTTCCTCCAGCTTCCGTGTGGTGGCGCAGAACAGCCTGCTACCATTGAGAGCAGTTTGGAGTGCTCAGAAAAAAGGAAGGAGTATACCAGAGTACTAGTGAAACACTGGAATAGATCAGAGTGCCTCTTCCTGTTCCCAGAGGGTTCCCGATTGTTCGTCATGGTGGCAGATTGTTCTACACCACCATAGCTGAAGCTACCACTGAACATACCACCACCAGTCTATTTCGGCATAGGCTGATGTCTTTTGAAAATGGCTTGGTGAGTCAAATCAGGCCAACTAATTCACTACCCCTGCATTACAAGAACTATGAAAAGTAGCCTTTTACTAAATAAAACCACTAAGCAAGACAAATGTTTACAGCATACGTCTGCATGCATCACCTAGAAGGGCTTTTTGAAATATAAAAAGGATTGCACATTGCCAGTGTGGTGCAAAGAGCGCTGGATTCATTCTGGGAGATGAGTATTCAAATCCCCCCTCAGCCATGAAATTCAGTGGGTGACCTCGAACAGGCACAGCCTTTCAGTCCAACTGCTACCTCATGGGGTTGTGTGAGCATAAAATAAGTTGGGGGAAGAACCATGAGCACTACTTTGACCTCCTTGGAGGAAAGATGGGATATAAACTAATTCTTCAGTCATATCTCTAGGATTCCAGAAAAGAGGGCCATTTAAAAGCATGACAAATATCACACATAGGAGAGAATGGGACATTAGTACACCTCTTCCCCCAAAAACCAGAGCTTTGAAGTTCACCCCTACATGGTTATTTCTGAAAAAACAAGGAAGCTAATACAGTGGACGCTCGGGTTGCGAACGTGATCCGTGCGGGATGCACATTTGCAACCCGCAGCATTCGCAACCCACGTCTGTGCGTGCGCGGGTTGCAATTCGGCACTTCTGATCAAAGCGCAATTTAGCGCTTCTGCGCATGCGTGACCGCTGAAACCCAGAAGTAACCTGTTCCGGTACTTCCAGGTTTTGGCGGTCCGCAACCTGAAAAGATGCAACCTGAAGTGGCTGTAACCCAAGGTATTTGGTGCACATTTATTAGACCACCATATATTAGAAGATTTTAAAATGAAACATTTTTGCACTCAGCCCCAATTTGGAAGTGATGGGTAAGACACGGGGGTTGGCATCTTTCCCATTAGCCAGTCCATGTCCAGCAACAAACAGCTCCTTCCAACTCCACATTCTGGAGGGAACAGCCTGGATGTTGATCATTTCACCAAGTGCCAGGGAACAGAAGAGACTGCCATGCACTCTCATGTATCTTATATCATACATTTGTTAAGCTTTCTAGTGTTCTAAACTGTTTCCAGAGCCTATTATTAAATTAAATTTGTATACCACCCTATATCCACAGGTCTCAGCTGAAAAGGGGGGTGGGATTCCAGTACTTCCTAAGGGGTCCAAAATCAAGCGCAAAGGAAGCTACAGACATATGCTTGCAGACCGGTTCACTGGAATGACAACATTTTTGTTTCTATAATAAATACAAAGATGCTTGGGGCACAGTCTTATCCCAAAATGTTTAGCCTACTCCCACATTAGTGAGAATTCTGCTACAGAGAAAGCTGTAATACACAAAATCCAAGACCTTAGTACATGGAAGTCTGAGTCTTTCTTAGGTCTTGCAGTCAAAACATGGACATGACCCCAACATTCTAGCACAGAGCAAGCCAAATTGTAGAGGTGATATAATCCTAGGGATGTACAACTTTTGTTGCCTCTTCACTCAGACTATGTCTTATATGGAGGGGGGAGAACATCCAAAAATGGATAGCTGAGATGCACATTTGCTTCCAGAATGCAAGTACTTAGCTCAAGTACATCTACAGGGCAGTGATGCTTAGCTAGAGTCAACACCTCAGCTGAAACTGAATACAGGAAAACCTGGAGATTTCTGTCTTTTAAATGTATTCTGCTACACTCCCTTCATATTCTGATTTGTGGATATTACTACCAAGTGTTTGTTTTCCTATCTACGACAGTCCTGCTGATTAATTTGGCTTTCCAGCAAATTCTGCTTTGTAAACAGATTGTTTCTACTGTGATGAGCATTTGTCGCCTGCAGAAGAAAAGCAAATTAGTCTGCTCAAGTGGTAACCAACACTTCTGTCCTTCTGCCATTAGAAAAATAGCCTTATAAGCAAAAAGAACCAAGGCCTACACAGCAAGCAGGTTAATTTGCTTTTAGCATTTAATTTAGGGTACTAACTACAAAGTAGATCAGGGTATGTGTAGCTCCTACAGAACTAGAGGTAACTGACAGTTTTAATTTGAGTGATAGAACCTGTCTCTTCGGAATCAATATGCCTCTGAATATCCAACGCTGAGGATAAATAGGAAAGGGGTAGTCTTCATGTTCTGATTCTAAGTATGCCATAGGCACATGGCTGGCTGTTGCGAGGGGGGGGGGGAATAAACCAATTCTTATGAGACCTTTTAGAGGATCGAGTTTCCAAGAAGAATTCTTGACTTTTTTTAATCTCCTTATAACTTGGCAAACACTGGAAGTTTTTAAAATACACACATGAATATTTAACATCCAAGTTGCCCCTTTTCTATATATCTTCTATAACTTGTCTTGAAGTAATTAAAGCAAATACTATTATGTTGTGCACACCAAGCACTAACTGTTAAAGGTTATTAAGAGTACATGGGCAAGTGTTTGCAGATTGTTTTATCTGTTCTTTTGAGAAAAGCTGCATGTTTGCAAATACATTACAAATGAGATTTGTAACAAGTTATGAGCTACCATGTAGTGCCTTTTCAGGTTTAGCTGAAACAGTTCACAGCTACTGAAGAGAGTACAGTTGTTGGTATCTGAATGTGTGTATTACCGCTCACAGAAATAGAATGTGAAGTTAGTAACACACTGGGAGGTTCTGTGCTGAGAACAGTGTGATAAAATAGAGCAGCATAAAGTACTTTGGCATAATATGAAACCAGGAGGCAGAAGAAAATAGCTGGACAAATTTATCTTCTTCGAATCTAAATTTTTCTATTCTAAATGCAAGCCGACATACAAAATCACCCCCCCCCAATATACAGTTTAATACAGTATTTCATGGGGGGGTAGTTTTTTAGTCTTTATTTCTGAACCAGGTTTTCCAACATACAATGATCGAAATGCACTCAACTATTTTATGCTGTGAACCTCCCCGAGATCTGTGGATGGAGAGTGGTATACAAATTTAATAAATAAAATATCAAGGGGCTATTGCCTCGTCTGCCCTAGTCCTAGTGAAAAAAATGAGAACACTTCTGACATTATTATTATTAAACCCATATAAATTCTCTCATGTAACTCTCACCTTTATTTAAATTTGGTGCAGCAGTAGTGAGTCGTAAAATTGTTTTACAGGCCAGATTTTACCCAGCACAGTGGTACCTCGGGTTACATACGCTTCAGGTTATATACTCCGCTAACCCAGAAATAGTACCTCAGGTTAAGAACTTTGCTTCAGGATGAGAACAGAAATCGTGCTCTGGCGGTGCAGGGGCAGCAGGAGGCCCCATTAGCTAAAGTGGTGCTTCAGGTCAAGAATGGACCTCCGGAATGAATTAAGTACTTAGGTACCACTGTACTAATAATGCCTAACCCCTTACCCAGGGTTACAGAGGATATTAGGTTCCACATTAAGTGTATTTCTTAGATCAAACTAGGCTGACTAGCAGGGAGAGATTTCATTCAAGTTTGCACTCCACTGAACTAGCAAGTCATCAATATTTTAAAACCATGGTTCACTAACTGTGACCCGAGCCTCCATAAATAACAATGAACAGTTGTTAAGGGAGGTACAGTTCAGCTGTATTTGTGGCCAGCATTCGAAATTCACCATTCGCCAGGTACATTTTGCACCTGACTATTGGCCACTTGTGACTAAGTTGCCTCAGGATCTCCACGATCTGGAGGTGCATACCTGGGGATCGTTGGATCAGGACTCTTTTTACACACTAGCAATGCATCCTGTACAATTCTATCCATTGTATTTTATCTTCACATTCAGAATGAATTTCAGGAACCAAAAAGTCATATTGAAAAATGATTTCTGTCTGGCACAAAAATGGCAACTACGCATTGCACTTTGGCGACTGTAAACCTGGTTTAGGAAGCCATTTGGCACCGAGCTTATATATCTGAGTTTCTTTTAAAAAAGGGGGGGGGAGAGATACACATAATCTATTTTAAGATGGGGCTTCATGCTTGAGGTGCCACAGAAGGCCTCCAAAATGCAAATTCCAAGCTACTGTTCTTCCTTCCAGCTTTGGAGCCTGCAGCACCAGTCTTGAAGGAGAGCAGCAGCCCTTAGAACTACATCACAGAAGATTAGAAGGGTGCCAATAGCAGCTGCCCCTTGATGTCTCCTAAGAGGGAGGGCAAGAAGGGAAAACTAGTTTGAGTGTGAACAATGGGGCAGCAATGTAGGAAGGCAATGGAGTCAGACTCACACACTGTATGTCCCTTTACATACAAATCAGCTTTTAGTTATTTTAGGACACCACACCCACCAGTTAACTTAACTCCATACCAAATAAAGGCAGTGAATCGTGTTTAAGGCAACACCTAAAACTCTCTTAACATATATAGGAAATTTCTGTCATTTTCAGTTCAACATAACTGCAACATAAGTAATTGTTGCTACTTGTGCCAATATAATACCCCAATACTTCCCCCCTTAGTATTGTATGAACTGCAATAAGTTACTACACTAAAGCAACCTGGTAACTTTCATGTGCATGTTATTCATTTGAAGTTCAAGGCCTCTATAGTTTAGAGCATTCCTTACCCTCCCTTTGCAGTTCACCTTTGTCCTCTTTCTGCTTTCACATGGCACATTGCAAAATTATCACTTCCTTCTTCACACCAGACAGGACTTTTGCCCTTATCTTCTTTGACTACCCAATTCCAGTAAAAAAAAATAATCACATTCACGCAACTGTTGCCAGTAATCTATATTAAGTACAAGCCGGTCTTAAGACTTAATTTTAACTTCAATTATTTTATGTTGCACATTTCCCTGCCACACAATTATTTCCAGAATATGTGTCCTGGGAGCCCTGGTACTCTGCATAAGTAGTTCAGCACTAAAATAGCTTAAATTCTAGTTTTGAGAATGCCCACTAGAAAATATGCAGCAACAAAATGTGCAAAACCGTTCCCAAGTCATCAATCCATTCAAACGTCACCATACATGACTTATACTCCATTTTATTAAACTGGCCTGTGCCAAATCCACTCCCATGTCCCATGTTCTTTCCTCATGTGAAAAAGCGCCACAAAATAAGTCACAAAGTCACGCATACTCTTTAAACCCAACAGGGGGCAGGGAGGGTTCCTGCGGTGAGGCCTCTCCCACAACCGCCACATTTCTCCCTTCTTCCTTTTCTGATGTTCAAGAATACGCGACGTGAGAAACTGTGGGCTCCTTCGACGCCCCGTGTCCCCAGCCCAGTCGGAGGAGGCGCCCCCCCCAAAAAAACTCCAAAGCATGACCGCGCAGACCTACCAAGTGATTAGTCATACCGCGCATGTGCTACTCGCGAGCAGGTCTCACGGCGTTGCCACAGCATGACCTAACGGGGAAGGCCCGACTTCCCCACTCGCGGTGCGTCTGCGACAACTCTCCTTCCTCTGCACCCCCCCAAAAAGGATAGAAAACCCCAGCAGGCCAGGCCTGGCTGCTCCTGGCGGGCCCTTGCCCCCCCCCCAAAAAGACTCAACCGCCCAGACCTTGCGAACCCCCCGCATCAATACCCACCCCACAACCTGGCCAGACACTTTAGGCCTTACTGGCCCCCTCCCCCGTCACTCTCATCTCCCCTCTTTTAAGCCCCACGGCCTACTCCCCCCCTACATGCAATGGTACAACCCACCCCTCACCGCCCTCCCTAGGGTCAACGTGCCCCCCTCCAGAGTCCCGGCATTCTCTCCGCGGGCGAGTGAGGGGCTGCCCACCAAAAGGCCTTTTCTATTCCACCCTGTCGGATTCGAGGGATGGTTTCATTTTTTGAGGGGGGGGCAGACTGGAATGCTCACCTCTCGGCGCACCCCACCCGCCGAAGCACTCGGTTGTAGTAGCCCCAGCGGCTCCTGTCACGTGCCCCTCAGGAGAGTGAGTGAGAGAGAGAAAGAGAGAGAGTCGGCGCCGCCAGCCGCCCACCCACTCCGCCGCCTCTCTTCCCAGCCCGAGCTCCGCCTCCGACGCTCGGGTGCTTCCCTACCCCATTGATTCCGGCGGGTACTAACTTCCCGCCCTTGGATTCACGCCTGGATCCGATTGGCCGGGAGGGCATGTCACTTACCAAGGCTCTCGCCTTCAGCCACGTCCCTACGGCGCTGCCCTTCGTGGAGCGTCCCCATTGGCTCCTCCGTCTCGGCACGAAGACCCCGCGGATTGGGCGGCAGAGGCGGGGAAGGCGGGTATTTAGCGTAAATCGGATCCCGATTCATTCTTTAAAGAGACAGCGGGCTTGCTTAGAGGGAAGCGCTTTTTGCGTTCGGGGCGGAATGTAGTCTCGCGCGTAGTCCCGAGAGGTCCGAAGCGAGGCGTAGTTTGGGGCGCCTTTTTAAAACGGGCACCGAGCGTTTCCGTAGGCAGTGACAGGGAGGTGTTCTTTGAATGAAGTGGAAAGACTGAGGGAGGGAGGCAGCAGTGGTCTGTATTTCTACACCTGTTCAGCCTGCAGCATGTAAGGCAGGCATAGGCAAACTCCGGCCCGCCAGATGTTTGGGACTACAATTCCCATCATCCCTGACCACTGGTCCTGTTAGCTAGGAATGGTGGGAATTGTAGTCGCAAAACCTGGAGGGCCGAAGTTTGCCTATGCCTGATGTAAGGCCTCGCTCATTACTGCAGGAACCGGCATTACTACAGGTGCCACAAAATACCCGCATTTGTAAGAACTCTGACCTTTGGCAGCGCCTGCACTTTAGAACTCCCTGCCTATTGAGCTCAAGCAGGCACCTTCCCTGCACTATTTTTTGGTGCCTGCTAAAAACATTCTTGTTTAGACAAGCCTACCCAGATGCATAAAAAGTTGAGGTAATTTTAGTTGCATTAGTATTAAAGGAGATGTGTCAATTTTTTCTTGATTTTACTGTTTTATCTTTTGAGAACTGCTTTGAGGGTTCCCCCCACACACACACAATCAAGCGGAGTATAAATCTTACATAAATAAATCCATATAATGGTGTACGAAAAGCACACATACAAAATTATTGTGTACCTTTGGGGCAGTTTTATCCACCACCTGTCTTTTAATTATTTGTTTTTTTTATATTTTATTTTCATAAATGAACAAGCATCTAACAGTATTAATGCATAGGTTTCATGGATTACTAAGAATGATGCTTCTGGTGAACTGGACTCTAGCCCAAGAAACCTTATTCCATAATAAACTGGTTAATCTTTAAGCATACATATAGATATGGCTCCAAGGAAAGTTACTAGTATAGCTTTACAATTTTTCTGTTTGGTATCTGCTCATTTTTGAAGGAAAGATACCAGTAAGTCAAACAATCCATTTCAAGTGGGCAAACCAAGGAGAGCTCTCTTTGGGATACCTGAATACCCCACCTTCACGCCAGATGGCACTGTTCACAAAGGCACTGTCTTTGAACACTGTACATTGAACCAGTCCTTGAACCAAGTATTATTGGCACAATTGAACTTTCTTGTTTTGTAATTTGGGTGTATCCAGATTTGGCATGATAAGCTGATAATCACATGAGGAGCTAGCTTAAGAAACAGTGTCTTACCTGCTCTTCTTGTTTAGCACCCACATTGGTTTTTTTATGCGCTTCAGACAAATCAGATTTTCTTAACTGAAGTACTGTATCCTGCTGTTTGTGTCAAAACTAAAACACAGACTACGCACGTCACCCAGCTTCCTATTGGAATTTTCATTCGAAGCTTTGTTAGGGGCAAAAACATAATGTCTCTGATTTTAAGTCAAAAAAAGCAGGAGCTTTCTGAAGCCGGTCAAGTTCTAGACTTGGACTGGGTAGGAGGTCTTGGATTATGGAATTTGGGCTGGAAAACCAAAAGCAGCTGCTGACAGAAAGTGGATAATAATTTAAATCACAGTGTTTTTAAAGCACTTTTAATAAGCCTGAGGCTCAAACAACTTATGGTTTGTTATACAAATCTATTTAATATGGGGCTTATTAAATAAATAAAGGGACATGGGTGGCGCTGTGGTCTAAACCACAGAACCTAGGACTTGCCGATCAGAAGGTCGGCAGTTCGAATCCCTGCGACGGGGTGAGCCCCCGTTGCTCGGTCCCTGCTCCTGCCAACCTAGCAGTTTGAAAGCACGTCAAAGTGCAAGTAGATAAATAGGTACCGCTCCGGCGGGCAGGTTAGTGGCATTTCCGTGCGCTGCTCTGGTTCGCCAGAAGCAGCTTAGTCATGCTGGCCACATGACCCAGAAGCTGTGGACAAACGCCGGCTCCCTCGGCCTGTAAAGCGAGATGAGTGCCGCAACCCCAGAGTCGTCCGCGACTGGACTTAACAGTCAGGGGTCCCTTTACCTAAATAAATACTGTGCCTTATCTATAATAACCAATATTATTCCACCATTTCAATAGTCCTGCAATGGCAAAGTAGTTACTACAATTTTTTCTTCGGGGGTGGGGGATATTTTAGCAGTGCTTCTAGAATACTGTGATAAGGATAAGGTAGGTAGCAGCAGGCATACTGATTCAGTGTGCTCAGTATGTGTGCAAGATATATGAGACCTTTGCCAATTCTCATGGTGGTCGCTATTAGATTGAAACACAGATGCAAAGATTAAAGGCATTAGGAATATGTGGTGTAGTCAAAACAAGGAGTTACCTAGAACTTGTTTTGCAAAACCTTGAATAAATCTGAAAGTTTATTGTGTAATGTTTAGCTAAACATTGTGCAACCAACCATGGGCGTATCGATTTTTGGGGGTGGGCACAGCTTGAGAATACTCACATGGCCCATCAACAGGCATTCAAACCCTATACTTCTCATGCTAATACTTGCCACTGGTACTAACATATGTTTGTTCGGATTAAATCTGCAGGCTTCAATTAATCAACCAAAGCTTTGAATGAATAATGTTTATTGAATATTTTATAAACAAATACATAGCTTAGCAGGTCTTGAGCAAATCTAGCAGAGTTGAAATAGATAAAGAGTTTTTAATAGATAACAAATTGGATGATTAAAAAGATGTAGATTATGCAGAGTAGTAGAAAAGCAAAGGAACCAGGAAAACGGTGGAAGGGAAGTCATATGGTATATGTATATATGCTGTATTTGGTACGAAGTTGTAAGTGGGATGGGGGAGGCGGAGGGGGGTTAAGTATGCTCTCTGTTTCTGTTTTTGAAAATGCACACAAACAAAAAACAGACATTCAAACCTAATCGTTCTCATGCGAATACTTGCCGCTGGTATACTAATGTGCGGATTAAATCTGCAGCCTTTAATTAAACAACCAAAACTTTAAGCACAGATTCAACCCTGCTTGATTATTAGGTGCGGCTGAAAACAAGCAAAACTTAAGCCATTTTACATACCTGAAGGACTTGCCATTCTACAGGCTGTACAGATATCCTAGACTGAAGTTCCCTGCATCTCAACTAATCCTGAAGGGATAGCTTCTTTGGTAGATCATGAGACTGTTGATCTCAGGGTCCTGGGTTCCGCATTGGGCAAAAAGATTCCTGTATTGCAGGGGATTGAACTGGATGACCCTAGTGGCTCCTTCTAATTGTCCCTGTCTTGTGGACCCTACAATTCTATTATTCTAATGTGTTGAAGACCTTCTCGGTAGAATAATGCCAGGTATCATATTTTTTAAAAAAATAAGTTCATGTATGCACAATTCATATGTATATACATTCCTTCATTTTAGACATTTTTCCTTCCCATTGTTTTCTTATACTAACGTATATATTAAAAATCCATTTAATAAACTTTTAAAGAGATAATTAGTGAACAGCCCCAACATATAGGAGTCATGTGAGTCATCTCTTACTTTAGCAGTCCTTTAGGCATTAAACATTAAATATTATGTAAACAAAATAATTTTAACAAAAATGTCTATTTTAATTCACCCCACATCATGAAACTTTTGGTTTCCCCCCCTTAAAACAATACTCCCTATGGGATTGTATCCATCTAAGCCATACTCAGAACAGAGCCACTCAAATCAATGGAGTTACAGAGTCCATTGATTTTAATGGATCTACTTTTAGTATGATTTAGCTGGTTACAGCCTATCACTTTTAAGTTTCAGCTTTAACGGGCAAAATGTGTGTGTTTGCCTCCAGAGTCACTATACTTTTATAAGCACAAAGCAGGTAATATATTCACAAATTAACATTTAGTAAGCATCCAGTTTACAGACAGTAGCAATTTACACTCTACTATCAAGAGTGTTGAAGGCCTAATGAAATATCCTGAATCCTAGAGCTGTAATTTCAAAAGAATACAGGTCAGCATCTTGGATGCAGTGCATCTCATACTGAGCATCAATGTATTTCCCAGCATGTGAACAAATAGCCTGCCACAAGTGTGTGAAAAAAGCCTGCCGTGAAACCCTAAAGTAGCAATGGAAATGAGTCTACTTGAAGCTACTCTTTGTGATGCAGATGTGTTACACAGGTTGCCATAGTAGCTGCATCCATAACAAAAGGGAGCCAGCTGCAGGGCAGAAGTAGGTCAGACTGGTCTAAATAATACTCACTTTGATCAGAAAAAGCACATCCAGATCAGTGAGGGAAAGAAGAGGAGAAATGGGAAGGCTAGAGACAAGAGTTAAGGATAGAAACCTATGATGTTAAAAAAGAGAGAGAGAAAGAGAAAAGATTCCTTGTTCTTTTCAGGCCAAGAAACAAATTCAGAGGCAACCTTTTAACTGGACATTTATATTAAGTTTGTCTTAAGACAGATCTAAGGGACGCGGGTGGCGCTGTGGGTAAAAGCCTCAGCGCCTAGGACTTGCCGATCGCATGGTCAGCGGTTCGAATCCCCGCGGCAGGGTGCGCTCCCGTCGTTCAGTCCAGCGCCTGCCAACCTAGCAGTTCGAAAGCACCCCCAGGTGCAAGTAGATAAATAGGTACCGCTTTATAGCAGGAAGGTAAACGGCGTTCCGTGTGCTGTGCTGGCTCGCCAGATGCAGCTTGTCACGCTGGCCACGTGAGCCGGAAGTGTCTGCGGACAGCGCTGGCTCCCGGCCTATAGAGTGAGATGAGCGCACAACCCTAGAGTCTGGCAAGACTGGCCCGTACGGGCAGGGGTACCTTTACCTTTACCTTTAAGACAGATCTAAAGCAGTGTGCAATTGGGTAGTATACGGCCCAACTCCATTTTGTTTCAAGAGGGGCCTAAATCCTCTCACAGTTAACAGCCCAATCCAATGCACAGTTTACTTGAAGCATATCTGACTAAATTTAATGGGACTTCCTCCCAGGTGAGTGTGCACAGGTTTGCACTCCAATTCTCTTCTGACCCACTTTGGTCTGTGACCAAAAAATTTAGGCTCTAACTAGCTCTGACAGTCATGCTGGCCACATGACCCAGAAGCTGTACGCCAGCTCCCTCGGCCAATAAAGCGAGATGAGCGCCGCAACCCCAGAGTCGGTCACGACTGGACCTAATGGTCAGGGGTCCCTTTACCTTTACCTTTTAGCTCTGACAGTGATTTGACTTTTGCGTAAGATTTCTAAGCATTCCCGAATAAATATATAGTTCGGGTTGTACGTGATCTAAAGCAGAGAAGTGTCAGTCAGGAAGTGGGTGCTGAATATTTTCCCCAGCTATGGTTTTTTCCAAAAGCTGCTTTGCCATGACCAGTTTTCTCCAAACGGTGCTTGCTTGTAAGGAAGGGGATCCTAGGGCTCCTTCAGACAACCTGTTTATCCAGCATTCATCTTGATTTGGTTGCACAAAGCTTTCGCAATGCTTAGACAATGTCTGGTCTTTGGTGTGCATTTTGTTCTGATTTGTTTATGGGGAACTTATATGATAATGAGCTTTCATTCTGATTTGCTTGTGGGGTGTTTACACATCTTCCCATTAATAATTTGTTCATCGACACTTTCCCCTTTTCTTTCCAAACTGAAAAGTATGGATTTTTAAAAATGGATTTGTCATGCTAGGGTGACTTCAGTCCACTTTGATTATGCAAAACTAAAGCTCCCACAAAATACTGAGATTCGTATTCAACTGAGGCCCAATCTCCACTATACATTATAAGTACACCTATTGCCCTGCCACTTTAATCAGTCATTACTTCCTCCAAAGAATCCTGGGAAGTGTAGTTAAGGGTGCTGAGAGTTATTAGGGGACCCCCAATTTTCTCAAATAGCTACAGTTCCCAAAGTGGTTTAACAATCTCTCTTCCCAGGGAAATCTAAGAACTGTAGTACTGAGAAGCACATAGAAAATTTCCTAATAACTCTCAGCATCCTTAGCAAACTACAGTTCCCAGGATTCTTTGGGGGAAGACATGACTGCTCAAAGTGGCATGATACCACAAATGAGTTTTACTCAGAGTATACTTCTTAAATTAATGGGCCTGACTTAATAATGTTAATTAATTTCAATGGGTCTACTCTACTCCATTCTGGTGTACACTAAAGAAGATCCTTAAAGCCATGTGGGCAGCTGGAGTGACCAGCTCAGAACTCCCTGCATACTGAAATCCACATAGAGAGATAACAAAGGTTATGTGACCCATTTCATCTTAAGGTAGGAAATGATGACATGGGCTTAGCCTGATAGAACAGCTTTCTCTATAGTTTAACCTCTTCATGCGCTAATTAGATTCAAACATGCTGGAATCCTACAGATTGTTCTCTGACTTACTCTATACATTTCCTAATAATGACCTTTGAAGTCCATACACCTTGAAGTAGTTGCATGAAAGCTACTATATTATATGAAGTTGATTTTCAAAATGAATGTAGCATCAGAGAGTTGGGACCTTATAACATGCTTTAAGCTTTCCAACTAAGTATCTTAGGGAATATACAGAAAGAAAAAAATCTATGCAGGAAATATACTCAAAGAACATATTAATTGCTACATTTGCACAATACATCCTTGTGTCAAATATGTACCAGCAGCCTGCATTTTAAAAAATTAAATACCTAATTTTGCATTTTCAAAAATACATATGACAGGAAACTCCCCTCCCTCCAGACAATGCAATGTTATTTTTTTCCAGTTAGTTAAGTAACAGGTAAGTTTATAAATACTTCAGCCATTCATTTTTATCTCTGTTCAGATCAAGAGTATCTTGCATGTCTTCCTAACAGATTATTCCAACATGAACCATTTGTTGATGGTGACGTGTGGCAATACAGCAACCCTGTCTTTTCTAGCATGTTGAATAAACGTATGCCAAACTGTTCCAAAGTTCTCCTTGCCTTTTATATTTTGCAGTGATCCAAGCTGTTTTGTCACTTTCTCTATTAGGGCTACTTTCCATAGTCGACCCCACCATGTCTCTAAATTCAGGTTGGTAGCCGTCTTCCAATGTTGAGTAGTTAGCTACTAGCCACAATCATCAAGAAGTTTAGGAAGTCTTTGAACATTAAATCTATACTGCCACCAGTAATGAACAGGTTATTGTGCAAATGTCCAATATATTGATTAATTAATTAATTAATTAATTCTGAGTACTTTGCCCAGTGCAGGTGCCATATATGTAAATAGTTAACTCACCAGTTTGTTTTAATCAGCTCAAGCTAAACACTGAGCTGATTGCTGACAGCAGTGAAGCACAGATATGCACATCAGGGTGTCTACTGCCTACAAAAATATGATTGGCCAAAGTAAGAAAAGTAATTGTGAGACACTGCAAACCACATGATGACATGAGGCAATCAACATGATGTCAGGCACAATTTTTCCATGTGTTACTGAAAAGCAACAAACAGATTATTTCCCATGCCCAACTTGTTCATTTCTGAGGTTTCAACAGAAGCAAAAAATTAAGTGACTGCAACAAAGTACTGTCTGGTGAGCAGAGTATTTTGAGAAACCGAAGAAAATGTTTTTTTAATGGCTGGTGGGTGACCTGCCTCCATATGTTTGTTAGAAAGCCTTTTAATAGGTGTGGCAAGGTTGTGACGGGTTAAATTAGAAGTGCCTCAGATAAAGCAATGCATCCTTCTTAAACTGAGAGCCAAATTGCAGGCTGTAGCCAATGTTAGCCCTACTCAGAGTAGACCCATTGAAACATTGGCTAACCTAAGTGAATAGAAGATAGTTGACTTCAACCCGGCCTTTCTTTAATATTTCCCTTAATCTTATTCCACTGGTGCGTAACGTGTGCTAACTTCAGCAGCTCCTATGGCTGCACTGAGTTCCACAGAATACTGTACAGTGGGAAGACGGAATCTCTTCACACCCACCAGAGTAGCTCACTGGTCCTATTGCCATGAAATGACATGCTCTTTTACTAGCATAAGGGAATGAGTCACATTGACATTTGTGTCAAGCTCACTAAAGTCTTGGCCCTAGAGGCAGTTGGCTTTCTTAGGGCTAGGGGGAGGCAAGTTAAGGGAAAAATGCATTTGTATGACATTCTTAATTGAGGAAATGATCCAGGTCAGACTCATTTAACTTTTTTAAAAAATTATCCAATGGGGTAAATGGTCTTCCCATGCTGCTACTGGGATCCATGTTCCAAATTCTGTTGAGTTGTTGCATGGGGGTGCTAGCGATTTGAGCAACGGCAATCCCTCAAGTCAATGTTCTATTTTACATCAATCCCTTGCTGTTATTTATGTGGAATAGGACTTAGGCAAGGAAGAGAAAAGGCAGGGGGGGAGGGGGGAGGGAATGGGAAGGTGTTGGTGATGTGACAATGGCGCTGCCAGCCAGTGTGAAGCTGGGTTATTATATGACTGCTGTCTGTACTCATTAATAATAACATCCACTGATACTGGAGAGGAGATAGGTCAATGGCAGGGATGAGGAATCTTATTTATAATACTTCTATACCTGCCTATCATCATAAGGTCCCAGGGCAGGTTACAATATAATTACATAATTAAAAACAAGTAAAACAGTTTATTCAATGAGGGGAAAAAACAAAAATATCCAAACAGAAGCAGCATTGTATAGACACTGTGTATAGTCACAGAAATATTTGGAGTACAACATCCATTATCCCTATTGTGTTTCTGGACTACAGATTCCATTATACCTGACCACTGGGCATTCTGGCTGGAGCTGATATGGGCTGGAATCCAACAACACCTGGAAGGCCACAGGTTCCCCATCTCCCCATTGCAATACACCGGATAACAGTCATTCACTTACCCCTGATACTTCTGTAAGGGAAGGAGCTGGAGGGTCCTCTAAACAGATATTTCTCAGCATCCTTACTGAACTACAGTTCCCAGAATTATTAGGAGGAAGCCATGCATGCTAAACTGGTATGAAACCAAAGTAACTATGAGATATACTTATGCTCACCCACCCCCGGTAATATTGGTGGCAGGCACTAGTTGAATAAAATGTAATTCCACTGTATTTTCTCAGGTGCTGGAGCATAAACTTTACACAACCCAAATACCAAATAGTGTTGTTGTGTTTACTCAGTTTGTCCTAAATGAAATGGGGGCCACAACAAGGGAAACGTCTTTCACCAGCAATTGCTAACTTGGGGATCTGCCTCTTTCCACATGCTTATGACTAGGTATGATCCTCAATGAAGGGATTTCTGTGGGTCTCTCTACTCCCTGATGCTAGACGAGACATGATATGACTTGGGGTAGGTCCTCTTTCATTGTGGTGCTCCACATTTAGAACTTGCTTCCCAAAGGAAGTATTAAATTTTTGGCTGAAGACTTTTTAAAATGTGCCCAGACTTTTAAATAGGTTAAGGTTGACTTATGGGTCAATCTGTCTTTTTTTTTTTTAAGGATTATATTAATCATTATCAATAATGCATCCCTTGGGAGGTTGTATACCAGAAAAACAATATATAAATTATTCAGAAAAACAAATAAAAACTACTCTGAAAATTTATTATTCCAAAAATGAAACCATCTGTTGTAAAAATTAAGATCATACCAGCAAGAATAAGTCTTCCTGTAAGAAAATGATTTAAATCAAGTCATACTAGTGATTTAAATCAAGCCTTACTGACTAGTGATTTAAATTGTGATTTAAATCAATTTGATTTAAATCAAATCCACCCTGGGTGTAATTATATCCCCTTCTGCTAGGAGGGGCAACATTTTATTTCTTTAAAAGGCCCAATGGCAAATAATAAACACACACACACACACACACACACACACACCTACACCTACACCTACACACCTACCTTCTGCCCTGGTGTGCATCAACCAGAAGGGCTTAGGAAGTGGCAGGTTCTCTACCACAGAAGCTCCTCACTATCACCTTAGGATTGCACTGTTTTGCAATAGTTACCCTGACAATTTATCTCCCTGTCATTCATCCCCTCAATGTCATAGTGTAGATATTGATTTTCTGCTTCTTGTTGGTTGTGGTTGTTTTCATTTTAGCAATGCCATATAATGTCTCTGCTCCTCTGTAACACTGCACATGTTGGCTTTCTGTTCCAGAACTTTCTTCTGTAGGACTCTTATTGACATCCTCCATCCCTAGCTCTCCTCATCATGGAAACCATTTCTCAAATTCTGCAGGATGTGCGTGATTACTGGGCTGACCATTTTTCTCAAAGATTTCTACCCAGGCGGCCAACACTTCGCCAAACAACCTCTTTGTCCACTTACTATCTGTTGGACTACAAAACCCGGCAAGCTGAACTAGGGATGGATTATGGCCCTCCAAGTACACAGCTGAACAAAGCCAAGTTTGTCTTCCAGGGGGGTGCGTGGCAGGGTGATGGTGTCCCTCCGCAGATGCCCTTACTACAGTTATATTCCTCCTCCTCTCATCATGATAAGGAATCACCCAACAAGGCCCTGAAGAAAGCAAACAAAGCTCTACTGGAAGAGAACAATTACTTGAAGCTGCAGCTTGAGCTGCTAATGGACATGCTGACAGAGACCACAGCACGACTACACTCAGTAGAGAAAAAGCTGGACATGACTTCATGGCACCCAAAGATTAAGAAGCCAAGCAAGGTGCTGATGCTCCGGTCTTAATAAACATCTTGGACCCAAGACCAGAGAGAATTGTATTTCTGAAGAAGTTTGCCTTCCCATGTCCAGACATTAAATAAAATCTTGAAGAAAATGATTTCGCTTGATGGATCAATATTTTTTTTATTGCTCCATTCCCTGTAATAGCACATGGTTTTTATATTTTGATCTAAGGATCATAACTGAAACAAGCAATATCCTCGATAGAGCCTGCCTCTTAAAAGCCAACTTACATCTGTGATTCAAAGTATCCTAGCCCATTATATGTTATCCCAACTGACAGGCTATATTTCATGGCTATCACTGAAATAATTCTACTGCTGAATTATAATATTCTCTTCCATCCATCTCACACTTCATTTCTATGTACTGCAGTGTGTAATCACAGAAGTCCAGAGCTATCAGAAACAATACATGAACTGCATTATAATGAACTGCATGATACTGTTTTTGACTGATTACTTGGATGAGATAGAATTGCTTGCAAAACTCCTTGAGCTGCTGGAAGACAATGCTACACCAATTTGGGCAGAGTGGGAGGAGAGAGAAACCACACTGTCATTTCTCCAGTGCAAAGGGAGAAATAATGTGGGGCTTGGAGCATGGTAGGGAATAAATGGAAGCTAGCTGGAATCTTATGCTTACTTGTGGCTGGTGTTCAAGAATGAAATGTTACACATGCAAAAGAGGCAATGTAATTTAAATTGTCTGAATGGAGAGCCACATACAACTAAATCTAACCTTTACCCTCCGTTTCCACCCCCACCAACACCAGAGGACAGGACTCCTAGTAATTCGGTGGTCAGTTACAGCACAGCAGCATGGATCCAGCAGGGGAACATCTTAATGTATCAAAATGTGCAGTGTGGGTAGAGAACTGGGAGTAAGAAGTGGGAACGATTTTTGGCTGGGCCTTTTGCAAAAAGGTAGCTTGCACAACTAACAAGCACACATAAACATGATAATCATGATAATCGTGGGAATAGCCGGGGGGGGGCTGCCCTCCAAGTCAAGTAAATCAATAAAAAAACTTAACTGAGGTTCTAACATGAAGCCTCAACCCCCCCAACATAAATCCTGGCTACATCAATGATGATAGGCAGATAGCACCCTAACCTAAAACACTTACTTGTCAGCAACAATAAATCACAGAGCAGGCACACAAACACTGGACCAGTATCTACTTAGGCAACACTATTACAAAACACCATGTCAGTCACAACATCAAGGGTTCAATCATCTGCTCACCTTCCAATGTGATATCGGTCAGCAATGCCTTTCTGCATTCTCTATGGAACGAACAGGCCGGTATTGAAGTAAAATAAATTATTACAGATCAGAAAGGGTGGTCTTTGGTGGGGGGGAGAGCATTTCAGCATCTGTGGATATTCTGAGTTTAAATGGGCCATTCTTGAACAGAAGAATTTCAGAGGGAGTGTGAAACAGCAGGACTACAATTTCTTAATAAATCCTAATGCCTGTAGCCTGAATCAAGATAATAGTTTTTCCCCCCACTACATGTGTTAATTAGTTCAGTGCCGGAATGTCCATGTTACCATTAATGCTGCTTTGAACAACTTGGTCATGCCTCCATGACCTTCTAGCAGCTCCACCAAGTCCAGTGGGCACCAGCCACCACTGACTAGGGGCCTCAAAAACTGAAAGTTACCACAGCACGTGTGGTAAACCCAGTAGTTGGCCTGCTCCATTTCTAAACCTCATAACATTCCATATAAAGGCAGGCAGATACAGCTGTTGAGTTGGCCCAGGAGAAAAGAACGTGCTGTCAAATCCACTTTTCTGGGCAGAATTGCTACAGAAGAAACTTTCACAAATATATAAATCCAAATCTAATCAGTAACACTATAGTGCATGTCAATATTTTATTATAATTTACTCAAAAGCTCTTCCCCCACTTTGGTCTTTGTGACAACCGCTTCTTTTTTTTAACCTTCATCCCTGGGGTTATACAACATTTCACTGGAAACGTTCTTACTTGGAAAATTATATGTTGATACTTTAAACTTATCTTTTGCTGACTTGGCTCCGAGCAGCGGCTTCTGCCTCTTTGCCATTTCAGATAAGTAGCAGCTCTTATCAAATCATCTGCAGCTGTTTTAAATGGTATTAGGGTTGCTCTTTGCAATGAACGGAATGGGCATATGGCAAAGTTGCTGAAAGCCAGAAGGTGAAGCTAGAAGGACAGTGCCAGTTCCCTCAATATTCAAGGCTGTATTTCAGATATATTTTCCAATCTGTGGTTCTGTTACTGTACTTCAGAAACTGGTAACATCCCCCCCCATACTGGTACAGTATACAACATTCAATATGCTTTGTTTTATATTTTCTTCATTATTTCTAGTGCATTGCATACCTTGTTGATACAAATGGATAAACAGATTGTTGCAGTTTATTTAGAAGAAAAACTGGCAAAAGATATGTAGAAATCCAGTTTATCTTTCAACTAATCAGACAACTTCTAATATAATTCACCACTGTATGCCATTAGTCCCTTTGGATATTTTTTAAAAAGAAAACTAGTGGGGATTATCCAGCCAAAATTAAGCACTCTTTAGGTTGGAAGTAAGTCTAATTGAAGTCTAATTATTCAGCCTTATGTGCAGGCAAATCAACAGCTAGAAGTATGCATCATAAGCAGGGAGTTCCAGAATGTAGGAGCTGTCATGCTAATGGAACCAATATTTTAGCCTACTTCACTTTGCTAGAATATTCAGCTTGATAAAAAGTTCTGGAGACTCAAAAACTTTTGTTACATTTTGGTTCATCATAATACTTAAAAATAACCCCTAGCTACGAAAGCAAATGTATATTACCAGTACCTCTCCCCCTCCTTAGTTGATTTAGTGGGTTTTTTCTTTAATAAAATGTTTTTTATGTGGCTCACAGAAAATTGGTAAATTGCACCATAGGAGTCATCATCATCATCATCATCTCTGCTGTTAAATAAGCTTTGTTTCTGCACATCTCCACTGCCCTATATACAGCTCTTTGCCCTATATAGCAGTTTAATTAGAGACTCACACTTCACGTGAGGGATACTAAGAAGCAAAGTAGAACTCATACTAGACCAGGCTTCCTCAACCTTGGCCCTCCAGATGTTTTTGGCCTACAACTCCCATGATCCCTAGTTAGCAGGACCAGTGGTCAGGGATGATGGGAATTGTAGTCTCAAAACATCTGGAGGGCCGAGGTTGAGGAAGCCTGTACTAGACTAATAATTTACCTCTTATGCCTTAAAATGCTTTCCTTTTCTAATTTTCTGTGACTCGCATGGATTGTTTCCCAGCAAAAATTTGTAAAAATAAGGAATAAGAATAAAAAATTATTATTTATACCCTGCCCATCTGGCTGGGTTTTCCCAGCTATTCTGGGCTCCTCCCACAAAAATATTAAACAGAATAAAACTTCAAACATTAAAAACTTCCCTAAACAGATGTCTTCTAAAGATCAGATAGTTGTTTATTTCCTTGACATCTGGTGGGAGGGCATTCCACAGGGTGGGTGCCACCACCGAGAAGGCCCTCTGCCTGGTTCCCTGTAACCTCATGTCGCAGTGATGGACCCGCCAGAAGGCCCTGGATGCTGGACCTCAGTGTCTGGGCTGAACGATGGGGGTAGAGATGCTCCTTCAGGTATACTGGACCAAGGCTGTTCAGGGCTTTAAAGGTCAGCATCAACACTTTGAATTGTGGTTGGAAACATACTGGGAGCCAATGTAAGTCTTTCAGGACCGGTGTTATGTGGTCTTGGTGGCCACTCCCAGTCACCAGTCTAGCTGCCACATTCTGGATTAGTTGCAGTTTCCGGGTTACCTTCAAAGGTAGCCCCATGTAGAGTGCACTGCAGTAGCTGAAGTGGGAGATAACTAGAGCAAGGGGGAGAGGACGGAACCCTGAGGCACCACACACCCAGGGGTCCGAACACTCATCCGCCAACATCACTTTCTGAACACTTTCTGAATGTTTTTAAAAGGAGTATCTGCTATCAAACTCTGTTGGATAGAATATTTTGCACCAAATATGTCTGACAAGTGCTCTAATGGGACAGCCTTTTAAAATATTAAACTAAGGGACAGGGTTTTTTTATATAAAAAAGCAAAACAATAAAACATCAGCCTGAGTACAATGAATTCAACCTCTGATTTCTCTCATACTTGCTAGGAATCATGGCTATATCACATACCATCTGAGTCTTTCCAGAATGAGCTCTGCATGATCAGAGGAGAGACACATCCTACCCTGTTTGATGTATAAGAAAAAGAGGAACCAGATCTTCACAAAGTTATCCTATTTTTCCCACTATGTCTTTCTCCCTGATGATAATGCTACCTGCCACATGAATAAAACCTGCATGGTATACTTTCCTACCATCTTCCAATGCTTTGCTCTCTTCATATATGCTGCTACTAGGAGGTGCAGCCACCAGGTCCTTGCAAATAATTGACACCCCCCCTTACATTCTTTTACCTGCTGAATTTAAGAGATAACCCTAAGATTGCAATCCCATACAAACTTACTTAGCGATAAGGCCCACTGAAATTCATGTAACTTTTTAAAGACAGTGGAAGTCTTTAAAAGCAGATGGACAAACTTTTTGTCGGTTTAACCTTTGGATGATACATTCACTTGTTAAAGTAGGAGGACTGGTAAAAGAAACCGGAGACTTTTCTGCAAGTGGACAAACTTGGACTTTAAACTTTAGTGCTCTACTATGCCAGCTCAGAGCTAGGATCAACAGATAATTGGCTGTATGTAACAGAGATGGGGGAAGGGGGATAAGGCCCACAGTTGGGGAACAGCCATACTTGCATTTTCTGCTTCTCTTTCTCACATATGCACACTGCCTTAAATTATGGAAGATATGCACTTGAGTACAGGAGAGGTCAGCACAGTGTTTTAAGAGCTTTAAAAAACAAAAGCAAAAGGTTGCCCAAATTGTGAGCTGCTGGTGGTGTGTCTTGTTTTGCTCTACACACTTCAGACACTTTTTCACTGTGGTGATGCAACAGACATTCTTTTTCATGGACTTAGCCAGGATTTTTTGGGGGGGCAGGCATTTTGTTAGGGGGTGCAGAACCTCAGTTAGCTATGTATTTTTATTGATTTTGGGGGTAGCTGCCCCTCCCTGTCTACACCCATGTTCGTTTTAGAAGTTCACAAAGTAGCATGGGGGGAAAGAGTCACTTGTCACCAGTCTTAAAATGACACACATCCTATCAACTGCAATCAATGTGCTAGTGAACAGATTGTGTGTCAGGTGTGGAATGATGGGAAAAGGTGAAATTTATTTGCCACATTTCTATCCCACTTCGTCTCCAATGAGCTCAAGGTGGCACAAGTGGTTCTCCTCCTCTCTTTTTTATCTTCACAACAACACTGTGAGGTAGTTTAGGCTGAGAGGCTTTGAGTGGCCCCAGTAAGCCTCATGGCTGCGCAGGGATTTTAACCCTAGTCTTCTAGCCCAACACTCTGGAAGCTAAATTGAGGGGCAAATACCTGGCTCCCCTGCACCAAGGACATACCCTCCAACATTTCTCACATGAAAATAGGGATGTCCCATTCCATAATGACAATTTTACTAGTTTTAACCCACACATCTTACTGGGTTGCCCCAGCCACTCTGGGCGGCTTCCAACATACATGAAAACATGGTTAAAACATTAAACATTTTAAAAAACCACTTCCCTTTACAGGGCTGCCTTCAGATGGCTGGGGGGTTGGGGTTGGATAATGCCATACCCTCCAACATTTCTCCAATGAAAATAGGGACAACCTAAGGAAAAGTGGGACATTCCGGGATCAAATCAGAAACCTGGACATCAGAAAATAGGGACACTTGGAGGGTCTGAAAGGATACGACTGACTGCCCTTCTGTATTTAAGTATGGAAAGGCTCTTCAGAGGAGCAGAACCACCAGCGGAGATATGGATGCAGAGTTATTATGTGACGGAGTAAGAACGTCCATAGGATTCCAGCTGCTCCAAGATAGGGGGCTCGATCCGCAGCTCCAGCCCTAGCGCATTCCGCGGCGTTCGCTTCTTCCTCGGGAGGATCAGGGACTGCAGCCCTGGGGTGGTCGATGCAGTAGGTCTCCTTCCACCCCACCTGCCCCACAGGCCCTCCTACCCTGAAGGTACAAAAGAGCCTTGGCGCTTTAACGGAGAGCAAGGCATGGGGGAGACGCTGCCCCTCCGGCTCCTCTGTAGCCAAGCGATTGGTTGGTTCCGCTGGACGGGAATGGGGAGGGGTTACTTAATCTGATGTCACAAGCCTACAAGTGGGGGGAAGGAGTTATTTATAGAGGCGGAGAGCAACTGCGAGGAAGCCTGGTGAGTCTGAGGGAGGAAGCGGGAGGTGCGCGCGCGCGATCGGATTCGGCCTTTTCTGAAAAATACAATCTTCCTTAATTTGAGGTGCGCTATGGGGAAGCGGGGAGGGGGGGGGAGAGAAGGAAGCGACGCCAGTTCCGACTGGGGAAGCTGGACGACGAGGGCTTTTTTTTTTTTTTAACCACCTCTCGTGTTCTTCCTTCATTGTTTTAGCGCCACGCTCGGTTGATCGACTCCGCCAGCCGCCTTGATCGTCGCCGGGCGAAAGACAGACTTGCGCGCGAGCACGCACACACAAAAAGAACAGCGGGGAAAAAAGGCCCGACGCGATGGATCCGTGCCACACTGAAGAAACCGGCCCAGAGATCCCCGGCCTGGGTGAGTGGGCGCCGCCAACTGGCAAGGAGGCGGCGGCGGCGGAAGGAATCCGCGGCCGTTAAGGCCGTTGCTGCTGCTGCTGCTGCGGCTTTCGAGCGCTGGCGCAGATCGGGGGAGGGGGGGGAGAGGAGGGGCTTCGGCGCAGACGCCTCGGTCCTCCGCTCTGCCTGCCTGTGTAAGTCCAACGAGGCTCCCTCATCCCTTCCTTTCTAGGCCTCTCGCCGCCACCAGCCTCCCCAGTGGGGAAAGCGGCGGGAGCGCGCCCTTCGCTCTCCCGGGCCCTCTCCCTTTATATGCTCTCTGCCTTCCTCCTTTTCTCTTCCCTTTCTTCTCTCTCCTCCCCCCCCCTTCTCTCCTTTGACCACGTCCTGCCTCCGCCATTGTGGTGGGTGTTGCCCAATCTGCGCGCTCGGCGGCCATTCCGGGGCCTAGGCGGCAGTGGAGGCGGTAGAGCCGCGCTCGGAGGCCGCCGCGGAAGGAATCGGCCGCCTTTCTCCTGTTTCTCTTCCTCTCCCCGCCCCCCCCCCCCCACGTCGGGCCCTTATTTCCTTATAGTGAGGCGACGGCAGGGAAGAGAATAAAGTAACTAGCTCTAGGACTGCGGGGGGGGGGGAATCGCGCTGTAAATAGTGGGCGGGGGGGGGAGAGTAAAGCTGTTTCGATAAGTAGAAATCCCCGAAATGGAGGGTAGCGCGACACGTGACCGACGGCGGTTCGGAGACTGGTCGGGCGTCGCGCGACGCGGGTCGAACTTGTCCCAGTCCTCCCCCCCCCCCGCACCGCGCGTCTCCTTGCACAAAGCACCGCGCTGTTTGCTCCGCGGCGTGTCTGCTGAAGATGGCCCTGCCATGTGTTGCTGGCACGCTTGGAAAATAAAAATAATAGCCTCCCCGACATCTTAATCGAGCCATAAAGAATTGGCTGTGCTGGGTTCCGGGTTTCAGGGCGCACGTGGCAGTGGCTCTTTAGCAAGATGCCCAATTCCTTCCTCTCTTCCATTATGGAACTAGCAATAGGCTCAACTAGCCAAGCTGTCCTTTACTTAGAAGTATTTTAATTGCTCTGCTTCATCTACCTAAGCAAAGGTTAGGAGTAAGACCTTTATAGGAAAAAAACCAATCAAACTTAAAGGAAAACTTGTCTTTCCGTATAAATAAAAAAGTTCCTCTGTATTGTATATAGTTTCACTCCAGAGCATTGTTGAACTTTGACTTGCTTCTAAGGTAAAGATTATACATTTCATGGTTCTAAACTGTTTTAGTTTTCCTCCATAATCTCATACAACCCCCACCCCACAAAAAACCCTGCTAGTCTTAAATCTTGACATTTCTCAACCTGCCAGTTCTTACGTTATGAACCCCTGTGACTAAGAAATGGGTGTATTGATAAGAATATGCTTTAAATGCACCAAAGAGTGGGCACATGCTGGTGAGATACCTGATCTGTCTCAGTTTAGTTCCTGAAAGCACATGGCCAATAGTACATGTGAATGTAGTGGCCTTGTTCTCTTGGAGAAAACATTTGCTGCAGTCAAGTTCTGAAGAAGGCATTCACAGGTTTTATTTACAAAATGTTTATTGTACCTAAAACATATCTGATTTACACAAAACTAGTTATCTGAACAAAACAACTTTGAAGTAAGCTTTTTAAACACTTCCAGTAATGAGTAGAATTTCTTCTAAGTTTTATATTTGTGCAAGATGCACAAATTCTCTCATTTTACCTCAGAGAAACTCAGACCACAAGATGAGTTGATTCTGAAAACGATCCCAGTATCTTGAATAGCTTTTTACATCTATGTATTGAAGATTTTCTTTTCTGCTGGGTAGCAACCTTTCACCTTATGTCCATACAAAGAAAGCAGGGACTGTTTACTGTACAAAGTTATACACTAGATAAAATGGCACTTCTCCAAATATCCTCCTAGACTGGTATTTTTAGTTGCTAAGTTGTCAAAAAAGCCTTGACCTGTAAAAACAAGATACGTGAATGAGGTATTGAAAACAATTCTGATCAAAACCCTAGGGCCAAACCAGGTATTAAACATTTGCATGTGAGTTTGGCTATAAAATGTCCATGGAGGAGGTCACATGAGGAAAAAAGCTAGCTAATAATGTTTAGCATTCTGCACATTAGATAATCTAACCTGTAGCAGACAACTTTCATGGCAGCAGTCTAATACACTGATTTGGAAATTTGACTTTAATTTAATGGCATTTGATTCATGTGTATAAAACACTAGTCAAGCTTAGTGCAAGAGATCCCTCAGACCTTGTGGGGGGCCAGACTATATTTTGAAAAATAAATAAAAATGAATGAATTCCTATGTCCCACAAATAACCCAGAGATGCATTTTAAATAAAAGCACATATTCTACTCATGTAAAAACATGCTGGTTCCCAGACTGCCAGCAGGCTGGATTTAGAAAGTGATTGGGCCGGATCCGGCCCCCCGGGCCTTAGTTTGCCTACCCATGGTTTAAACAAAGTTGTAAGCAAGAAAAGGACAGTCAGCTATGGGCCATTTAAGCCCTCGTGGAATTTCTGACTACAAAAGGTAGCTTGAGCTAAATCAAGCACGTGGGCTTTAAAAAACATAGGATGGAAGATACTTACTTTTTCCAATAAGTATTCTTGTTTTATTTCATCATTTTTGAAATCATCATTAACATCTAAAACCAGAACTGGTATGTCTCTAAGATGGTCAAAATCCACCCTACAAAACAAAATCCACAAAGTTCAGTGTTTACTTGGAAGAAATATCAATTAACTTAAAAATAAGGAATCTCAATGACATCCCATTTGTTAACCTCTCAGTTTCTAAACTGTTAGGTTTATAGAATTTGTGGCTTAAACTTCGAGTCAAGTTAGGGTTGCATCTCCTAAAGACAACAAGCACCAGCAGCACCTAAAACACTTTTAGAAGTATGTAGCCACTGTGTTGCAAGATAACACTTTTTGCCATTTCAGTATGGCATTCTTTAAGTTACCTTTAAGAAAAAGTGGTAATATAATGAGCTAAACATAATAATCGAGTAACAACTTTGATTGCAGCGATGATAAAAATGGCAGGCTTTTTGTTGGGGGGGGGGCAAAACTAGCATAATGAAAGTGTCAAAGCTATGCGAGTTCTTACTTCATTGTCTTCTCATAAAGCCAGGTTTCATGTTTATAGTGAAGGTTTTCTAGATATTCCAGTGGAATTCCTTGTTCTTCTTCTCTGCCTCTATGGCGTAGCCTCTCCATGCATTTCTGTAATTTTTAATGTCACAATATAACATTTAGCACGCTGAATTGTTATTATGAAAAGTTCTCGCATGTATCTAACTAATCGTTGCCTTCAGTGAATTGCTGTAAATTTATATCTGCTTAAACTTTACATATATCTAAAATGAGTGCTACCTAATCATCAGTGTTGGACTTTGAAACATTATTGAAGTGGAACTACTTAGGTATACTAGCTTCTTAAACTTTAATATCAAAACTTTTCAATTAGCTTAAACACAGCCTAATACTTTGATTCAAAGCATGCTGACTTGGAAGCAAGGGTGATGAACTGAATTTGCTCCCAACTACATAGGCTTAGGACTCCAGCCTTCTTAATGCTTAGTAAACTTAAGAAAATGGATTGCAGTCTCCTGACAATGCAAGTAAAACATTGTTATTGAGAGAAGGATACAGAAGATTTTAACAATGCTTTAGTTTAGATGGATATCCTACAAATAAGAATGTTTAAAAGGACTACATAAGTCCATTGTTGTCTCTTGGCAACAGTGTTTACGTAGATTCTGTTGACATCAGAATGTCTTGTTAAAAGGTTTGAGATCTAGATTTACAGTGCTCTTTAACTGAGCAGGACTGTTTCTGGGTAAAATCAAGCAACAAGTTGCTGTTTATGAATATTGGACTAAAAGGTAAGATTGTGATTTGCCCATGTTTAGTGTCTAGGACAAAAGTTACTCTTCAGGGGCCATCAAAGACATATTCAAATTTGATTAAGTAAAAGCTTAGCACAATACAGGCAACTCCCCATTTGCACACCGTCAAGGCATGTGTGACCACTGGCACATGCGCCATTTTTGGCTGCGGAACGGTGGGCTTGTGTGCATGCATCCTGCTGTGTATGGTGTTTCAGAACACAACCCCTGTGCAAATGGGGAGTTGCTTGTACTCTATTCAGTATCAAGAGCTCCTAGTTCTGGTACTAGTATTGCATCTAAAACTAGTCAGTTTGGGGAGAAGGAAGCATACCTCAGGGGTAGTCCTGAGGTAGATAATACCATCTAGCTCTAGGCTGGAGTCAAACTGGTTCAGAAGCCATGCATGCCAATCCTGATAAATTGCCCACTCTGTTTCATTGATGTCTCCTGATTCGAATAAGTTGGAGGCAAACACATACCTGTAATAGAAAAGGCTTTTAAATGCAAATTGATACTGTGTACCTGAAGAGAAACTCAGTGGGTCTTTCACTGTACTGTTTACATTTAAAATGACTATTTTGGATGCATACTTCATATTTTATTTTAGCAAGGTGTATGTAAAGTAGCCCCTTAATTCTACCAATATCTTATTTCTGTAAATGTATGCATGCTCTTACCTATCACTGTAGACTGATCTCTCAAAAAACTGTACAGGATGTTCTGCTTCAAGTAACTTGGCAGAAATTGGTTTTAATTGTGCTTTAACTCTACTCAAACAGGCGTAGGTCTGGAATGTATAAGCCCATCTTGTAGGTTTGCTGTACAACATCTGAAGTAGATTTCCACCACTCTTTTGAGATGTTGAAAGTTCCTGATAATGATAAAAAAGAAAGTCTGTCAGTAATCTTGTCACTTGGTTGTTAGACATACCAAACATCTGCTGTGGAAAGTAAAACAGCATCTAGTGTAACCTAAGAAGCATAAAGTATTGCTAAGTTACATTGACTATTGCAACATTTGTGGTATTGCAACATTTAGCACTAGGGGGCCAGCATGCTTACTTACTTCAGACTCATTTTCAGTTGTCTGGATGTTGCACCACTTGGCAATTGGTTCAGGAATTATTTCCCACTCATCACTGTTCCTTGCTAGTAGTTGGACAAATGTGGACTTCCCTGCAGCTGTTAAGAAAATTCAGCTAGTATTAGGATAAGACATTGGTAGCATAATACAGAGACACACACTGGCCTTTCCAGAAGCTGAGGTATTAAAACACTTGCAAGGCTAGGCTCTTCTTTCTCTTATGAATCCTATTTACCCCTTCTTCCCCAAGCTCCTGATTTGGAATGCATTTATAACGTTGTGTAACTTGGTTTTCTATCTCCAAATGACAAAACATTGTGTTGTGTGGAAGGTATGAGGGCAGAAAATAAGTGTACTTAGAGAAGTATTGGAGTATGTATTGAGTATGAGAAGCTCCAGGTTTTTATGGCTTTCTTACCCTTGCACCCTTTTCATTGAAGCCTGTTGTATGACTTGGCTGTTTCAATCCCAGACCTTTGCAGTGACTTGTCTTAAAAACTGTCTTTGTTACCATTGATTTTTTAAGGCCTAATATTATATAAGCGGATGTTCCATAAGCATATACAGTACTGTGAATCTATTCAGTAAATAGGCAAGGACAGCCTTGAGCCGTGTTTTTAGCAGAGGTAACAGGCGAACACAGCACTGTCCTTATCAATGTTTAGGCGCCAGCGCCTTAAATCCCGCCATATCAACGTCCGTCTTCCTAGCTGTAATTTGGCGCCGGAAGCCGTGCTACTGGGACACAGGGGAAAAGAGCACTCCACTGCCGCCCCAATAGCTCTGTGTTTATAAATAGGAAGCCCTCTTTGAAGCTTCATTTTTGCCACCGTTAATTTACAGGAGTTAGTTTTTTAAAAGGCAGACACCAAAGTGAAGACATTCCTATCAAGTATACATAGGTCAGGCACTTACCGATATTCCCTTCAATGGTGATTTTCTTCAGGCGTTTTTGGAAGCTGCGGTCCAACGCACTGGGTCCGACGCAGGGGCGCTTGGCGGGGGGATACATGGCGAGCGGTCTTTGTTTGCCCGGCTTCAGGAAGGAACTGAGGCGAGCTCTTCCCGCGCCTTCGCGTCTCTTCAAGAATCCCGCCTGTGCTCAGCCAATCCATAGCGGCGACCCGCCTCTGCTTTTTCTCCTGTCCCGCCCTCTTGGCTCTGCTGCCAAGGAGAGCTCGACCCTTCACTCCCGCGCTCTGGAAAGCGCCGCCCGCCCTTCTTGTGGGGAGACGCGGTTGAAGTTGCTTCTTGGCAGTCCTCGCCCCTTGCCGCGTGTCTCCCCTTTCACAAAGTGCCTCTGGCACTCGCAATTTCAGGTTGGATTTTTGTTTCGGCTGTATTATTGGGGGCTTTGCAATTGGTGCCTATGTTGTGGTAAAATTGCCATTTCCATGAATTATGGAACCAGAATGTTCCATAAGCAGAATTGGGCGCACGAGGTCGTGTGGAATCGGGTTAAAGTGGAAAGAGGTGGAATAATTAGTTGGGGCTTAATTCCCCGATCATCAAGGGAGTGGCATTAAAGTATAAAGCATGTAAGGAATCGTTAGGTCTTTGTAGCCCCCAACTTTGTAGTTCTGTGCCATTTTGAGTTGGAAGAGGCTAATTATACCGACATTGTACATTAGTCTTATACTGGTACAGCTTGCGGTGCCATTGGTGCTGTCTTGAGCGAAATGTGGTGATTTGTCGGTGCTGCCATGTTTGATGGCCATTTCCGTATGCGTTGAGAGCACGTACAACATGGATGACTCCACCGCTTGATTATGCAATGAAGGGTATAGGCCTCGTAGTCTTGCTTGTAAGGGCAAATCAAAAGAGCCAACTTGGGGGAGGGGGTTGGCTTTGTTCTTCGGCGCATGCGTACGATGAGCGGGGATTGAGTTGGGCAGGCTAAGCAGGACGGGAGCAGGAACGGTTGTTGCGGGAGGGGGCGGCGGAATCCTACCAACTTTGTTTTACTCGGAAGTAAATGCCATTAAGTTCACTAGGGGTGTATTCCCAAATAAAAGCGCACAGCGATTGGTAGCCTTGTACTCGCAGCGGGGAGGGGGCGGGGGGAGTTTTGTCTGCTACAAGTCATGCGCAAGTGGCGCTTGTATTTTCGGCTGGGGGGAGGGCTGGGCAGGAAGCGCCGCGCATGCGCCGGGTGGGGATGTGCGCGCACGCGCCGTGAGCTGCCTTTTCGGCCACGCCGCGCAAGAAGCAGGTGAGCCCCCTCGTAGTTTTGTAGCCGTTAGTCCTGCCCCAGTTCGGGTTCCGCGAGTATTTTTTGCTTCGACTAGTGAGGGGCCTCTCTGCGCAGTCGGTTCTTCGGACTGCTATCGACGACCGAGGCCTGTTTTTTTCTGAGGCTGCGCCAGGGCTCGGCCAAGCGGAAACGCAAGTCCTCCGTCGGCGCCATTTCATAAGTGAACCTAGAGCGCGCCGCCGCCGCCCGGCCCACTTGGTTCGCAGAGGCGAAGCGACCCTAAAACCCGCCCGCGGGGGACCAGCATTTCGGTTTGCCATGTGTACGTGGGGAAGAGACTTGAGGAGTGGGGAAGAGGGAGGGCGAGCGGCGAGTTTGGGCGGGCGAGTTGCTCCGTTGCCGATCTCCTGCCCCACTCAGTGTGGCGACGTCTTTGTTTGCCCCGTAGCAACAGAAGGCGAAACGGAGACCACGCTCACTTCCAGCATGATGTTAAACACCGAAGGCGGCGAGGGGTATGTCGTGAAAGTGCGAGGGTTGCCTTGGTCCTGCTCCGCGGATGAGGTGCAGAGGTTTTTCTCCGGTAAGAGCCGTTCGCGTGTCTGCTTCTCCCCCCGCCCCCAGTCTCCATGGAGAAGGCTCCTTCCCTTTCTCCGTTACTGTAGTGAAAGGTAAACAAGCTGTAGTTGTTTTTTTCTCCATACCCTTTCCTCCGTAAGAACTTCCGTGTTGCAGGTTAGATTAAATCTAGAACTCTGAATTAGAAAAAGAGTAAAATGGACAATTAAGTACTTTCCCCTCTGGTAATAGGGGAAGCTGCCTTCAAGGATATAACAGTTCACAATTTAGGCTCCAATCCTAACCCCACTTACCTGGGAGTAAACCTCATTGGATTCAGGACTTACTTTTGAGTAGACATGGTTAGATTTGTGCTGTTTACTTCAAATAGTATTAAGGACTACAATGCTTAAAACCGCAAAGAAATTAGAATGACAGCTCATGGTAATGAGAACAGAAATAAAGATCATAAGGTTATGTTTCCTTTGTCACTTTCCACCCCCATAATAATATTATGGCTAAGTTAATTTTGCTTTTGTTCTTTTTTGAAGTTAAACATATAATTACATAAATAATATATTCTGTACTGCAGGATGAAACTGTTTACTTGAAAGAACCTTATTGACTTCTATTGAGATTTCAAGGACACACATCAGATTGTAGCCGTACAAGCCAAGCCTTTGCATAGTTAGAAGTCCTTGATGAAGTTAGTGGTGCTTCTGACAGTGTGTTAAACTTGTTCTTCCGCTCTTTCTTAGAATGCAAAATACTAAATGGATCTTCAGGGGTCCGTTTTATCTACACAAGGGAAGGAAGACCAAGCGGAGAAGCATTTGTTGAACTGGAGACCGAAGAAGATGTGAAGCTGGCATTGAAAAAAGACAGAGAAACAATGGGACACAGATATGTTGAAGGTTTGGATTGAATTGACATAGTAACTGACTTAAGTAGCTCTTCAGTTGGGTGGAGCTTAGATGCATGGTTATTCTTCTGTGTGTATGTAAATGTGAACCTGTTCTCCAAATGAATGTCGTGCATTGACCTTTTTGTGCCATGTTCCAAAATTCATTAATTCTAAGTGCCTCTTGCAGTCTTCAAGTCAAACAACGTTGAAATGGATTGGGTTCTGAAGCATACTGGTCCTAACAGCCCTGATACGGCTAATGATGGTTTTGTACGTCTTAGAGGACTTCCATTTGGTTGTAGCAAGGAAGAAATTGTTCAGTTTTTCTCAGGTATGTGGGGTATAAGTTCTAGCTATAGCTGTATTGGTAAAGATTAGAATTGCAATGGCACTGAAGTAATGCCTAGCCAACTAATAATAAATAATCCTTGAATGGCCAATTCTGTATGGTTATGCTTTAGGTGTTTTTAAAGACAAACACAGTAGTTTAAATTATTTGATAATTTGAGAACTGTCTCTAAAACTTGATGTAGCAAGTAAAACTTTATTCCAGTCTAACCCTGCAAAGCTTTAAGGACTAACTAATCGTTAAACCATAAAGTAAAGATTGGAAGCAAAGTTGCCATTTTAACTCTTCCACTCCACTCAGCCAAACATTTAGAATGCTTTCTTAAATTTGAGTGTCTAGAATAAGGTTATTGAATAAATGTTACAACTTTAGCTTGGTTGAATGGATGGAAGGAAATGCTCACATGTGTAGTAGAAGCTCTTTATGACATGTAAAAGGAATACAGAAAATAAGTATTTGTCTGATAGGTTTAAAAATATTTGCTTCAAAGTTTGGTATGTCATAAAGTAATTTGCTTTTAAAAACTCTATTGAAACTGAAATGTTAAAGCAAATGGAAGTGAGCGTTACATCAGAATGTTTGGAATATATTGCAGTAGTCCAGATAAGTGTGAATGTACTCTGATGAATTGTGATAAACAGATCAACTTGCACCGTATTAGATTTCTGTTGAAATATTGTTTCCCAAGTTGTTTTTTCTTCATAAAATTTAATATGTATATACAGTGTCTTGAAATGAAGTGTTTATGAAAATGCAAATCTTTGATTTTGTTACTAGATCTGTTAAATATTTTGCATGAAATTATCTTTGAGTTTAATTTGATTCTTGTTAAGATCTAGAATTGACATTTTTAGAGGAATTTTAATTGTTCAATTGAATTTATTTATTAGTAAATTGCTGCTTTAATGTTTTTCTTAACACATCCTGCACTAATTGGAAATAATATTAATCAAAATGTTACAGAAATGTCTTTTATGCAAGCAGGCTGAGTTAAGAATCTTTTAAATAGTATGTAATAAGTGTTTCTTGTTGACATGTTTCTTTTATAGTGTTTAATAGTATGGTTTACTGATTCTGAAATTTATAAAGTATAACTTCTGGTGTATTTTAAAGCTATAAGAAAATCATGATTGGGCTTGTGATGTTAATATTACCCCCCTACTGGGGTTATTTGTCCTTGGGTTGAAGGGTTGGAAATCGTGCCAAATGGGATAACATTGCCGGTGGACTTCCAGGGGAGGAGTACGGGGGAGGCCTTCGTGCAGTTTGCTTCACAGGAAATAGCTGAAAAGGCTCTAAAGAAACACAAGGAAAGAATAGGGCACAGGTGGGGATGGATGGTTGGTTGGATATGTCGCTCTTCTTATGGTAAACTGTTATTAAATCCATATTCTCTCTTCTTAAGTGCTCACCTCACAACATGTAATTTCATGCCCTACTAACACCCCCAATTTTATAATGAAACGTTAATTTTTGTTATGTTTGTGCAAACTGGCTGTGAAAGGCTAGTTCATCTACCCTTCCCTAGACCTCTCAAAACTGTTCATTCTGAACAAGTTTAAATGATATTTAAGGAAGTTGAGAGATTATGGCTTTAAATTTTTCTAATAGCACCAATTATGCCTCTAGCTCTAAAGACACTTAGCATTTTATTACCATAAGAAAATGTGATTACTAAACTTGTTCTATATATTGATGTAACATTTTCTTGTATAATTTTTCACATAAACACATAATTTCCGAAAATGTCACAAAGGGATTTATTCTAAGTTTTGTGACGTATTAATTGAAGCATGCACATTTTTTGCATTTGCTAATTTGCTATGCCAATGCATAGGATGGGCTCATGAGCACATAGTGCTTTTTGGAGTGTATTGATGGATTAGAATTCTGGCGGAGGCTGGATTTCTAACCCTCTTGCATATTGCCATATGAGCAAAATATGGGTGCTGTTGAGTGGACATTAGTCCCTCCAAGTTCTGATTCTTCAGAAGCTTAAACTAGTTTGCTCTCCCTAACCCTTAAGGTTGGGATATCTTAATGAGCAAACTCAAACTGATTTACTGAATTAGCCTTGGATTATTTTCTATGACTAAACGTAAAAATTCTGGCTTAAAATTGCCAGTTCCAAGGCTGTGGTATTGTAATGTATTATATTGTATAACCTAATATGCAAATTTTAAAAAACTCAACTAGTTTTATGTGTGTGAACCTTTTAGGTACATTGAAATCTTCAAGAGTAGCAGAGCAGAAGTGCGCACTCATTATGATCCTCCTCGCAAGCTTATGGCCATGCAGAGGCCAGGTCCTTATGACCGGCCGGGCGTGGGAAGAGGCTACAACAGCCTTGGTAGAGGAAGTGGTTTTGAAAGAATGAGACGTGGTGCATATGGAGGAGGTAAATATATAGAGCTTTCTTATTCAAAAACAGATAGTTCTGTTGGAAGATCATTTTCAACATAACTCTAAATTGTGGGTTGCAGGTTATGGTGGTTATGATGACTATAATGGATATAATGATGGCTATGGCTTTGGATCAGATCGATTTGGAAGAGGTAAGAATTCTTGATTAGGGCAATTGCGGAAACTTGTCCTACATACAAAAGATTTAGAATGGACTGTTTCCACAGGGATGTCAGACCACAGGTATGGGGATGGATCCTCTACTTTCCAAAGCACAACTGGTCACTGTGTGCACATGAGAGGATTACCTTACAGAGCTACAGAGAACGACATTTACAATGTAAGTGACTGTCTTGACATTTTTATTTGGATTTGTTGCTGCAGAACATTGCCTGAGAAATTTTCATTGAGTTAATGACTGTCTTTTCTACCTAGTTCTTCTCGCCTCTTAATCCTGTAAGAGTACACATTGAAATTGGGCCTGATGGTCGAGTAACAGGAGAGGCAGATGTTGAGTTCGCTACTCATGAGGATGCTGTTGCTGCAATGTCCAAAGACAAAGCAAATATGCGTAAGTTAAAGCTCCCCTGCAGATGTATGCACTTTTTTAAAAAACTGTAGAGTAGAATGAATCCGTTTACTATACTGGCTTTGCTTGTTAACATTGTGGTAACTTGGTGAGAGTGTGATGTTCACTACTGCTCATGATTCTCAGAATTGAACAGCCTTCAAGTTTTGCATCAAGGTGGCTAAGTCCTTTGTACTGTACATGAGGTAAGTTGAACTGTTTGTGTTCAGAGCATTGCTATTTTTTGTTTCCTTAGAACACCGATATGTAGAACTCTTCTTGAATTCCACAGCTGGAGGAAGTGGTGGTGCATATGGCAGTCAAATGATGGGAGCAATGGGTATGTGCAAGCAATTCAGTTTCATGTTGCCTCGCTGATGTTTAACAAAACTGGCTAATTTTTACAATTCTGCTTATTCTTGGTGGCCTAAAACTAATATTTAACATTCTGTCTTAATCACAGTCAAGGAAACGGAAGGGGTAGTTCAAGATTGGAACACGAACACATTGGCAGGTATATAAACCTTTTGGGTCTACATTTTGACAAAACTGTTAAATAAAAACTGAATGGTAGCATGAATGATTTCCAGGGTGCAGAGTGGTAACATTGGGTGTTTGGAGGAAGAGATGCTTGTTGTCTGTAATGTTGCTACAGTTTTCTACCTACAGCAGTCACTTCTGGGAGGGTGAGGGTAGGAATGTTGAATAGAAGGTATAATTCAACTGGCAAAGATTATACCACAATGGTGGTTCCTCTTATTGGAAATCCTGTTAACCTGAATATTTCAATACTTGAATATTCAGTCAAACCAAATTATAAAACTTCAGAAGCTTGGTTTGCTTGTATTAAAAAGTTTTATTCTGAAGTGGTGGTTTGTTTTATTTGTATGGGGTGCATATGCTGTTTTAGTAGCACTTTGCAGAATGGCTTCGTGCTTTACAAGGTACAATTAAGTTAAAAAAGCAATCTTCATATCCTCAACTGCAAAAGAGTTTTGCAGAGATGTGAAATGGGTTACCAGCTGTATTTTGCATTTAGTTTGTACAAAAATGTAGAAAGGTGTTGTGTGTCAGGTGCAGGTTTCCTAGTCACAGCTTGGAAAGGCTAACTTCTTTTGGCACCTCCCCTGAGCTGTTTAAAGCTACATATACAGAAGGGTTTGTGTTGTCTGTTAGCCACATAATGAAGGCTATGCTCTATATTGCTAAATGCTACTTCAGATTAGGTCAATAGGTTTGAAATGAATGATGGCCAAGAAATAAAATAGCAGTTTCAGTGGGAGAACACCCTCCTCTGCTTCTAATTCAATTGTTCATATAATTTGAAAACTCAGGTGCTCTAAGAATCTATAAATTGCTTATCTGCAAATAATTTCCTGAGTGAAGAGCAAATTAGGAAGAATCTTCTCAAATTACAGTTCAGCTACACAGTGAACTAGGAGCAAACTTGCCCTTTTAAGGTAGCATGTAGGCATATGCTTTTTTGTAGAAGGTGACTGTAGCCAAGTTCTTAACATGTGTGTCCTTAACTTGAAAGGAAGCCAATCCAGTTACGGTGGTCCAGCTAACCAGCAGTTGAGTGGGGGTTATGGAGGAGGCTATGGTGGTCAAAGCAGCATGAGCGGATATGGTAAGATGTTTTTATTAGTCTTGGATGTGTTAACGCAGTTAGCTATCCACCTAATGCAAGGATCAACTTGTCTTGAAAAAGTTAAAATATTATACTGTCCAAATACTTGGTTTCAGCTAGAAAATCAGTCTAGATGAGTGAGCAAGAAAAGCTTTCAGTGACTAGATTAAAAAAACAACACTTAAAAGATGATGTTGGGTGATGCACAGTTGGATCCAGTCTGTATGAAGCTAGCCTGCCACTTCCATTGTGTGATAGTACAGGATCTAAAGCAAGGTTATAAGGATAACTTGGGGTGAGGGAAATGTGGTGCCATGTATGTAAGTGACTGCACTAAATTGTCTTATTTGTTATCTGTCTTAGGTAACCAGAGTGCAATGAACAGCAGCTACTACAGCAGTGGGAATCGTGCATCCATGGGAGTGAATGGCATGGCTGGAATGTCGAACATGTCCAACATGAGTGGGGGCTGGGGAATGTAACTGGTCTCCTAATTTTTGGTCAACTTTTTTTAAGAAAACAAAACAAACTAAGTTTAACAGTTTTGCAATACAAGCTTGTGATTTATGCTTTACTTGTAAGTGAAATCAGGATCATTTTAAAACATTCAGGTTCAGTATTTTTGAATATGCTGAAACATTCATCTAGGATATAAGTCAAGTAAAGAAGTTCCTGTTAAACAATTTTCAGCTTTTTTCCAGTTTTTGTTGTAGGAGTGTATTTGAGCAGTAAGCGTATTTAGGTTAAAGCTGTTTCAATTATGTTAAATGTTGCTCTTAAACCATATAACACCAGACGCTGTTTTCAGAGCATGTTCAAGAACATGCCTTTTTGTACAAACAAGATATAGGAGCTGTGTTGGAATCTCAAAAGTGAACATTTGGCATGTTAGTTCTAGTTTTTTCTTTTTAATATCTTGTAAGGCACATTTAAGCTTTTTAAGTTAATGGGGAAATGTGAGACGCAATACGGCTACCTTTAGGATTTTGGTCTTGGTGTTCGTATGAAATCTGAGGCCTTGATTTAATCTTTCATTGTATTGTGATTTACTTTTAGGTGTTTGCGCTTAAGTGAAAATTGTTAAAATAAAACTTCCTTTTAAAAACTGGAACCTCTCTTGATTTGAAATGAGCACTGTGTTGCCAGCAGCAAATGATACACTAATTACTGCCACCAGTTTAGTAGTTTCATCCAGCAGCAGAAAGACTCAGAGTTGTCAATAACCACTGAAACGGAACTTGACAAAGAATGTAAACGCTAATGCTGAAGAAGAGCAGTCATAACCCACTATTTTCTATTTACCTATTACTTAAAATAGTTGGATGTTCTGGTTAGCTTGTGTAGATTTAGAAAACAGGGAACTACTTGGGGTGCCTTTTCCCCCATGTGCCTGTGTCACGTAACTGCTGTTACCTATAAAGACTGGTGTAGACCAACTTAAACCTGAATGGAAACCAGGAGGCTTAAGGGCTACACAGGGTTGTCTCCAATGAAGCCATCCTGTTACAAGAGGATCTTGTGCTAACAGGAGGGTCCCATCTCCCCATAACAGCCCCAACCAGTCTGCTCTGGAGGTTGGGAAAACCCCCAGAAGAGATGTTTACAGGTGGAAGTCCTGGTAATGGACACTGTCACTGCATACACCACTGTTTCACATTTCTTTGAACTTTTACAAATGTAAAGAAAAAGATCCTCACTTTGTTTTGACATGTTTGTTGGCTTCTGACTCCACTGCAGTTCGTATCACCACCTTGTAAGCAAGTTTTGCCATATCAATTTTTTGCACATGGTTGAAGTCACTGTTCAATCTGAATTGCAAGAAACTTGCAAATACTGATGAACTTGTTTAATTGCATTTAAGTCTTTATTGCGTAATCACTATTTTGTAGGTGCTTTAGAAACACTATATACTCTATTTACTTTTGAAGTAAAGGCACATTCTTTATACATTACTTAAAAAATTATTCCATAGGGACTAAGAGTGACATTTTTTCTTTAACATATAAATCTAGAGGAATTTTTAAGTGGAACTGTTACAATAGGTAGAGGGATTAAAGTGTTGAGAAAAGTAATGTATTTTAGAGGTCAAATGTACAAATGTCGAAGTACAAAGTTAAATACAAACGATAGCTTTTTACATCTTAAAAACAAAACCAGAAGTATGACCGCATCTCAAGATTGCAGCACATTGAGCACATTTAGGGTTATCTCTGGCACTTGATTCTATGCATTATCAGTTTTTATTATTTTTGTAAGCCCAAATTGTATAGATGAAACCTTATGTCCCATTCTATCATGGGAAACTAGTACCATAAGTTGTGTGATACATACTGGTGGCATTTAGATTCCCAATAAAGCCTATTAAACATTTGGTTCATTCTCGGTTTTAAATGGTTTTCCTGTGGACAAGCCAATGTCTTAGGAAGAAGATGAACATCTCTGAAGCAGTAAAGTGTGGCAAGTATCACAAACTCGTACAGGCTTTGGATAGGATGGAAGTGCAAGTTCATTGCTGGAACAAGTGTTGCAAAAGATGTCACCGCAGTTTCGACAGTGGTGCTGCAAAGGTAGTGAAAACACAGTATTAGGACTATAAGCAAAAGCAATTCTTAACTAAAGGCTCCAAATCAAAGGAAACTGCAAGTCTCAGTAAGATAAATGGAAATAAAGTCAGCCCTCTTGAAGTGCTACAATAAATGAGTTCGGGCTGAAATCAAAGGAGAGTTGTAAACAACAAAGCCTATGGTCTCAATCAACAGAATGCATTTCAGATAATTTCGTATTTGTTATCTAGGGTAAAAGTATGGTTTCCTGGCTTTGTAAAATTCTAAATTTGCAAATTTAACATACCACCGAAGGAGCTGCTCCTTAAAAAATATTTCTCAGTTTACAAAAGTACCACATTGCCTCTTTTTTCACATTTTCTACAGAACAGTTTCATTTGTTCTGAGACCTTAGTGTTGTGGGATTTTGGAGCAGTATTTTGTATATTGTGGATACCACCCCCTTGCCATGTCCCTTTTCTGTTAGGAGGAGGTTTTTAAAAGTGGTCAAGTTGCTGCTGATTTTACTACTGGATTGTTTTGAGGAGGAGCTGTTCCTTTTGTACAGATCTGTACATTAAGATAATTCAACAATGGAAAGAATTCCTCAGCGGTGGCACTCCAATTTTGATATACTTTCCCCAGAAGCTCACTTAGTATCAGGTCTTTGATACCAAAACATAATAGTATCAAGTACTTGTTTGCTGATGCATGTTTCAGGACTGAACTGGGATGTTACAAATCTAAATTCCACAGGGTGTAAAAAACAACCATTAGTAGATGTGCTTCAAGGCTCAAATTTACTTTTTTTGCACTTTCATCGCTCATGCTCCTTGTTGCTGTTCTATAAAGGGAGGTCGTGCTTTAGAAATTGTTCTTTCCCAGGCAAGTCTCCCAGACACATGGAATAATTCAGAATTTTACCAGGAGGCTTGTTAGCCCTTTATATTACCTTTCTTCTTGAAATGGAAAATTCCTTCTCACATTGTTTACAGTGGGTTGCTTCGTCATCTTTTAGCCATGTATGACCCTAAAACAAAATGAATTATTTCAGTATACAGCTTCTCATGTAAGGCATCAGTGAACTGTAGGCTTCAAAGAGGCTGAATGGTTGTCTAGGTAACGTTGGCCTAGCCATAGCATCAATTATATCTAGCATTCCCCCCTCCCTGCCTCCCAAAAGGGGGGGAAAAAAGATTTAAGCTGGTACCCTATCCACACTTAACTGGGTGTAAGTGCCAATCAAACATAATGGTACTTGTTTCTGAATAAGCATCCAAAGGACTATATGTTATGTAACTGGTAGTTTCCATTCAGACTAGAGCATGCCATGTTTAGAAAATAAAAATAAAAAATTAAGGTATTTAAAAGCTGCCACTACAAGTTTGAAAATGCCACACTCCTGGTAACTGAAGCAAAGTATCCCATGCTAGCAGGGGCAGAGTTGCAAATAATGAAGCAAGCAGCAGCAGCAGCAATCACCAACCAGCTTGCTAATGAATGCCAGAATGCTGTTAAAGCTGCAATACCTTTAATGCTTTATTCACTTCCTTAATATCTTCCATCTTAAGCTTGGATCTAGAAAAAATAATAAAATTAATAGCAACATTTTACATTTGTATTGTGCTTTACAGTATTCAGAGGACACCACATACACTGTATGGTGATCCTCACAATAACCCCCGCAAGGTCCATTATTATTATTATCATCATCATCTCCACACTGCAGATGGAGTGGGGCTAGCGAAGGGTGAAATAGTGGTTAGTCAAAGGCAACTTGGTGAGCTCATGGCAGAGGAGTGTTTCAAACCAGTGACTTTCAATTTGTAGCTCATCCTCTTACTGAGATGCAAGCTCTCAGACTGGAGAAATGGTTCTAGAAGGAAACATTCCAAATTGAAGGAACCAAAAAGTTGCCTTGAACCACCCATATTTCCATCCCAGTAGCATGTTTCTGAATCACTTGCTCCCTATGCAGCACCTTACTAACTTTTAATTAACAGCATCCTCTACTCTTTCGCCCTGTGCAATAGCAAGGTTTTCTCCCCCTCTCGTAATAATAGGAACCTGGGGCCATCCAATGAAACAATACTGTAAGATTTAGGAAGACAAAATGAGGTGCTGCTTATTCAGAGCTAAAATCATGGAATTTGCTCCCACAAAGGAGCAACTTTGATGACTGAAAGACAAATTCATGGCTAAAGCTATCAAAAGCTGCTGACCATGATGGCTATGTTCTACCTCCAACCCTAGGGATCGTATGCCTCTGAATGCCAGTTGCCAGGAACTACAAGCAGGGAGAGAGCGTTCACACTCAGATCCTGCTTGTGGGCTTCCCATAGGCATCTGGTTGGCCACTGAGAACAGGAAGCTGGACCAGATGGACTTTTGATCCAGCAGGTCTGTAAATTATGTTTGAAATTGGAGTCACATGGTGTGCATCCTCCTGTTTACAGCTGCGCCTCTGCAATTTGCTGCAGGAAACACTGGTGTAGCCATGACAAACAATTGCCATATAAAACATGCTTTAGTTGAGATTCCTGCATTGCAGGGGGTTGGACTAGATGACCCTTGGCGTCCCTACCAACTCTACAATTCTATTATTCTTATCTTACACAAGTTAACTCAATAATGCAACTTCTCTGGGAATGAGAGATGAATAGAAAGGGGCCCAATATCAGAACATGCTTACTGGCTAAGGTGAAGTCCCATTTCTTGAAGGGCTTGCTCCTGTTCTTCACAGACCTTTTCCAATTGCTGCTTCTCTTCTTGCAGTTTTCGCAACTCCTATAAAACAAAACACAAAAAGGCTATATAATTTTCATCAGGGAATTCCTCTTCCTCCTCTGCTATTTTGTTTTTTAAAAAATAATAATATTTATTAGTAGTTTTCAGAATTATAAGAAGAAAAACATTAAAAAAAAATTAAAAAACAACACTATAATAGACTGAACTTGACTGATAAGATCTCAACCTTATCACTTTTGGGTGAAGGAGACAAAAACTGACTACCTGCCGTTTGTAAAAATGTATTACCTTGCTATTAAGCCAATGAACAGTTGACTTCACCTTAACCATTAAGAACATTCCAGTAGGTTGAAAAAACCTGCATGTGGAAAGGCTCCTAGTGTTAGCCATCGCAATGTTGCCAAAAGACTGGCTTTACTCAGCCTAAGGAGGATGCTCACTTGATCACTTGCTGATCAGAGAAAGAACAGTTCTTCCCTGGTGGTTAAGTGTTCTTGAACCAGTAGCTTACAACAACCCCTGTACCCTTAAAGGAGAGAATCTGCCACGTAACATACTAGTAGAAAGGCACTGGAATTACTTCCCCACATTTCCTGTCCTGCATTCTTCAAGTTGATGCCCTACAGAGGTTCTGGACTACAGCATTTGGTCTGGCTACGATTTGGGTTTCCAGCTCACTTACTTTTTTTAACCCTTCCACTTGCTGCAGTTCTGTTTTTAGCAAAGCTGTAGTGTCCTTCTCTTGATGCAGCTGATGTTGCAGAATCTGCCGCTGCTCTTTCTCGGATTTTAATTCTCTCTCAAGAGTTAAACTGTTTTAAATTCAGAGACCAAATAAACAAATGCCAAGTTAGAAACAAATCTTGTTTAACAGCAGTATTTACTTCGCTAGAAATTCTTGAAATAATTATGGGGGTGGGGTGAGGTAGCATGCTCCTGAAGCCACAAGGGAGGAGTTTTGAATTTCTGTATAGATAGTGGATATCACTTGGGAAGACAGGTGTACTGGAAGAAGCAAAGTTCACCAGTGTCAAAGCAATGATTCTTCAACATCAACTTCGTCGGACTGGTCATGTGTGGATGCCTGATTATCGCCTTGAAAGCAACTACTCTATTCTGAACTTAAAAATGGACAGTGTAATGCTGGTGGTCAACAAAAGAAGTTTAAAGACTCTCTCAAGGCAAATCTAAAAAAATGTAGTATAAACACCGACAACTGGGAAACACTGGCCTGCAAGCACTCCAATTGGAGAACAACCTTTGCCAAAGGTGTCATGGACTTCGAAGACACTCAAACTCGGGACGAAAGGGAGAAATGAGCTAAAAGGAAGGCAGGTTTGGCAAACCCTCACCATGATAAACTCCTGCCCAGAAATCTATGTCCCCACTGTGGAAGGATGTGCGGATCCAGAACTAGCCTTCACTGTCACCTACGGACACCATTAGGAACGTGTTCATGGAAGACAATCTTACTCGATGATGAGTGATCGCCAAAGAAGAGGATGTAGAGAAAAGCTTGTGGAAAGGGGTGGACACTGACTTTCCTGCTTTTGCCTCTCCCTAGCAGCCCCAGAGATGTCAATGAAGATTGGGGCCCGCTGAAAATGGGGGGGGGGGGGGCTGTGGCATGGGAGGGGGTGATCCCTGCAAAATTGAGCAGAGGCACTTTCCACAAGCAAAATTCCAACTCACGCAAGGGTTCTATGTCCACTTTTAATGAATTGCTACCTTATGCCTCAACCCCCTCCCCCACCACATATAGCAGGGGGAATCCAACCTGCAGAAGCTTATCTGGGGCTGCCAGGGGGATAAGGAGATGGGAAAGCCTCCTTCTGCCCACCCCTTTCCACTGGCTCTTCGCTGGATCCAACTGGGCTGGGATCCAGAGAGCTATTTTAGGCATGTGAGTTTGTGGGTGATGTTTTCTTTTAACAGCACACCCTCATTTTGGAACGTCTGTTTCACGAGTCATTTGCCATGTTTCTTGAGCTGAGCGCTGCTAAGAAATCCAAATTCATAGGCTCCTTTGGGACATGCATGAAAATAGCTATGCAGTTCTTCATTTCTTTAGTCCCAGCCAATAAGAGTGGCAACAAGTTAAACCAGGCCCTGCCTTTAGAAACTACAAGCACAATCAATCTGAAGGAATATATGGAAGAATGCATAAAAAATGACAGTTCTAAATGATCACAGCTCTCATATCATATTAGAAAGTTTAGTGTCAACTAATTTGCTACGCTGATGCATCTTGTTAGCTTTGTGGCTAGCTGATTTTGTGAGGCATTTAAGCTGTGAATTAAACGCCCTGTTTCCAGGAAAACCAAGGATAAACAATATAGAACACAAGGTTACCACTTGTTATCCAGCTGGATTAGCTGCTGTTTCAAGGTCACAATTTTGCCGCCCAGTTCTTGTTTCAGTTTGACATTTTTTTCTTCTGCAACCTGCCTGGCCTTTTCTGCATGCTGCAATCTAAAAAAGAAGAAAAAAGACAAACACACACAAGTTACATAGAGCTATAGCAGGCTTTCCCTCTTGCCAAAGCTACCACCTTTGAACACACCTTTATCATTCATTAACATGTTATATTATGCACAAACATTTCATACCATGTCAGTAGCTACTGCAGGGTAGGTAGGTCAGCCTTCAGCACTCTGGCCCACAAGGGTCTGTCTAAGTTACCCTGTCTAGCAAGGAGACAGATGTTCACCAGTCCTAGCCTGAGCTTGGGGAAGTTGGGCCAATAAGCTTATGTCTTCAGCTCCTAAGGAGACCACCAGTGAACGGTGCTTCAGTGAACGGTCCTAACAGCTATTTAAGCCCCATGTGCCCTGATGGAGGGCAGTAGAAAAGGCAGCCAGGCAGCTCATGCCATCAGCTCCTGAAGGGACCATTGAGTGGCCTGAGAGAATCCTGTTCTATGCTTTTAAACTGTTGTTTTAGTATGTTAAAAGCATAAATCACCTTAGGGTACACTGGCAGAAACGCAGCATATAAATGAACAATTCTCTTAAAAGTACAACTTGCCTTTCCCTCTTGCAAATTCATCAGTTTTCCACTCCGCCCAAGGGCACCCCAGGCCTCCCCTGCATGGCTCTCTTCCTTTCCCTCCCCTGATTTTCCCACCACATTGAACTTTCTCACATGTCTGCCTTATCCTTCTTCAGCATCTAACACAGGGGTGAGGAACCTCAGGTTCAGGGGCCAAATTAAGCCCTCCAGGGCTTTCTACATGGCCCTTGGGAGTCTGGCCATGCCACTCCTGATCACAGACAGGTAAAGGAGATTACAGGAAATAGGTCAGTGGGTCATCCATGCCTTTCCTAGAAATATGTTGTGCCCATGAAAGGAAACTAATATGGACTTTGGAAACATTAAAAATTGGGGAATTAGGCAGGTCACAGCTAATCAGGCCTATGGAAGGGATTACCTGCCCTCCATCTGCTTGACAGAAGACATCATTTGATCCGTTTTGCCTTCAAAGGATGATATTGCTTCACTTTTATGCTGCAACGAACCTTCTGCATTCTGGAGGGAAAGAATCAAACGGCTCACTGCAAAATTGTTCTGTGACTACAAAACCCAAAGCATTCCAGGTCCATATATGATTAGCTTAGTAATGAAACAGGTCAGAGACTTCATCATGTCTCCCTCTTCATACTGAAATAGGTTTTTCCCCACTTCAAAAGGCAGAGAATAAAGTTGCCTCACTACTGTAATGCTAGAACAGGCAACCTGGAGGCAAGAATCAAGGAACTGGCTTAACCTTGGGATCGAGAAAAGATGAATGAGACATTTGAAAATAAGTTTAATACTCCACAGCCTCCCAAAAGCTAAAGGCAAATTAGTACAAGGAAATCACTATTGTGCAAGCCCCATCCTATGTCTATATACAAACCACGTGAGTCTCTCACATACTTTTAAGGCATCTCAGAGGGGAAAAAAAAGATTAATGGGATTCTCTCACTGACCCTTAATACTATCTATCATCCAAACAATAAGCAGAGATGTACACAGACATTGCAATCTTCAGACCTCCTGGACAAAACAAGTGACTGAAAAACTAAGCTGATTAGAGAGAAATCAAGAGCCATGTTTCCCCGGCTGTCATGGCTAAAGAATGTTTAGCTAAGCAATCTCCTGCCTTTCAACTGTATCATGTTAAGAGGCCCTTACTCGTAAGCAGGAAGTTTTCTTTTTCTTCCAGCCACTAAGAATGTGAATGAATGTTGTGCTCACTATACATCATTGAGTACATGAAAAGGGCAGGATTCATCTTATCAGCCCTGTCAGTGGAAGCCCTGCGCAAGGACTTCTGCTTGGGCAATGGGGATCCCTCTAAACACATGCCCTAATTGAGTCAAGGCGTGTCATGAGAATCCCCACTCCAAACAGAGTGCAGGGGGAGAAAAGGGGGGGATTGTTCAAATTACTAAGATGAAATGCTTATTGGAAGAGTGCAATGTTAAATTCCACCCAAAATGCATATTCATGCAAGGTTGGTTGTGTCTACTCAGAATCCTGACATTGTACCTAACAGGGTGACAAATCCCCACAATAAAAATTAATGTAAGAAACTTCTATATAACTGAACCAGAAGGCATATGCAGTTGAGACAGAGGGCCATGGTTTATGAAGCTAGGAATGAGCATCAGGTCTGTATGCACGCTTCCTGCCATGCTCACTTTGGTTCATTTGGGTGCACTGGGGAACTCTGGTTTAAACAAACCAGGATCTCTCCACTGAAGCCAACGTATAAGGGGAAGGAATAATGTGTGGGCTTGGGCAGGCCACTCTCCTTTTCAGTTCCCCATTTATAAACCTGAGCCCAATAGTGATCCTACATCAAGGGTAGCCAGTGTGGTGACCTCCTGTGTTGGGGACCATAACTCCATCACGTCAGCATGGCCAGCAGTCGGGAATGATGGGAGTTAAAGTCCAAACATATATGGAGGGCTGCACATAGGCCACCCCTGTGCTACAACACAGGGCTGTTGCAAGGACGAAGCTAATGATCAGAATGCACTGTACACATTTAAAGTGTTATGCTCATGCCTAGTGAATAGGTTGCTTCTCCATTTACTTAACAAATTTACCTGAGATTTATTAAACATCTGCAAATTGATAGCTTTAACTTCCTCCAGCTGCTGGCGAAGGGCCACTAAAGTGTCTTGTTTTTCATGAGTATCTTTCTCCAGGAGCTTCATAGCAATTTCCATTTCTGTTTTCATTCCAATCTGCAGCTCCAGCTCTTTTTCCAGCTCCTTTAAAAATAAAATTCAAATCTGCATAAATAACAAATATTTTCTGTTGAGCTGTGTAAAACCTGACCTGTGTGAACTTGTGAACTTGTGTTTTTATAGATTGTGTGACAATGGCTGGAATCAAAAGCTGAAGGTTGCTTCTGAAAGCATGCTGACACTATTCTGCACACCCCCAGTAGTCCCCACCCCCATAGTCGCAAAGAGGGATCAGGGGACCCCTGGCACAGCATCCAAGCAAGCTTGCTATGATGGTGCATACAGAAACCGAACAAACAGTGATTCGCTCCATTAATGAATTATGGTGTTTCACCGTTCGGATTCTTTTCTCCTCTTTCAGTTGCTTCCAGACATCACTGTACATTTCATCCAGGCCTTGCCTTGACTGCTTGTATGTTTCCAGTTCAACTTTGGTGTCCTGTTTTGTTACCTAGAATAAAAGGTTATTTGAGAAATCAACCTGTTGGTAGATTAGAGTAGGTAAGTTTCTCACAAGAGAAATTATATTTATTTAGAAATGATTTTATATCTACAGGCGGTATTAACTACAGGAAGATATGTGTCTCGTATTATTGTTGTTTTATTAATTTATGAATTGTCCTGAATATATAAAATAATCTACCTGGAAAAGCTTGTTGCAACAAAAATGTTTTCAATTGTTTCTAAAAGCTACAAATACAGAGTGCCTGTTGTATTTCAACTAAGATGTTCCCCGAAAAAGAGGCAGCCACACTGAAAGTCCTTCTGCAGGCTCCTGATATTTTAGGGACTTAAAGGAGACTCTTCTGCACAAAGTGACCTACAGAGGTATGCTAATGTTTAAATGGAAAACAACCTCCTAGGTGGACCTCCACACACATCAGCTACATACTGTATCTGACCTCGACATGCTTTTCGCTTCGTTCACGGATTAGTTCATTTTCTTGCTTCAGCTCCTGCTGCTCTTCCTGAAGTGCCCTGATCCGATCAGTTGCTGCTGCCAGCTGACAAACAGAGGTGGGTGTGAGAAGAGAGAAGACAAACCACCATGCATCATCTGGATGAATATTTAAAAACATCCCATTCAACTGCAGCCTGAAATTAAGACCAGGCAAGCTCATATTTCATAATTCAGTCACTAAGGTGGATACACATAACTTTTATTATTCCAAGACAGAAACTGGCAAGTTTTTCAGTTGATGAACATTCCTTTCAGAAAGGATGCATGAGAGGGAAAACTTCTCAGTCTTAAAATGGTTAAGTCTTTCTTAGTTCAGACACTGTGTAAGCGTTGTAGCTCAATGGCAGAGCAGTTGCTTCTCCAGGTAGAGATGAGAAAGGCTCCCCTCTGAAACGCTGATGACTTGCTACTAGTCAGCGTCAGCAACACTAAGCTAGATGGAGCAATGGTCTAACTTGGTATAGAAGCAGCTTCCTATGTTCCATGTACCTTTAGGTTGTATACGAGAGGAAATGAACTATCTGGCTCTCCTCACCATGACCTTTCCAGCTTCCCAATTCATATCAGTTTTGCTCTGCTCAGGAAACCCATTTGATAAGATTCGCAGTTTCAAGAAGGAAGTCACTTCAAAATTTTCAAAAAGGAGCAGGCACCAGTAGCGACTGAAATAAACTTGAGCACCACAAACCTCTTCTTGGAGCTTTGAATTGGTCTTCTCTAGGCACTCTATCTTGGTCTGCAGATCTCCAACAGTGCAACTGAGACAAAAAGATTATCAAGACCCGCTTAATACTTGCCACTCAAAAAAATGCCAAGTGTTGAAGGGAAGTCTAAGCAACCAAGATTTATTCTGTTGCCCCGCCCCCCCGCAACACTTAGCGCTCACAGTTTAAGAAAATTAATGAAAAATATTATTGGATTGCAAATATGGGGGTTTAAAGTAGGGGAGTTACAAGGCTAGCAGAAGTAGGTGCCAGAAGAGCAAGATAGTACAGTGGTACCTTGGTTTGCAACCGTCTTGGACTACAACCATGTCAAACCCGGAAGTCCATGTCCCATTTTTTGGATTACAACCCATCTTTATTTTTTTTTGGATTACAACCAATTTTTTTTGGAGGCCCCATTGGCGAAAGCGTGCCTTGGGTTACAACCTGTTTTGGTTTACAACTGGACATCCGGAACGAATTATGGTTGTAAACCAAGGTACCACTGTACGAAGAAAAGGGGCAGATCCCTCTGAAGGAATAAGCATGAAACCCTTTTTTCAATAGTATAGTATTCCTTAAACTGCTGCCGTAGCTAAAGCTGTGATTTTAAACATGGGGGAGGGGAAGAGGACAGGGGGAAATCAAGTTTTCACCAAGGAAGCCTACCTTAGATGGCGGTTAAGTTCTTCTACATAATGTTTCTGATCAAGCACAGCAGTAATGCCTCCATCTCTGATATTGAAATAAAGATGGTATTTTAAAGAACGACTCATTTTCTCAAGTGCAACATTTATATTAGAGACATTCCAGAATGGCAGCCATATAGGTTCTCTTACAGCAAAATCAACAGGAGCTTTGTGGCATCTTAAAGACTAATAAATGCATTATGGAATAATTTTTTGTGTGGACTATAGTCAGTTTGCCACAAGACTTGTCATGTTATATTAGAGGAAAGTTATCATACAAAAAACTACATATGCATTATATATGCAAATGCTCTTCCTTTATTAGGACCAGTTTGGTGTCAACAAGATGTGCAGCTGGATTTTTAAAAAAATGATAGTGGACAAATGACTCCAAGGGGTTAAAATCAGCCCCACATTCTGGCCAGCAAGGTCAAATTGCAGCTGCACCCAAAATAGAAATGCTGAGAAAAACCATTATCAGTATGAAAAGATAGCACACCAATGTGTAAAGACACAAAGAAACTGGGTTTTTAAAAATTAATTCTCCACACATTTAAGAGCAGGTAAAAAGCACAGTTTTAAAAGCTCAGTCAGAAAAGCACCCAGGACTGCAATGGATGCAGTTTTAATGCATTGTTATGAATTATACATGTTATACAAATATAAAATGTACAGGTTTTCTATGCAGCTCGTCCAGGTTCCCCAGTTAGCAGAGCATAGCTCCTTCAGTCCCCATTAGTTCAACAAGGTAGGTGTGTAGGACCTGTGTGTAGAAATAGGGGTTGGGTAGAGGATGCCTGCCCACATTTGAGTGGAACTGGAGGGAAGGCCACTGAAGCCAGAATTAGCATGTTTGATCCTCTATATATTTCCTCTGCCCTATTTTTTTTTTTTTTGTCAATAGCCTTTCTATATTCCATTTCTCCCACTCCCCTCTTTCTCAGAAAGAACTAAAGAAATTCCTAAATATGGATTCATCTACTTTAATTAAAAACTCTATTAAACAAAGATTAGGAACATAAATTCAACCTTACATACTCTTTGCTATTGTCACTGTTTTGTGTATCTTTAAGGTACAGGGAAAAATCAATCACTGCAACCTGAAAAGACAAATAAGATTTATTTACAATTGAATTAAGTGCCTCAACAGGATTAGCTATGCTTTACTTTTTTTCTTATCCTCTCCTTCACATTCTAATAAATGAGTTTTAAGTGAACAAAGCACAGGAGGCCAACTTTTTTCAGCCTGGGGAATGCATTCATCCTTGACCAACCCTCCATGGAGTGCACCAACCAGTGCTGGGTATGGTCACCCCACAAAATGGAAAGGAAGGAAACACTATGGCTCATAGTACAGCAAGTGCTTTTGGAAATGCTACTCATAGGGACTCAATTCACACACAAAGACACACAGCGGCCTTAGCACAGTAGGAGGCTCTCCCATACGGCAGTGAGTAGGGACAAGTGGTAGAAATCAGGTGTCCAACCTTGAATGAGCAGAATTGCTTCTGCTTACTTAATGCCACTATATGACCCCCCTGGCTTCAAGACAGATTTAGACTACTAGGATAATATAGGCCTGAACTACCAAAACACAAGTTATTCCTGGTCTACAGGGTGGTAAGTTACCTGGGTGTCCAAATCTTCTCCTTTTAAGCAGAGATTTGCATCAATGACATTCAGTCCCACAAGCAGACCAATGATCACAGCTCCTTCCTCTTCCATCATCAAGGCATCAGGCTCATAAAATTCACTAGGAAAGAAAACAGATAATTTAATAATTATTGTGGGGGGTACTGTATTATCCACCCAATTAAGAACAATTCAGTAAAGATTATACTGAGCTCAGTCCTTCCTATCAACTTTATGGTCAGAATACAAGCACTAGGCTGAATCCAGATTAAAAAATACAGTGGTACCTTGGGTTACATACGCTTCAGGTTACAGACACTTCAGGTTACAGACTCCGCTAACCCAGAAATAGTACCTCGAGTTAAGAACTTTGCTTCAGGATGAGAACAGAAATCGTGCTCCGGCGGCGCAGCAGCAGCAGGAGGCCCCATTAGCTAAAGTGGTGCTTCAGGTTAAGAACAGTTTCAGGTTAAGAACAGACCTCTGGAACGAATTAAGTACTTAACCCGAGGTACCACTGTAATAGTAACAGAAGGGAGATAATGCAAGCTGGCTTTCTCCCTCACCCCACACCCTGTGCAACAGCAGCCTCTGAAAATCTTCTCTCAAGGGTTGGGAGACACTGGGGTGGGCTGAGGACTGCCAGCCCCCTTTCCATAGGCTTTTCTCTGGATCAAACTCATTTACTTTAGATGCTTCCCTGTGTGGCAAGATGTGTTATTCCAGAATAATAATAAAAAGTTCAAAAGATACCTCAATAGATTCTTGTGGTCCAGGAGTACTTTCAGGTAGTCTGCCAGTTTCTTTTGCATCACAGCAAGATAAAGCCAAGCTCTGCCTCTTCCAATTGGGGTCCTACAATTCCACAAGGACACCAGGTGTCAAACATGCTATCCACTTGGTATATAAAAATGCATCCGATAAATGTTTCTGCAGTTTACCATGAGGACATATTTCCTGCAGCAGATAACTGTTTATTATATGAGCCAGATAAAAAACATTTAGGCCTACACATTTATTCATTGCCTTTCCTTTAACTGATTAATTAGTGAATTACCAATTAATATAAGTACTGTAATACCCAGTGCTTTTTTTCTGGGGGTACGCATACCCCTAAACATTTTGTGAATCTAAGTTTGGCCTCATTGAAGGGCAGTATTTCAATATGAATAGGAAAATGAGAGTACCCCTAAATATTTTTTTTTAGAAAAAAAAGCACTGGAAATACCTTATTACAGAAGATTTGGAAAGAACATTTAAGTAAAGGAAATATTGTCATGAAATTCTACCCTTATTGACCCATAGCAGATTCCAAGTTAGTAGAGTAAAATCTTAAACACTTTGCAGGATTCCAAAAAAATAGACCAGAGGCAATTAATACTTCATCCAGTAGAGCTTTACTGCTACTGAAGGCAAATGAACATAATGGTCACAAATCCAATGCATTCAGGATTGGCACTGTCCATAAGAAATCCAGTTGCAGCAGACTTAACTTAAACTTACAATAACCTATAATAAGTCTAAACCTTAATACTAAGCATATACCACACCAGTAGGAAAAGAAAGAGAGAAAGTGAAACCCAGCCTCCTTCTGGCCTATTTTTATAGTCAGCATGACCTTGCCAGAAGAGATAAGAGAACCAATTTAAGCCAGCTGTACTCGGCTTCTCTGAAGGAATAACCAAAACATCATAAACCTTCTGCTTGTTTCTTTCACACAGAGAGGCTTCCGGCACCCTCTTGAATTAATTAGAATAGGAAAGATCTCTACATATCAGATCAATACTTTCTGTACTAAGAACTGCAAACTGGGAAAGTTTGACTACTGGGAAAGTCATATGGGCAGGTCTAAATAGTTAATATTGAAGCAGGTCCTACTGAGATCAATATTCCTTTTTCCCAGTACCCACTTTAATGTTTCCCTCTGGCATCTGACACCTGTTGAAAACCCATTGCTCTGAATTGGCACAACAATTCTTATAAAGAAAGAAAAAAGAAACCTGTAATAATTTTGACAGTCTTAAATGTAAAACGGTATTGGTAAAAGCATTAGATGACAGGAAAATGTAGCTAAACTGTCACTGTATACAACAACAGCATTAGCACTGAAAACCCCTGTCAATAAAGGATAATTTCAGTGAAACTTTCCCCATCTTTTAACTTGAAATTAGCCCATCATCTTGTTAACAAATCAACCCATAAAATATTATGAAGGTACATGAATACTATTAGCAACCTCATTCCTTATAACAATTTGTTTCCTTAACCTCAACCTGAATTTTTAAAAACTCACTTTAACTCTGGCAGATTTCTGACACTTGTAGCTAAATCTGATGCTTCTGGACAAAGTTTCTCCACCATCTCTAGAGGTCCAAAAAACGATTTGTTTTGCCCAATGAAACTCTTCTTAGCTAGATAAAAGGGAGGCAATGGAAAGGAAATAACGTTGCTTTATTTCAGTTTAATGTGTGTAAAGTAAAAAGGTTCACAACAGATCAACGAACATAAAGCAAATGTCAAACACAGAAAGCACACTTAACAAGGGAAGGAGTAAGCATCATTAAACATAGTGGAACTTACTTCTAAGTAAACATGGATACGCTTGCATAATTAAGGTATTTTCACACTTCACATTCAGGCTACAATTCTGCATACACATACCTGGAAGTAAAACCAACTGAACACAGTATGATAATACTTTCAAGTAATATATGATTGTGCTATGAAGTTCTTTGTAGGAAAACAACCCCCCAACTTTGCATTCTGCAATTTTATTGTAAAACTTCTGTGGCTAGATTGAACATTTAGTTTAAAATGGCAGTCCATCTCTGTCACGCATTTACTACATTCACATTTGCAGACAAGTAGCAGGAGGAAGGGTTCAGAGTCATCTTTAGTGCCACACACAACAATGCTCTCAATGATATTAAACTTGTTCCATTTCTCATCCTACAGAGTTCTAGAACAAGGTCTGTAAGTGGTCCAGCAGATGCACATTACCTTGCTTTAATGCCGCTTCTGTTTCCTTAGTAATAGGTAAATTGATGAATTAATCAGGCTATGAATTCCACTTCAAACACATGATTCCTTTTTGCTTTATCTATTACTCCTTTTAAGCATTTTCTCGTGACATAAACCACACATTTTTTAATGACTTCTAGAAATATCTGGTGGCTAGCCTGCTTATGTGCACAGTTAAAGCAAAGATCCACATCAATTAAAATACTCTTACAATGCTATCCTATATATGCCTATTCATAATTCAGTGGGGGATAGTCCCAGATAAACTGGTTAAAGCTGCAAGCCTATAATCAAAGGCACATACATAAAAGGATACGAAAAATATACTATTTGAAACCAATATTGGAAGGAAGCTCACCTTTAAGTCCATGCTTGAGACAGTGTTCCATCACAACAAAGAACTGTTGCAAGGGGGGAAAGTCTGAATCAAGGGTCCGACCCAAACTCAGAGCTGACTGGATTAAGACTTTAACACTCAATTTCATCATGTTCATGAGATTTGAACGTTCTTCCATCATGTGGTATTTGGCTGCTGAACAAATGTAGATACACATACATATCAGAAAAGAAACTGATGTAAGATTAATAGACTTATTCTCAAAACATCAAACCCCACAAAACGCCATCTTGCTTCATAGTTTAGCACAACAGAAATATGCCAGAGGTGGTGGTGGAGGAGAAAAGAGGTAATAGAAAAACCAAAACAATCCAAGATTTGTTCCGTTCATATATCAGGAACTATATATACACCTCTCTTGTTATGACAGTGAATGTTCATGAAACAGATGCACTCTAGAAAGGGTCGAAATTGTGCAGTTAGGTGGTGTGTGTGAGAGAGAAATAGAGACATTTAACAAACCAAGGAGCAGTCACAGACCTTTAAGGTCTAAAATACCCACAAGCATTAAAACACGCCGCTTATTCCCATCCTAATTTCTGTTAAAAAGAAAGCAGCGAAAACATTTTTGGTGCCATGTTTTAATTCTATTTTGTGTCTCGTATGAGAATGACAGTCCTAGTTATGCCCAAATACACACAGAAGAGCTCATAAGGATGGTGACACAGAGAAACAAACACCTGCCAGTCAGACTAAAAGGGAAGCCCCCGCGGATTCTGCCTTGGTACGACCCGCGTTCTGCAGTGAAAAGGAAAGCATCTTAACTTCACAGGGAGAAGGATCAGAGCAGCGAGATCAACGCTGGAAGGAGGGGAGCAGAGGAATAGTCGCTTCCGAGCATGTTTTGCCTTCTGCTCTCCTCTGTAGTCTTTTTCTGGCTCACACACAAACACCTGCATTTTGGCAGCTCAGTACTAATAAGCTTCCCGCAACGTGGGTTCCCCAGGGAGGCTCCCACCCACCACCATCACTTATACGACCCCCTAAGCAGAGGCCTCGATAACCCCCCTCCCCCTGCTTAATTCCCCATTGGTATCTCACCTTCACCTGGCGTTACCAGAGCAACACTTCCCTCCCCCTCAAAATCCAAAGAGAGGCCCTTCATTGGTTAAAGGCACCCAAGCCGCTGATCGCCTTCCTGCAAGCCAATCGGAACTCCCGGTGCACAAGCCGGTGTCTCGGATTGGTCACAGCCACCGACCTGCCCTCCCATGTTCCGACAGGCCAGGAAATGGTTTCAAGGCCCAGCCGCTACCGCAGCCCCTCATTGGGCAAACGGGGAAAAGAGGCTTTGGGCAGAGGCAGCACGACACTGTAAACAAGGGAGGGGTGGCGCCATTTTAGTTGTCTAGTCGCTGTTACTTTCTTAAAGGCCTCCTCCTCTCGTCGTGGAAAACCAAACGCGAGGATAATAGTACTATACTGTGTTTTTACACTTGCGTGTATTTTTCCCCTGTAGCAAATTATGATTTTTCCCCACCTTCCCCCACTCACCTCAACGTCATTCAAAAAGCTTAGGTGGCTGACAAATATAATCTTTTTCAAGACGCTGCTAGACAATTTCATGTGTTTCAACTATATGGGGGAAATGCTTTCCCAGTTTGAAATAAAATTTGAACTGTTGTCAACAAGGTAACACTAGAATTCAAATAAAAGTCAAGACCTCTAAGAATAATTAACAGTACAATTTCAGCCACGTAAGTGGCTTTTTAAACGAACCATTTCGTTTCAGTTAGGCACTTAGCAAAGCTGTATGTTTAATTCAGTTTCAGCACCTGGGACTATAAGGGATATACTGTATAATATTTGATGTTTCGTAATTATATTGCAGCCTTGTACAGTATTAGATATGTGTTCCTAATGACACTTTAGTATATGGCGAAATTTCTGGTGGATGAAGTGAACACAAGTCATGTGAAGCTGAAAGAATTTCTACTGAATTTACTACATTACGGTTATGGTATTAAGGTGCTTAGGTACTTTGCCTGCAGTGCAGCTAGACAGAAGCAAAGCATTCTGAACTTAATATGGTTTTTGCAAGCTTTAGGAATTGTAAAAACGGATCATTCACTATTTTTAGGCTTAAAATTAAAAATGACAAGAGTTCTGGTTTGCAAAACTGCAGCAGGCAAGCCAATGAATTGATAGTCACCAACGGACTGATACTATAAATCTATGCATGTCTCCCAGAAGCAGGTTCCACTGAGTTCAATGAGGGCTTTCTTTCAGATGTGAGCATAAAACTGCAGACTTAATCAGAAGTAAAGGCCCTTGCAATGGCTGGGGTGTTTTGTTATATCTGAGAGACAATTCCTTAAATGAATACTATTTTAGAGCATTTGAGATAATTTGAGTTGCATTTAATTTAAAACAGAGTCACAGGCAGCTTTAAGCATAAAGGCAATTTATGTATACAAACTGAAACATTTAATGGTAGTAGCTCATATAGCACTGTATAGAACTGATAACTGTTAAAAGTTTAAGACACTTCTGAAATTGATAAAAGTATACATATATTGCTTTCTCAAACATGAATAGTCTGATCTTAAGTGTGTATTCATACACAACTCCCTCTTGAGTCCACTGTAGCTTCCTTCAAAATAAGTGTGGGTAGATTTGCAGGCTTGTTTATTTATTAGCGTATTTACAAACCACCAACTCATTAAAAATATTATGGTGGTGTATAATAAAATCATTAAAACATCAAAAAAAATATAAAACCATAAAATACAGAACAAAGGACCAACAACCTTAGTCAGAAACAACTTTAGTTGCTTTCATTGGAGCTTCTTTCTGAGTAAGCATGCCCAGCAGCCTGAAACTCACAATAAAACATTTCACAGATACAATAATCTGCCAGCAGTTATCCTTCAGCAGTTTACAGTGGCAGAACAGATCAATTATAAAAAGTGTGAATGTACAAGCAACGATGGGAGGTTTTTATCTTTTATTTTCTTGATGGTACAGTAATTCTGAAACACTCAGTTAACTGTGATTGTGCAGAAATCAGTGAGGGAATATTTCAGTTGCATTGCCACTTTTTATTGCCATAAATTCCAGTTGTGTTAGTTTAAGGTAAAGGTACCGCTGACCGTTGGGTCCAGTCGTGGACGACTCTGGGGTTGCGAGCTCATCTCGCTCTATAGGCCAAGGGAGCCGGCATTTGTCCGCAGACAGCTTCTGGGTCATGTGGCCAGCATGACTAAGCCACTTCTGGCAAACCAGAGCAGCACATGGAAACACCATTTACCTTCCCGCTGGAGCGGTACCTATTTATCTACTTGCACTTTGATGTGCTTTCGAACTGCTAGGTTGGCAGGAGCAGGGACCGAGCAACGGGAGCTCACCCCGTCGCAGGGATTCGAACCGCCGACCTTCTGATTGGCAAGCCCTAGGCTCAGTGGTTTAGACCACAACACCACCCGCGTCCCTTTTTGTGTTAGTTTATTGCAGCAAAAATCCTTCTGCTTAAGTGGACCGTAGTCCACGAAAGCTTATGTCATAAAAAATTGAGCCACAATACTCTTGTCATGGTACTTTAACTGAATCATATAAATTTTAAGAATTCCTACGTAAATCAGAATTCATAAAAAGTTTGTAGCACCTGCATTTCTCAAAAGCCTGATAAGGCTATTTTCTTACTTGCTACAAAAAGTGCATTGCCTGCCCATTTGGCAGTGCATCATATGGTTTAATGCAGGGGTAGGCAACCTAAGGCCTGGGGGCCGGATGCGGCCCAATTGCCTTCTCAATCCGGGCTGCGGACGGTCCGGGAATCAGCATGTTTTTACATGAATAGAATGTGTCCTTTTATTTAAAATGCATCTCTGGGTTATTTGTGGGGCCTGCCTGGTGTTTTTACATGAGTAATAATAATAATAATAATAATTTATTTATACCCCGCCCATCTGGCTGGGTTTCCCCAGCCACTCTGGGCAGCTTCCAACAAAACACTAAAATACAATAACCTATTAAACATTAAAAGCTTCCCTCAACAGAATGTGTGCTTTTATTTAAAATGCATCTCTGGGTTATTTGTGGGGCATAGGAATTCATTCATATTTTTTCCCCTCCAAAATATAGTCTGGCCCACCACATGGTCTGAGGGACGGTAGATCGGCCCACAGCTGAAAAAGGTTGCTGACCCCTGATTTAATGCTCCAGTAATCAAGATGTGCTTGTTAGCTTAGGTGGGGTGGTACACAGATACCTCTAAAGTGGCACAATAACCCAGTTAGTCTTTGTCTGTAAGAATATAAAGAACAGCCTTGCTGGATCACACCAAAAGTCTTATCTAGACCAGCATCCTATTCTCATAGTGGTCAACCAAATACCTATGGAAAACTTACATGATTTAAGACTACTGGAATGGCATACTATTCTATTTTTAGGTTTCTGTGTATTTCTAGGTACTTATATTTAGTTGTAGGGAATTTCTCCATGCCCTTATTGCCTTCTATTTCTCCAAAATATTTTACACCATGGATAAAAAATAGTGTCTTAAAAAAACCTGAAGTTTGTAACTAATGTTAGTCATACTCAGAGTAGAACCATTAAAAATGATGGCCATGACTAACTTGGGTCCCTTCATTTCAGTGGGTTTACTCCAAGTTGAACTTCAATTGATACAACCCTAACAAGATTATTTTTATTTTTTCAGTACCACAATATTCTGTTTTTGCCATAACACAGATTAACACAACTATTCATACAAATCCTGCATCCCAGTCTCGGAAAATTGTTTTAAGTTCCAGGACTAAATGTTTAATCAGCTTTCCAGTCCTTTGCAGGAATAGAAGAATGGTAAAACAGCCCAATGGGACTTATTCTCAAGTGGTGGACATACTGTGCACAGTTGTTTGGGAGTAAGCCCCAAATAACGCAATGGGGCTTGCCATTGAGTAAACATGCACAAAAAGGAACTGGTAATTTGGCAAGACATTTGGGTCTCCTAATTTTCCTACATAACTGGCTTGATAGTAACAGCTCTCTCTCACATCTTGTTCCCTTCCAATTAACTTAAGAGTTACATTTCTACACTAGGATATCCCTTTTTCTTTACCCTTAGAGTGATTTTTTTCCTACTGGAATTTGATAATACTCCAAATATTATATATAAGACTAGTAAAGGTAAAAAAGATAAAGGACCCCTGGAGTAAGCTACAGCTGACATCCATCAGCCTTTATTTATAAATGTATGGACTTTTAATAATTGAAGAAAACATTTTGGTTGCCTAGATTTAGTAGTTACAACTTTATGCTCTATTTCTACACAATTATGTTTTTATATATTCATCTAAGTCATTGTCACCTGATACAGGCAATCGGTGCAAGTCATTTTTTAAATTTTTAAAAAATTTTTTAATATTCAAGCAAACCAAACATTTATTAAAGGTTCTCTTTCAATAGAGGGGTATTTTCTTCCCCATACACAGAAGCAGCGAGGTCACATGGAGATATAGGAATGGTTTCAACATTTCAAGCCAGAACAGGAGTGGCGGTCCCTGGAGTGCATTTATTTTTTCCATTCATTCTTTTCGTAGTCCACTTGTCCGAGAAGCCATCAATTGGGTTCACTCTCATATCTAACATTCTTTTGGTCTGCATGGCCTCCCACTCATCTGTGAAAGTGTGAGGGATTGGCCCAAAAACATACATCCTTTGCCAAATGACAACAAAAGCAGTGAGGCCTATAAAGAAGAGTGTCCCACCGAGAATAGTCTTCCATTCAGATGACCCCTTTTTCACTTCAGCAAAGGTCTCATTGAACTTGATGCGGTACAATGCAACCTTCTCAGCAGAAGAATGGGCAGTCCAGGATGCCTTCTCTTTATCCTTCAGGGCCTTCTGCTCCGAAGAGAGACTTTTTGTAAACTGAACTTCAGGCAATGGAACATCCCAACATCGATGTAAGCTGGCAGGCTGAAATCTTCTGTTTTTGCAATACCATGCCCATGGGCTCTCACACAGACTGAAGTGGAAATGGCCCGCTTGCCAAGAAGACTAAATGCCCAAGAAGCCAACATCCTGCCACCATCAACCACAAACCTGAGGCAGCTCGTGTCCTCTAAACCCCGGAGAATGAGGACGGAAAGAGGGAAGGAGAGGGAAGCGGAAACCGGTGCAAGTCATTTTTCAACTGAACTAAACTCCAGGAGAAAACAACCATTCTTAAATACACAGAATTATAGAACTGTAGAGTTGGAAGGTATCCCAAGGGTCATTTAGTTCAACCCCCTGCAATGCAAAAATTAAAATACTAAAACAGATTAAAATTACCTCAGTTTTCCAGACATCTATACATCAATAAAATAGGTGGACGAAAGAAATGTTAATGAACTTCAGAATAAATAAAATGCAGTCTGCTACTACTGTTTTATCTTTTGCAAACCTCTTTGTGATTTTCTACAATCAAATGGTGTATAAATTTTAACAAACAAAGAGTTTGCTAGAGTTTAGTTCTTGAATCTATTTTCAGTTCCACACCTCAACACTAGAACATGTGAAGGAGATGAACTCTGAGCATGCTGTTTGCATCTGTCTGCTTCGAGAGGCAATGCACCATCAAACCATTGGGAGAGTTACAGTGACTGTAGAAACCAATATGGGAGAGACATGTTTTATTGCAGCAGGGAGAGATGAAGGTGCCTGGTTTTGCTGTTACAGGTGTGCCATGGCATTTCTTTTCTCTGCACTCCTCATAGCAGCCACTTCTCCTCTGGTTGCTGCTGTGGATACATGACCTGAATGCCTGTCTCCAGGCATTATGGTAGTCTGCAAGAGATTCCCACACGGCAGGGTTTAATGTTGCCAGCCTTCACGTCACACTTGCAGACATCTTTGTAACACAGAGTTGGTCTGCCAACAGGCCTAGTGCCTGAAGCCAGCTTCCTGTAAAGCACATCCTTGGGGATCCTGACATCTTTCATTCTGTGTATGTGACCAAGCCAGCATAGACCTCGTTGAGAAACTGTGAAAAAACTTGGAATGTGGGCTTAGAAGAGCACATTTTTGTTTGAGACTGTCCTGCTATGGGATGCCCCAAATCATCTTGACACAGTGCATATGGAAGGCATTGAAGTGTTGCTCCAGGCAGGTGTTAAGTTGGCCATCACTCATTTCCATAAAGCTGGTCATTAAGCATCACATTTTCCCATACCCTTTTGGGAAGACAAGCCATTGCTGTAGCTGCTGTACCAATACACTTGTCTAGCTCTGCATCAATGGACAGGTTGCTGGTTATGGTGGAGTCCAGGTAGACAAAATTGTCTACCACCTCAAGCGTGCAGTCACCAATGCTGATGTATGGAGTGCTGGCGATGTTTTGACCCAAGATGTCGGTCTTCGTAAGGCTGATGGTAAGTCCTAACTCCATGCAGGCTTGGACAAAATGGTTGATGAGTCTCTGTAGAGTTTTCTTGCAGTGGACTGTCAAGGCTGCTTCATCTGCAAACAAAATTTAGCAGATGATAACCCACCACACTTTTTTGGGGCATGGAGATGTGACAGGTTGAACAGACACCCTGTCACTCCTTGAATGGAAGTGCACACCATCTTCAGTCAAACAGAAGGCATGGGAGACCAACAGGGAGAAGAATATGCCAAAGAGAGTTGGAGTGAAGCACAGCCCTGTTTCACACCAGTATTAATAGGGAAGGTATCCGAGGATGAACTGTCATACTGAACGGTGCCACACATGTTCTCATGGAAGGACATGGTAATCTTGTAGAGCTTAGATGGGCACCCTATCTTGTTGAGCAGTGTGAAGAGTCCTTTCCGGCTGACAGGGTCAAAGGCCTTCATCAGGTCTATGAAGGCAATGTACATGGGGCATTCCTGCTCTGCATTTTTCTGGCGCAGTGAGAAAATCATGTTGACCGTTGACCTCTGAGCTCTAAAGCCTCATTGTCACTTAAGATAGACCCTGTCAGCAAGTGACTGTAATCTGTTGAGAACTACATGCGTGAAAGTACTCAGCAAGCTACTGTAATTGTTACAGTCATGGCAGTCACGTTTGTTCTTGTAGAAGGTCACACATGTCTTGTGGCACAGATCCCATTCCCCAACACTGCAAGAGAAGTCCGTGGAGGTGAGTCATGAGCAAATTGAGGCATGCTTTCAGCACCTCTGTTGGAATTCCATCCTGTCCTAGGGCTTCCCCACATACCTGAGACAGACAGAGCCTGGACGCTATCAACAGCTGTGTTGAAGACTATGTTTTCCTGTGAGTACAGTTCTTGATAGTTCTCTGCCCATCACTTCATCTGCTTGCTGTGGTCTGTGATGGTCTCTCCAGACGAGGTTTTTAGTGGTGCAGTTTTTTCTACTGTTGGTTCAAAGGCTTTCTTCATGCCTTTGTATATTTTGTGAGTACTGCCACTGTCAGCAGCAAGCCAAATGCTCTGACACAGCTTTAGCCAGTAGTCACTGGCACATCGCCTGGCAATCCTCTGGGCGTTGTTCCTTGCACTTCTCAGTGCAGCAAGCATCTTCTTGCAGGGGGCACACTTTTAGTTCACAACAGCCTTGTGCTTTGCAGTGGTAACAGGCTCCATGTTCTAAACGCTGGCCTCAAACCAGTCAGGGATCTGCTGCTCTCTGCTGTGCAGAGTGGCTTTTCTGTATCTGTGACACCAAGTACAAAGCCTCAGTCTGGAATTTGGGGGGAGTGTTTCTAGGTCAATCAAACAAAAGTACATACAAAGAGCCCTGCTGGATAAGAACAAAGCCTATCTGCCTCTTATACTGGAGGCAAGAAATAGCCATCATGACTAGCAGCCGTTGGTAGTGCTTTACAGGGCGGGGGCGGTAGCAGAATAATCGATGGAAGGTAACATTATCTAAGTCTGTGACCATCACCAGCTCTAGCGGTAAGGTGTGTGAAGAGGTACTTCCTTTTTCCCTGCCCTGAATCTTTGTTGAACGTGGCCCATGGTTCTAAAATCATGACAGACGGCGCGGGGGGGGGGGATTCTCACTCTGCTTCTGGAGTGGAGAACCGCAGCTCCCATCAGCACAAGCGGCCAGGGATGATGGGAGTTGTAGTTTAGCAACACCTGGAAAGCGGCAGGTTTCCCCACGCCACGTGCGTTTTATACGCTTTCTATCATGTTTTCCACACCCTCCACAAATAAAAGGGGAAAAAAACATAAAGGTATCCATCGTATGCAGGCAGCCTTGACTTAAGCCTAGCCACCTCCTTATGTTTATATTGGCTCACACTGTAAGAAAGTATTCCCTCCGCCGGACGACCAACGCTACCGCCCCCACCGGCAGTTTAGGAAATAAAACCACTTGCTGCTTCTTCGCACTCCTCCCGCCGCCCCCCTAAAAAAATAAATTCAATATCACAAGCAATAAGCATGGCCCTACTTGGGTTGGCTGGGCTGTCATTGCTGAGCGGTTTGGGCACGAGTCCTACCAAGGCTGCGGACTTCAGGGCGCTCCCATAGCCGGCTGCTAAGTTTTCCGAGGCTTTCTTGGCCAGCGAGAGGATGGGAGCCGGCCACCGCGAGTCCTCGGCCGGCCTCTCTTTGCCGCCGCCGCCATCGCCCCTCAGCTCAGGCGCGCTGCCGGGGGTCCGGGCGGCGGCGGCTTCGCAGCCCTCGCTCTCTCCCACGGCGGGAGCAGCAGGTACTACTTCGCAACTCTGCCCTCCTTCAGCCATCTTTGCTGGGTCATATGACGCGAGTCAGGAGCCCTCGGGCCTCGGCAACTTCTTCCTGTCCCTCTCGGGTCCCTCTCGCGGGCTTCCTCGCCCACAGCCCTGGTGTGGCTGCTCTGCACTGGCGCCGAAGGAGGAACTTGGGCGGCCTTACTCCTGAGGAAGCGCCTCTTTCGCGCGCGCAAGGCGAAGCCGACTTTTGCCTCAGGAACTTCGCCCCCTTGGGCTCGTTTGACGTGGGATTCCCGCGCTGTCAGGCCGCAACCCTGCACTCACCTGGGACTGAGGGAAACTTGCTTTTCCGAGTCGACTCGCGGAAGAGCAGGGTCTGGGGTTGCTGCTTTTGCCTAGGGGAAGGAAAGCCGGGAGTCCCACCGACCTGAGTTTAAAAGCTTGCAGGCTTCCAGGTGGGCAGCTTCTTAGCAAAGGGCGGGGTGGACAAAAGTTGTTTTTCGAGAGTTAAGGAGTGACCAGGTCAAGGTCCATCCAGTGTAACACCGTCTCCAAAGGCCCAGACCGAAGAAAGGCTGGGTGAAATAACTTCTGCCCTTTGCCCCCAGCATGCATCTAGTAAGAAAAGCTTCCCAAGTTGGAAGCTTTCAGTTTGGGATGGATCTCTCCCTCTGATGCTCTTTAAAAAGCATCTAAATGAAAGGCCATCACCAGTCTTGAAACGATTTATTTTGCGGGACGGATTCAAGCACATACCAGAAAGTTTGTGCAATTAAAGCGGACACTTCCAGACGCTTGCTGTTTTGGGACAGGATTCACTTACACGCTGGCAAATTCAGGTTGCACAGTTAACACTGATTTGGAGATCTTGCACAATAAACCCCCCTCCCCCCAAGTTCGGACTTGATGAAATAAGGGAAGTGCCCATAAAATGTAATGGAAGTGTGGGTTAAGAATTGCTTGGCATAGCAGTTTTTGCAAACAAATCAGAAGGATCACTCAATAAATAGTCAAATGTCATTTATTCATGCATGTTGAATGAATGTTCAATAAACAAGGCATCTGGAAGTGAACACTAGCATAACAAAACTGCTTTTTTCTTTAAAGGGACTTTAAAGAAAGTGCAGTTAGGAAAGTAACAGGAAAATGCACTGAAAAGCGTAGGATGAATGAATGATTAACAGGAAGACATGTGAGTACTGTACCCTACAAACAAATCAGGATAAATGCTCAGTAAAGACTAGAGGTAGTCTAATCACTGGGGTAAGCTCTGTGCAAGCAAATCAGGATGAAGGCTGAATAAATTGCTGGCATGGGAGCTTAGCTTGGACTTCAGTGCTGTTCCAAGCACGGTATCATGAACCATGAGCTTTCACTGCCACCTAGTGGGTTGACCTGGTAAATTACACTGTCTAGGGTACTCATTTTGGAAACAGGAACAAAGAGTGGAGGGGTTTGCAATAAAATATTGCAATGGATTCTGTGGTTGAACCCTTAATGACTCGCATGCCACCAATCAATGACCAAGCAATAAAGCTGTGAAGCATTAGATTTCAATGCCTTTCATGTGTCCTCTGCTGAAACCTAAACAAAAAGGCACTGAGGTTTCTGTGTAATTGACTCTGTGGGTGGACCATACTCATACCACTACAATGATCTCATCTACCTGGATGAAGGGGCTAGTCCAGGACAGTCTATAACATTTCATACCAAGTGGGCTGCAAGAGTACTTCAATACAGAACATGCAGGCTGCACACTGCCTAGTCACAGGGGCGGGGGGAATGTTGAGGCCCAATTCTGAGGCACCCCAGCCCTTAATGCTGTTTTCACAAAGCCTGGTAAGTGAGGCACAGGGCTTTGGGAAGGAGGCACAAGGCACAGGGTCCTAGAGCTCCCCATTCTTTCCCAAAGCTGGGAAAGTGCTAACTAGGCTTTATGAAGGATAGAGAGGACTCTAGGACCCTGTCAGAGCCCTCACACCTCCTTCCCAAAGACCAGCACCTCGCTTACCCAGCTTTGGGAAGGCAGCATGGGAGCTGGGTGGGGCGTCAAAGGGGCCGCATGCAGTCCTCGGACACACGTTTTGAGGCACTCGTTGCATCTCAGCCTTCAGAAATGCAATAAAGAAAAGCTCTAACCATTTGGATGCATTTAGCCAGAGGTTTATATGAAAAAAGCATTTTCCCCCAAATGAGGTTTCCCATGAGAAAATAGAGATGCCCCCCCCCATAAACTGCTACCACAGTTGCAAAGCTAAGCAGGTTTGCAAACTGGTTTTAAATTGGGTGGGGGACTGTGTTGAGATTCCCTCATTGCAGGGGGTTGGGCGAAATGACCCTTGGGGTACCTTCCAATTCTATAATTCCATGATTCTATGTGTTTTAATTCACATCTAATTTATTTTTAACTGCTTGCCTTTAGAAAAAACAACTTTTAAGTTTGTTAAATCTTTCTATTGTTCTCTTATGCTGTTCTGTGTTATGCAGATTTATCATTTTTATGGTGGATTTTATTGTCATTGGGCAGTATATATATATAGTTTAGAGACATATTTCGTATGGTCACAAAACACACCAATGTGTAGTAAGAGCATATGAAGAGTCCTGCCAGATGAGACCAAAGAACTATCTCAGCCAGGTTCTTTTTCGCACAGTGGCTTACCAGATACCTATGGAAGCCTGCAAGCAGGATCAAAAAGCCCCTCCTCACTTGCAATTCCCAGCAGATAGTATTCAAAGGCATTCTGCCTCTCACAGCAAAGGTATCCCATAACCACCATTGCTAGTATCCATGGATAACCTTAAACTCCATTAAGTTGTCGAATCCTCTTTTAAAGCCATTCAGCTAACTACAATTTATGATGCGGGAACAAATTCCTAAGGTTTAATTATGCATTGTGTAAAGAAGTGTTTTCTTCCACCTGTCCTCAATCATCCAACTTTGGCTGGATAGTCCTGAGTTATCGTATTGGGAGAGAGAGGCAGAGTTTGGCGTCTGGTCCTTACTGACACCATTTTATTAATAACAAATACTAACCTTTTCTCTTTCTAATTTCATTCATTGCCTTCTCTGACCTTTTCTCCTCAGAGGAAGGAGACCTATCTTTCTTCTTCTTGCACCCACAAACTTCTCTATCTCTGCCAACATTTAATCAGCATTCAAGGAGTTGTCCAACCAACAAGCTATGGCATGGCCAGGGGAAGGAGCAGGCAAGTGAAGGAGGGCATGGGGCAGGCACCTGAAAATGACCCAAGGCCCGCCGGGAGGTTCCAGTCCACTGCTTGCTCTAGGTGGAAAAGCCCCAAATGTTGCAACCTTTCTTCATAGAGGGGTTTTCATAGTAATTGCTATTCCACTGGAAACTGATGGACAAGTGCAAACTATTACTGTTGGCCCCTCTCATTGGTAATTTTTGGCTGTAAAGGTAATTTTATTTAAAGGAAAGTTATAAAAGTCTAATATTTTTAAAAAGCTCATTCCTGAGTTTCATTGCATTCAAGCATGACCAAGAAGTGCTCAGTTTAAGCCAAGGGGGGGGGGGGGCAAAATGTGTTCCTCGTGCCAGAGAGTGGGATTACTATGGTGAGTACAGGGGCAAATTTAGCTCCCTCCACCCTAATGTATCTACTTACCTTCTCTGATATACGTGAATAGCTGCCACTCACTCCTATAGGAAGGTTTCTGTGGGCTGTACATGGAGGCAACACTGCAGTGTGGTCCCAAAAATGAATAAACCACAGGCTCAGCTGGCTTCCACCCAGGCATTCCATGGCCAGTCAGTGTATATTAGGTTTTATTTACAGATCTGATATCTTAAAGGCTGCTCTTCCTACTGAACCTACTGTTAGCCCAATAAAAGTTCCCTAGATTCCCTCCCTCTCTCAATGATCAGTTCAAAAATGTGACAACTGCTTGTACTTAACTGTTGTTGCTCACCATAACTTCAAAGTGTCAAAAGTATCTCTTCAGATGAATTTCAATTTGGCTACTCTTTCATCTTTAAGGCTTGGTTCTGGTTTCCTAGAGATTTTGCTTTCTCTCTATTTTTATACAACTTTTCCAGATATTAAATTTGCACACGAAAGGCATTTAATCATCTAAATGCTGAGAGACAGACTATGACACAAGCAACTTACTTCCCGCAGACTTAGACTTCCACCACAAAAACCAGACACCTGAGATTCTGGCTTGTTGAAGTGAAAGATTCAGAGTTTCAGATTAGAAGACAAAAGATTATATATGTTGCAGGGTTCTCCTCCAAGCTTCAAAAGGATGGGGAATTTGTTGCTGCACAAAGATACCTTCCATTCACATGGAATGTCCTTTTTGAAGTGCTGATTTATTTATTTGTTTGTTTGTTTGTTTGTTTGTTCTGCTCAGGGGATGGTTATCTTCTGTACTAATAAGGAACAGCCAAGGGACTGCGGGGATGCGATAGGTTACTTCCTTAGGTCACACCAATTTGTTTCAGGGCTTAAATGAAACTGCACACATTGTAGTCATGCAGAAAAATAAGAACTGGGGCAAATTCCTTCCTTCCTGAGGTCCACAAGAAGTTCTTATGAAAAGTTCTACTTTAAAGCTGGACAACAGCTGTGACTGATGTCTTGAGTGACTGTGGGTGAGGCAAACTGTTGGGGAAGGAAAATGAGTTTGGACCAAACTATACATTACATTGGAAATCTGTGATCAGACCTCCCTGATTCCCCCCCACCCCCCGTTTCATTTATAAGCTGTTTTCTGAGTGGAGCGGGGGCTCCAAATTAGAACAGTTGGGGGGGGGGAGAATTCAGATTTTCTCTTCATTATTTTCCCAATCTACATCTTCTCACCCTTACCCCATCATTGGTTGTTGATTGCTCTGGTGATAAAAAGGATCTGTATCCCAGGATCTCACCTTTTATCCTTCTGCTTTGTGTATTTCTTTCAAACTTTACCCTTCTGTGAATCTTAGGTCTCATGGATAATTTTATCACGCATCTGGAGCAGATGTATTAGTGGCCAGTGTGGAGAGGGTGGCGTTGCTTACCTGGTTTCCCAACACCACACATCATTGCCTGTGCCAGCCACTATTGGCAAAATGTATCGTCAATATAGTCATTCTATAATTCACTGAATTGGGATGCCATTCTTGATTCCTGTCTAAAGTTTGGCATCAGGTCTCTGGATAGCATTACTTCATCTCAGAAGAACTTTTTGTGCAGACAACCAGGATTTAGTGTTACCGTGGTGAACATAAGTGAAAGATTAGCCCAATGAAAAGTATCATGTAGTAGAAAGTGATTTCCTAACTACCACTCACAAAGCACTGGTTTTCATGGCAAACCAAGAAACATATTAATAATTTTTAAAAAACTATTCTATTTACGCTGCTTAGGGATTCTTTGATTAAGTGGCTTGTACATTCTTCCAGACAAACAAAATAGATTATTGGATTAATCTGTTTCCTGTAATGATGGATCAGAGTGCTTTCCAATAGATGTCACTGTAGCACTTCCTTACTCATATTGGAAATCTGCACTTCACAGAATAGGCTTTACTTGCTCAGACCTCTAGCAAATCCACTATACAGCTGCTTAGTAAAACCACACCATTTTCAAAGGCTAATTCCCCTGACATATCTCAGGAGATTACTAAAAACAACCCTAGTTTATTAAGGCACATTCTTAGTTCACAGGGAGAGAATGGAGTAAAATAATGCTCACCATTAACTCCCCGCCATATAGTACATAGGCTGCACTTCCTTCTAATTTTCCTCATAAATAATATTTAACAGAAGAGTAAAAAAAAAAGTATTTTAATTTATTTTTAAAAGGGGAGGCGGAATACTAAATGAAGCCAATAGAATCTTAACGCTATGAAGATATACAGTATATCCCCCTACATTTTCAGATGCTAGCTCCAAATTGCAAGTATCAAGAAACTCACATATTTAGTACGTTATCTTGCCATATAGTGGTAGTTCAAGAATATGTGCCCTCTCAAAGCATTTGCTTGGCTAATGCAAAATAAGCGGACGGATACCGAATCCTTTTAAAGCTCATCTCATTCATTGTAACCCTGCTGAATGTGCTGTGCTGTTGTGATAAGTCCCAACTCTATAGGAAGCCACAACAGAGAAGTTCGACTCAGAGGGAAGACATGGAAACATTTGTCTAAGGGGAGCTGCTTTAGTCAAGATACCTGTGCTGCTCACTGGGAAGCTAAAACACTGCTTAATGAGATTTGGGAGGGGATACTATATTTGGGAGTGAAGTGATATTATAAAGCACACAGATAAACCTGGAATTTCCACCCCCCCCCCATTTTTTTCCAGTGATTTTATTTGGAAGTAGTTAAGGTCTCATGTTTTGTTAGAGAATGGCCAACATGCTTTTCTGTCTTTCTGCTGCCACTGAAGTGGTGTGGGCACACATTCACTCCAAAAAGGCCTCTCTTCATTTGCCCAATAATGGGGTCACAAATGCTTGTAGGGTTGCTATTTGTCCTCTTTTTCATGGGCAGAGTCATCAAAGCGATCCATTGTTAAAAGTAGATGTTGGCAAATGTGTCCTCTTTTTTGCTCTTCAAAATATGGCAACCTTATTTATGCTTCCACCTTCTACTACTCTGCGGCTGGAGCAACGGATGCTATAAATTCTGCTACTTCTCTTAAATTCTCACTTTTAAAAAAGCCTCCTGATGATTTATGGGAGAATCTTGCTTTTTGACCTTAAAAGAAACACTAGTCATCGCTTACCTAAGGAGCCTTTAAAGTCATTATCTCCAGAGACGTTGGCCGTACCAGAGGAAGCCATTTTAGGAAATGAATCAGCAGCCTGTCTGACATTTATAGAACTGCCAGAGATGTAATGATTGATACTGGGGTACCTAAACCTACTCTCCTGTACAAAGTTTATCGCTAATCAGAGAGATGTTCCACTGAAAGTTGCTGAGAACTTCAATCTGCCAGCTGCCGCCGATCAGTTTTGCTTTTGGTGATTCAGCTCTTTTTGTAAACCAGGCCACTAACTGTAGGATGCACAAGATTTGCTTTTAACAGTGCAATCCTATGTCTAGCTGTTCAGAATCAAGTCCTGTTCAATTCAATGGGGTGTTCTTCCAGGTAAGTGTGTAGAGCAGCCTTCCTCAACCTGTGCTCTCCAGATGTTGGATTCCAGTTCTCATCAGCCTCAGACAGCACGACCAATGGTGAGGGATGGTGGGAGCTGTAGCCTGAAACGTCTAGACAGGGTTCCAGCCCTATTTATAAAGAGAGAGGTTTTGGCAACAGTTAGTAATCAAGAAGTAATAATTACAGTTCCCAAATGCCCTTAAAATAAAGCATCCTGAGGGAGCACCTCAAATTAGGGAAGGAGCACATATTACATGTCTTACAGGTAACAACAAGGCTATAAACAGTAAAGATTTGTGGGCTTTTACTAGGGTTGCCAGGCCAAGCTCTGAGAGATCTTTTACTATGCTTTGAAATGATTGTGTGGATACTTTCCTATAGACAGAATTGTCACCTTTGAAACAGTTCCTGGGTCTTTCCAACACAGAAATATAACAGGTGAAGCTTTTTCTTGCCTGGATATAAGTCTTGAGAGATGCACACTCCCACCATTTCCATGCTGCTTCATCAGTCTGTAGATAACGGAGCCAATGCTGCTCCTTTCATTTGTTTATTTTATTGCTCCCTCTGGGATCACAAATAAGAATATCCAGGCCAGGGATGGAGAATCTGTGTTCCTTCAGATGTTGAACTACGGCTCCCATCACCCCTGATCATTGGCTGGGGCAGAAACCAACACTATGCGGAGGGCCACAGTTTCCTGTGCCTGTAGTAGGAAACAGTGTTTCCCCCAGTGCTCTTTTTTCTGTCTGAGTAAGAGCCTCATCTGTTCAATGCCTGCGTGTGAGCCTGCCTGTTGAAGGCACACAAAGAAGGGGGGTTATAAGGTTTAGGAGCCCTAGTCTGGGTTGGAGAAACCGCTTATCAATTCCACCATGGCAGTGAGTCCAGAATAACAGGCAGATTCCAGCCATGTTTACTTGTTGGAAAGTCCTACTGGATTAAGTGGGACTTCCTTCTAAAAATAAACAAGTGTACCGTATACATCTGGTCAAAGTATGTAACGTGTGAAGTTTTCAGAGGTCTACTAGAAAATGGAAGAAATGGCTAACTATTTACAGCTGGGGTGGGGAGCCTCAGGCCTAAAGGCTAAAGTGGCCCTCCAGGCCTCTCTTTCTGGCCCTTGGGGACTGTTCCTAGGTTCTCCTTGAGTGCTGTTGCTCTTGGGCTGGATGGAGAAATGCACATGGGGCATGGGTGAATGTAAAGACCTCTGGCTTTCATTGTACAAAGGTCAGAGTCACGCTTTTTGCTGCACCCACTTTTGTCTCTGGACCTGTCCACCACTGACTTGTGGCCCCCGGAAGGTTGCCTATGAGGGAATGTGGCCCTTGATCTGAAAAAAGCTTCCCCACCTCTGGGTGAGATAAAATCACATTGATTCCCCTTCAGGGAAGAAGAACTGTTAACAATTATAATTGTTTTTGCATACTTTGGACTAGTTTTTGCTGATGTGGTTGTTTCTTTTTTTGCTTCACTCCTTGTCTTGTGTTTTGCTTTGCTTGTTTATTTGTTTTAGCTCTTACTGCGTTTCCCTCTCCCCCCAGTTCATTGAACTTTGCTTCTATTGTACAGAGGAACATGAGGTGTCAAGTATTCTTTATTTTGGCTTCCTAAAAGGTAGTAACAGTTAATAAAGCCCTGAAGTATTTGATAAGAAAGGGGTATAAATATAGATTAAACACACAAATTGAATGCAATAGTTTTAAAAATATGACACATCTTTGGTTAGCAGCCATGAAAATTACTAAACAGGACATAAATAGCCCTCATAAGGAACTCAGCATGATTCCGTTGATGCAAAATAAACATGTTGTGAATTACGGGAGAAAATTAAATATTTTTGTTAACCCAAGAAAATGCAAAGCACATTCCTAAAATGATTTCAAACACCACAAAGACAGAAAATAAATAAAGATGAAACTGTACGGACACAATCCAAATTTCAGCACCTTTCAGTCCCATTGATTTTAACTGGATTTAAGGACTCTGCTGAGATCTGGGTTCCTATGCTATGGAGAATAATCCACAGGGGCCCTGCTAGGATGAGAACGTTGCCAACCCATCCCTATTCCTCTGCTTGGCTTCCATAATCCCAACTCCACCTCTCATGCTGGCCACCATAGCCTACAGCTGTTGTTTATTGGTGCTGTTGATGAGTAGATAGGGATCCCATCTCCACCCTGCTTCTCATTCTTCTTAGACGGCTTTAGGACAGGGCTTGGAATGGAGATCATTGTAAAAGTCAGTGTGGTTTAGTGGTTAGAGTGTTGGACCATGGCTAGGAAGGCCTGGGTTCAAATCCCCTCCAAGTCCACATTGCTTTCCTTGGACCAGTCACACACACTCAGCCTAACCGCCCTCACATTTGTTGTAAAGACAAAATGCATGGGGAATAATGATATGCATCGCTAGAGGGCTGAGCCCCACAGCTTTTGTGATGGAACCCAAATCTCCTGCCCCTCCCTTCTAAGTTGTATTAAACTTTTTTTTTTTAACACTTTTTGTATTGGATGGCTGGACGCACAGCATAGCATAATACTGGTGAGTCCCTAGCTGTCTGCCATATGAATTTACTTGAAGTATCTGTGCAAATAAATGAGCATATGCAATTTTTATGCAAATTTCTATCATGGGCCCATGCTTCAAGTCCTTTAAATACCTAGCAATGGGACATGTCATTTTAGGGGTAAACTTAATTTTTGCAAATTTATTCAGTGAAGGGTCTTAAAAATATGTTTTAGGATTTGAGGAATTCAGACCTGCTATTATTGTTGTCATTGGGTAACATTTGACTTGGCAAGGCTATGTTTGATGAAGAAGCACATAAACTGCTTTCGGAAAACCAAATAATTTTAATTTTACCTTCTGAATAGGAAATACTAAATAATAAAAATAATATTAATACTTGGCAATCGTTAATTATCTCTATGCAATTTTACATACATTCTACCTAACAAGCAAAACTAAATTAAATTAATTCAACCAAAATATCTTTGGAATTCCCAAGTCATGTTACAAATTTATAGCTCTCCTCATTTTGGGAATTTGAAAGTTGAAAAATTCAACATATCCTAGCCTATCAATGCCCTTGTCACCTTTTGTTCTGTGTAGGAAGGGTGGGATGCAAATGTTCTCCAATTCTGGGCTCAGAGTATGCCAGGTAAGCCCTACTGGATCAGACAAGGGCTTACCTAGTCCAGGGGTTAATGTCAGGTGGGCTGAGCCTACCCACCACTTTTCTATAATTGGCTTTGGCTTTTCCATCATCACTTTTCTCAGCATTGCCCTCTTCCACTGGGAAATCAAAGACATAATTAGTATAAGAAATTAACATCCCTCTGCTTTTTTTCTCACTCTGAGCTTTCTATTCCCGCCCCCCTAGCTATGTTCTCATTGCCTCAGGCAGTTTCATCCCTCTCACCCCAAGGTTAATCTACCTCAGGCTTCCTCAACCTCGGCCCTCCAGATGTTTTGAGACTACAATTCTCATCATCCTAGACCACTGGTCCTGCTAGCTAGGGAACATGGGAGTTGTAGGCCAAAAACATCTGGCGAGCTGAAGTTGAGGAAGCCTGATCTACCTGCTAGTAGATGGTTTTTTAAATCAAGATGGAGACTGGGGATCTGGCACCCTGCTGTGTTCCAACTATTGTTGCATCAATATTTGTTACGGGTAGTTTTGACATAATACTTGTTTGCACATATATTTTCTGGGGAAACATTTACATTAATTTCTTTTGGCCAAATATGGCTTTTCCTGTCCATTTCAACTTTGTTTTATTGTATGGTATTGTAGTTATCAATATTGAAAACGCAATACAGCAGCAAGGCCTAATATGGTAAATGATATACTGATTGATTGTTGAAGTAAGCCTCTGGAAAAAAATGTCTCAGCTGAGACAGGTTTTTTTTTTAAAAAATTAGAATAAGGGGAGAGGTATTGAGGTTTTGAATTTTGAATTTAAATTTTGGTTTTCAAACTGTCACTCTTCCTGTGTTGTGAGCTGCAAAATATGACCCATCCAAATGATACTTCCCACAGCTGGAGACAGTCAGCCCCTCCCTACACCCCAAGAAGCCAACAGTAATACATATATGTGCAGTTGCAGTTAATGTCACTGGCTGGTGCTAGCTATACAAGATGTGCTTTTGAATGGCAGATTCTAGTGCTGTATCACACATATCATTACCCCTAGCTTCAAGTGAGGTGCCCAAATCACTCAAAGCATCAAAGTCTACCTAGAGCCTCTCTTTTGGAGGTAGTCCCAACCGAATCTACCACCACCTGCCCAGATACACTTGGGAGATAGTGCCCGCTTTGCAAGGAACATCTCACAGTCTTCCAAATACTTGTGGAGTGCCTGAACAAGGAACTCATGTGTCTAGGGCACATTCCAGCCTCTGTAGCGGGAGCCCAAGCCTAGTGTGTGGAATGAAACCCTTTTAGATGCAAGCTTCTGGTACAAAAACAGAAGCAAAAAGTTTTATTTATTTGGTAGATTTCTTACCCACCCTTCACCATAAAGTCTTCGGGTGGATTACAACAATACAATACAGTGGTACCTCGGGTTAAGAACTTAATTCGTTCCGGAGCTCCGTTCTTAACCTGAAACTGTTCTTAACCTGAGGTACCACTTTAGTTAAGGGGCCTCCTGCTGCTGCTGCGCTGCCACCGCGTGATTTCTGTTCTTGTCCTGAAGCAAAGTTCTTAACCAGAGGTACTATTTCTGGGTTAGCGGAGTCTGTAACCTGAAGCGTCTGTAATCCGAGGTACCACTGTATACAATTATTAAAAACAGATAAAATGGTTAAAATTATAAAGCAAGTAAAACTATTCTAGATGGAACGTAAGAGTACAGATTCAATAAGAGAAGTGGGCCCCATAAGACAAAACAAAAAAACTTAATCACCAAAGTCCAAGGTAAAGAGGTGCATGATAACACCAAGGTTGCAGGTTTGAGCCCGGTAAGGGACAGCTGCATATTCCTGAATTGCAGGGGGTTGGACTAGATGATCATCAGGGTCCCTTCCAACTCTATGAATCTGTGGCTGCTAAAAAGCACCCATTGCCTATCAGAGGCTCACGAGTCCTCCCTTCTCCACCAGATAAATAGGTATCTGTACCTGAAAATGCATGAATTTGTAGCATCAGAATGATGCATACTTTTGTTGCAAAGAGAAGGTGTATCAGCTTTGGAATGATTTCTAGGTTCTTATTCCAAATGCCCTGTCTCAAGTCGATTATAAATTCACCATTAGATTTTATGCCTCTGCTTGAGTCATTTGTGCAGCTCAGTGCTTGCAAAACATGAATTTCAACAGCTTGCCAGAGGTTCTCGTGTATAGTTTTGCTTGACAGACAGTGATTTTCAATAACACACCAGGCCAGTGCCTCCACATCCTGATGTTCCTGGCATAATGAGGTCTTCCACAATAACTGATGGTCTGGATCAGTTCTGCTTTTTTTATTATATTTGACCAGGGTATAAGCTGGAACAATAAGTGAACAATACAGAAGCTTTTGATTTCTCATCCTCAAAACTTTTTTTAAAGCAGCAGATAAACCCTGATTTTTTTTTAAAAAAACTGTTTTATAAAGTACAACGATATAAATGGCATTATTTTTTATTTACAAATTCAGTTCACGTAAACCAAAGGCTTAGTCAGATGAGTACCTTCAACCCTGAGATTTTTATGTTTTCTGGAAAAACAAATAAAACCATTTTCGGTGTCCTGTGTTAGTTTTATGGTCTTGTGTTCTTTCTTACACACTTGAGTGAGCCAAACCACTTTCAAGTGAAGTTTTTTTTTGGGGGGGGGGATGTGTGTTATTCAAACGCACTGCAAGAAAATATTGTTACAGTGACTAGGCAGACATTTCCAGAAACCAAGAAATGGAATGTATAAAATGTTCTGGAATTAATAGGATGAAGAGAAAATGAAAAGATGACACGACATTGAATCTCAAGAGCTGGATACCAATTACTATTCTCGCTCTCAAGCAAACAGAGTAACTCGGTGGAGGTATCCTTCTTGGCCCACTTCAGGCAGGCAATTTAATTAGTGATCTTTTCTCACTTTCAAATAGCAGAATAATTTTTTTTTTTAAAAAAAGTTTCACCTGAGATAGGAAAATCTCAGCCTTCATTTCAGAGAGGGCATTGCCACTCTTCATTATTTTCCACCTTCATTTTTATAAAATTACACCTGTCTCACCCTTTGATAAATCCAATAGCTTTTATTTTTTAATATGCCCCTAAGAGGAACCTCAAACATAAAAGGGATTCTCTTGACTATGGAAGTAGCCTTAAAGAGCCTAGATTAGAAGCAGCAAAGTGAAAATAGACATTATGGAACCAATTACCCTTTGTTTCTTGCTACCTGGGTGGTAAGGTCACAAGCTGGCGTCTGTGTTGGCTTCTTTGACAGAACGGTGGTTGTGAACTAGGATGCAGCTACAGTTTCTTCCATGTAAGTCTTCTCGTTATCCTGACACCAATCCTTCCTCCTTACCTACAGGAGGTTTGTTTGTTTTTGCTTGCGTGTTTAAGGAGATAATGATGGGTGATGTCTGGGGAAGAAGCAGGACAAGAGAGGCTTAGGCTACATTTTTACTGGATATCTATTTTAAAAACCGACAGACAATCAGATGCAATCTCTGGGTTGTCACCATCAGTCCAGAAAGAAAAGATGCAGTCTGCCTTACCCCCCCTGGATTTTGCTGAAGGCAGGCTCATAGTATTGCTATGATTTTGGGAGTGCCAGACTCCTCTAAATCCCTGGACCCAGTAAGTGCTAGAATTTAATCAAAGCTTGCTTCTTCCATAACCACAGAGCTGGATTCAAGAAGACATCAGCCATAGCTCTCTTAACCTTGTTGTCCCTCTCTCTCAAGCTTGCCGCTTTCTATCTCGGTGACATCACTCCTAACCTTTCAACTCTAAACTGTGGCAGTATCTGTTGTAGTGGGAGGGTCTACCCGTTTTTGGTGCTTTGTTCTTATAATGGCCCATCTGTGATCCATGTATGCATTTGCTCCCTACTGTGGACACAGCCAAGGAAATCTCCAAACAGCCAGGCAATGCACTGCCAGTAGGGGAGTGGCAGAGGCTTTCTCCATGCCTGAAAAATGGAGTGGGGAGGAAGGCCCTGAAGGAGGATTATGAAGTATGGGAGGTAGTTTGGGAGCCATTGGCCACTATGGTAGCTGGCAGGCTTCCTTCTCTGTGATTCTTCATTAAGAAACAAGTTATGAACTGGGGCTAAGCAGATTTAACTTTAAATGTTGAGTTACGATGCTCACTGCTTCTCTTCTTAGTTCTTGCTTTAGCTCCTTATGTAAAAGGTTTTGTTCAAAAACAACCCAGACAGCCAGGAAGCTCTACAAAGAAAAAAGAGTGTGAGAAGCACGGCCAGTGGGAAGGAGAAATAAATGAGAAATGCACAGAGTGAAAATACTAAAGGGTTTAGATGCCATTGTACTAGTCAGCCTTTTATTATTTGCTTTGGAAAAAGTATAATTAAACAAAGAAAAGAAAAAACTGAACAAAAATCTGTTTCAGTGGCTTGGCTCAGATGTTCCATTTGATTTTGGAGACTTAGGCTGCTAATTTGCTACAGAGATTCTTTGTGATCTTTTTTTCTTTTTTTGTCAAAAAAGGGTGGTTGTTGAAAGACTAGTATTTCCTTTGCCTATAAAGATGAAAGGCATATTTATTTATGTATTTTAATTCCCAGAATTGTTGCTTTAAAGTGGGATAGCACTTACATACCGCATCATAAGCTGTGGCAAAGCACCAGCCACCGCCACCACATTTCTCCTTAAGTTCCGATGGCACTGGCTCACTTTGTTACAAACCTTCATTTTCTACTTTGCTATTAAATAGGAGCAGGTTCTTTGTGGCTCGAGCAACAGCATGCCAGAGATAAATTCTGGTGCAGCTTTCTCTAGCACCGAATGTTGTTAAAGGCGCAGGAGTCCTGCCAGAAAAATGGTTGGTCATTGCACCACACCATGAATAGTATCCTCAGCATATTTCTCTTGCTAACTCTATTGCTAACACTTTAATTAATGTGTGTTACCACGTCTGCAAATTATGCTTACCCCTCCTTTCAATGCAATAACATAATCTCCAGCGGAGAGAAACAACCTGCCTTCTCATCTCTGGCTTGCCTACTTTAGATGGTGGCCTGTCACAGGACTCTGATGCAACTCCAATATTATATGACTGGTAATGGTGCGAAAGTATGTTAGTTTCCTTTAATGGACCCCCACCCCCATTTCCTTCACTATCTCTGTACTCCGGTAGGTGGACAGATTCAAGAGAGGACAGAGCTCCTGCCCCTTTAGCTGTGTAGTGCTTTTAAAAATCTGGACACACTACTCTCTAGCCACCAACTTGGATGGCTTTAAAAGAGGATTAGACAAATTCAAGGAGGACAAGGCTATCAACAGCTACTAGCGGCAATGGTTTTGCTCTACCTCCACTTTGAAGCCAGTATGCCTCCGAATGCCAATTGCTGGGAATCGCAGATAGACAGGGTGCTGTTACGCTTAGGTCCCGCTTGTGGATTTACCGTAGGCATCTGGTTGGGCATTGTGAGAACAGGTTGGGGGAACTAGGTGGTCCATTGGCTGATCCGGCAAGCTCTTATGTTTGCCACCCTCCAACTTCTGCTGCCTGAGGGAGGTGCCTCACTCTGCCAGATGTTAGAGCTGGCTCTGCACTCCTGTGGTTTTACTGTCTGTGAATCAGAAATCCTCCCCTCGCCCCCCAGCAACTGAATTCGTTGCCTGTGACTCTGGCAACCAACTTTGCTTTCTTGTTTTGGAGTCAAGTGGTTGCCAAGTAACTTAGCCGACCCAGAGGTTGTTAGGAGGAGTAGCTTAGCGACTGCAGCACCTGTGCAAATGGACATGACAGTGACACAGTTATTGCTGGTTGAGCGCTATGAGTTAATAATGGTTTTAAATCTTTCCTTGTATTTTTTTCTTTTTTAAATGTTAGGTTGTTTTTGAGTTGTTTTTTAAAAACTAAGCAACAAACAAACAAACAAACAAACAAACAAATAAACAAACAAACAATAGAGAATGGAGGATGGAGCCAAAATTGCAGGGTGAAGGCAAGAAGGAAGTTTTGGGATGAGGAGGGAGGGTGGCACAACACCCCTGACCTAGCAGGAGACTTCCATAGTAGGGTGGATGTTATCCTTTTCACTTGCAAATTGATTGTCAAAAGCAAATTGATTGTAAATGGAATAAACTATAGATGAAACTCATCTGTCAAAGAAACAAGAGGAATATTTTCTGCTGTCATCAGAATTTCTTAGTGATCTGTAATACATTGGGTTGTATCCAGTACAATCATCCTGTTAGCACAAAGACTTCCTCTCCTTCTCCCCCCCACCCCGCATGGCCCCAAATCTGTTTTTGTTTCCCCACAACCCTCTGGAGCAGATTGTAGGAGAACACTAGGAAAGGGAGAGGAAGTCCCATTGCACAGGCAGAAGTCCTTGCACCAACAAGACAACTTGTGTGTGTGTGCTTGTCAAAGATTTTTGAAAAACAAAAGCTATATTTCCTTTTTATTATTAATGTTACGCCAGCCAGAAGAGCACCTTTTTATTTCCACACAGAAAATTAATGTTACGTCGCCACCTCTTTATCTATTTATACCCTACCTTTCTGCTTATCAGCTCTCAATGTCATCTGCATAATAAGGACAAAGTACAATGAGCAACAAACCCCAGCAAAAACAATAAGCAAAACTCTACAATTGTAAAAACAACAAAAACATAAACCTTAAGGTTTAAAAAGAGCAGTAAAAAAATTAAAACAAGAACCAACACCTATTACAATGAAGGTTTTTAAGGAAGTTGTTAAAGTTAACAGGAATTGGATCAAGTAGGCTTCCATAGAAAAGGAGTTCCACTGGTGCTGTGTCACTACAGAGAAGGCCTTGTTGTGCGCACGCACATGCACACACACACACACACACACACACACAGTACACAGTGCTATTTTTCTAGAAAAAGAGATGCCAGAACTAACCATGAATGCATGAATCCCGTGTTCTCTTATAATGGCAATGGTGCCCACCTGACAGGTGCTGGAAATGAGTTTCAGTGAGTTCTGACTGAAAAAAACAGTCCTGCTTTTCACCAAAGCCTTAAATCTAAAACATAGATTTAGATTTGATTCAGTAGGCCTGAGGGTGAAATTTGACAAGGCACATGAATATCCTCCCAGTTTTGTTGTTTTGTTAAATTGAAATGCAGCTGCAATTTTTGTATGTTTGTGTCTGTGCAAATCCGATCAGAGATGCATTGGGGTGGTGGTGGTGTGGAAACCCTTCCCTGTGGCCCATCTTTCTGAATAAAATTGCCTTGTTGCTTTTCTCAGGAGAAATACAAGGAAATATATTTTCTTCTACGGATTTTTTTAAGGGAAGGGGTGAGGATAGTGATGGCAGCCCACAGGAAACAGCGAATCACTGCCTACTCCTGTTTACTGCTACTCCAGCCACATCTCAGCCCTTTCCAGCTGTACTTCAGCTTTTTAAAAAATCAGGAGGCTCCTCACACATTTCCTGTGTCTTGTCTGGTTTGGCTCTGACAATGAAGTTTGGTTTGGGATGTGATGAGAATGCATTATGTATTTGAAAAGCTGCTCACAGCATCTCACCCCAGTACCAATCTCTCCATGCTCGCACAGCATTGTTCAAATATCTTATCAATGTGTTGAACCAGCATGATCTTGCTTGCTTTTAAGATTTAGTGTGAACAGGGATATGCATTCTGGACCACGACCTGGGTTGCCAGGTGCTGAGGGCAATAGGCAATACTTTGCGGTGGCTCACCCTCCTTCTAAGAGGGCATGCTACAGAAAGTTCTGTTGGTGGACTGTTTTCCCTCCCTATCCTTGTGGGAATTATCCTGTGCCTCTGAATACCAGTTGCCATAAACTACTGGAGGGGAGAGTGCTCTTGTGTTTGTGTCCTGTTTGCAGGTTTTCCACAGGCATTTGGTTGGCTACTGTGAGAATAGGATGCTGGACTAGATGCACCATTGGCTTAATCCAGCAGGCTCTGCATGTGTTTTGTATTACCATAGGGTTCCTAGCTATTTGAATTTATCTCCCTTACCCTTAAGCATTTACTCTGAAGCCTTTGGAAACAGTAATCTGTGGATGTGGAGTGAGTGTCTGCACTGTACTGATGAGGTGAAGCAGTTTCTTCCATTAATTTGTTGGTGCATTTTTAAACATTTCTAAAGAGCCATGGAATCCAGGGCAGTGTAGAATAGAGATAAAATTATCCACACCAAAGTACAAAAAACCCACCAAAAATAATATATGAAGAAAATAAAAAAACAGCATTATACTGTGTAAAGTTTTGGTTACCTTCACCTTAAAATGATATTATAGAGCTGGAAAAGGTTCAGAAAAAGGCAAATAAAAGGATCAAGAGACTGGAGCATCTCCTCTATGAAAAGAAGTTATAACATTTGTGCTTTTTAGTTTAGAAAAAAAGAAGAAGAGTATGTGGGTGGGGGATTATAGAGGTGTATAATATGTATGTTTTGGGGAAAGTGGGTAGGGTAGAAACCTCTGGGTGGTTGTTTTTTTAAACATGTTGTAACACCAGAACCCAGAGCCATTCAATTTGCTGATTGTTGGAAGATTCAGAACAGATAAAAAAAGAATTTCTCACAGTGCTATGGAATTCACTTCTTCAGGAGGCAGTGATCGTCACAAACTTGAATAGTTTTAAGAGGAGACTAGAAAAGGTCATGGAGGATAACCTATCAGTGACTGCTAACCATGATGGCTCTGCTCTACCTCCACTGTTAGAGGCAACATGCCTCTGAATACCTGTTGCTAGGAATCAGGGGTGCCATCTCCTAGGGGCTGAGCCCTTTTGCCCCCCCCATATTTTTGGGAGGGAGCCAGGCCCCCGCCATGTTCAAATGGGGTGAAGCAGGCCAAGCACAGAGCTGAGTGTGGCATGGCTTCTGTGGCTGGCTCCTTCTTTTCCTCCTCCTGCAGTGGAGGGGAAGGAGCTGGTGGCTGCAGGAGGAGAAGGAGGAGCCGTGGCTATTGGAGCTGCGCTGGCGCTGCACAGCTGCTGTGTTGCCGCCACTTTTGGCTCCTCCTAGTGCCGTCTTGATGTCATGCAGAGCACATTCATTGGTCATTGTGACAATAGGCTTCTTTTCTGGATGGCCTTTGACCTGATCCAGCAAGGCAATTTTCATGTTGTTGTTGCTTAATTATTCTGAAGTATATTTTAGGCAAACGTCTGCTGATATGGGGTTTAGAATATTGTTAATAAATAAATTCAGGCCAGCAGTTATTGCTAACCAGGAAAGGTTTGGCTTAGGAAATGGATCAGAGTGGTATGAAGCTCAGTCCTGTGAATTAGTACAGTCATAACCAACCATTGCTGCTATTTACACAAACCTTTGCTGCCTAGATTTACATAAGTCTGGCTAGTCTCCGTAGCCAATCAATATGGTATGGAGCCTAGCAAGTCAGTAAAGCTAACTAGAGTGAAGAGGCAAACTTCCGCTAAGCAAACTGTATCTAATGCAATGTAGGAGGAAGGAAATGGAGCAAAATTCTCGATGAGGATGAAAGGAATTTCTACAACTCGCAGCATATCTTTCCCCCTCTCGAGCAATTTTGAGAAAAAGGAAAAGTGAAGAAATGCAGGCCATGGTGGGGTAGGGGCAGCCAAATCCACCATCATTCTGTGGCAGGCTTCCTCAACCTCAAACCTC